TAAATGGCATAGATGACATGAGGCATGAGAAATGAGACTGCAGACAATTGAATTTCCCTTCGAAGACCGGTAAAGTTCTTCTTCTACTTCTTCTTGTTGTTCTTGTTGTTCTTCTTGTTGTTCTTGTTCTTATTATTATTGTTCTTCCTTTTCTTCTTGTTCTTGTTGCTTTTCTTCTTGTTGTCGTTCTTCTTGTTCTTGTTCTTCCTTTTGTTTATGTTGTTGTTGTTGATGTTGTTCTTCTTCTTGATCATTTTCCTCTTGTTGTTCTTGTTCTTCCTTTTTGTTTATGTTCTTGTTGTTCTTGCTCTTTTTGTTCTTCTTGTTCTTCTTGTTCTTTTTGTTTTTTTCTTTTTCTACTGTTTCTTCTTCCTTTTGTTTATGTTCTTTTTGTTGTTGTTGTTGATGTTGTTCTTCTTCTTCATCTTCTTCTTCCAGGTGATAAACCCTATTGTGCAAAAACCTTGCGTCCAAAGGACGTTTGTTTTATTGTGAATCCCGTCTATTAGATGGGTCCTGATGGTACAGACCACATCACTAAACCTACCTCCTGACTTACAGCGTTCTTGGGTTAAAATCAACAAATTATCAACAAATACAAATTAATAATGCCTGAATCAGCCCCACCAAAAAATACCATCTTCTGATGTTTCATCTCTGAACAGACGAGCCAAACTAATAAACAGAGTTTCAACATGGTCACATGGAAAAAACCTCTTGGATGTAAAAAGTAAAGGGAAGCTGATAAAAGTGGTGAATGAGGTCCAGTGAAATCATATGAAAACCACAGATACCACATAGTGACAGACATTTATTTCCACCATGATGGGCCTCAGTAATAAGTAAGACAATGAAAGGACTCAGGGGTGCTGGTTAAGCTCAGTGGTTGAAGCTCCCACTTCATTCATCGAGGCTACAGACTGTGTCGTGGCGGTGGCTGGCTCGACTCCTAACCACGAGATTTGCTGTATGTCATCTCCCTCTCTCCCCCCCCCCCATATTTCCTGTCTCTATGTAGCTGTCCTATCTAATAAAAACACTCCCCTTTTAATAAAACAAGGAAAAATAAGTCAAGGACTTTCTTAAAAGCAGAAAATAAATAATGTGAGTTGCTGATATAGTGATTGTGGCATAAAGGTGAGTCATGAACACCTGACCTGAACCCTCACTGTGTGCTGTGTGAACCGCTGTGTCCACTTACCCGGAGAGTTTTATCAATAACTCCCTCTCACGAATCGGATAAATAATAAATCAAAGACAAATGTTACTTAAGGTCCACATCCATCTGAGGGATTAGATCAGCAGGTCCTGACTTCAAACAGCAGAAACTAATCGAGGGCTGACATGTTTTGAGGTTGGTTATTGATTATGGCTGGCTGCAGTTCAGGGCCCTCGTGGGTGACTCTCCGCCTGCTCCCACATCACCGCCGCGGTGGAGTATCCACCCACTCTGGATTTCCAGGGAACAGAGACGCCTCGGGGCAGAGGTTGGCAACTCAAAAGTCTATGATCTCCCAAAGTAAGCTTTTCCCTCGGCTGCATTTAGCTGTTTATTTTTCTTATTTTCATTCACTGGATCCTTTTTGGTGATTAGGCCAAAAGCGGTGATTCATCACATCACAAGCAGGACCTCTGCTGCCTTAAGTGCCCTCTGTTTTCCACGTGAGGGCCGAGGAGGGTCATTTGGCTCGGTCCTGACGACTCCCATCATACCTTGCTTTCCTCTTGCCTAATGCACTTCAGAGGAAACAACATCATGGATCATTTTCCTGTCAATAAAGTCATTAAACGTATTGAAGCATACATGATTGATCGGTTATGATCATGTTTTAATGCTGCAGTTAAAACTCGGTCCCTCCTCAACAATAAGGATGAGGTCAGCGCTCTCTGTTTGGTCTGAAACGTTCATATCCAGAGAGAAGCTTTACGTGTTTGATATCTGATATCTGATAACTGATAAATACTGATTTACACAATCCTATTAATACAAGTCCAGTTTAGATTTAGTGGTTTAAGTTGCTACTCTATCTTTACTGATTACAGCAAATAAAAACACAACTATAGTCCCAGATATGATCATCTTTGCTGACGAAAACTGACTTAAAAATGAAGAAATACTTGTGCTACAATAACGGTTGAATTTCCCTTCGGGGATCAATCAAGCTTTTCTCATCTTAACTTACTTTAACATTTATTTTAAGTAGCTGTTATATGAGTCAGAGTGCATTAGCAGTATAGATGGATGAAGCTTACAGGATGTTTCTGTATGACATTTGAATTCCAGTGACTCATAAATGAGTTTAGGAAGTTTTACCATTCATAGAAATTTTGCACAAATGATGAGAACTCCTCGTTTTTTCTAGACTTTTCCTTTAAAATGAACAATTTTAATGTAAAGATTATAATGAAATACAAACATTGAATAAAAAAGGTAATTTGATGTTTTTAATATCTTTCAAATTAAATGTTTTAGATAACGTTAAATGACATTACCTAGCGAAATAACATGGTAAGCTTTTGCTGTGTTCTTGTCAGGTCAACTTCACCTGATTTTTATTCGAAACTGAATGCTAATAAGTACTTTAATTTAAAGTATAATTGAAAAAATAGTGCAATTACTAAAGGGATAGTTTGGCTTATATGAAGTACTTGTCAACAGTAAGTGTCCTCGCCACAGCGGAGGTCAGATAACTAAGCTGCTTTTTTAAGAAACTGGCTTACGGGGATGTTAACCACAACAGACGATTTTAAAGTTGGCTGAAAAACACTGACTGTATGTGCTGCATCTATAAAAGTGCAAAATAAAAAAAGGATCTTTTAGATGACTCAGTAAAACACAGAAAAATCTCTGTAGACAGCACACACTCACACTGAGAATAGAGCTTTGGTTTGACCTCCTTTAAATGAGCTTAATTACATGTTAAAGACGCCTAAAGCGGTTGATGGACTAACTTCTCTCTGATTTTTATTCTATCAAAACTAAAGCTCCTTCTCCAGCCTGTTAGAAAAAAAAAACCTTTACAAGCAGAAAATTTTGTTGGTAAATGAAGTATTGATTATCCGCCAAACATCAAACCCTGAAAGTCTAAAATATTTATGTGACTCTCAGAAAAATCTCCCTCAATCTCTCCCTCTCTCTCTCTCTGTTGTGGCCGAGCTGACACCGATCCCTTGTGGCCACTAAGCTTACTCTTAACAAGCTCCACTTAAAAACAGCAAACTATCCCTTTTATAGGTGCAGAACAGACCTAGAAATGAAAAAAAACAAACAATATTTGTATATCTTGATTAGTTTAAAATCATCTGAATGTAAAAATTAATTTGTTTTGTTGAGTCAGAATGAGTTTTCTGTGTTAACGTGACAAAAAAAGAGAATTTTATTTTTTTTCAAATAAAACAAACAACAAATAACAACTGTTTTGTTAGTGAGGAGGTAGTCTGTCTTTCTAAAATGACAGTCCAAATGATTAGAAAGGCGCTTCCATAAACATTGACACAAGCTTGACCATTAAAGCTCCTGTAAGGAACTTTCTGTTGGTGTTTTCTTGGCTGATCTTATACTGTACATACTCAAGTAAAATCATCTGACATAAATAATCTCCTCCTATTTTCTCACTCATTTTGGAGATTTGCTGAAACAAATGTTGAATGAAGTATTTTTTGGGGGATTATGTGGGATCAGATGGCCTGATATCTACACTCTCCACAAATATAAACACAATTACTATCAAACATTTACTTGTTTGTTTTTGTTTTACACAGAAATGTATCAGTGTCAATTTCAGTCTGTTTTATAACCAGCTAAATAGCCCTCACAGGAGCTTTAATGCACAAATTGGACACCACTTTGGACACCACACCACACACCACAACTGACACAGTTGTCTCCAAAAATAATGAACTTTAAAGCTCCCATGGGGAGCTTTTGGTTTGTGTTGATTGTGGCGCCCCCTATGTACAGTGATAAGTCTTGTCTCATGTGCAAGGCTGTTTTTAGAGCGTGCCGTGACTCATTTCATCTGCCACCTTCTCCTTTGTGGCATTGCTTTCGAGGATAAAATTAATATAACGACGAGCACACGGGCTGCAGATGCTCTCTTTTCTTTTTATAGATAATATCAGAGGCTGTTTCATATGCAGAAAAGGTCTCCTCATCTCAGGAGCTTCTGGATGTATTTGTGCAATAATCACGATCATCTATCCAAACAGAAGACACACAGGGCAATTATTAAGAGCTACGACTCCATGCATTTTAATAGCGAACATAGTAAAGTGATATTTTTGTGCTCTAGAAGGAGATGCACGTGTTTTCCCTCTGACAAACAACAAACCCGCAGTGATGCAGGCCGGCTCATGTGTACCCATGTTTTTCAGGGTTGACTTGGATTTTCTCAAACAGATCTGAACACTTTGGGGTTTAGGGTTCGATTCATGTTACAGCTCAACAAGCTACTGGATTAAACCTGATCAGGCAGTTTGTTGTTGGCTGCAGTGTTTCTAAACAATTTTGGCAAAATATATATTTTTTTCCCTGCCTAAAAGGAGAAATCTGATCAGCCTGTTATGTAGTCACAGGGATTGAATGTAAATGCTGCTTCACTCAGTTTGGTCTCCCACCAGGAGGCGTCGCTGTTTCTCTCTGATGAACAGCTGGACAGCAGACCAGAGGAGGTGCAGTGATCACAGAAAGTCCTGGGACAAACCTAACTAAACCTTTACAGTGTTAAAGGTGCCTCTAAATGAGAATATAGTTTGTAAAAATCCCCTTAAAAGTTAAGATATGATATCTTTTACAGGCTTTTGGTGATTTTTGCATCTATCCTCTGTCCCACCTCTTGCATTCAATTATCACCGGGGGCTGGAGCGGCTACCAGACGTTGACTTCTGATTGGCTGATTGAGCTGCCAATCACCTGCCTGTCCTGTAGCCTCCTTTTTGGCCAATACAAACCACACCAGAAGTCAGAAAGTCAAATTTCAGCGAGGGGACATAACGGGAAGGCTGAATTATCCAGTTATTCCGAGAGCTCCTGTCATTCCTCATGGTAAAAAAGTGAAACTAAACTCTCAGTCTTTTTGAAAGCTTCTCTTTAAGGTGAGTTTGGAGTGGAAAAAAGGAGGTTAATTGGACTTGAGGACTTGTTGGCGTCTTTCTCCGGCGTTTTGACGCGCTGCGCACCTGAGCTCCTCCGGCGTTAACATGACTGTGAATCAGCTGATCTCCTGAAACCACCACGGTGACTTTATGAGCCGGTGACATGCCTGCTGTGGTGAACCTTGGTGCTTTATTTCACTGTGGAATAACCACCGGAGTCCAGGTGTCACCGGGGAGAGCTGATGTGGCCGTTTGGAGGAGCGCACCAGTTTGATGTCACCAGCTGGGATTTGACAGAGAGCAGGAGTTTGGGATGCAAGAGAAACCCTAGAGAGACAGTGCTCGGCTTCTTTTACCTGGATTCAACCCGGAGTCATGGCCTCTGAGGTGGTGTGCGGGCTGGTCTTCAGGTTACTGCTGCCGGTGTGTCTTGCAGCTGGTGAGTTTTGGATTTAATCTCCACTTTTACGCACCAGAATTAACCTGAAATGCAACTTCAGCTCCAAGGTGAAGAGGTGATTTGTAAACTAATAGATTAACTGATATTTTTCAATGAATGGATGAACCAAACTCCATTAGAAATATACATTTAGGCTTTCTTTTTCTACATTTTTGTCTCTTTTTTGGTACACCAAACACTTATCCCTGATCTTAAAGTCTGAGCACACCAAAACAAACCAGAAATATTAAAGTAGTTGATAATTTGGATGATGTTTTGTGTCATTGACCTCATCGTTCTCGAGGTCAAATCTCCATCCATCAGCAGTCAGCACACAGTCATACCAGAGGACCTGCATTATCCTCCACCTGGCTGTCACCTTTTACTGGATGTAGTTCAGGAAACACAGCTGGGACGAGCAGAGAGTGGTCCAAAAAAAAAGCTTTCAGACTCCATGCACTTTGCACAGTGTTTATGCTTCTGTTTGCATAATCTGGAAGAGTTTGATGTAAAAAAATCAAACACAAACTAAGTGCATCTTTATGTTTTGAATGTCTGAAATGTGAGTACAATCAAATCACGAACCGGTTAATCGGATTTTTCTGCTCTTCTTTGAATAAAAACTGAAAGTATTTCTTCGTCTTCTGGACAAGAACTCAAACTTCAGTGGAATTAGAGATGATTTAACGTTGTCTGGAGTCTAACTTTGAATAAATCATCTGTGTTGTTATTGATTATCCAGCTGTTGACTGATCAGCGGTGATTGGCTTATTACTTTACCCTCTTCCAGCTTCTGTCGCTGTCTTGTGTTGCTTCACATTCCTCCGAGTCGTAGTCAGCGGTGGAGTTTTCTGCTTTGTTTACAGCACTTGTAACTTTGTTAAGAAAAGCACTCGGCACGCACGACGGTCGGTTTGATTCACTCCTTTGCTATGCAGATTGAGAAGATGGAACCTGGCAGATGGGTTTGGACTCCTGGGCGGCTGTTATCGGCTTTAATCAAACTGGGAAAGTCTCATCTTTGACAGCTCGGATACTTCACTGATCCTATAAAATGCTGATGTAGTGATAAAGCTGTTGGTATATGATCACACCTTGGATGCAGACTCTATTAAATGCTGGTTACTTTGTGTTTTAAATCTGTGGTAGACCACAAGTGCGAAATGCTTAACTGCTGCAAAGACTTCTGAGGCTGAGGTACTTTTAAAGCTAACAGCATGCTTTCTATAGATAAGACCCACTCAGTACCCCCATAATGCATCACTTGACAGCCCGACGCCCGCTTTATTTCCAAAAGCAACGGTGAGGCCCATGCATTGTCTCCATTAATTCGTGGAAAGTCGTTTTAACAGTATGAATTAATAATGCGGTTGTGAGGGGAGAGAAGAATTGCCTTCCCCTTTTATCGTAAACATACCTTTAATATTTTATGTTTTTTCAAAGTGCAAATGAGCACTTGTCATTTACTGTGGCTGTGCGCAGAGTAACGGACAGGAAGGAGGAAATGTAAAGTGGAAACAAAAGGAGGTGTATATATAAACGGACAGATGAGAGAGAGAGAGAGAGAGGGTATTTTTGTCATGACAATCACCTGATGATGATCGACGCCTGATTTTTTGCATGTTTGAGTCAAAAATCTCATCTGAATTAGAGCTGAATGGAGTTTATCTCAGGAGACTATTTAAGGTTTTATCTCTCATCAGTCCGCTGTTTTTTGAGTTTGTATAGAGTTTGTCATGAGTGTGTTTTCCTGGCATCACTTTGTTGAAAAAACATTAAGGCCTCTCTATGCAGCACTGCAGATGTTATCCGACTCCCAACACCCTATAGCAAATGTCCACTAGTGTTCTATACGTTTCACTTGGTTGCTTTTCTCTTGTCCTAATGAAAAGACTTGTCTACCAACGTTACATAGTCTGTGTTTCCTGTTGTCCATCTGACAGCACCTCTATTGAAAAGCACAGAAATTGCCGGGCCTCGTGTGTACACAGCTCCACACACACACTCACACACACACTCACTCCTGCACACCGCTACAGACTGGCTGATCAAACACACAGCTGTTTATGTGTTTACTGGAAGAGTTTGGAGTGTGGACACGATTATGAGCGAGCGTGCACTTGCAGCGAATGTCTGATCAGATATCAAAGTTGTGGTGTGGATGTGCAGACAGAGCAGCAGGAGTCAGGCAGAGAAACGCTGAGGAGGAGGCTTTTGAGAGCATCTCTACAATCCTGATCAGATTGAGATTTTCACAGAGTTTGCACACCTTGAGGAGGATGAATTTGGCAACAGAGAGGCAGGGAGTAATTTTATACAAATCATCCTTAAAACCATGTGGTGCTCTGTTATGATAAACAACTTTTAATACGCTTACAGGCACAAAACTGTGAGAAGAAGAAGAGGTATCTCAAATTTTGATACAGCTTTAGTTAGTGGTCGACTCATATCAGTTGTTAAACAGCTGATACAAATACTAATAAGATACAAACAAAGGACAGATATATAATGTAGATATCAAGTTGTTGTTGAACTTGAACACTGAACCTGCTATATTCATCTTTTCTGGGCTCAGTTAGGTCTCGCCACAAGAGACTTTAGGGTTTCTGTCCAGCTATCTGAAATTATTGGGATAGATTGAAGAATTTAAGTTGGATATTTGGATTAAAATAAAATGAGTCATGATTAGATTTGATAAACTGTCATTGGTGATGGGGAAAAGGAGCTTTTATTCAGAAAGAATAATGGTGATGTTGGCCCTGTGAGGGAAAACGCGGATATGATGCAGATTTAGTCAAAGTGTCACTAAATTGTAGGGGTGGGAGAAAAAAAGTGATACAGCATAGTGTCGCGATATTTTGTCTGGTGAAATATCGTATCGTCTCATTAACCAAATATCGATTTTTCAAATTAATTGCTAATATGAAGTCAAATCTATGATAATGGGAAAATAAAATCAACTGATTGTCCAGTGAGGTTGGCAGAAGAGACATCATAGAGCAGCAGAAAGGCAGTACAACAAATATATGTATGTATAAGGTTTGAAGGATGTGCTACATGAAAATAAAATACAGCGTAAATAAGACAAAGATAAAGGAAAGACAAATGCTAAATTAGCTAAACAGTTGAAAAAATTGTATCAATCACAATATATTGTATTGCAATACTCAAAAAAAATTGCAAAATGTTAAAAAATCACAAAAATCCAACCCCTACTAAATTGGCCTGATTAATCACCTGAAAAGTCAATTGGTTTATCCCTCATTATAGTGTTAAAGGTTATGATAGTTTGACAACTAAATGTAGGGATGCTAAGTCAGAATTTTACCGTAGTTTAACATACAGATAACTCAAAGGCCTGACTTTACCTGATTAAGTCGCACATAACACAATGAAAAGTTCGATAAAACACAAGTTTGAAAAAAAGGAGGGAAAAATATTTTAGTCATAGGAAGCAAAATTTATTCTAAACCATCATTTTTTATTGTTTGACGTACCATGATAAATTTAAAATTGCCAATATGTGGTTTACTTGAAGCCAACAGCTTCTGACTGTTACACCAACCAAGAGCACGTCTATGCTCATGAGATTATCCAACATTCATGTTCAGGGGATAAATTAAACTACGAGAGGATTGAAGGTTGAGACGAACGTCAGGTAAAGGATTTCTGTTTCAGCCGAAACTCGAGCAGAACTTGGCCTTCACCGTGAGCCTAAACAGTAAAATGAACTCTGTCAGGTTGAACAGAGTTTGTCTGTAGGTAGCATGTTAGCGGTATTCACACATATCTCTAAAAAACAGTAAAATTATGGAAGGACTGGAAAGAATATTAGTTTTAGTGTTAATTCTGGTTCAATTTCAAAACAAATTTATGATTTAATTCAGATTAGATGATAAAACCCAGAATAGTAAGTGTTTTTAGCTTCTTTATCTATAGGTTTCTCATACATTTCTGCGATGATAGTAGCTAAACTGTGCATGTTTGGGTATTTAATGATATCTCCACAGTCTTTTCACAACCTTTTTTTAAACTATTACCATCAAAACAATCACCTGTAGAGAATGATTGGATCAGTCTGTAATATTAAAGCAGTTATCTCGTTTAAACAGGTGTATACTGTCTCACTTTTGTCAGACATTTGTTTAAAAGAGCAGCACACTTCTGTTCAGAGATAGTCCGCTCTTCATGTGGTATTGGCTTTATTATTTTCCTCGGAGGGTTTAAATTCCTCTGTTATCTCCCGGTGCTCGGTCTGGCCAGGCACCGCAGCAGCACCTTATCTCATTTCATGACATTTATGTTTTTGGGCTCGAACCCTGAAGTCGGTTCGCCTTGATTTCACATTTAATGTTGGCTCGCTCCTCTCCTGTTTAAGGTTGTGTTACAGTAATAACAGCTTTGTCTGGAGGAGACAAAAGCCTGATTCAGATGTGATCGGGGAGTTTTTCCTGTAATCTGATGTAGGAGAAAACAACGGCGGCAGTTTGTTTTCGTTCTCGGTGTAAAAATCGTCAGATGGTGAGTCATAGAGAGAAAGGAAAACGGTCAGGAAGACTGCGGTCAAGTGTCTGCAGGCTAGCGGCTGGAGCAGAGCCACACAGATACAGATTATCTGTGTCTCTTTGCAGCACAGATAAAAGGGAACTTTTATAGATTTCTATCCGAACAGATGATTTATGGGAGCAGCAGGTTTGAGACTGTGTAGTTTGGTAAAATCGGCAGGTTTAGAGCTTATTTAATGCAACATTAACTGAGGGATTAATAGTTAAATGCTGTGAGTTTGAGACTGAAGGTAAAAAAATCTGAATCTTGACCAAAATCATAATCAACCCTCTGAAAACCTGACCCAAAGTTCTGATAAAGGATATTTCACTATCTTTATGTTGACCCTGGACTGTCACACTCAGTAATGGTTTTCTCAAAGATGACAGGCCCCCCTAACATTTATTTATCGGTCTTATTGGTCTGTATCTGTGTGCAGAGGAACTCACTGTGAACGGCTCCAGCTCGAGAACAGCCTGAGCCAAGTCAAATGTCAATGAATAGGTCCATTGAGTGTGCAAAGATAAATACAAGCACCATTTTTCAGCAGTTAAGTGTAATTTTTCTGAAGTTCAAGACCAGCAGCTGATCTCCGTGACTCAGATGGTAACTCACACGGCCGGCGGGGTTATAAACTTTGCGCTTGTTGATTTAACCGCATACAGAAATTCAGGAGGTCAGCGTGTCCACATTTTTTTGTATAAGGTTCCTGTGTGCTTCCCCGAACTACCTCCTGACCTATAAATGTTCAAAGAGATGTCAGACAGGAGGGAGATATCACGAAAACCTGAAAAACATGAACTTAGACGTGGTGTGTGAAATACTGTCAGATCGGGTCAAAAACGCACGGGTTGGTAAAACTCCAAATGCGCCTCGGTTGGAAAGTGTGTGTGTCTCATTTTGGTGCGTTAATTGATGTTCACTCAGCAGGTGATGGGGCCGTTTAACTGGTAAAAGCAGCAGATGGTCACTCTGACTCTGGGAAATGAGGCGCGTTTGGGATCGATACATCAATTAATGGTTTTTGGAAGTCATGTTTGCACTTAAGCGTTTTAACTTTCATCATGAGCTCAAAAGACTTCCTTCATGGGCCTGGACCGAGTGTGTTTATACGTGTTTGTGTGTGTTTGTGTTTGTGTGTGTATGAGGAGAGCGAGCGGGAAAGGGTGAGTGTGTTGAGTTACATAATTCAGTGTGATGCTCAGTGACACATCCTTAATACTGAAAAAAGAGAAAAGTAGGGCTGTTGTTTTAATTACTGTTTAGTCTAAGTGTTATTTAGAAGTTAATTTGTTTATTATGTGGGCTAAAAATGACACAAATAAGTCAGAAATAACACTGCGTGGTTTAAAACTTCTTAGAAATTAAGGATTAATGAGTATCTATCAGGAGTAAAGGGTTAATTCTTTCATTTAAGAGGCTGAGACTAGAAAAAGTCTTCTTTAACTTTTTGTTATTTATGAAAATAGCCCATTAGTTGTTGGATTCATCTTTACAGATCTCATAATAAGTTTTTAAACACATAGTTGCTCTAAAAATGACCAAAATAACATTATCAGTCTGTGTTTGATGGTTTATCCTTATAGCTGTAACATCCAAGTGTACAAACTGGATAATATTAAAGGCACTTTAAGGAGATTTTATGTTCTGTTGATTCTGGTGATGAAATCGAAGTGTTTTTCCAGGATGAAGACTGCATTTGTTTTGCTTTTGTTGTTGAAATGGATGAACTGAACCCAGATCGTCTTTTTAACACCACTTTCTTTGTTTAAGATGGATATTACAGGATATGGGGCGATGAGGTCATGTTTTGATTTCTAGCTACGTAAAACTATCAATGGTAGTGTCACAAGGACCAAACTTTGTAAACTCTCAGGATAGATGTCCAGTTTTAGAGGTTTAGGGTTAGGCTCCAGTGTCCCACAAATTACAAATGTCTGTGTAACATGAATATACTCACAGTTTCACTATTTATTCCTCAAAAAAGCAGTAGAGCGTTTACTTAAAATCCTGTCTTAAGCTATTTTTTTTTACCCTTTTACACAGCAAACCCCTGATTGGAGAGTTCCTCCATCTAAAGGACGTCTTTCAATCAATCCTGGTATGGTCTCAGCCATAAAAATGAAACATCTTTTCTAAAGAAAATTTTGAAATAAAAATGTTTCCTCTTGTTTGTCAAACTTTATCAAAGTTCTTAATATAGACAGCTCTGGGTGACGGCTGAATATTGACTCTTTTTTCAGTTGAAAATCTGACCTGAACACAGTCAGTAAAATTCAGATTAGATAAATCACATTTTCTTGAAAACAGGTAAAAACTCCTTATACTGTCTTCAAACTTGAAGCTCCTGTGAGGGTTTATTGATGTTTATAAAAGAGACTGAAATTCTTATTGATGACTTTTTTATGATATCAAAAGAAAACAAGACCATCCTTGACAAGATCAATAACTTATATTTAGTTATTTTTAACCCTGAAACTGGTGTGAGTGAGTAGGTATCAGCTAAACAATTAAAAAAAACTTTTGGTTTCACCTTTAGCAAATAAAATATTAATAATAAATTATACATTTTACTGTCAGCAGGGTGAGATTTTTTTTGTTAAAAATCCCGACTTAAAGCTCCTGTGAGGAACTAAGCAAAACGAACCAGTTTTTGCTTATTTTGACCTTTACATTTGTAACTTTTACCTTGTTGACTTTCTATGGTCAAATGTATATTTCTTATTATTAATATCTTTTATGGATTGCAAAAACAGGGCTGTTTCTTTAAGTACTCAGCTGACACCTACCCCCTCACACTGGTTTCAGTCATTAAAAATGACATTCGTTTATCTTGTTGTCATAGAAAAGCTTTCAAATGAATTTCAGTCCATTTCTTAGTTTTCAAAAAACTCCTCACAGGAGCTTTAAAGGTCACGTGAGGTTAATCGTAACAGTTAAACAAACCATACATCAAGATGTAGAAAATGTACACTGAGGTAGTTTCAGTTATTTGCATATAATCCCACAGATTAAGACATAGAGAACAATAGAAAACAGCTAGTCTTTGTGTTTGCTAATAAAGATGCATTAATAATCATTGCAGGGTGTTTTATTCCAGCTAAAATCTCCTTATTGAAGCTTTCACAAATTTAGGGGGTGATAGAAATGGAACAAATAGAGAGGAAATATCTCCAAGGGTTAAAATGACTCAGCATTAGCTGTAAAATCTAATTTTAGTCCTCCATCACCGACACTAAAACTGAAGACTGAGTTCTTTCAGACACGGGGTCATGACATTTCAAACTCCTGTTTCTGTGTGTGTGTGTGTGTATGCGTGTGTGTGTCTGTATTTCATTTAAAGTTTTGGCAACTAAAAGTCATTTTTCCTGTTTTTCAAACTCAGCGGTACATCATGCATTTTAGGAGCATCTGGTGCATGACACCACAGTTTTTGCCTTTTTAGAGTCTGATCATAAAAGCGTGCTCCAGTATCAGTAATACCCACGATCCATGAAAGGCCATGAGGGTTATTATACAATAAAATCCTCACATATGATATTGAGCTGACCGCAGGCTGCTGCTCAGGCACTTCATCGTCTCTTTTAACACCCTCAGACTGTCGGGTGATTACTGTACTTCAAAATAAACGTCAGTCCCTCTTGATGAGTGGATGAAGCTCCGGCTCTTGGTGTGATTCAGGCCAGATGAACAGATAATGAGGCTTGTGAGTGTAAAGTTTGGTGAGAGGAATGTTCTGGTTTTTTATTACTCACAGATTTCCTACACCAGGAACATTTTTAATGAGTATTTCACCACGTGTTTCCCTCAAATCTGTGTTTGGTTTATCTCAGTGACTGCTCCTGACTGAGCGGCCTGTTACCACAGCCAGCTGTAGCACTTAAATTATTGCTAAACATTATGTAATACACACAGAGCAATAAATACACCATTCTGTAAAAGTTTGTGTCTTTATTCGTGATGTTCAATCTGCTCTTCTCCCTGCAGCTTGCCTGTTCAGGTACAATGTCCTGTCCTTCGTCTACCTCATCTACCTCCTGCTCATCCCGCTCTTCGCCGAGCCCACAAGCACAACAATGCAGGGTAAGTTATTTTCAGAAACTCTATAAATCCTCAGACTTGCTTTGACTTTCCTGTCCGTCGCCTGGAGAATCTTGACTGTTTCCCAAAAGCCTTGACGTTGAATCGTAATATTGTTCTCTGTAATGTAAACCAGCCCTTCTCCAGGGGACTTGAAATTCCTTGAAATCATAATGGATTTGGCGCATACTTCAGTCCATGAAAGGTAATATCGGTTAGTGCGGGCACGAGTCCATCTGTAATAATACGAGCCAGTCAGATTTGAGATAGACAGGCGCGATCCACGAGAGCCAGATCTGATGTCCACTTGATAAGAATTAACATTTTGAGACTTTGGTTTGGTGTTTTTGCTCGAATGAATCATGAAAAAGGTCGAACACACGGGCGCTAAAGCTGAGGAAAGAAACCCAATATAGAGCGTGAAAAATCCTTGAGAGAAAGCGGTCTGTTTTTGATAATGAAGAACCACTTCAGTGAGTCAAAGCTGCTCCTGAGGCTCTGCTTGTTATTGAAATGGGTCTTATTTTCTAATACAAGGATCTGAGCGCATTTGAAAAGGTTGTTAGTTAATTGTGTTGATGTTTAGGGTTGTGGTTTTTGTGTTCGGGTTTAAAAAAACTTAAAAAGAGCGAGCTTTGACATCCTCTCTCTATGTAAATCTCAAGAAACACAAATCACCGCGAGGTTTACGTCTTCTCCTTACAGGTGATGATTGTGGGATTGCGGTCGCCAGCTTAAGCCGCTCCTTTATGCTCCCCACTCACCACAAAAATACTAAACATAATGTGGGTTTCTGCTGAAGACCACATGCAGTGTTTAATAATACATAAAGCCATATTGGCGGAGGGAGGGAGCAGCATCCAGCCGGAGAGCCTGTCTCTGCTCCTCTCCAGCTGAAATAACAATCAGGAAGTAAAAGAGGAAGAGGAGAGGCAGAGGAGGGAGCAGAGTGGACCACTTACACCCTCATCAATAGTTAAAGAGAGGAGTCTTCTAGTAAAGCTCTGTGGTCATGGAGCTGATAACGCGGTTTGACACGTGACGTTTAAATCTGATTTTTTTCTATAAATGTGAATCAGTTTATTAAAATTTTGCAGAAACATGATAGAAAAACATCTCAGGACACTTTTAAGTGCAGTTCAGGTCAAGAGAATCCACCTATGAGCAAGCACCTGGCAGCGTTTGGCGAGGAAAACGTCAATTTTAAAGGTAGAAACCCTATGAAGAACCAGACTTATGGTGAGGAGCCATCTGAGGTAGAAGAAGGGAGAGAGAAAGAGGGAGGTGGATGTAGACGGAGACAAACAAACAATGTTATAACGGCTGATAACCTCAGGTTAGGGCTGGGCGAAATTTACGACAATAACCGGCATCATTTTGCCCACATCGGTATATTCTGTGTCAAAAAAATAAATAAATACCGTGATACTGAGATACTGTGACTATGGACTTACAAGCATGTCCATTTCATCACAGATGGTTACAGTCTTTTATAGAGAGGAGAGGACCCATAGTCCCCAATAAAACCACTCATTAGGGCTGGGCGATAAACCGAAAATTTACTAATACAGAAATTAAGACAATAACTGACATCATTTTTCCCATATCGGTATATTCGGTGTCAAAAGAAAAAAATAAATAAAAGTTGGTTTTGGATGTGTGTAGGTAGGCTAAGGTCTCATGTCCCTTTTAAGACGCTGTCCTATGTCAGAGACGTGACTCCGCCTCATCCAGTCTGTAACAAAGAGGGAAAGACAGGTGAGGAAATGGAGGATGGTTCAAAAGTTGTAGCAGCTGGAGCGGCTGCTGAAGTAGAGGAAGTTAAAGTGGGAGGGGGTGAGGAGCTTGTTGAGTAGTTATCGTCCATTTATTGTTATTGAGGTGAACTGCTCAATATATCGTGATATTGATTTGAGGCCATATTTCCCAGCCCTATCTTAGGCTCACACAACAGTGAAGTTAATTTTTGCGGTATAAGTCAAGCAGGTCCACGGCTGCGATGAGTCCTTCACAATCATCCACAGAAACCTCTGTGGACATGAAGTAGGTCTGTAGAAGAACTATCCTGTCCAAGAAGCAACTTCCACAGAAGCAGAAGTGCAAAAAAGTTCGATCATCTCCTGTCCACTCCAGAAAACTTTGTTAAAGCTCATATTAAAATGCTTCTTTTCACCAAAGAGGCTCATTTCACCAGCCTGTTTAATTTTATTTAACCTGAAAATCCTCATTGAGATTAAAAATCTGTGTTCCTGTCTGAAGTTGCAGAGATGCTGCCATAAATCGAGTAAAATTCATTTAGGCCTTTATTGTTTTCATCCAAAGTACAATAAAATCAGAGCACATACAGTGATATATCAAAGAGTTGCATTTTGGCTTTGGGTTGTATAAGACACAGTAATCCATTTTCTGAATGAACAGCTGTTCATGGCTCTTCTCCTGAGGTTGTTTTAATTCCTTTACATACAGAGTAACTCACTGACTCTGCATTTAGAGACGAGATTATCACGTAATGTTGCTGATCATCGCACAGATGCCTCCTGACCTCCTGTCCTCAAAGATGTAGAAGAATAAAATCCACAAACAACAACGTCTGCATGAAGAGCCTTAAAAGTTGAGCTTAGAGTTAAAATTATGTGAAAACTTTTGGGTTTATCCAATAAAAGCCAAGAACAACTGTGCTCATTATTATTATTTTCAGCGCCGTTATCTTGTGGGCATAACTGAAATACTTTGCACTTTCGAGATAACAAAGCTCATAACAAGATAATTCATCACAAAAACAGAGTGAGTGTGTGAATAAGTCGATCACACTTGTTTTTGTCTTTTATTTTAAATGATAATGACGTGCAGACAGCACTAATAGATTCCTGATATGCTCGGCAGTGTAGACGCTCAATTGTCTGACTGTTTCAGCTTTAATCAGCTGCTAAAGTCGTTAAAGCTCGATCTCTTCATGCTGGTATTTAACACTCAATCTCTGATAAATAGTATAAAGAGTTGTAAAAGGAAACAGCTGATTGATTTGTCATCATTTATCTGCTCAAGATAACACAGCTCCTTTTCTCACGAGCTTAAAAAACTTGTGATTTCAGATAGGGCTGGGCGATATGGCCTCAAATCAATATCACGATATATTGAGCAGTTCACCTCAATAACGATAAATGGGCGATAACTACTCCACAAACTGCTCACTCCCTCCCACATTAACTTCATCTACTTCGCCCGCTACAATTTCTGAACCGTCCTCCATCTCCTCACCTGTCTTTCCCTCTTTGTTACGGACTGAATAGGGTGAAGTCACGTTTCTGATGTAGGACAGCATCTTAAAGGGACATGAGACCATAGCCTACCTACACACATCCAAAACCAACTTTTATTTATTTAATTTTGACACCGAATATACTGACATGGGCAAAATGATGTCGGTTATTGTTGTAAATTTCGGTATCTGTAGATTTTCGGTTTATCGCCCAGCCCTACTTTCAGTGAAAAAGCAGCGAAATGATGGCAGCTCTGCTTTTTATTGTGTCTGTACATTTATGTTCAACCACAAATGCTTGGGGTACATTTTTTATTACCTTGTTTGTGAGCCTCTTGAAATTGAATTGCATCACGGCTCATTGCAGCCTGTTTCATAGCCTATCAAAAACTCCTTACTGTAGCTTTAAGATGCCAAAACTCAGTGATCAGATGTCCATTTTAACCCACACTGTTTATGTTTACTACTTTGATGACAAACTCTCTGAAGCCCTGTCTTAGGTATCTGTTGATAAAAGTTTGAGCAGGTTATTATGAAGGTATTAAATTTCAGATTGTGAGACGTTCAGAGCTCTACCTTCAAAAACAGCTGAAAAGAAACCTTCTTAAGTCGTCTTCAAAGGCATTTAGACACAAATTGAGTTAAATTCAGTGTTTGTTTTGATGGTCCGCTTCATTTTGTCTCCGAATCATAAAACACACGTGGCTGTCAAATCTGTGAGGTTAATTTAGACCAAATGTTCAACATGAATAATTCAATAGCTGTAATTTTTCTTAAAAAGCCACAGCCCCCTGAGGACGTGTCCGAGCACAGGACTCCCAATCTTAATTTGAGACAAACAATATCTTATGTAAGCTGTTTTTGTTTTCGGGTTTACTCTCTAATGTCTTAATTGCAGTATTTGGCTCCTCAGCTCTCGGCGGAGTTTAACTAAATCCAAACTGCAGCTCTCTGAGGGATGAGGCAGTTTAAGAGTCTTCACAGTGGGTGCTGTTCGCTCCGCTGAATGGGAACTGACATGACCGTGTCCCTGTGGGGAGTGTTTTAGTACTGTTGCATGAATTTGTATAAATATTTGATGTTATGGGTGATTTATCAGGTTTATGTTTCAGCTCATGGAGAGTGTCTGAATCAAACACATGCAGTTTGGCGTTCTCCAAAAATCCCTCTTTACCGAGGCCCCGTTTAACTTTTTTGGCAGAACTTTTTAAAGAGAGCAAACTTTTTCATTTTTTGTGTATTTCCCCAACTTTGATTGAAAATGACGCAAAACTGGATGAGTTAGTGGGACTGGGCAAAAATAAAGTTTGTCCGATCTTGATGAAACTGGATGTGGCATTGGCAAAGGAAGACGCGTTCAATTTTCAACTGGATCAGGATTTACTAATAAACAATCTGCGCTAATCGGTCCCAGGAATGAGCAAATATTGGCTGATTTAACTGGAGAACATGCATGTTTTAAAGGTTTTTTTAGGCTCTTATTTAGAGGGTAGGACAGAAGGAAACAAGGAGGAGAGAGCGGCTGATGGTGGACTTGGTCTGCTCGCCGTAAGGATAACAACCTCCATACATGGTGCATGGTTTAACCACAAAGCCAAAGTGGCGCCGCACGAGCTTTTATTTTGACTAAATTCATCATTATATCATTACAGTAGAGGCATTTGATCTTTCATATAGAGGAATACGACCTTACTGCCAAACTGATCTTTATGGTTTTTTATGTAATTTAGACCCCTCATTTAACTGAATATATGCAAAGACAGAATTTCAGATGTTGAAACTGCAAAATGTATACTCTTTAAATTTGATGCCAGCAACATTTTTCAAAAATATAAGAGACATGTTCATTATCCTTTCATGTGGACTGAGGAGACCAGGTTGAGGAGTTTTTAAAGTGTAATGGCATCCCATTTTTCGCCTGATAAAGGATTTCAGCTGCATAACAGTTCAGGGCTTCCTTCGTTTTAATGATGCACCAAAAGTTTTCAGTGGGGGACAGACAGGGGTCACTTCAGCACCCAAATTCTTCTGCTGTGGTGCCATGCTGCTGTTACACATGCAGAATATGGTCATTGTTTTTATATTTTTGATTTGCATATTGGAAATAAAAATTAAGGGCTCTATTATTGTGCCTCGGTGGTGGCGTGGTGCAGGCGCGGCGTAAGTCAGGTCCGCCGCGCTGACAAGGCGTGACCAAGCACATTTTGGTATTTTGGTGAGCGGCGCAGCCCGGCGTAAGTGTCCCCCCTTCCTGAGGCAGCTCCTCCCAGCGGCATAAGTCGCAGAGAGGGAGGAGAGAAGGCGTGGAGTGGGTTTAACACAGTCGAGACCTGTTTTTTGCCAATCATACCAGCTCCTCTCCTCACCTTTACATCTGCCACCGGCGAGGCGTATTACAATTTTCCTGCAGCTCCTGGAGTCCATGAAAAAACCACCCATCTTTATTTTGGTGGTCTTGTTTCTTTTTAAAAAGACATCATTATAAATTTCAGACTATATTTCATAAATGTCAAAAACTCTTCACAGGAGCTTCAAATAACTTAAATTTACACATTTTCTCTGACAGGGATTTTTTTTTACAGTTTTGTAGTCAGATCTAAATTGTCCGACTGATTAGGGGAAAGGCAGCAACAATAAAGTGAACGATGCCCTAATGTTAAAAAACACACAATACTATTTCAATGTGAGCGACAGACTCGGATGGCCGCCCATCACACAACAAAAATGCTTCATCGCAAATCGGAAAGAGTGAGGAAAGAGCCGGATCAGCTGGGTCGAACCAGTTTGGATGCAGAGGCACGCTAACTGTTCTCAAACCCCGTATTTACAAGCATTCTTCTCCCTTTTGGTGAAATCCCGGGGAACTGCAATGGGAAATTAGCACAAATTGTTTTCACCTCGGTATTTAATTTGCCTGCTGCGGTCTATTGTTGCACACATTCGATAGAGCCTCGGCTCTGGATGTCCTGAGGCTCAGCAGTAGTGCTTCACCTCGGCCAGGATATTGTGCCATATACCACAATAAAACTGTTACGTGCTCCCCCTGCAAGGATGCAGTAAATTTAATGAGTTGGTGATGTTGCTCTATGAGGAAACCAGCAGACCAGAGCGTGCAGGCAAGTGGGACAATTCAGTCCTTCGGGGCATTCCTGTCATCTCCTCCTCAAAGAGCAGGAATCCTATCAGGCTTGTTTTTCCCTCAGGACCAGCATTTTCAATTTCCCAATAAGAGGGGGTCCGAGGAATCCTCCTGTAGAGAACTATCACCATAACAACTCCTGAAATTATCCCAAATACCTGTAGGTGCACTATAAAGTAAGCATGTGTGGAGCAGCTGTGGCAGCTCCTCTGAGTGTTCCCATCTCCCCTCTCAAGATCTGTAATGTCCGCTGACAGCAGTAATCTTATCTAAATTAAAGAAAGACGCTGAACGGGGCTGGACCTTCACTCTATGTTGCCTTTATGGTCTTAGACAGCAAAGTTTTTTTTTTCTTGTGAACATGATCAGCCGTCAAATCCAGAAACCCAAGAATCAAATCAGGTATGAAGGCTTGTTTTTCTCCTACGACGACGAATTAGAGACTTAGAGGTCCTGCGGTCCACCAGAATGTTTATTTGACTTTTCAAAAGAAATAAACTTGGTTTCATGGAAGTGTTGCCAGTTCTTAACCAGGATATGTATTGTGATCCACAGAAAATCCCCTTTGGGTGCTCTCCCGGTCACCTTTCCCTTTCTTACTAATTCATTCAAACCAGCTCCAGACTTTGCTGCTGAATATAAATCGTTGTTCTCCTTTCTCTGTTCCTGAGAGTGCTGAAGAATTCATGAATGCCAGACACTTTTACATGTTTCACAACTCCACAAGAAGTTAAAATTTCCCCGTGCAGTTTTCTGAGTCTAGAAAAACAGCCTTTTCTTTGTGTATCATGCAGAGCGATATGGGGTAACATGTGGAAATCCTTTGGCTGAGTGCTTCTGCTGCTGCTGCTGGTGGTTCAGGGCTCACTGTTTCTGCTCTCTCCCTCCAGGACACACAGGGCGTCTGCTGCAGTCCCTCTGCTTCACCAGTATGTCCTTCGTGCTGCTCCACATCATCTATCAGATTACACTCACCAGCCTCCTAGCGGGGGACTCCATCACCTCCGACTTCAACTGTGAGTACACCGACACCCCCCATGATCAGGACTTTAAAGATATTGAGGTTTTAGAGATGGAAGTCAGGGCTTATTGCTTAAAAGTAAAACACAAATTAGGATGTAGATGGACTCAGAAAGTCCCGATCAGTCCCTAAAACTGAGTACTAAGTTGTGATGGTTGCAGTGTCTCCAAAAAAATGTCCCTACATGTCAAACTGGTTTTGCCAAAGACTTAATGAAGGAACTGTTATTGTTGCCTGGATTAAATTTTCTGGAAAACAGAGTCAGATCTGTGGTGAGTGAGTTTGGAGAAACCAGCAGAAAGTAAACAGATTTAGAAAGCATGCAACCCGAAAAATTGCAGCTCTTCCTTTAGGGCCGCACTCCAGATCCACGCTGGCTTAACACAAGTATGCAGCACTGCAACAACCACAACTGGAAGAGCGGTACTAGAGAGAGCGCACGGTGCGTTATACCTTACTCTGCCAGTCCTGTAGCGCTAGCTTGCTATGCTATTTCCTGTATCAGCTTGTGGAAAACTCAAATGTTTGTTATATACAAGTAAAGTTAATTCATATGATGATTTTTTCAGACTCAGGAAGGTATAGAGGTGCTTGACGAGCAGAATCTTAAAATCAATACAGTGTTTGACTGGAGAGAGAAACTGTTAGTCTGTTAAGAGATGATTTGGTACCAATGAGGAGAAGCTCGGGTTTGCCTCTTTTTAATTTCAGGAAGTTGTAGGAGAACCATTCTTTGGTTTCTTGGGAAGAATGAAGTGGGTTTGGTGGACAAGTAGAGCTGGATGTCATCTACATAACAACAAAAACGTTGGAAGTAGATAGATGATGAATAGAAGAGGCCCCAGGACAGAACCCTGTGGAACACCAGAACCTTTTAAATCCTAAAATCTAAAAAAATGAAAATAGTATTTTGTGCAAAATCAACTGAAATGACAAAAGAAACTTTCTGAAGGACAAGCAAACGCAAAAAAGGAGTGTTATAGAAGAAACATTAGAGAGAAAGTACGATACAAGCAAATAAGTGAACGTCTCTGTCTTGTCTCTGTTTTAGGAGTGTTGCTGTTTCATATCAATACTGTAGACACAACGTGCACTGATATACTCATCTGTGGTTAAGTATTTATGATATATTTAAAGCAGCAGGTCTCCCTGATGATAATGAAACCTTTGTTTTTTAAATACTACAGGATACTTTAACCTTTTACTGCCCAAGTGAATCCACAGTCGTCTCATTCGGAATTGCAAAGTTTTTGTGAAAATAGTGAAATAAACAAAACAGTTTTGCCTGACTGAATAAAACACAATAATTAGAAACTACAATACAAGTGTTTATTATGTATACAGGAACCTGGAGGATATAAGGTGAGGTATGAAACTGTTGAGGAAGTTTATCGTTTGCTCTGGTCTGGGATGAATACATAGAGGAAGAGTACCAGAAGTTGAGTCATCAGAGTCCATTATGGAGCTGGACAGCATCTGAATAAGGAGAGACAAGAGGGATATACACGGTAATAAAACAGAAGGTCAAAGGAGGTAAGAGAGGAGAAATGGAGGATTAGAGGGCTGTGCAGGGAAAAGGATGAGGTGTTGTCTTCACTCTTAATACTCTTTGTTAGATCACTCTGTGTTTCTGTGGCCACCATGGGTCCCACTTTAAAGAGATGAAAACATAACCTACTGAGCGCCAATGACACCCTCAACATTAGCATCAGCAGGAACTGGAGTCTGTCACAGTACACTCGTGTTGATGATAACTGTGTGTTTTGGTTAATAAAATACTGTTATTGTGCTAAAAATGAGCATATCGTAATACCGTGTAGGACAGTGGTTTGTAGGAGTTGTAGTGGTTCTTATGCAGGTTGCCCTCCACATAAAACTGAGGAAAGAAGCAGCAACAGCAGCTGGCTAGCTAGCTTTAGCAGCCCTCTAGAAAATGGTCAAAACACATTTAAAAGTGGTGCTCCAAGATTTATTGCAAATCCAAAAACATACGAGTTTGTGCCTCTTAAGTTTATCATACTTTCTAATTGTTTTTTAGCTGTTTTCATTCAGTTTAGAAAGTTGTGACCTGTACTGGAATAAGAATATACTTAATACAAAATTAAAGCATGTTTTCATAACAGGGAATAACGCAATCTAAACGCTTAAGCAGGGTTGCAAATTCAAAGTAGTTACAATCAAGTGTCACTTATTTGATAGAAAAGGGAGATTTCTGCAGTGATATATTGAATATAACCGATGGTATTGCAAAGCTATAAAACATACAGAGGTGAGCATATCATTAAAATTATCTTAGTGGACATGCGGTCATGCAAAGTTAGGATGAGGTGATTAAAAGTGGAATCGCTGCAAGAGGAGAACAGAACAGAAACACATTTTAGACTCGGTGTACAGTTTTCTGCATACTTGTTCATATTGATTAAATAAAAGCATGTCCGCACGGTCAGAGGCCAGTCAGGAGCGCGACCTGGGCTTAATCAGTCTGACGACATAAAAACACACACAGAGGAGACTCCGATGTTGCTGCTGTACAGATTTGTATGAGCTGTGTTAGTCGGAAGACTGTAAAAATTTCAAAATAAAAGCATCACAGTCGTTTTTTGAGAAGTTTTGGTCACAGTGCTGGTCATTGTAATAAACATAGCTTTAAATATAGTCAGAAACGGATGATGATATATGTAAGTTCCTTCAATTAGCTGATTGTGTTGCTTTTTAGTTTTCCATAAATATCCTAATAATATCATTCTAATGAACGAAAATAAACAGTTGACACAAAAGTACTTCGTCATGGTGGTGTTAGCAGAAATCAGTGTCCCAACACATGAATTTTTTTTTGTAATAATTTCTCTCGTTTTTTGCTCGAAGGTTCAACCATGAGGTTAAAATCTGTGCTTGTTTGATGTTACATGTTCACGGCGGTCCGTGAACGCACACGTGTGTCCCATCCATCACACAGGCTGTTTTATGGCCAAACTCTGACCTGAGCCATTGATGTGGAGTTGTATATCAACAGAGACGTTGTAGTTTTTTTTTTTTTCTTCACAGCCTCAGGGAAAGTTTCCAGCCAGAAAAACTCAGTGAAGACATGCTCCATTTATAGAGCCGGGTGAAATGTGCTCTCTAATAATTTCTAGAAATATCCCCACTCTTATTGCACTTTTGTCACATTATGAAGAGTTATGAATCGCACACATTGCTTTATGTAATTAGCTTCCTCATGCGGTATAGAGCTGCTGAAAAAAGCAGATCTTGCAGGCTGTAAAACAAACACTGTAAGCTCCTGAGTAAGAGCTGGGAGGTGTTAACAGTTTGCCTTGGGTTTCTCATGAAACTGTATCAAACTGTAAAATTTAAATGCGTCTAGACCGTACAGACCCTGACCTTGTCTTCGTGTGACTTGTTCTTTAGTTATTCAGTAGCTTTTCCAGCGCCGATGTACAGCCAACTCTGCTCAGGAGGCAGAACGGACCTTATCGCCCCGGGCAGAAACACAGAGAGCCGTTCAGAGAGGGAACACTAAATATTCACTGAGGGAAATCTTTATTACTCAAGAGCTGCAGATTTTGGCAGATTAAACCCTGATCTGATCACACATAACTGCGTACCAATTTACCTTCTGTATTTATCTATTTATTTATCGGCCTGCAAAGTAGTTACTTGCATCATTACAGGATGTCTTTTACTTTTAAAAGCTTTCACTTCTGATGGAGCATTAAGGCCAAATTAAAGAAAAAGATATCATGCAAGTAGAGCTTTAATTTTCAAGGACGGAGCTGTTATTACAGGAGAGAAAAAGCTGTAACTTCTGAAGGGAGCTGTCATGAGCATATGGCCAAATTATATTGAGGTATGAAATGACCTGATAGGTGGAGAAGGTCCCACACAAATCTGGATTCTGCAAAGATGGTGCAAAAAAAACGAAGGGCCTGATTCTCAAGAGGATCGGAGAGTTTTTGCTTCCACCTAACCTCTAAAAATGAACCATAATGACAACTTCACCAAGTATACACAAAGAGTTAAATGTCTGTAAACATTTATTACAACTTTATTCTTGAAATCTCCACATGTTCCCAGGTGGCTCTGAAACACTCTGCTTCAAACTTAGTCGCAAACATACTGTTAATCCGTGTTTTATTTCTAGTAGATTCAAAAATGAGCCTGATTTGTTCTCATCTGAAATAATTCATTTACTGTTTGGTGATTTTGTAAAGATATTCATGGTTCCTAGATGATAGATCTCAGATAGTTTAATGGACATCTGCTGGTCCAATGAAAGTACCACGGTCATGCCAAAGTTTGCCTCAATTTCTGCTAGGGCTGGGCCATAAACCAAAAATGTAACAACACTGAAATTTACGTCAATAACCAACGTCATTTTGCCCTTATCAGTATATTCAGTGTCAAAACAATAAATAAATAAATATAAGTTGGTTTTGGAAGTGTGTGTGTAGATAGGCTATGGTCTCATGTCCCTTTAGGACACTGTCCTACATCAGAGACGTGACTCCACCCCATCGAGTCCGTAACAAAGAGGGAAAGACAGGTGAGGAGATGGAGGACGGTTCAAAAGTTGTAGCTGCTAAAGTAGACAAAGTTAATGTGGGAGGGGGTGAGCAGCTTGTGGAGTAGTTATCGTCCATTTATTGTTATTGAGATGAACTGTTCAATATATTGTGATATTGATTTGAGGACATATCGCCCAGCCCTATTGCGATTACATGTAGTATTGATTGTTATTCACCCAGGCTGCAGCGTAATCATTCTTACTATTAAAGATACTTGGCAAACATCACTAATACTCAGCTATACTTTGTTTGGTGATAGAATATGTGGAACATTTTAATCTCATGAACATGAGCGTTTTTTGTCTTTGTGGAGATTTTGAACAGTCTGAGACTTGTCCACATGGCGTTGCAGACCCGTTGAGTATAGATTCTCTCAAAGCCAAAGAATTCAGGGTCGAGTTTCAGACAGTTTATCATAAAAGTTCATTGGCACTTGAACGAATACCATCCTGAGTCATTATCTGCAACATTTAACTATAAAGTCTTTGTAGGCAGTCTGGGCTGCTTGGGAATTATTTTATAAAGAACAGCCGGTGGACCGGAGCTGTTATTTCACAATTAATGAGGCACAGGGTGTAGAGACAGGACTTCACATCCTCATGGTAGATAAAAAGAACTTCTAATGGAGCAACAGAGACACTGAAAGACTGTGGCTGAAAAGTTGAAGTAAGTCTCACATGTGAAGGTTACTTGTATCTAAGTGCCTCTGTATCAAGAAAAATCTGTTTTGTCCTTGCCTTTATTTGTACTCTTTAGTTATTTAGCTTCACAATCTTGTGGAAATGGAAGCAAAAAAGTCTCTGTATTAGTTAAAACCTACAGAGTGATTTTAATTGGTTCCTGTGGTGATGCAACAACAGGAGTGATTTGCACAAGCATGCAAACAAACCCACTTCCTTTCCTGGAGCACTCGCCATGTTTGGTGTTTTTCAACCTCTGCACCTCCCTTTAAACAGCATTCATGCAGCAGACCAATGAAATGTCTCATTAGCAGTGGTTCTCAACTGGTGGGTCCCGACCCGAATGTGGGTTGCAGACACGTTCTGGATGGGTTGCGCACAGCTGGTCAAAAAAGTAAATATTTAATGCACATCTGATGTTTGACATGTCTTTTATTTTGGAAAATAGCATATTTTGAAAGGCACGCATTATGTCGTGGTCCTCTTCGGCGTCTTATTAATGTGGCCTGAATGCAGTAAAAATACAATTTTTTTTATGGTCTTTATTTTGTGCAATTTTATATTTATTGACCTTTGTTCATGCTGTTGCATGGTCCTCCTCAGGTTCTTCTGAATATGCTCTGAATGCAGAGATTCAAATAAGTCAAATTTTTCATTTTCATGTGCTCTGAAATGCACTTTACTTGATAAAATAGGTGTATTTTGAGTCTTATAAAGTTTTTTTTATAAGAAATAAATTAGATGGTTTGAATTTTATAAAAGTGGGTCACGACTTAAGGACCATGGGAAAATGTGGGTCCCAGAGTCAGACCAGTTGAGAACCACTGTCATTATCATGGAAACCCCGCCCACTAAGATCAGTGCATAGATAAACTGAGAGGCTGCAGATCCTTTATAAAGGCTAAATTGTGAATTCAGAACAATAATATCTGCACAATGATATCTTGAACATCTGCCTCTGCCTCACTGCTATGATTAACGCTCATATTGTTTGAATTTTCACTTCCTGAAGTCATTCACCCTGGTCCTATTTTTGTTTTTGGGTGATTTGAAATAGGAAACTATCCATCACTTTTTGTCCCCACCTCCCACAATCCGAGAAAAAGCCTTATCTCAAATGTTTCTCTCTGGTATTTACCCTCTTGACACCCTTTTCCTTGAAGCTGCCAAGAATAAACAGGGAGTCCTGCGTCCCGGGCAGGCAGTTATCCTCCCTCCAGATAACTTCATGTAATTTCCTCTGCTCGCAGTCGCCAAACACACCATTAGGGCAGCGAGATGAGTTTGAGTGCGAAAGAGACAACCCTTTCAGAAAAAAAGCCGACACCTCCAGCTGCGAGAGCAGGTCAGCGGCTGGTCACCAGATGATTCAGGGTCGGCCTCATCTGTCATTCTTCTGTGCTGACTCAACAAGCCGGGAACTGGGTTAACAAACAAACGTGGGCGTTTGTATTAACCATCAAAGAGCACCAGATGGGTGGAGCTTACTCTGTTTCAGATAATATTAGTCAGGTAGTGATAGAGAAAACACACTTACTTTACGATTATTTTCCTGTCATTGTCTGCCCTGGCAACCCCCTCCCATCTGGCAACCATGTAGGATAAAACAAGCAGTAAATAATATGCAGTAATGTTTATTCAATCAGCTCATGTATCTGCTTCCTCAAAGACGGTCTTCTTTAGGACCAATAGACGGCATTGTTGACCTTTATTGCTCTGTCTATCCACACTCACCCTGCCTACCATTCTTTGAATATGAGTCTTTTACTGAAATCTCCTTCCTTTTACCGATAGCCTGATTATCATAATGACGTGCTGAACTCTTAATGCTCCGTATCGCGACTCTCTGCGGAAAAAGGGAAACTGGTATTAGGCCCCAGAGATAGAGGAGAGAGTGCAAAGAAAAGCTGCAGTGAGAAGTTAACGGCCCTGCAAGTACAAAGGGAGTTTTATGACGTTCACATAAAGAGTGAGGACAGGTATTTTTGGTGCTCAGCTGGGGTTGAAAGCAGCCTCGCCTCACCTCAACGCACATATACACTCTCGCTCTCTTTTCTAGAAATCTCCATGCTGAGTAAAGGTTTTATTACACAACATTCCCCTCCTCATCATAAGGATCAGATCAGACTGGCCTGATTCAACCTCTGGCATTCCTTGTGTATGATTTCACACACACACACACATTGAGGATGGGTTTCCTCTCACATCTGTGCGCTCAGCTCGGGCCAGGTAAAGTTGAGTTTGTTTGATTTGGGGCATGACTGAAGCTGACTTTATGTTGCCTGTGGTCTCTGGACTTACATAACAACATTGAGTCTAAAGGTGAGAAAATGTAAACGAAGGCTGTCTCCGTTAAAGCTCCAGTGAGAGACTTTCTGTCCCTGGTTGTTGATCGTGATGTTTTGCCTTTAATGCTGCTCTGATTGTGGGTGGATGCGTAAGGGTGGAGAGATGTCTTCTTAGTGTTTTAGCAGATGAGTGGAGGTGGTCAGTGGGTGCAGTGTCTGGTGTCAGAGGTTGTGTCAGGGGGTTGACCATGCAGGCTCCTCCCATCACAGATGACTGGACGTTAAAAAAACGGACCATCTGTTAGGGTTGAAGTTCCCTCTGCAGCTAAAGCTGTTTCTGATGATGAGTCGGTGCTGAAGGTCCAGTATTGTTTCATTTAAAACAGAGTCGGACTCTGAGAGCCCAAAACTGTGACTCAGTCCTCATGAAACTTTTTACAGTGAAGACCTGAAAGAAAAAAAAAACTGTTAGAATGATCAGACTTCATCAGAGTCCTCTAAAGTTTGAGCTGGACAATCATTCTTTACTTTTACTAGCTTTTTATTCCTCCTTTCTTTCTTTCTTTCTTTCTTTCTTTCTTTCTTTCTTTCTTTCTTTCTTTCTTTCTTTCTTTCTTGCTTTCTTTCTTTCTTTCTTTCTTTCTTTCTGACCATTTTTTCATCCTTCTCTACTGACCATTTTTTCATCCTTCTCTACTTACTGTCTTTTTCCTCCGTCGCTGTCTTTTTTGTTTTCTTATTATTTTGTTCTTTTTCAATTTCTTGCTCTTTTCTTTATGGAACCTATGCTTTTTTTATCTGTTTGTTTAGCTCTTCAATTTTCTGTCTTTTTCTCTTTTTATTTCAGATTTTTTTCTTTCTTTTGTTTTTTCTTTTTTTTCCCTTGTTTTTTCTGGCTTTCATTATTTTATCCTTTCATTCTTTCTTTCTTTCCTTCTTTCTTTTTCTTTCTCTCTTTTTTCACTCTTTCTTTTTCTTTGTTTCTTTCTTGTTTTTTCTTTCTTTTCTTTCTGTTTCTTTCTTTCTTTCTTGTTTTTCTTTCTTTCTTCTTTTTTTCTTTCTTTCTTTCCTTTTTTCCCTCTTTGTTTCTTTCTTTCTTTCTTTCTTTTCTCTCTCTTTTTTATTCTTCTTTCTTTCTTTCTTTCTTTTTCTTTCTTTCTCACTTTCTTTCTTTCTTTCTTTCTTTCTCTCTTTCTTTCTCTCTCTCTCTTTCTTTCCTTCTTTTTCTTTCTTCCTCCTTCTGATTCTTTCCCGCTTTTTTATCCATCCTGTCTTTCTTCTCATCCGTCTGTTCATTTCTTACGTTTATCTGTTTCTTTCTTCTTAAATCATTCGGGGGTTCAGCTCTCTCCTGATGGAGGAGCAGACTTTGTTCGTACGGGATCATAAAGTTTCGGTGTTGTTGCTCTTTCTCGCTCGAGTCAAACGCCGTCACTGAAGTGTGTTTAAGTGTCTTCACTCTCTCCTCTCTGCGCTCCATAAAACTCAAACTTCAACACCTCAGCAGCAGCTCAGCTCCCAATTACCCGCCTGATACACTGACAAAACAGCCAGATACATCAGTGTCACTCGCTGATGTTTCGTCTTCCTCTGGCAGAAAAACAAAGGCCAGCTCTTCTCGGTGTGCCGATTGAATACCTGGAAATCTCTTTCTGAGCAGTGGAGTGACGTTCAGGAACCCTTCAAGGAGTCTGAGTTTAGGAAACAAAGCCTCGGTGAAATGTTTTACTGCAACGTTTTTACACCTGAGTGACGGGGAAAGAGCGATTGATTGTTTAAAATCAACACAAAGTAAAAAAACAGCCGAAATGACACTCATTCTGACGTTTATAAATGACTTGAGTCTGTTAAAAGGATTTGATTCTGCCTTTCTCTGGGACAAAAAAAGCTCTTTTTCAGTGATGATTCAAAGTGCTGCGAAGGAGTGATTTGATGTTTCTCTTTCTTCTCTTCTCTTTGACTGATTTTTGTGCTTTTGTGCAGGTTCCTCTTGGGAGAAATCCATCAGACAAATTGGCTTTGAGAGGTAAGATAATGACGCATTCAACACTTTTGAATAAACGCACCTCACAAATAGTACCGCTCATATTTTAAGCAACAGCTTGGATTCAAATCTGTTAAATTTTCTGTTATGAACGCATAAAAAAGTTGATTTCTGGGAAGAGTCGACCCGAGGGGATTTTAGAGAAAGATATAAAAAAAAAGCACCAAGTAGAAGGTTTGCAACATGACAATATTGACACCATGCAAAGAAAAATGTGCAAAAGTTGTTTTTTGAATATAAAATCAACACTTGAAATGCAGGTTTTAAAAGATCCAGCCTTCAGAGATCAGTCATGCGACTCCTCTGTGTTGTTGTTTGTGCAAAGTGTCCTAAATATAGCAACCCCACAATACAATTAACCACCACTTTTTGCATTTAGCCACGCTGGCTCGTCCTCTGACAAGCTTTCTGAACCTGTCCCCGTGTGGATTCTCGATGAACAATAAACCCTGTTAAGCCTGACGATCAGCTGACAGGGCGATATTTCAGAGCTTCTGCTGCCGTGTTTTCTCCTCACACCCTCCGTGATCATGTTAGATGTGGTTTCCTAAGTACGGGAATGTCCAAACTCAGCCACATCCTTTTTCCAGTACTCAACCGCCCCCTCGGTGGATAGTATACTGTAAGTGGCGGAAGTAGAGCCGTAAACATTTTATCCCGCCTGCATTTACCTGTTTGTGTCGAGGGTCATATACAGAATATACAGTCTTTACAGCTGTGTTTTCTGCTTTCTTCTCTTGAGTGGAGGAAAAAGCTGCATTTTAGTCGGACGCATAATCAACCCAGAGAAATCACAGCTGTGTTAGGACTTCTCACACGGGCGGATCCTTCAGGTTTGACCTTTACGAATCCTCCAAACACACCAAATATTTAAACACTTCAGAGCAGGTTTTGCCGTCTCTTAACTTATGGTCATGCAGCTGAAGGCAGGACAGGTCCACGCACCGCTGATGATTTTCTAATTCTCTCGCATGATAAACAAGGGGAAAGAAGCGTCCATTAAAGTTGCTGGCTCGACCTCGTCTGGCTCTGTCCGTTTCCATCTCTTTCATCTGTGCGAGGATGCACAAAGCCTCACAACAATAAAGCGCACATGGAAAAAAGACGTCCTCCACGAGTCGCCAACGGGAGCCCAAGGCCCTGCTATTTATCTGAGTGTGCGTTTTCCATCATGTTTGTTAGCACCCTGTTTTCAACTTGTTAACTTTTATAAGCTTTGCATCCATTCAAGGCCAGAGCGGGATTAAAATGACCGGTGGCTTTATAGCTCCTTCCAAACAATTGGCCATCTTTTTCACTGCAGAATCACCGCTTCATTCTGTTTATTGTAAACAGTTTAACTACAGTCGGAGCCCAGCATGAAATGTAAAGAAAACACTCTGCCGTCCAAACACAGGATGCAGAGTGATTGTCATAAAACCGAAATAGAAATTGCTTCGGACGATTAAAGTGAGTTTTAAAGGTTTTGAAACCTGTTAGCCATTTTAAGGACAATTTTTATTTGCTTTAATTGTACAGTGCAATCATGACACCTCGTAAAGCCTGTCCTAAGGCAGCGCCAACACATCTCAGCGGTTCGTTCGAAGCCCGATGTTACTGCTGCTGTCATGGCAACAGCCGGCTGCCACTGTTCAGCTTCCTGTTTGAGCAACCCTTGTGGTGTTTAGTTTGAGGTGGGCAGACTAATCACATAAGAAAGTTACAGAAGCTTTGTCTGCTTACAGTGAACAACAGGACTTTAAAAATCTGTCAAATTAAAGAGATTCAAAGGGAAACACTCGCTCAGTAAAATCAGATTCATTTGTAGGTTTTTATTTTTTTAATACTTTATTCATTTTCAAAACATAAAGGTACAAAACAAGATGACAACATAAAAAGCCAAACAGTTACCTTTTTCTTTCCACACCCTCCTCAAAACCAGGTTGGAGGAAAATAAAAATAAAATAATAAAAATAAAAAATAAATGAAAAAAGGTGAAAGCTGTGCTCTACAACAACAGTTTCTATGGCCATCCGCGACTGTGATAAAATTATCCTTTTTATAAAGAAATTGCAAAATATTCGAACACAATCAGGACATTAAGGTGTCATGAGGGTCTTCTCTGTGCAATATGATCATTTGTAGGTTTTTGTAATCCACACACAGGCTTTGTAGTCATATTTAATCTTTCAAAAGGCGTTGTTCATTACAAAAGAAACACACAACCCTGCTACGATAAAGTTGGTACACTAGGGTTGAGATAAAACCAGACTTGGAAATCATACTCGATATTACAATAGAAATGGAGCAAATAAAACATCTAAAATGTCAAATCTGAACCAACAACAAGTTTAAAAAAATTTAGTACAAGTTGTGAACTGCTAAAATGCACCTAAAGGAACGTCCATCAGCTAATAATGCTAATATGCAACAGGTTAGTAACTCAGTGGGTATAAAAGGGGCATCGCTGAAAGGCTGAGTCCCTAAAAAGTAAAGTTAGGAAGACATTCACCACTCTGTGAGAAAAGAAGTAGGAGTGTCCTGATCCAATATTGGTATCAGATATCAGATATCAGTCCGATATCAACAAAAAATCAAATATCGGATTATATCGGCCTGCATCTAAATCTCCGATATCAGCACTCCAATACAAGCAGTCCATTCGAGACTCCACTCCTATTGTTTTCGACAACAATAATTCTCCTCGATGGCAAACAGCTGCTGGATTTCACCCTCTACTCCATCGTTAAAAGATTTTAGTGAATCTGTAGAAATCTCTAGAAAAAAAAGACGAGTTCTAAAACTAAAACTGGATTGATGTGATTTTTGACTCTCAGGGGATGTCGTATTAAAAACAGACATGATTCTGGAGTGGAAATTGAAAAAAACTCTCCAAAAAACGTCACTTTCAGGGAGTCCAGGAGCTGAACTGGTCTGACTACAGTCCCAGTTTGACATCCAGTGAAAGGATTTGGTGCATCATGAATAAATGAAGGCGACTCTGACTCCAAACTCCAGAAACTGGTCTCTTCTGTCCCAAACATTAAAAGTTTGCTTTTAAAGGAAGAACTAAATGAGTGAATGTATTTTTGATAGAATAAAACTTTTAGGTTTTAAAACATGGTAAGTTATATTTGCATTATTTCCAGTTTAATACAGAGTTTTAATCATTTGCAGACAATCAACTTCTGCTTTACACATCGTTCCAACTCTTAAAGAACTAAAGTTGTGTAAAGTCTGACAAATTTCAATCATTTTCCCCTTATTTCCTTTTATTTATGATGATAAACAAGTTCAGGGTGTACCTCGTTTTATTGTGAACAAAGGCTTTAATTTTCAGGGGAGTAAACATGTTTTTTCCTAATTTGGTTTAAAAAGATCCCACACAGCCTCGTGGCCATGTTTGTTTGACTGGAATTTCACTCGCATTGAAATCCAGCGGGCCAGATTTCATTAAAATGGGTGGTACTCCATATAAAAGCTGAAGCAATCAACACAGCGCACATTAAAATAACAGCTGAGTGGTGGAAAAATGCTGATTCCCATGCATCCATGTGAGCAGGTATTGTTTTTCCTGAGAGATAAATCACTGCAGGAGTATCTGCTCTTATGAGTCCAGGAATATAACGCTCACTGACAGCTCACACAAGCCTCTATAGTTTATTATTTTAGGATTACTGGATCATTTTAGACGTATTAGGACCGAGGCAGATAGTGAGTGATATGTGACAAATCTCCCGGGCCAGATTCACCCACACAACAGCGCAGTTACTTCTGGGCCTCGTCCAAGTAAACTCCACAAGCAACCACAAGTCCCTGGATTTCTTAGAAAAGCTGTTTCATATTAAAAGTGATCATCCATGGACAGTTCAGATTGTTGTACTCCGTCCCATTTTCCATCACTGCCTTTTGATCCTAGTTTGCAAGATTGCTCCAAATCCCAATTTTGGGACGCCTTGGATCTGATCCGACTTACAGGAACCGAGCCTCTGCTCTGAGTCAACGCGTATGCTTTGTTTTTGTGTTTGTCCTCAGCGTGATTGGTGCAGATGCAGGCAACGGCATCCGAGTGTTCATCCCTGACATCGGCATGTTCGTGGTGGGATTGGCCATCTGGCTGCTGTGTCGTAGTCTGGTCCAGAAGAGGCCGCCTGAGGACATGGCCCAGTACAACGCTGACTTTGACGCAGAGGAACAAGTGGGTTTCATTTATGGTGGCATGTAAATGTCTATTTACTTCTCTATATAAACTTAAATACATTGATCCTATTTGTCGTTTGGTTTTGAATGCTCATATGCAAACCCCTGCTTTTAAACAGTATAGAAATAAAATTATGGATCTAGTGTAAACATCTATACATCTGTATCATCCAAGCTAACATTCCTCTATTTATCATTCACTCATTAATATTTCCAATCATTAAAAAATGTGCAGAATAGGGAGCATCACTCTGAATGATTTTGCTGTGGATGAGGTAAGGTTATGTTTTATCCCTGCAACAATTTCAAATGTTGTAAACCAGATAAAAGTTGCACATTATTACAGATTTAAAATGCAGGAAATTAAAAATGTACCTAATTGACTTGATTGAAAAGACGACCCAGGCTGTGACGCAACCCAAGCTTTTGGAAAATGCTTTTTGAAGACCAAATCTTAAAAAAATCACATATCAAACAAAGAAATAGTAAGTCAGTGTATCAGATATTTTTTATGAGATTTATTTTGGAGGCTTTTTAGCTTTTATTTGACAGGACAGGACAGTTTATAGACATGGAAGAGAGACAGAGTGGGGAATAACATGCAGGAAAGCAGACACAGGCTGGTATCAAACCCCTGCATATATGCGGTTAGGGTTAATGTAAGGATGCCTAGCAGGTTCACACTAATTAAAGAGTGGAAGGTCCACACTAATAATCAGTTTCACAAGCTTTACTGGTTTCAGATGTGGGTTACAGCTTCAGGTTTATATAGCCGTCCACGTTTCCAAACATTCTGCTCACATCTTGTTGACAGTATAGAGAGTCCATATAGAGTTATAACAAAGCACAACATATTTTCGGAGCCTGAGTGATGGTGGACAGGTGCAGAAGGTCCTCGTTTAGGATGGTTTTCAGAGGCCCGTGGCTTCAGGAACCAAGCAACAAAATATCTGAGGTATTTGAGTTACACAGCTCCTCCACCCTTACGGCTGACTTGACTGGCTAAATAAAATTATCCCAACAGTTAGTCACGCTAGACTAGGTGGAAAAAGTGTTTCCAGTAACTTAAACTAAAGTTGTAAGATGAAAAAAAAGTTCATGTGATGGCAACCCTGGCTTCTAAATGGAGCCCTACAAGTCAGCTGATTGAAAATACAGCCTCTGATTGGACAGCAGGTAAAAACAAGATGTCAGCCTCTAGCTAGCAACAGAAATAACACCATACCATTAAACTTTATACATAAATCATCACTAGTTACCTTTGTATTTGAGAAATTGGATCTAGAAATTACTCTGATCTTCTCACTGTGATAGAAACACCTCTGGATGTTGCAGAAGAAAACAAAGTTTATGGACAGAAAGGCAGTGATTAGATCTTTTTATTGAAAGTGGATCACAGTCCGATTAACACTTTTGTTTTAAAACATATTGTCAGGTGCCCTTGACACAGATAAATATTATCTTCCTCCTGTTTTTGCTCTCCATACAAACTGCTTTTCATTCATTAACCTGCTGATTCATGATTTAGACTAAACATGCACTGACAGCAGACACCAGATCACCTTAAATACCAAAAACAGCCTCTAGATTCATATGCAGAGACTCATCTGTGTGTTGATTATGATGGAAAACCTTCCCCACACTCCTGATAACCACACTGTAAACACACACAAACAAACTGTTTCATATTTCTGGACGAGCAAAGGAAAACGGGAACATGAGCTCGCCGTTATTTACAGACCACAGTCATGTTGACTGGCAGGTATGCAAACAAGTCATAACCGCTCAGATTTCACTCTTAATTTGCTTCAGCGTCCCCTCTCTCCGTGCAGTTTTTTTTTTTTTTTTTTGACTTCGTAAAGTGGAGGTAGCAAAGTTTGTGTAACTTGTTCCCTGTGCGTGTTGATGACTTGGACCACAGCCTTCATCTGCTGGCAAATTGTACTCACTCTTTATGACTCAGTGTTAATTAAATCCACATTTACTTTCACGTCTACTGTGCGGCTCACACTGGCTCAGACGGACCTGCTTCCCATTATGGGGAAGAAACACCGGGAATCCATGTGAAGAGACCTGCCTTTTCTCCCTGCCAGCTGAAACTGGTGTTTTGTTCAGGCAGGAGTTTTACCACCTGCTTCTTCTCTTTGTACAGTCCTTTTTTTGTGCGCAGTGAATGGCTTATTAGTCATTATGTCTCTGTTTTATAGCCTGGAGGAAAAAAGGGACACATAGTTTAGGAGAAGGAGCAGCCAAGAAGGAGCTGGCTGGATTTCATCTTACACAAAAAGTGAAAAACATCTGCCAGGAGTGAAAAAGGAAAGCATGTATGTTTGAATAAGCTGTAGTGTAAGGTGAACATGCTCTAACACACCCTCACTGTGCGAGTGCTACCTGTACGTCCGAGTTTTCAGCACCATGGAGAGCTCAGACCTTCAGCCCTCACTGTCATTCACTCATGACTGAAGTTTCATTTATGTCACCGTCCAGGAGGAAGAGGAGAAGCTGAGCCTGGACGACAACATCCTGCTCGAGGAGGACTACGAGGCGGGGTACGAGGCGGAGGAGGATGAAGAGGATGAGGAGCTGGAGGAGGAGGAAGAGGAGGAGGAAGAAGAGGAGGAGGAGCCGGCGAAGGAGAGCACCAAGATGAAGATCCTGCGGCATGTGGCGCAGGTCGCATCGAAAGTGAAGGAGGTGATTGGGAACTTGATCACGACTGCCAGGCTGGTGGTGGTCACCATCCTGTTGGGCATGACAGGTGAGTATAAAGGTTGAAGTGAATTAAATAAGTCTTATAATAAGTCATAGGTCACTTATTTAATAATAAATAAGTCTTAATGGATAAGTCTTGTTTGAGTCTGATAGTTTCCTTTCATCCTGCACAGAAAATCAAACTCTTGTCTCCCGTACTCTTCTGTTCCCAGGCATCATGCTGCCCTCGCTGACCTCCGCTGTCTACTTCTTCATCTTCCTGTTCCTGTGCACCTGGTGGTCCCTCTGTCGGACCTTCGACACTCTCCTCTTCAGCTGCATGTGCGTGCTGATGGCCATCTTTAGTGCCGGACACCTGATTGTCCTCTACCTCTACCAGTTCCAGTTCTTCCAGGAGTCCATTTCTCCAGACGACAGCTACATCAGGTCAGAGGAGAAACCCTGTGTGGCCTCTTATATGTTTTTTCAGTGTGTCTAAATAGGGCCGGGCGATAAACCAAAAATTTACCGATACAGAAATTTATGACAATAACCGAGGTCATTTTGTCCATGTCAACGTATTCTGTGTCAAAAAATAAAAAGATAACAGTTTAGACGCAAATAACTCACAACTTCATAACATCCAGTAAAGGCAGAATAAACCTTGCTTTTCATGTTTTTATTTTTTTATTTTTTTATAATTTTTATATAAATCTACCGTGTTTCAAAGAGTCTTTGTAGATTTAGATATAGGCTCCTCAAAAACAGAGCTTCATTAACCGACTGTGATGTGTAAAGAAGTTTTCTTTGTTAAAGTATTTAAAAAGTTTGGGCGCAAATAATTCACAGCTTAAAAACAACCAATAAAGGCCGTATAAATCTAGCTACTTCATGGTTTTTAATTAAATTTTGTATAAATCCACCGTCTTTCAAAGAGTCTTTATAGATTTTCTCAACCTTTCTCAACGGTTCAGAAGTTGTAGCCCCTGAAGTAGACAAAGTTAATGTGGGAGGGGGTGAGCAGTTTGTGGAGTAGTTATTGTCCATTTATCATTATCAAGGTGAACTGCTCAATATATCGTGATATTGATTTGAGGCCATATCGCCCAGCCCTATGTCCAACCCACATTGAGCTCTAGTTTGGACATAGAAGAATCAGATTTTTCCACGTTGTCAGCATTAAAAAATGAGGATAAACTTCCACAGTTCAGGAAAAAAGTCTCATCAACACAAAGTGAAAGTTTGATTTGTGATAAACATGAATAGAAAAAAGCCCATACTTTGTAGTGTCTGGCGCCTTAATAACATGAAAATCATGATGTGATCATGATGATGATGATAGCACGCCGCACTCAGAGCTCTTCTGTGTTTTTTTATTACGCCCATGGCAAGTTTGTTTAAAGGATAATAAATATTTACTATTGTTACAAACAAGAGGGGAAAGGTAAACGCAGCTGGAGGGGGATACTGTATATCCACATCTACTCACAGCACATCAATATCAGCAGCAGCAGAGCTTTTAGGCTCTTCACTACGACAGTGTTGTTTTATTATGCATGAGAAAGGAGACAATCAGCTGTCTGTGGCTGCAGCGGTGAAACCTTGTGGTTGGAGTAAAGCCACACTGTTGCGCATCTTGCCAACATACGTTAGTCACAGCTGAGATGAATACAGACTCGGCTCGCTAAACTCAGCGTCTGACAGACAGAGGAGGAGCTTTATATGTACAGTAAAAATAACGGATTTTAACCTTTATTCTAACTTGGAAGACATTATGGTGGGTTACAAAAGTGGAGAAAAAGTCTTCAAAGTTTTATCACATTGTAAATTGTGGACTGTGTAGGGAAAAAGCCAAACCTGAGCTCTGCATTTTCTGATTTATCTGCATTAAAGACGAAAAATTAAAACTGTGTTGATTTGGGAGGCAAATAAATGCAATCAAGTATAGTTAAATAATAAATTGATCTTACCTTATGGCAGCTATTAAAATATGATGATATCATGATTTTATGGAAAACTTAAAATTAAAAAAGCACAATTAGTAGTATGGAGGAACACATTACTTCATAAACTTTATTAATAAATACAAAGAACTTGGTCATGATTTATTTAGATATTTTTCTGTCTTCAGTTTTAGTGACTTCATTTCGTAATCGTAATTTACAGAATTGATAAAAAAAAACAGTTAAAAAAAAAAACGGGAAGTATAAATAATCAGCTGATTAGTAACCTGAAGAGGTACGAACTCTTATGTTTCAATTAATCTTGAGTATCAGTTTGAAAAGTGCCTGGTCTCTCTAAAATCTCGCCGTCAGTCTGCTACTACTTTGCCTGTCCTTTGTTGACACATCACGACCAACAGGAAGGAATTATAAACTCACGATATTACTGTTTGCTCATTTAAGCACATTATCAATATTTAATCTCCTTTAAACAAGATTATTGTTGATACCGGTTTATATCAGCAGCCCAATTTGAGATCTTTTAATTACTTTTAACTCATCAGCTGATCTGCCTCTACAGTTTCATTTTAAAGTGCGGTGGTGTCACTATTTTCAATCACTGCAAGAAGCAGGAAGATGCTGCAGCAGCCTAACTACGGTGCGCCAGAAAGGACATAGGAGCACACACACAAAAAACTCTAACGTGCATTTGGACAAAGAAATAAAATAAAACTGTTCGGAAAGGAAAAGAGTCTCAGTAATAATTGACTCTGTGTTTTTGTTCAGTTGTTTAATTAAGCCGCAGCGTCTTATCTGCATCTCTAAATCATGCCGCCTTTTAAACTTCATCCGCAGCACTTTAGCTGTTGTCTCACTGTAGCTTTTGTCTCAGTGCCCTTGGTTTCGGAGGGTTTTTATTGATCTCACCATTTCTCGTTTGAAAGCTGTGCTGCTGCGTGTCAGGAGCGAGGCTATTTACAGCTATGTTTAGCTGAAACTGCCTTGGACAAACCTTGTGTCCTCTTCATCGCCCTCCCGCTTCAGATGGTTGATAAGATGTGATTACAGTGCGGTGCATTGATGGGTTTCTAGTTAGAAAACTCGTTAAAATGAAAAGAACCCTTTCACACCATCAGCACACTCAGTAACGGTCTATTAAAACTGTGCATGCTTAGTATACTTTACTGTAAAGAGTTCCCCTTTAAGGAGCTCTGCAGCACCGAGTGTGTCCAACTTTTGGGTGGAGACGACTGAGACATCCTGAGATAAATATGGGAGCTGACAAACTGGAGAGAGAAGAGAAATCTGAAACTCTAGGAATTGGATACTTCTGCTTCTTTTTGCAGTTTTTGTCCAAGAAAAACACTTTTTTTTTTTTTTGGAAGCATCAACAGAATCAAAACAACATGTAAACTCCTCACAGAGCCTTTAAAATAAGACAGACTGTGTCGCACTCTGATCCTGTATAGGGCAGGCTAATATGGGAAAAAGTTCATCATGATATATTTTTTTTCCATATAAGTCAAAATAATAAAAAAAAAACCCTTGGTAATATAAAATTTTCCCCATTACTTTTAATAAAATTTAACATGTACTCGACATAATTTGCAGTGCACATTACTCTGCTTTATGTCCGACCTCAAATAACCAAAATACCTCCACACCACCGGCGTTTTCGTGCCAGCGCTGTCAATGTTGTCGTCAACTGTTGAGCCTTCATCTGCATTTCTCCCGGAGGTAGCACTCATTTTCTTTTTCTCTCACCAACAATGCTGTCAGCGTCACGTGTTCAAGTTCTATGGTTGCGTGTAGCTACAGCCTGCGACTACGCAGATTCTAATTCAGCACATGATTGGTTCAGCATGGCGAAGACCCGAAGCAACTCCTCTTTTAATTGGCTATTCGTATAATAGCCAGTATTTTCCTGCCAAGTATTGTTTGCTGTGTCATATTGTGCTCGAGACTATATGACGCAGCAAACAATTGTTTTTGGAAAACTGTACGGATCAATTGCGAGTGAAGATAAAAAACTTATGCTGAAAATGGCAAATAGAGCTCGGGTTCTGTCTCTGCTTGCTTTCGTCATCTCCATCTTACCACCGGTGAGTGACCATCGGATGGTCACTACATTTTGCAATACTCTATGGGAAATTTTGAGTCCCCTATACGTGGCATTGGAGTTGATCACTCAGGTTTCAGACACCCCTCAAAATGGCGCTAACCTCCATATAGTCGCCTATATAGCGTTAAGGGATCCATTTATGACACAGCGTATATTTTATATAAATATTGAGGGACATGAATTTTGATATATATCATTATCGTTTTATCGCCCAGCCCCAATCGTATATATAAATAGAAACTTTAATCTCCTCTTCATCTTAAACTTCTGACATCATTTGCACTGAAGTAATGCAGTCAAGTCGTGCTAAACAGCTGGTTACTGGATTGTCTTCCTCTCCTGCTGCTCCTTTTTCTTCCCCCCTACCTTCTAGAGCAGGTGGCAACAAATGTAAAGACCTGCTGTGATACTGACCCCCTACCATGAGCCAATTTGCTTTACAGAAGGCCAATAAAATGGATTAATCTAAGAGTGTGCCATCTTGGCTCTGCTTCTCTGTGTACACTCACCACCATCGTCCCATCCACAACTCTGTTTGCTTCGAAAACTGGAAAGTTGTCTTTTCATGCCTCTAAATATCTCTAAATGAGACCAAAACAGGAAACCAAACTGCTAATAACCCTCCACCACACTGAGGCCATGTGTTTTGACGGGGGTCCAAGTGGACCGTAGAGTCTTTAAGTAATGTGGTCCTTGTTTTGAGAAGTTTCCCCCAGGTTTTTTGATAGCTCTTAACCTGAACAGGAGAGCTATTTCATCATCTCCCATCTCTGCGTGTCTTCATGTTGACTTTCCACGGCTCTGAGGTATTTCTGTTTGCTGCTGCGTGAAAACTGAGGCCCAAAGTCACGGTTTGAGCGGCGCGCTGTCCTCTGATCTTGCCGGTTTTCTCTCTGCACACTCTCAGGGAAACTCTTACAGACGTAAATAAGTCCAGCCCCCCCCTCCAACAATAGGCCACCTCAGTGCCTGCCCTAATTGTGCTTGTTGACAGTGACTTTGGCCTTGCTGTCAGCCGAGCGTCGAGTGAGACTGTTGAGAGGCCTGGCTTCCACACCACTTCCTGCCTCCCTTCCTTACAATGGAAGTCCCCAGTCATGTGATCAGCTTCGTGTGGCCTTCCCCAGCTGAGGCGAGAAGCTGTTCAGGAAGCGTGGTGAGGTCAGAGGGGGGAGTTCGCTCCTCCGCAGTGCAAAGAAAGAAAAAAGACTCAGGAGACATCTAAATCCATGTGGTTGTCACTGGAAGACGTCAGCACGCTTCCTGTTGAATAGATGACCTTTATTCTGCTCGGGGGAAGAGGAGTGAGTCACATGGCGTCCTTTGTGGTGCATTGTCCAGATTTCAAGGTTTGAGAGGGGAGGGAATTTTTGCAGGAATGCTTTAAAGAGTCGTCACTAAAACCGGACACTACATTTAAATTCTGAAGCAGTTTTTTTGTGAGGGCAAGCCTGGAACTATAAAAACTATTTAAAACATGGCCTAGTGGCCTAGAGACATAGTGGTGTCTCCCACTGGTTTCTAAAGAAGTCCAAAGATGATGGTCTCCATATTGGAAATGCTAACTCAAGCTGACTCTCTGCTAAGCTACCTGGCAAGAGTTGAGGCTTTTTTGTAGGGTGACCATACGTCCTCATTTACCCGGACATGTCCTCTTTTTGGGGGACTGTCCAGCCTTGTCCAGGGGAGTTTATAAAATCCATCAAATGTCCGGGGTTTTGTATGAAAGTTTTGAGTTTGTGTCACGTGAACTAACTGAGTTAGAAGCGTGTAAAAAACACTCAATTTGACCCGCAAAACTCAAAATTTACAACTCAGGACTCCGGGACTCTGCCCCTCCATAGTCGTGTCCTCTTTTTGGGGATTCAGAATACAATACTTTGGCTTTTTGGGACCAGCCATAAGAGGAATTGGAGTCTTGTTGGGTTTTTTTGGCTTTTTGGGACCAGCCATAAATTGCCCCTTGGTATTTTTCACTTTTTTGACTTCTTTCACCCAAAGGAAAGTCGAAAAAGTACTTAATTTGAGGAAACAGCTCATGCAGTTAGGGGTAAAGTTCCTCTGTTTTCTGGCAGAGAGTCATAACCTCAAACTAAGAGTGGCTGACTCTCATCCTGACGACTTCATGTGTGTCTTCAAACCACTGCAGTTTACCGTAAAGACTGTGGTTTGATCGAGATAGCAGAACCACATCGTCTACATAGAGTAGCAACTCTCAGTTCTAATTGAGCTATATTAGTGATTATTTCTTCCAATCTGTTGATCTGGTGAGGTTTGAAAAGAATAGTAAATTGACATGAACCCTTTATGACTTTTCTATCACATCTTTCAACCTCAGCGTAGACCTGAATATCAAACCTTTTCCCTTCACTCCTCATCATCCCGTCCCCACATGAGTTTTTCTTGTGAGCCCTCTGGATTGAATAAAATAGTTGACCCATCAGAATCAACATGACTTTGCAAGTTCCTGCCGTTTTTAGTGAGGTTTCCATTACCTCATTCACTTTGGCTTTACTTCTGGAATCAATGAAGAGATTTATAAGCGAGACCTCCAAAGACTCCCGCGCTGAAATGAATGTGATACAGTGAATTAAACTCGACACTTATCTCAATGAGAACAACTTAAGCTCTGATTAATGATATCAGACCAGTTCACATAAGATTTAAGCATCTGTATTCATGAGTTTTTTAAAGTTTGATATGTCTAATGGTGGTTAAATGAGAATCTATGAGTTCAGCTCCTGTAGAGTAAAAACAGAAGTAAGACATCAGAAATTAAAGAGAAGGATTGTTTAAGATGCAAAGGCATTTCATACCAAGGCAACTCAATGTGCTTTACATAAAAACATAACATTTTTTTTAAAAGAACAGCATAAAAACAAACAAACAAAAAAACACACAGTTAAAAGCAGGTGAAAGAGATAGTTTAAAATTATCAAAAAGACCTCAGCCATAAGCACATGAAAAGAGAAATGTAAAGAATAAAGAAGGTAATGATAGTAAAGATAGTAATGTCATTTACTTACGAGATAAATCTATCAAGATACAAAAGGAGATGGTAGCTCACATTTGAATATGATACTTTGAGATAAGAATTTACACATTTAGATTAAGCGCTTTTACATCACATGTCACATTCACCCATTCACAACAATATTATCTAGTAACAAATAAAAAATTGCACATTAGCACACAGCAAAGAAGACTTCTATATAAACATTTAGTGCAAAAGGATAGACAGACATAGAATATAGAGCGAACAGAATCGCTGTGTTGCTGTGTTTGATATTTATTAAAAGAAAAAAGACTGGATCGGCGTCATTCATCAGATATCTAATCCAGTTAATTTGTCAATATCGGAGCCGATATCCAATCCAAATATCGAATCGGTGCATCCCTATTTCTTACTCAAAATCCATTCACAGTGACTCCTGACGAACATGTGTCTCTGTTTACCTCAATATAAATTGGTTTTGAAGCTCAAACTTCACGTTTCTGCATCTTAAATCAGCTTTTCCTCACGCCGCTGTGTGTTTGTCTTTTGCAGTGAGTTTGGCATCTCTCCCATCGTTCAGAGCAACTGCTCCCACACATGGAAGCTCATTGTGCACCCGCAGCGTAAGTGGTACCACTTTGTCAATCCCATCATGCTGCTGATTCTCTACTACACCCTGGCCACGCTGATCCGCCTCTGGCTGCAGGAGCCCATCGACCAGCTGACGGTGAGGACAGCAGACACAAACACAATAAAAACACATGAGAGTGGAGCCTCTCAGCGTTTAGACGTTTGCTGGAAAACATGTCAGTGAGTCTAAAACGGTCTTTCTAATCCTGCAGTGAAACTCAAACGTGACCTGCTGGAAAATGAAGTATTTTGTCACCTCTAGGTTAAATAAAACAAACAACTTTCACTCATCCTTCTGCACCACATTGAATTCACAGTTGAGGTAAAACTGAGGCTGATGCAGGCGTCAAAGGTATTAAGCTGTATTTGGCCCATAACACCTCCACATGGCTCCTCAGTAAGTTCCAGACAGAGAACCGAAATAGAAGCAGATTGGATTAAACGGGCAGCCAGGTGGCCTCGTGAGCAGAGAAACTGCATTGATGGGAGCTTACAGGAGGATCGATCCGTCCGCCGTAGCTCAGGTGTTATCCGAGACACTCTTGTTCTAATTTTGACGGAGAGGGGAGGGAGGAGGCATCTTGGCACCTTGTTTCTGTGTTACAGATGAAGCACTGATGGGCAGATGTTTAGAAAGAAGCAGTCTGGACCTGAAATATTGTGTCATGTTTTTACTCAGACTCAGGGTCCAGGAATCTTATAAAATGTTGGTTTGATCGATTTACGCATTTATCTATATCTGCGTTTACTATCATTGCCACAGCTGCATTTGTTGTCCTTGCTCCCTGAGTGGTTATCGGTTTCTTCCATGTGACATTGGACAGTTTGCATGATCAGCCGTCCTTCGCTACCCCCCTTACTTGACATCGTAAATATTGAACATGTTTGATATTTATGATTCAAGTGGTAGATGCTCCGATTGTCCTCCATGGGGACCAGAGGGAATAAAATCACTTTAAACACACCTCACATCACATTAGATAATCTGGCCTTTACCGCTCAGTGTGGGAGGGGCGAATCAGGTTTCTTTACAATGAAAGAAAACAGAATAAATTCTCACAGGCGACTGATTATTATAAATCTGCTTTATTCTTTTGTTGTTAAAACATGATAAGAGTCTGGGATCGAAAATAATAGGATAGATGCACTTTTTTTGTATCATACTGGTCATTAGGTTGGTGATTGTTTGCAAAGGGAAACTGTTCACAGTAAAGTCATGAGATGAAAGTCGTAGTCAAGGGTCAAAGGTTAGAATAAGACGGTTTATAAAAAAAGAAACTGTGAGGACAGTGTAGGTGATAATGTGCTTTAAAAGACTGAGGGTCAAATTAAACCTGAGCTGCCTGCTTTAAAGGGATATCCAGCGGCTGCTGGAAGAGAGTAGGTGAGTTGTTCTTAGTCTCTTTGCTAAAGAAATTAGGCAAAGTTAAAAGGATGTTTGGTGGCGAGTACTATGGGTGGGACCCAATATGTTCTGTTGGTGAAGTTAGGTGCTGTTCTGAGCATTATTTGTGGCTACAGAGTGGCGTTTTGGTTGAGCACGTGGGGTGTCTAACTCGGTGTTATGGTGTGTTTGACCCTAACTAAATTTTACAGGACTTAAGGCTCTGAACATGGGGCCTAGGATTTAGACACTGAGCTAAACCAGCATCCTGATTTCAGTAAAATATGAAAGTGGTATCAGCAGTGATTGAATGTTATTAGAAGGAAACTACAACCCTGTTTCCAAAGAGGTGAAATGTTCATAAACCCTCATCATGATGGTTTTTAAATCATTAAAACCTTAAATCAGAAGTTTGAGGTTCCTGAAAAAATCTTCAGAAAATCGCCTGACCGCTCTGACATGCTGAGGTGATGATTTTATTTAGTGTGAACTGACCCTTTAATCAGCTCCACACACTGAACCTGCTGCTGCTCTGAATGAAACACGTCTCCCCTGAAGGAGGTGTGGGACTTTAAAGCCGGGAGGTCTCCTCCTGCTCCTGATTCCTCTCAGAGCTCCGGGCTCAGCTCCTCTGTCCTGTAATGGAGTTATAGATTAGTGTTTTTATAGTGGGGTCAATACTTCCCTGTAAACCTGCAGGACTGTATGCATTATTGATCCTCCCACAGAAAGTGTGTGTGTGTGTGTGTGTGTGTGTTTTCACCAGGGCTAATAATAAAACATGATTACAGGATAAATCAGCAGCTGGCAGGTTTGTTCGAAAGTGATGATGTCGGATTATGATCGACTTTATCCTTTTCAAGAAGACCAAGAAAAATCTGGATTCTCTGTTTCCTTTTCTGAACGGATTTAGCGTTTTTGGTTTGTAGTTTATCGACAATGTTTATTCAGTCACACTCAAAAAATAAAATAAAAACAGCAAAACCAGAAAGATTTAATCAGATTAATTCAGTATCAAAGCAAAACTAAGATCATTTCTTTCTAAAGGTCGCTGAGTTTCTGCACTCCTCCGCTTTAAAACAACGTTCAAAAGGAGCCGATTAAAAACTGCTTTTCTTTACGGTATCATCTCTCGTTGCACAATCCTGGACTGAGCTCAGAGTCCAGCGGTGAAGATGTTTATCACCCCGGCTGACTATCTTTGTTTTTCCAGGACGACAAGGACGGCGATATGTGCGAGGAGGAAGATCTGGATGGAAACAGAACGAATAACTCGGCCAACAGGAAGAGGCAGATGTGGTGGGAATCACGCCAGGGCACGGACGAGAAAAATGTACGCCAGGGTCTACACACACTCACACACACACGTAACAGGTTATTGATTATAAGACAGGTCCTGACATATGAAATCATTGTTTCTGCAGCCCACCACTACTACATGCTGTCATTCTTAGGACACAATCAGAAATTATCTTAAATTTATGAGGAAAGTATTAAAAAAACTATGAATATTTTAATTTTCACCTCTGAGGTGTGTATTTTATCCAACAACCTTTGCTGCTATGAATTAAAGCTCCTGTGAGGAGTTTTTCTATGGTTTCCACAGAGCTACAAATGAAAACAAGACCATCAGCAACAAGACTGACTCTGTCCAAAAAGTGTTTTTTTGATGCCTAGTAGTGTCACCAAAGGGTAGGTTACAGGCGAAGAGCTCTTACTTACACATCATGAAACAAAGATTGCTATCAGGAGGAAGTTGCTGCTCCTGCTAAGATTATAGATGGAACTTTGTGTCTTTAAAATGCTGTACAACAGCGGTACAAACTATAATGCTAATGTTACAAGGGACGGAAAGAGTCTGACGAGAGAGAGGAAACAACTACGGGGCTGAGAAATTAGGATCGAATCATAAAAGGTTTTATAAAAGTTTGAAAGGACTGAAGGATTTGTTAAATCTGCCACCCGTGATAAAATATAAGCAGTAAAAGAGCTTAAATCCTTCAATTAATTATGGCACAGTGTAAAAACACTTCACTAGTCTTTTAAATTATGGAGTGTTTTCACCAAAGTTAAGTCAAAGCTCCTAAAGTAAAATGAAACTTGATGCACAGTTTACTTTGGTGTCTGACTTCTTCAAAAATTAGAGTTAAAATAAAAGAGAAAATCTTAATTTTTTTTCCTCTTATTGCGTTTTTCAAAGAATTAAGAGTTTTTGAAATTCAAAGAGGTTTTAAGTAAATGTATGTGACTTAAATGTCAAATCATGGGTAATCATTTTTAATAATTATGATGTAAGTATCGGTCAAAATGAGTGATTATGTCGAGCAGCTCTAGTCCAGAAGGGAAACAAAAACAGAGAAGCTTGAGGTCAGAGAATCCTTCATTTTTTTCAATAAAATAAGTAAAAATAAAAAGTAAACCAGGTCTCTGTTAAACTGTGAACTCAGCGGTAGGTATTGACTCATTTTAACCCGATATTCGGCTTTGTAAGACTCGTTCCTGGACAGATTTCAGCTGTAAAAGTACGCACACTTTCTCCCTCACTCACACATTCTGACCTTGTTCCTATATCAAGGTCCGTAGTCTGTCTCCACCGGCCACCTCCTGAGGTTTAAAAGCTTTTAGGATGTGCAGACACAGATGAGTGATGGGCTCGATTTACAGAGTAGTGCAGCTTGACTTTGTTCCTGCTTATCAGCGACTATAAAGGAGGAGGAGGAGGAAGAGGCCTTAGTCTTCAGCAGCTCGTCGATAACACACCTCACCTTGCCTTGTATGCTCTTTTTTCTTCTCCTAGCTGCTCTCCACCCAGGATGGCATCAGTACAACCGAGGTGGGGCTGCTCTGGATTCAATCCGTGCATCTTAGTCTACTTTACTCTGCTGAGGAAAAGAAATTACTACAAAATGCTTTTCACACTGCATGTTGAAGACAGTCAAAGTTAACTTAAGCACCCATGTCCTAAAAGTACAACATGAAACAGAGCTGATTTAAGTGAATATCAAATAATTTAAATGGATTTTTTAGCTCTGATAGTGTAAATGAGTGGATGCAGTGTGAAAAGTAAAATAAGATCCCTCTGTAGTGCCCCGCGAAGGTAAACAGCAGCATTAAACAACCGAAACTAACAAAACAAAACAAATAATCGTCTTTTTTTAGTGACATATATTCCTGCTGTTTGTCTCTGTGGGGCTGAATGTTGCACTGTGCTGTGATCCCAGAAAAATCAGCTCCCAAAGTACAGAGATATATTGTTAATTAATGTTGTATTGATCCGCAGGCTGTTCCCACCTCAAACGGCACATCTTTTGACTTTGTCACCACTGAGAACGGACCCGTCTGTCTAGACCTGTACTCAACCCCGCAGTACAAAATGGACCCGACCGGTGACGGTACAGGTGAGCAGAGACACAGTTAAAACAGAGACACAAATAAAAACTCTGGAGAAGAGGGAAACTTTCTGAGAAAGTTACTTTCTATTGTACTCTTAGACCAACTTTTATTTTAATGAGGGGAAATCTTAATATGCATTCCAGGATAGGGCTGGGCGATATGACCCCAAATCAATATCACGATATATTGAGCAGTTCGCCTAAATAAATTGACGATAACTACTCCACAAGCTGCTCACCCCCTCCCACATTAACTTTGTCTACTTCAGCCACTGCTCCAGCTGCTACAACTTTTGAACCGTCCTCCATCTCCTCACCTGTCTTTCCCTCTTTGTCACGGACTGGATGGGGTGGAGTCATGTCATGAGACCATAGCCTACCTACACAAACTACACAAACTAACTTTAATTTATTTTTTTGACACCAAATTTACCGATATGGGCGAAAAGATGGTGGTTAAGGTCTTAAATTTCGGCATCGGTAAATTTTCGGTTTATCGCCCAGCCCCATTACATTACTTCTTGTCTTTTCTACAGAGACCATACAGTGTATGTAAGTGAAAGGTGTAAATACTTTTTTGGTACCTTTTTATTCAATACCATTATTGTTGCTTTTTAATCTCACTATTCGTCATTTTTTTAATACTTTTCTCCACTTTTTTCGTTCCCTTTATCTCTTCTCTAACTGGGAGGACAGAGTGGGATGAAGGACTTAGGGCTTCAAGGACATGTAGATAAGTTGGATTGAACTGCTGAGCTCTACTGGTGCTCCAGTAACACTTCAAAAGTTATGAGGTTCTTTTATAGGTTGAGAAAATCTATAAAGACTCTTTGAAACACGGTGGATTTATACAAAAATTAATTAAAAACCATGAAATAGCTAGATTAATACGACCTTTATTGGTTGTTATGAAGTTGTGAATAATTTGCGCCTGAACTTTTTAAATACTTTGACAAAGAACTTTTTAGTTTGAACTTGTCTTGTCTCTTCCCTTGTGCTCTTACATGTGAAGACGCACGTCGTTGATTTTACACGTCACAGTCGGTTAACAGCTCCGTTTTTGAGGAGCATCCTGTGAAAACAGCTGTTTAACGTCTGCTGCGGCTCTAAAAGGAGCTTTACTGAGAAAGAGAGGACAACTCTGGGGTTTTTAAGGGACATCACTTAAGTGCTTTGTACAGAAGTTACCTTTATCTGTGTAATCTAGATATCTCAGGACAAACAGGATATTTTGGCCATCTTCGCACAGGTGTTTTAAATTTGTTCCTTGTGAATCGTCCCCAACTTTCTGAAGGCTTCACACTAAATCACCCGAGTGCCTCTCCTAACTTTATAAGACCGCTGAGCCCCGTAACTAACAGTGAGTCGTGTTTCTGTGTCCAACCAGAGAAGAAGGACGAGTGTGTGTATGAAGTGTGTCTGCCTCTGGAGGACTCGGCCCTGGAAGGAGCAGAGGAGAAGTCTGAGGACACGGAGGATGGGATCAAGAAAAGAGGAGTCAGTACGATGGTGAAAATCTTCCACTTCATCATGAAACAGAGCTACATCTGTGCTCTCATCGCCATGATGGTGAGTAATGCAGAGCTACGGGAGCTGGCCTGTGGACAAAAACAAACAAACAGTCGCTAATGAAGATTTGACAGTTGTTTTCCAGTTTGTATTGACTGTTAAATTTGACATGAGTTACAACCAGGGGAAACAAGTCCAGAGCTGCTTTAAACATGCGGGTGCGATTAGTAAAAACCAAACACTCCTGCCCTCTTGATCGGCTTCGATTAGGACACCTTTGAGCAAGGCACTGAACCCTGCTGCAACCGCTGGATGACCAGCAGGAGGAAACTGTGGTCGTAGCGGGCAGCTCCTGTGGCTGAATATCTGGCATGATATAACTCACAGAGAAGCATCTGTTCTTAGTTTAAAGATTCCTGGATGAATCACAGTTAAATAAATTTGACTAACAGCTACTTTTTGACTCGACGGTGGCTGGGGAACACACAGACGCTGAAATTTATTAAATGGCACATGGAAAGTGGATTCTTCTTTTTTTTTTCAACGCAGAAAAGAAATGCGAGTGAAACTCAAGAGTGTTGTAGATGAATCACGGCTTCAACTTTGTGTGTTTAGATTAAGATTTAAGTGAGTTACATTGTTTGCATCCTAACATAAAAGCTAAGTAAGGGATTTTATTTAGTAAACAAGTGTTGGATGCTTTTTTCCTGCATTATCATACAGGCTTTTATTTTGAAATTACATAGCCGACATACAAAGACTACAGCCATAATGAACGTATCTAGACCTGCTCTTTTTTTGGGGGGGGAAAGTGTCTTGGGATAACAAATGTTGTGATTTAGCGCTATATAAATAAAATTCGATTGATTTGATTGATAACTCCTCATGTCATTCCTGCTATATTGACAGTTTTATCCTCTAAAATGGTCTAAAAAATATATGTATACTCATATGTATAGTATATGTATACTTTGATGTTTTCCATGTGGAGTTGAAAAATTTCATTAAAAATTTAAGTATAAAAAAAAAAAAATACAAATACCAGGTCATGTCGTTATGGATCTTATAACCCTGTGAATTGTCTGTGATTGGTCCTCTCCAGGCGTGGAGCATCACATACGTCAGCTGGCTGACATTCGTCTTCCTCATCTGGTCTTGCGTGCTGTGGATGGTTCGGGACCGGAGGCGGTACACGATGCTGTCCTCTCCCTTCATGGTGGCGTACGGAAACCTGCTGATAGTGCTGCAGTACATCTGGAGCTTTGAGAACAGGCAAAGTGTCTCGGGGCTGTTTGTCAAGAAGAACAACCCTTTCCACTCGCTGTCGTCCAAGGTTCGGGAGTTCAAATGTCCTCTGCATACATGCGCTCATTAAAACTGACCTTTAAAATCCAAAAACACAACTCTGATTCTTGAACGCAGCTAATGGATTTTTCTCCTCTTTAAGTTTAACATTGTCAGGCTGTGTTTCCCGTCGTCCATTAATTCAAACAGAGAGGGAAATCATGCAGTGTAATCCTGAGGAGAAGGTCAGATTAGTCCTGTTTTGACATGTTTTGGAAGAGTTCAGACTTTCATGTTGGCCGCCGCTGAATCTGACCTAAATGAGTCTTGAATGAGATTTTATACTAGAGCAGGTCACCACACTCTAGATGAGTCTTAGCTACTTTATAATCAAACTGTCCAAGTGTTTTAAAGATGTTCAAACTGAGGTCAAAGGTCAGAAAACTCATTTATAATCTGTTTAGATATACCTGTCCTTTCTTTGTTCTGGCCACCCGTGCTGTGCTCTCAGCAGGTTAAAGTAAATGCAGATGATTTGTGAGTCCACGTCCTCTCATCTTGCCGCTCATCTGTTTGTCTAAACATCTTATTTATTGTGTGAAGGTTCTGTGTCTGCTGAGCTTCTGGCTGCTGCTGAGACAAACTCTCATGGAGAGAGAGGAAAAACAAAAAGAAGACAGCGCAGGTCTCTCAGACGTCCATGTGGAGGATCAGAAGAAGAAGGGTAAGCGCTTATTTTATTTATACCTAAAAAATTAGGGACCTTCTTGTAACTGTAAAATGTTTTAGACCTGCAGCGATGGAAATGACCTTTTATTTGAAGGTCTTTGAACTCAACTCAAGAGGTTTGAGAGCCTTCAGCCTCATTTTGGTTTGTTACTCCTGCAGACAAAATATGCTCTGTGGTTTGTTTTTGCTGAGGCTGTCCTGCAGGAGATCAGGATTTCTACCTCCCCTGTACATGAGGGCAAAAAGGTCTGAAAACCAGTCAAGAGACAAGATCAGATCAGAATCCAAGATCAGATAAAACTCTTTCACTCAAAATACAGTTGTTGTAATTCTCGTCTACCGAGGAGTCAAAACATTTTCACCTTTCAACGGGCTCCAAAAATCTGTCACTAACTTATTGAAGACAAACTCCTGTTGAGTGTGAAATATCTTTGTTTGATTTTCGTAACTTTGTTCTTTTATTAAACATTTATAGGGACAGTTTTTATATTAAATATAATTTATAGAAAACTGGTGAAGCTGCCCCCGTTCATGACCCAAACTCCTGTCCTTATTTATGCTGTCTCTTTGTGTAATCGGAGTAATATATAACATAAGCTGCCTGTCGGCTCCTCGGTGTGTTTGTGTGTTTTGGGCTTATTGTTCACTTTAATATTTTTATTTCTTTTCTGAATTTATTGGTAGTGCAGCACTCGAGTCTAGGAGTGTCCTGATACAACTTTTTTACTTCTGATATGATACCGATATTGTTGCCTTCAGTACTGGCCGATACAGATATTGATCCGATATTGGCACAAAATTGTGCATTACAAGTTTTGCAGTCAGCTGTGACATCTTTTTTGGACTTAAACAAAAAATGCTGCCACACAGCCGGCATCACTCCTACTCCTTGGTACTTTTTTAGTACACACTGTTTTTGTGATCATGTGGGTTATACATGCTGGGTCCAGGCACTGCTAGATAGAGGTGCTGAATTGGAGTCTTAAATGGACTGCTTGTATCAGAGTGCTGATATCGGAGATTTTAGATGCACGCCGATATAATCAAATATTCGCTTATTTACTGAGATTGGACCGATATCTGATATTGGTCTGGTATTCGTGCCAAAAAGTATATGGATTATCATTACACATCATATAACATATCCTATCATATTGAACTTTATTGTATAGTATCATGTCTAATCATATAGTTTTGTATAATTTTGTATTGAATCACATTGTATCTTTATGTCTTGTACCATATAATATCATATGGCATTGTCTCCAGTTACAAAGCATCATATTGTATCAAATTGCATTGTATTGTAACAAATTGTTCCGGATTAAATTGAGACATTTGGTACCGTCTTACATCATATCATATTGCATCATATCAAAACATATCGAATCGTATTGTATCATATCATATTGTATCGTATCATAGTGTATTGTATCGTATTGATCATATCATATTGTATCGTATTGTATCCTATCATATTTTATCGTATCATATTGTATCATATTATATTGTACCATATCGTATTGTATCATATTTTATCATTTTGTATCATATCATATCGTATCGTATCATATTGTATAATTTCATATTGTATCATATCATATCGTATTGTATCATATTGTAATGAAATGTATCAAAATGTATCAATTCGTAATGTATTATTTCGTCACATTTAGTATATTCACTGTGACATGTCATATGGTATGGTACTATATTATGTCATATTGTACCATATCATACCATATTGGATCAAATTGTATCATATTGTAGTATTTTGTTCTTGGTCATCTAAACAACCTCCTGTGTCTTTCATATATTCCATGTATTGAAAACACAGGGCCTCACTCACGAGCTGTTCTTATGGGGCCCCTTTGTGAAGACAACCCTGATGTAACTGTTCCCTCATATTTAGGATTAGCTTTAATATGTCACTTTATTGGTGTCTCTTTATTTTTTGTTTCCATATATGAATGATTTTCTGGTGCCTCGTTGTCATGCTGGTTTTTACCGTAGTGCAGAGTTTTCTGATTGGCTGCTGTGTTTTATAGAGGAGGAGGACTCTGAGGAGGGAGGGGAGCAGGACATCATGCAGGTTCTGGGGAACATGGTCATGGCTCTGCTGGTGAAATACTGGATCTACATCTGTGGTGGCATGTTCTTCTTCGTCAGCTTCGAGGGGACCATCGTCATGTACAAAATCATCTACATGATGATGTTCCTCTCCTGCGTGGCGCTCTATCAGGTATCAAAACACAAATGTTTTTACACTGTGACCCTCGTGTTTCCCTTTATTTAACCCTGAATTATCTTACTATCCGGAACATTTATCAGTGTTTTTAAAGGGTTGTTTGTCTTCTTTTGCTGAGCACGCTAATGACAATAAATACAACAAGTTACGGGCATCCAAAAGGGACCTGTTGTACCTACATGAGCCCACGGATACAATGTTGTAAAGTTTCCAAATTCAATTTCCCAAGGACAGAAGGTGCTGACAATTTTAACCGTGCCATAAAGTTTGTGTACAGCAGGCTCATAATCCCTGTGTTTTATAACCCCTATCACAGTAAAACAGAACAGTCCTCCTAAATCCAGATGTCCCTGTGCGTCACGTTTAATTTAATGCATTACAGCTGTAAATCCCAGACAATCATTTCCCCTGAAAAACAATTATCACAATTGTTCTTATCTAGGTGCACTTTGAGTGGTGGAGGAGGATCCTGAAGTACTTCTGGATGTCCGTGGTGGTTTACACAATGCTGGTCCTCACTCTGGTCTACACCTATCAGTTTGAGACCTCACCGGACTTCTGGTCCAACATGACGAAGATGGACAAAAAAAGGTTAATTTTGACTTTTTGTTTATCAATTTGCACATAAAATCAGCTCCAGGACAGTTTTACAGATTCGTAACTTTCCCCCTCTGCAGTGCCCTCCCTGTTCATAACTCAATACGTGTATCAATAGATGAATAATTATTGACTTCTTCTGTTTTCTTCTTGAATCCAGTTTGGAGGACCTGGGCTTAGAGACGTATTCTGTCCCTGAGCTGTTCACCAGGATTTTCATTCCTACATCCTTCCTGCTGGTGTGTATTCTGCACCTGCACTACTTCCATGACCGCTTCCTGCAGCTCACAGACCTGCAGGCTGTGGTGGCCAAAGAGGAGAGCACTATCTACAGGTGAGACACGCTCAGGTTCTCCTGCCTCTTTACAGTCTTTTATTTAAATACATGTACAGTGGCCTAACATGGCGGTCAATAGAGTTTTCTCCTTAAAGTCCCACTCCGATTGTTGTTTTTCACAATTTAAAGTGTTCTCAGTGGTCTTTAAATTGTGACTTTGAAGTTTTTCGCCAAAGTCGCATTTCCTGTTTGATTTTCAAGGGCTTTTCTTTTGCAGCGCTCCAGTAGCTCATTAGCAATTCGCCTCTGAGTCGTGAGTGGAGACAGCGCACTTCTCTTCACGCTAGCTTGTAGCCTAACATTGCCAGTGTAGTAGAAGTGGCAGGTAACAGAGGAGCTATTCAGCTTTCTTACGAGCATTGCAATCCACTAACGCACACACTTGTTCTGCGATTGTCCTCTCTGTTTCTCAGAGTCTGGTCTGCATAGTGGGGCTCAGGGGGCGGAGCTTGTAGTTGTGACATAGGAAATCTCACTGTGTCTGAGTCTACAGTTTGGGTTTGCAGAAATACTCAGAAATGCAAGTTTGCTTTTAGTTTTCTCATGATATGTCCTGTAGCATCAGAAAAATGTCATATGAATATATAGACAACAAGAAAAACATGATTTTCATCGGAGTGGGTCTTTAACAGAAACGTCTGTAATATGCATCCAAACTTCAATTTGTCTCAGAAAACAAAAAGAATGGAAACTTTAATTTGTCTGTTTTTCTTCATACCTACCAACATGGGTCCCAAGGTGGGGTTTGTCCCCCCACAGGGGTCCCGAACAGAGTCCAAACAAACCCCCAGCTGTTTATTCCCACTACAAAATGTCATTATTTCCATCAGTTCGGGCTCCGTGGGTCAGTATGTGTCTAAATCAGGGTCAGTCAAGTATGAACAAGTGCAGCTTTTATTCAGAAAGTTGTTTCCTTCTGTGACTTTAATATTATCGTACATTAGGAGCACAGATTGAGGTTTCTCTCTCTCATGATTTGGCTGAAAATTCATTGAAAATAAGAGTCAGTTACTGCCAAGAGATGGGCATTATTAAAAGAAAAATGCTTGTGTTAATCCTTATTATCTTGGGTGAACTTGAGGTGAAGCACTATTGGAAAACCATTTCATTTAACGCCCGTTTTCATTGCTCATATGTCAGTGTGTGCGCTGTTCGGTGCTCATTAAGCGTAATAACATCTGTGGTGTTGTGTTTTAACTTGATCACCTCCGTTGTGTCGCTGCTGCTTGCTCAGCTCGTCTCTGCTCTTGCCTCTCTTTCTCTCTGTGACCTTCTGCCATCTCACCTCTGCCACCCTCTTTCACACAGCCACGCTAAAGTCAATGGGCGTGTCTATCTGATCATGAATAGGTGGGTAACTGCTCGCTTTCTGTGGCATCCACCACCATCCCACCTCACCTCTGACTCTCTGTTTTCAGCCCTTGCACTTACCTTGTCCCTCTCACTCTGTTCCTGCCAATGCTGATATGTCGAAGATCGTCTGAAATATCTTACCCCTCGTTTAAGGTTTTCAGGAGTTATTTTGTTTGCCTGTAGCCTTTCCTTTTTGGGTCTTCTGTTGTCTCTCTCAATCTTTAACCCTCATCTAGCCCCCTCAGCACAGATCCTCCCTCTTCTTCTTCTTCTTCTCCTACTTCGATGGTTTCAAAACTGTCAACCAAGCATGTTTGAATCTGACAGAACTGTTTTCTCCTTCCAGTATCTGGATCCCTTTACCCCCTTTTCTGCACTGAAAATTAGCCCCTTCCTGAGAAAGCTCGATCACCCCTAACCGCAGGAGCCTGTTGGCCAGTTTCGTGCATTTTTATCAAAATACGTAAATGATTTGAAGTGTCAGTTTCAGCCTGTCTTTGTCGGTTTCTCTCCTCACTGTTCGTCTTCACGTCTGTGTGTGTAACTTTATTGTTCTGAGCAGCATCAAGCAAAAAATCCCAACTCAGCAGAGCAAGTAAGTGTGACTATTGGGTAAACACACACAAAAAACAAATGCTTGCCTTGATATGTGTCCGGTTCATGCAAGCCAAACCCGACCTTTGACCTCCTCGCTCCATTGCCTGAGAAGATTTTAAAGGGTTAACTACTCCCATCAGCTGCTCCCATTTATCCGCTGCAAGAAGAAATAATCCCTCAGAAACCCGAAAAAAAAAAACGTTTAAAAAATCAAGAGATTGTTTTAAAGAATGCAAGAGGAATGTGCACTGCCTGATGAAACACCATACCACTGTTGAGTTAACAGACCCAGAGCTGATGATTCCCATCCAACATTTAATTCATAACCTTCTGAGAATCACCATAACCATGTGAGACGGTGTATTTATATACTTATGAGGACAGAGTGACGTTAATTAAGAGAGGACTGTGAGGAAAACTCCAATTTCTGGATTTTTCTGTTTCTGTTTTTGCAGATGAAGATTTGAGGCAGAAATATTCAGCCTTCTAGTGCATTAGTGCATCATCAACCAAGATCCATGCAGATCACAAATAAGACTGCAGATCTGTTATTGTATGACTGAATACTGAAGTTAAAGCTCTCTCTTTAGTGAATTACTGTAAGTGTGAAATCCGCCGGATTTCGCCGGTATCGACTGCAGATTTGGATCTTTTAAGCATCGACTGTATAAAGAATGGATGCCGTCTGCCTCCTTGCTGGGTTTAGCCACTCCGAGAACAGCACCCTTTGTTGACGGATAATATGTAGACCTCATTGTGGGGATATTTTGACCCGTCTGCCAATTTTAGAACCAGGGATAAGTATGTTTAGACACCTAAACCACTGAACATCTTTACCCTCACTATTTAGCTCTGGCAATGCTAGTCGGTTAGACAAATTCAAGCGAGTAGGCCTAAAATACATTGCATCTAAATTGTTGCACAAGCTGGAGCTGTATCTAGGCAATGACCTCTGCCATAATGCTCTACTAATGGATGTAAAGACGTACATGACTTCTCACAGCGTGGCACAGTTTGACAGTATTTTGTTTATTGAAAATGAAGTTAAAGTTGTGAGTTGGCTGGTCTGGTAGAAGGCGCTAGCTCTGCTAATGTTAGCCTTGTCCTAGTCAGATAAATTATGCTGAGTTTTGTTTGTTTGTTCGACTGTTTTCCCAACTTGAGACAAATCGGTTAGCTGTTTAAATGACTAGAAATGACAGTGTCCTGGTCTGGTTCAAAGATCAACCAACAATCCCCTAGTTGGAGGACTTTAGAGTCCTGCTGGAGTTTTACGGTTTCAGCAGCTCTCCAGGACAAGATTTTATGGCTAAATTCTGAATTTAATCAGGAGCCAGTGCAAAGACCTGAAGATTGTCTGGATGATTTTGTCAGGAGCTTAGCTTCAGCATGTAGTTTAGGGTTTGCTTTTATGATTGCAGTGTAAACACCATCTTATTTGGTCAATTACATCTCTCAGAGTGGCGCCCCTTATCTATTTTGAGCAAGTCTCAGTTAAAGACCGTATGTTACACAGAGGCTTCACTCATTTCAGAATTTTCTTACAACCTACAGTTGCTGAAATAACAACATGATAAAGATTTATGAAAAACAAAATGCAAATTTTGTCAGGTCCATATCAAAAGAGGAGAAGATAACTTGTTTGTTAAACTTATTTCGATCGATTATGTCTGATGAAAACGTTTAATCTGGGACATTTTATCAGATGCACTTGCATTAAGATACGTCTTCACAGAGATGAATACGGTCTCATCAGATCACCTCTTCTAGCTTCTAAAGCCCGCTAAAATGTGATTGTTTAATGACAAAAGTACCACAAACAGACACTAGAACACTCGCCTAGGTAAAAATCTAGATCCCTTAATGCATATTTTAACTTTTTATGGAGTAGGCAACTCAGCTGCAACCTACTCCTTATGAAGAAAACCCCAGAAAGCCCCTCACATGGCATCATGTGTGACAAAAAACATGTTGAATGTCCTCATAAGTATAGAGATACTGATGTTTGTCTGTGTGGGTCTGCATGAATGTGCCTGTGTCTGATACCTCCTTATTTGTCTCCAGGCTGGTGCACCCTGATGGCAGCCTGGCAGACCTCACCATGCTCAGCATCAGCTCCGTGGAGGCAACGCTGCCCAGAGAGGAGCAGGAGCCGCAGGACAAGCAGGAGGAGCAGGGGGAGAAGGAGGAGCAGGGAGGCTGGAGGACCGAGAAGGAGAAGGAGAAGGAGAAGGAGAAGGAAGAAGCGCTGGTTGTTGTGTTGAGTGAGACAAAAACAGGCGACGAGAAGCCCAGGACGTTCTCCGACGGGCGGCAGTCGAGCACGGATGAGAGCCACCACTGCAGCATGGGGGGCGAGCCGGAGCCGAGCACGGAGCAGAGTTCAGGTAGTGAGAAACTGCAACACAGGAAGTCCACGAAGTTTAACAAAACCACAAACAAACAGTGTTAAATACTGAGTCTGCACCTGGTTCTTGTTTTTGAAGATCTTCTCATGCGATGGTGCACACTTTGATGGAAACTCTGTTAAATGTTGAAGAGTCACTTGAGCGTGGCAGCCCTGCACTTTGTTCAACCGTCTGCGAACACATCAGTATGTAAACAGTTTAGTTATATATGTGTAACATCTACAGGTGAGGGTCCTGGAGTGATAAATAGCCGTGTTAGGTCAGCTCGCCTGTCACGGTTTGATGAAGATGCAGAGCGGGAAAAGCTGTGTGTCTGCAGTGGCAAAAACCAGAACGTATATATTGTATTTCTGAATGGGAATCTGCTCCTTTAACTTTGTTTAACTTGTTGAATGGCGGTGTGTGTAGTCGAACAAAAGCTTGTCAAGAGATGCCCTCTAGTTTAGTGTTAAAGTAAATAATGTGCCTTTAGACTGGCACGCTGTTTGACTAACATGACATTTGTATAGTCGTGGAAAAGATATCGGAGCAACAGAGTTACATACTCTACATTACACATGATACTCTGAGTGTCTCTGAGGCATCCTGATGGTTTCTGTGGCATTTATATGAAGTAATTCCACCATCAGAGAGTTTATAATGTTTGAAGTACTTGAGGAAAAACAAATTTATGCTCATCTGCCTCGGTGCTTTACAAGGTTTGATTTAAACACTTCACGTCTCATGTGAGCTTTTCGTCTTCGTCTGTTTTCCTCTGAAGTACATTAAGCGTCTGCAGGGCGTGTTCGCTCTCCTCACATTGTTTACAGCCACCCTCAGACACGAGTGTGGAGATATTTCTCTCACATTTTTCTCAGCCCGGAGCTGAAGACGTATGTTTCATACAATCTTGAAAGACCGGGGCTCAGTCTGCAGCCCTGAGTATCTGCTGGCTGCAGTCTCACCAGCGACTCATTCATCATCCCGAGTAAAGCTGTTAAAATCTGGTGTATTGCAGGTTTTTGGGGTTCGGTGAGATTTACCTCCACTTTTGTGTTCTGACACAGCACATAGCTCAAATGCTCACTTTCGCCCATTACACCGTCCTCTTACAGCCAACGATCGCTGCGCCATTAGCATATTTACGCAGACATTCACACCGCTCCTAAATTAAAATGCTGTTTATATACACAGAGAATAAAATAGGTGATAAAACCTGGCTCTGCAGGGCCTCTCACTTTCTAATGAGCTGTGAGCTGTACGTGCTATATGCTCCTCAGAGTTTCTTATCCAAACAATGAAGCCTCTATTACAACCCGAGGTAATATGGCTTTTGTGAAAACTAACACCCTCCACTGAACTGTGGCTGGAGATTTTATATCCTTTGTGAGAATATAAAACAAACGTTAAGCCTTTATTACCAGGTTATTAAAACAACAGTTTGGAATTTGCTTGTTAACGAAGATTTTTTTTGTTTCCATACATTTAGTTTGAGTTTTTATCGCCTGAGAGGGAAAACTTGATTTCACAGCCAATTCAACGTAAAAACACACAGATTCAAACACGGCAGCAGGCAGATGAAGATATCGCAGCACATACAGAAGGAAGCGCTCCTTTATTTTGATGTCCTTTGCCACGATCAGGAAGGCAGAAGTGAGCTGTGATTATTTAAGAAGTGTTGCTGGACTCAGGAATGTTTGGCATGTGAAGGCTCTGTTGTTTCAGGTCTGAGGGTTTGGACGCGAGGAGGCAGATGATTTTACAGATACAATGTCAAATACTGATTTGTTAGTGTTGGAGATGTTAAACATAACCGAGAAGCAGGGAAAGAATAAAACAACATGTTTTTTTTTTTGGTGATGCTTTTATAAAGCAACAGCAGGAGGTGGGAGCAGTAGTCAGTGATGAAGGTGGAGTCTTGCTGAGCTTGTTTTTTTAGATAGATATGACAGTGGATCCAAGTTTAGTTACTAACCTTAGTTGGCTTAGTTTATTTCTAATTGTTTAGTTTTATATCTTAACATGCTGAATGTGTAAGAGAGGTAATATGGACTGTATGTTTCAAAATGCAGTCATATTTTAACATGTGCTTAGTATCGACCTATATCAGTATACAAGCCAAATAATACCCGATGAAGTGACGAATTGGATGCCTTAAAATATCGGCCAGTGTTGCATGACTCAATGTTCAACATTGACGCAACAGTTGTGAATTCAAAGCCAATACTGATGGTTACACTGATACTCGTATTGATACAAATACAGGTACAGATAGTGTTATGGGTACTTATGCAGACACTAATACTTATATAGATACCAAAACTGATACAGCTACTGATACAGATGCTGACAAAGATTACAGATTATGTTAAAGATTCTGATACAGATACTAAAATGGATACCAATACTGAAAAAGGACAGAAACAATAAAAATTTGCATACTGATATAAATAGTTCTACAGACACAGATAGAATCAGTGTATAGAGGTACTAATACAGGTACTGATAAAGACACTGATACAGATAAGGTTACTGATACTGATACTGATACAGAAACAGATACTGATACTGATACAGAATACGTGTACTGATACAAATAGTTGTACAGATACAGATAGAGACAGTATATACAGATAATAATACAGAAACTGATACCAATACAGAAACAGGAACCTCACATACAGGTACAGATAAAGACACTTTGACAGATACTGACATAGGTACTGTTACAGACAGTGTTACAGATACTGATACTGATACCAATACCATTATAGATACAGGAGCCTTATAAAGTAACTGTCTTTGATGCAGATTCTGACAGAGATACTAATAGAGGTACTGATACAGACACCGATACAGATAAAGTGACAGATACTGATACAGAAACCTAACAGATACTAATGCAGGTATAGATAAAGACACTCAGACAGATACTGACATAGGTACTGTTACAGACAATGTTACAGATACTGATACTGATATCGATACTGATACAGATACAGGATACATGTACTGATACAGACACAGAGCCTAATAACAATACAGATAGTGTCACAAATATTGATAAAAGATACTCATACTGATACTGGTATAGAAACAGATATTTATACAGATACTAATATACATACTGATACTTGCAGATTACTGATACATGCTGAAAAGATACAGCCATTTAAACAGACATAACACTTTTAATGATACTGATACAGATACTGCTACTGATACAGGCCTGATACTGATAACGATCTTTATATAGATACAGACAAATACTGCCACTAGAACAGACAAGATACTTATATATTTACCAATTCTAAACCAGGTAGTGATACAGATACTGCCACTGATACAGGCATGATACTGTTACGGATACTGACACCGATACCTCAGTTTCCTGGTCTGGTTTTCAAATAATCCAGAATCTTTGATGTGTCTGAACTTTTACGAGTGTCTGTCTTTGTCCTACAAACTGCACGTTTCTAATCTTTCTCCTAGACAGCGTAACACTCTCACTGTGCCGACATCGCCTTTCACATCCGACCATGAAAACAAATCAGAGTTTGTCCAGCTGATGACTTCATCTGTCGAATAAAAGCTGTCATCTTTGAGTTATGGAGCAGGTGTATTAGCTTAAACTGATGCGGAACAACAGACACACTTCAGCTACTGACATGGCACATGGTGGATTATTTACAGATGGGTCAACGTCTGTAAACAGAGCAAACATTATCCAGTACAGATGTTCCGCTGACACGTGAGAAGTGATAGATTCCAGCTTTTCGTACTGGAGAATGATCTTTTTTACTTTGTTGAACTGAAACTTTAACCCACTTTTTTAGCGGTAATGTCTCTGTAGTCATAAGTGTTTGTTTACAGCTATAGCGCTCTGGCACCAAAGGTAAATTTAACAGGCTTTGTCAGAACTTGTTAATTGGTGTTTTCATGTGCTTACCCGGAAGAAGAGAGAGCGTCACACACCTATTTCTGAAATGTGTTAAAAACCGTGAAAACAAAGTGTAAGAGGAAGGATAAGAGGGTTTGAGCGGAGGACAAACGGCTGTAATTAAGAGGTGAATCCTTGAAACACTTTCCACTCGCACCTCTGCAGCTGTGTTGTTTTTTCCATGTTAGTTAGTGCGTCTGGTTTTTGTCTCCTCTTCTTTAGATCTGAAGAATAAATGGCACCTGGTGGTGGACCGTCTGACCGTGCTCTTCCTCAAGTTCCTGGAGTATTTCCACAAGCTGCAGTTGTTCATCTGGTGGCTGCTGGAGATCCACATCATCAAGATCGTGTCCTGTTACATCGTCATGGTCTCTGTCGAAGAGGTGTGTGACCCAGAGTCAGAGGGTAGTCAGGCTAACTTGAGTTATTTGCTTGGCCTAATAAAGCTGCTGATATATGAACGGGAGAGAAAGAAATCAAAGCAGTCAAATTAACATTATTTTTGTATTTTTTTTTTAGTTTTTAAGCTCATCCACTTCTCTGTAAAAATATACAGGAAGGTGCCAAATTGTGTTTGCTAGCAGCTAAAATTATGCTCTTCCCTCCTTCCTCCTGTGTGTGTGTCTCTCTGCTCCGTCCTCCATCAGAGTCACTAAACCGAGAACTGTCCAAAACACTCTTCACACTTGGATTTTGTGATACTTTTTTTTTTTTTGCCTTTGTTCTATTTTTCTTCAAACTTGTTTTCCTAGATTCCTGAACTAAGACGCTTTAGTTCTTTCGGACCACCAAATGTAGTCGTTTCAGTTATGGTGGATGGCTGTCCACCAAAGAGTCTGGTTCTGTCTGAGGTTTCTGCCTACCAATAGGAGGTTTTCTCTTACAACTATTGACGCTCACTGATGGATTAATGTTGTTTTTATATGTACCTATGATGTAAATATATAAGATAACATTTATTTGCACTTATGTCATGTTTGTCATACCTGATTCATAAATATAGAGATAAGGTTAAAAACAGATTAACAGTCTGATTCATGCCTCTGTTGGAAGAAATGATGATTAGAGTTGAAAAACCTTGCTTTTCTTTTTTAAAACTCCATTATTCGTAGAAATATCCCTCATATCCCCTTGCGCATGACACTCGTTAATTGTACGTCTCTTTTTAATCTCCTCATCACCTGAGTCTTGTCTCCTCTGCAGGTGTCTCTGTTGAACTGTGTGTTCCTGGTGTCCTGGGCCTTTGCACTGCCCTACAGCCAGTATCGGCCCCTCGCCTCCAGCGTTTGCACTGTCTGGACGTGTGTCATCATCGTATGCAAAATGTTGTACCAGCTGAAGTCTATCAAACCTCCAGCATATTCGAAGAATTGCACTATGGTGAGTAGAATCACCAGACTTTTTGTAACCTCGTCATACGACTTATTTTGAGCATTGGCTGGGAGGGAATTTTGCAGTGAATGACTCAGCCTAAAACACTCCTTCTCTATCCACAGCCAAATAGCTACACAGATGTGCAGAAGAGCGAGATGAAGGACTCCCTGCTGTATAAAGAACCAGTGGAACCAGCACACTGGGTGGGCCTGAAGAAGCATGATGACCTGCTGGGATACCTCAGGGTAAGAAGTCTGCAAGCTTCCAGTAAACACACGATTCCAGCTGAGGGAGGCAACTTTATAAAAAACAGAGGATTTAGTCGAAGGAATAGTTTGAAAACTTAATAATAACAAATACTTCTCTGTATTTGACGCTTTAACTTTATTCAGGAGTCTTATTTTTATGCTCATGTAAGGAAAGAGAGGTGTGCATTCTCTTATATGTCTGTCTCCGTCCCTGCAGAACAACCTCTTGATGCTCGCTCTGTTAGCGTTCGAGGTGACCATCTACCGTCATCAGGAGTACTTCAGACTGAGGAACAAACTGTCGCCTCCCGCCGCAAGGATCATCTTCCATGATATCACACGGCAGCACCTAGACCTGGGCATCATCCCTTTCGTCAAATACTTCATCAACTACTTCTTCTACAAGTTTGGACTCGAGGTATAGACAAGCGGCGTGGGCCAGAAACGAGTTTTATCAGGAAACTGTCGTCTCTGTCGCTTCATTCGTCTGTTTCTGATGTGTTCCCTCAGACGTGCCTGCTGCTGGTGGTTAATGTCATCGGGCAGCGTATGGACTTCTACGCCATGCTGCATGCCTTGGCTTTGATAGCAGTGATGTATAAACGCAGGAGGAAAGCTATCGCTGAGATTTGGCCAAAGTACTGCTGCTTCTTGGCCTGCATGCTGACTGTCCAGTACTTTGTGTGCATTGGGATCCCTCCAGCGGCCTGTAAAGGTTTGTGCAATCCACACTGCTGGATTTAACTGTAGTTAGATTTATTTCATGTAACTAAAGATCATCTAGACTTAAAATTGTTTGGCGTATTTAAAATAATAGATCTTCAGATGTGGTTTTGAAATTGTCTTTGTGAGTTATTCGCTTTGATTTATCATCTCAAGACTCTTATCGGCGGTCCTTTTCCGGTTAAAGTGCTCCATAAATAAACCAGACATTATAATGACGTATTTGAGATGATAATGGTGAATGTTTTAATTTCAGATTATCCCTGGAGGTTTCCGGACTCGACTACAGACTCTAATGTGGTGAAGTGGCTCTACGTCCCAGATTTCCTCACCAGACCCAAACCAACTTTCCTCATCTGTAAGTAAAACCGTTCCTCTTCATTCAAACTTGATGTCTGCGCGTTATCTGCAGATTTCTGAGTTTTCTCTTTCTCATCCAGATGACTTCATGTTGCTGCTGTGTGCCTCCATGCAGAGGCAGGTTTTTGAAGACGAGAATAAGGCAGCAGTTCGTCTCATGGCTGGAGACAATGTGGAGATCTGCAGAGACCTGGACGCAGCGTCTTTCAGCGTCCACAACCCTGTCCCAGACTTCATTTACTGCAGGTGATGATTTTTTCAGCATTCATACTTTGATTTCATCATTTAAACTTACTTATTTTTATTTTTTTATCTTTATGAAAAAGTCTCATTCTTGTGAATCCAGTGCAATAACTACATGGCGCCCAAACCAAGTTTTCATAATTTAGGTTTTCTTGGCATCAGAGTTGGTGGAGAGTTTTACCCTCCACAGTTGACTCGTGTTGAGTTATCATCAGGATATCATATATATTTTAAGTCATTACCTTGAAAGTGCTTGAAATTCACTCTTAAGAAGCCGTAATTGCACTAATCTAACTTTACAGATTATCATCTAGATTGTCAGCGTTAAATCCAGAAGACTTGGGTTGTCCACGGGTTCAAGTCTAGTTTGTATCTCTACAAATAAAAAACATTTAGGGCACTGTGAGAAGTTCTTAACTGGGTTTGAAACAGTCTAACTCCAAAACTGAAACTCTATGACCTAAAAAAACAAAATTAGACCATCAGCAACAAACTTTTTGCTGAGGACTTATTCTTAAACAAACTTTAGTGCTAGACAATGATTAAGGCTGCATCAAGAGCGGTGTGCCCCACCTCCACTTTTTATTTTATTTTGTAGTTTTTTTTTAAATTTTGTTTTATTTCTATTTACCTTTGCTGTTTATGTAAAAGAAAAAAGCAAATAAATAAAAAGTTAAAAAAAATATATATATATAAAAAAAAAAAAAAAAAAAAAAAAACTTTAGCACTTGTGTTCAGGTCTGATGGTTCAATATTGGACACTCACCTGAAAATATCAAAGTTTAGATCATCTGAGGTAAAGTTTGATAGTGAGATATTAAGACCCCAGAAACAAAACAGCTGTGCATTCTGTCAGATGGTGATAAAAAAAACTTACTTTGATGGTTTTTTAAAACATTTTAACTCTATTTTCTTAAAAAGACAATAAATTAGAGTGACTATATTCTGAATAACCAAAAAGAGAACACTACTAGGAGGGGCGGAGTCATGCGTAGTAAATTTTGAGGGTTTTTCGCGTCGGGTCGAGTGTTTTTTTTACACGCTTCTAACTCAGTTAATTCACGCTACACAAACTCAAAACTTTCATATAAAACCCTGGACATTTAAAGGATTTTATAAACTCCCCCAAACAAGGCCGGACAGCCCCCCAAAAAAGAGGACATGTCCGAGTAAAAGAGGACATAAGTTCACCCGACAATAAGTAAAATGTTGAAACTGAATGTAAAAATACTCGTTGACAAAGACATCTAAACACTAAAAAGTCCTCTTACGTAAAAAGCAAGGAAACACGAGGAGGAAAATCGAAATGTTATGAATATAACTTCTGTTCCCTGAAGGAGAGGAACGAGGTACAACACATATAGTATGGGATATCACGCCCCTGCGTGACCTGACTGAAGACACCTTTATTCACGCCTTTAAGGCAGATGATCTGTGGTGACGTCTGGGAGGCTCCGCCTGCACATATATACGTGTAACACCACAGTCATCCTTCAGTTCGATAGCCGCTCTTCACCGAGCTCTGCCGCGCAGCGGGGCAACCCAGTGTTGTACCTCGTTCCTCTCCTCCAGGGAACAGAAGTTATATTCATAACATTTCGTTCCCTTTCAGTCGATTCACTCGGTACAACACATATAGTATGGGACATATATACACGCCCCGCAGAGCAGCCACCGAACCGAAGTCAAACCTCCAAAACTTTTAGTGCATTGTAGACCCAGCAGAAAGGACAGCGTGAGCCACCGAAGGTGCTGTCACATCCAAACGGTAAAACCGAACAAAAGTGTGCGGTGATGACCAACTGGCTGCAGTGCAGATATCACTCACAGAAACCCCTTTAAACAAGGCCCAAGAGGCCGCCATTCCCCTGGTTGAATGTGCCTTCACACCTTGGGGCAACGGGAGACCCCTGCTGCCGTATGCTAAGGAGATAGCCTCCACAATCCAGTGGGAAAGCCGCTGCTTAGACAGCGCCTTGCCCTTGGCTGGATTAGCAAAACAGACAAACAACTGGTCACATAAACGCACACTCTGAGTGCGGTCTATGTAAGTGCGTAGTGCACGCACAGGGCACAAGGAATGCAACCTCCTCTGCTCCTCAGATGCAAATGGAGGGGGGCAGAAGCTCAGCAGTTCAAAACTCATAGAGCTATAGGCTGTGGGGATAATCTTAGGTAAATACGCCGCGTTTGGACGCAATGTAGCCTTAGATCCATCCGGAGTGAACTGGGTACAAGAGGGATGCACAGACAAAGCATGAAGGTCGCCCACTCGCTTTGCAGACGTCAAAGCAAGTAGCAGTGCAGTCTTGTATGAAAGAAATTTCATGTCTGCTGACTCAATAGGCTCAAATGGGGGTCCACCAAGAGCCTCAAGCACCAACCCTAAATCCCATGAGGGAACACTGGGTTTAAGAACAGGTCTTAGCCTGCGGACTCCCTTTAGGAAGCGCATAGCAAGAGGGTGAGCGCCTGGCGTCACACCATCAAAGCCAACATGGCATGCAGATATAGCCGCCAAATAGACCTTAATTGTTGAGAAAGAGAGACCCTTATCCAGCAGGTCCTGAAGGAATGTTAAAACATCCACAATAGAACTCTGAAATGGGAGTACATTTCGGTCCTGACACCACTGCTCAAACGCCCGCCATTTATAGGCATATAGGCCCCTAGTAGATGATGCCCTTGCACTCTGGATTGTTGCCACCACATTTGGGGGTAGACCCTGAGCCATTAAGTTGGACCTTTCAACAGGTAAGCATGTAGTTTCCACAGTTCTGGGCGCGGGTGAATCACCTCTCCTCCCGCCTGGGAGAGGAGGTCCCTGCAAAAAGGGAGCTGCCAGGGCCTCGCTACCAGCAGACTGATTATCTCTGCGTACCACGACTTCGCCGGCCAGCGAGGAGCCACCAGGATCAGGGAGAGCCCCTGCTGGCGCACCCTCTCCAGAATGGGCAGAATCATTTCCACTGGGGGAAAAGCATATAGCAGCGTGTTGGGCCATGGGTGAGCTAGCGCATCCATCCCCAGGGGAGCATTGCAGTCTGTTATGGAAAAGAACAGGGGGCAATGAGTATTTGCTCTGGAGGCAAAAAGATCTACTTCTGCCTTGCCGAAGCGGTCCCATATCTGAGCCACCACTAGTGGGTGCAATCTCCACTCTCTCACAAGAGGACCCCCCTGGAGAGAAGGTCTGGTCCAAGGTTTAAGTGACCCGGAATATGTGTGGCTCTGAGGGACAGAAAATGAACACTGCACCATAGCAACAGATAGTGAGACAGTTTTAACAGGGGAAGAGAGCGTGTCCCTCCCTGCTTGTTTATGTAAGAAACCACGGTTGTGTTGTCCGTCCTGATCAGAACATGATGGCCTGTCAGAACGGGACGAAAGTGCTTCAGAGCTAAAAGGGTAGCTAGTAGCTCCAGGTAATTGATGTGGAGTTTGCATTGTGCTGGCGTCCACACACCTCTCACTGCTGCGCCCTCGCACAGAGCCCCCCAACCCCTCAGGGATGCGTCTGTGGACACCACCTTGGGAAAAGACACCCTCCCTATCGGAGATCCCTGTTGTAGAAAACCGGGTTCTCTCCACGGGAGAAGAGCCGACATGCAAGACTGAGTTATCGTCAGCCTCCTCTGGAGGTGACGCTGCGCGCACAGCCGGTGAGACTGAGTCCAGCGTTGAAACGCTCTCATTTTTAACAGTCCGAGCGGCACTACAGCGATCATAGATGCCATCATGCCTGTCAGCTGTAAAATCGTCCGGAAACACAGTTTGCGTCCCAACTGAAATTGTGCAAGGCAGCGGTGAAACGCAGCCACCCTGCGTTCTGACAGACGTGCTCGGCTTGAAACGGAGCATATTTCCAGCCCGAGAAATGATACCTGTTGACTCGGAGTCAGTGAACTTTTCTGTAAATTTACTGAAAAGCCCAGTGTTTGGATGTGCGATAGGGTCAATGACAGCTGAGCCGCTGCTCGCTCTCTGGAGCTCGCGATTAGCACCCAATCGTCCAGATAGGCTAAGATGCGAACACCTTTCTCCCGTAGCGGAGCTAATGCCGCCTCGACACATTTGGTGAATGTTCGGGGGCGAGTGATAAGCCGAACGGCAGCACCAGGTATTCGTAGGCTATGCCCTCGAATGCAAACCTTAGAAACTGCCTGTGGTCCGGATGAATTGCTACGTGAAAGTAAGCATCTGTCAGATCGATAGTTGTAAACCAATCTCCCGGTCTGATCGCGCCCAGTAGCTGTCTGAGTGTTAGCATCTTGAACCTGTAGGTTCGTAGGTATTTGTTTAACACTCGCAAGTCTAGGATAGGACGGAGCCCTCCTCCTTTTTTCGGAACAACGAAATAGCGGCTGTACCAACCTTTGTTCGTTTCCGAAGCGGGAACAACTCGTATCGCCCTCTTGTTCAACAAGTTGTTTATTTCTTCCCTCAGCACTGCTGCTGCTTCCTCTGCTACAACTGTGTGTATTACAGAGTGAAAGCGAGGCGGCCGGACCCTGAACTGTAAGCGGTAGCCGATGGCAACAGTTCTCTCTACCCACGGTGAGACTGCGCATGCGCGCCACCGAGAGAGACGAACAGTCAGTCGACTGACCTCCAGTACTGTGGGGGAGGGGTTGTCGCCCCCTAGCGTGCCGGCTGGGAACGGCAACACTTTCTCGCCCAGACCTGATTGATTCATGATGTTTTGAGAACAAAACGAAACCTTTATTTGATTCAAAGAACGTACATTTGTGACATTCACACAGTGAACAACAGGCGCCATTATTGGGGCATGTGTATGTGAGGGGGGGTTGTGCTTGGGAGACTGTGTTAAGGGAGTGCAGCGCCTCTCGGGACCGGACCCCTGAACGAACTTTAAACGCGGCCTCTTTGGCGGCAGAAAATGAAGGGCGGCAGTGTCTCCGTGCTGCTGGCCCTCTCGAGTCGATCCCGAAGCTAGGATGACTGCTGCTTCTTCTTCCTGGGCGCCGAGTCCCTCCGGAAGCTCGGTGGCGGACCCTTGTTCCAAGCCGAAGGGCGTGGGTTCTGACCGGGTACATATCGCTTCACCGGCTGGGGCCCCAAGCTGGCGGGCGCTGCAGTCCTCTTAGGGGGAGGCGCTGGTGCCGGTTTGTGCGGATAACCCTGTTGTTTGGGCCTCGCATCACGCCTGGGGATGATGCTTCTCAAAGCTTCGGTTTGTTTTTTCCTCAGCTCAAACTTAGCTTGAATGTCGTCGAGGGACTGCCCAAACAAACCGCTGGCCGACACAGGCTCGTCCAGATAAACCGCTCTGTCCCTCTCCGGAACGTCGGAGAGAGTCAGCCACAGGTGCCTCTGCGCCACCACCGTGGAAGCCATGCCTCTACCGAGAGACAGCGCTGCACAGCGGGACACACGGAGGATGTAATCTGTGGCGACCCTAGCTTCATTGAGGAGAGGAGTAAGCGGACTGTCAGGAGGCATACGCGAGCCGAGTTCTGCCAGACACATAGCTTGATATGTCTGAAGCATAGTGACGGAGCTCAGTGCACGAGCCGTATTTGCCTGTGTCCTGTAAATTTTATCCAGCTGTGACGCTGAAAATCTACAGTGCTTGGATGGGAGCGTGATGGGGCCACCGACACCGTGATTCTGGGCCGGGGCCAGATAAGCTGCCAGGGACGCCTCCATAGGCGGAGGGTTCACCAATCCAGCTTTTTCAGCTCCATCTAGATCCAGAAACTGTCCACAACCGGGCACTGTGGCGCGGGTGGACAGCGGCTTGTTCCATGTCGAGGTTAGTTCCGCGACAAAATCCGGGTACATGGGCAAACTGTTCTTAACAGTCGTCGGTTCGGGTGGGAGAAAAAACCCTGTGAACCGCGACGGTTTTTGAGCTGGAGGAGGAGAGGGCCATTCTACCTCCAGTTTCTCAGCTGCACGGCGGTACAGTGAGAGGAAGGATGTGTCGTCCAGATCAACCGGCGCAGCAGCGGCGGCATACTGACCTGAAGACAACGGCTCCAGCTCATCTTCCGAAAAACCCTGCACGTCCAGGCCGATGTCCAGCACGTCATCGTCCTCCTGGTAACAAGCAAGCCCGGATAGCGGCTGGCCAGCGCCCTCGGAGGGGCCCGGCTCAAACCCAGCTGACCCGTCAGCACACTCCACATGGTCTGCCCAGCTTCCAACTGAGCCTTCGACCAGAAAGTCCTCACCACCGGACTCGGACGAAGCCGGGTCTCTGGACTCGGAAAGGAGGGGGTCGTGCTGCGCAACAGCGGTTTTTCCAAGAATTTTCTCCACAAACTTGACCCGCCTTCCCAGGGTTGAGCTCCGAAGCCGGTGACAGGACTCACACGACTCGGGCTCAGTCAACGCCCTCCTGGCGTGGACAATCCCCAGGCAAACGGGACAAGCCTCGTGAAGATCCTTCTCGTGAAGGGAGAAGCCGCACCCCTGAGGACAGGGGCGAACAGAAGACTTCGCCTTCACCTTCATGGGCTTAGAGCTCATAACGAGACTCAAAAGCTGAACGAAATTAGCGCTCCGCGGGTAGCCGTAGGCTAACACCAACAGGGGCAGTTGAGCTAAAGTCGATCAAGCAGTAGCCAGAGACAAGACCAGGCTAATTTAGCAGCAGCTAGTTAGCCCGACTCGGTGTAGGTGTTCTCAGCGAGGTGAAGAGCGTAAGAACTGAAGGATGACTGTGGTGTTACACGTATATATGTGCAGGCGGAGCCTCCCAGACGTCACCACAGATCATCTGCCTTAAAGGCGTGAATAAAGGTGTCTTCAGTCAGGTCACGCAGGGGCGTGATATCCCATACTATATGTGTTGTACCGAGTGAATCGACTGAAAGGGAACTCCTTTTTAGGTTAGTTTAACCAGTTTGTGACATGCTGGTTATGAAGGAGGAAACTGCAGGGATGCTGAGTTTCTCTGAGGTAAAAATGGGGAGAGACGTAAGTAAGTAAAACGCTAAAAAATTTCTGTATCTTTTCCCCCTCTGTAATATTACAAAGAAATGTACAACACTGCGTTAAAAATAGACACAACTCTGAAAAGATTACGTCTGAAAGGAAATAAACACAGCATGAAAACTTGATAGATCTTTACGACATTTGTAGGAAAAGGAAATGTCACATTTGGTTTATGGTCACAGAGCTAAGAAGAAGATAAGATGTGAATTTATCAGGAAGTAAAAAACACTTTCCCATCCGAGTGCCTCATTGCTCCATGATTTCTGCATTTTGTATTATTTGTCTAAGAAATACAACATTGATTCAGCACCAACATCCAAGACACGGTGAAATCAGACACTTGAGTCCAGTGTGGTCAAGCTGCCAAAAGCAAACTCAGTCTAAAACTGTTGTTGCTCTTGGCTGCAGACTGTGTTACTGGAGAAATCTTAAGTGGGGTGGTGCTGAATAAGAACCTCTTTACTCAGCAATCTTTTGTCCTAGATAAATAAAGGTGAGAAAAAATGACAGGAGCTTACTGAGTCATCATTGAGTAACCACTGAGAGCGTGAGTCCGAACTTTAGCTGCTGCCCGATATTTGAATCCAGAGATACCAGAGACTGACTTTACACGTGAAAAAAGACAAGAGTGAAGGTTTTGGAGGCGGGGCCGTACAGCGAGAGCATCCTGACCTGTCCACAGTCATTGATTATGTGCTCTTCACATTCCACTGTTTTGATGCACAAAGTGGACAAGTCTTTTATTAACGCACTCTGTGTCCATCAACAAGCCTTACAGCAGAGAGAAAGAGAGCCGTACAGCCTGTCTGTCCACGCCACAGCAGCTCTGCACTTATTCCATCGTTTCCCTCCAGGATCGAATTACGGATACGGGGTGGGGGCGGGGGAGAAATCCATAATCCACAAAAACACTCTGTCCGTCACTCCACGACTCAGACGCTTTTGCCCTGTACTCTAACTCAATAAATAGCTTTTAAGTATGGAAAAGGTATTTTCTCCCCCTGATGAAGAAGGACACTCACTCAGCTATTCCGGCCCATCAACACAGCGTCCCATCCTAACCCACTTCATCAAAGCTGCTTCCTAAACAGAGCAGCTGTTATCGGCTTTTCATGGTGCTCCAGGTCAGCCGGCTTCCTTTGTGTTCACACATCATATTAACCGTCATGCTTTCAGCTTATTAGGCACACACACAAACAAAAAAACACACACACACACAAGACATGCAGAGCTTTACCTGCGCTGTGTGACAGGAGTCAGGTTTCTCTCTGGTTCACTTTTATCGATCAGACTCTTACCGGTGTCCTGACGCTAAGTGATACACTAAGTGTGATTGATGGGTCGATTACGCACCCTGCAACAGAATGAACTCGAATGTTGTTTCGACCCCGATTTTGTGGGCAACATGCATCCTACCAGCAGCTGAGCTCAGATGGTGAGGGTTGGTTAGGACTTCAAAATAAAAGCGTAGTAGGAGTCAGAAGGTGCTCCAGTTGGTTTAGCATGAAGAGATAAAACATAAGAAATCCTATCTTCATGAGGCATGATGTCCACAGCTTATAATATACTATGCATTTAAAGGCTTATAAATGTGAACATACTGCATTGTAAGCAGTGGGTCTGTTGTTTTTTTTCACATTTAAATCCCTTGAAAACTTCTATATCTTATACTTTATCTCAAAAAAGTCAGAAAATCAACTTAAAATACTACCAAGAGTGACACAATGACTAAATACACAAAAATACTACAAAGTCATGCTACCTGTCGCTAATTTGCTTCATTATCATTTCACAGCTATTTGTATATGTTACACTCGGGAAAATAAACACACATTTAACTATTCCTCTTGATTAAAGGAGGCCTAGTTTGCTGGTCATTATTGAAACACATGCATTCAAAGTTACAATGTTAGATATCCATTAAAAACCTCAGTTCAGTTTCAAGATAATAAAATATACAGTGGAAATGTAACGATAAATGGACAATAACTACTCCACAAGCTGCTCATCCCCTCCCACATTAACTCCTCACCTGTCTTTCCCTCTTTGTTACGGACTGGATGGGGTGGAGTCACGTCTCTGACGTAGGACAGGGTCTTAAAGGGACATGAGACCATAGCCTACCTACACACATCCAAAACCAACTTTTACGTATTCATGTTTTTTGACACCTAATGTATAGATATGGGCAAAATGACATCGGTGATTGTTGTAAATTTCTGTATTGGAAAATTTTCAGTGTATCGCCCAGCCCTATCTCATACTGTGTTTTCTCCAGTGTTTACCTCATGTAGTTTTGTTATTTCTCAGTCGTGAACAACAGTTACAGTTGTGTCATTAACCTCTCCTGTCTTTTCCCACCGCAAACAAACCAGTTAAAATAAACTGGACTTCTTTTAGTGCGTCAAAATAGCCACAGTTAGTCCTTAAGAGTTTGTGATTGCAAACGCAGATTGTATCTTTGGAGAATTGATCATCATTTGTGAACTTAAAAACAGGATGCCCTTAAAAAAATCTGGACTTACACAAAATGTTGCCAACAGCTGAAAAGACCATGAGACTCTGTGGTTTTAATGAATATCTCTGCAGACGTATTTTAATATGGGATCACAGATAATATATGTCTGATATTTAGCTCCCACCTCTGCTCTGTAGGTCCTACCTGGACATGATGAAGGTCATCATGTTCAGCTACCTGTTCTGGTTCGTCCTCACCATCATCTTCATCACGGGAACCACACGCATCAGTGTCTTCTGTATGGGTTACCTAGTGGCCTGTTTCTACTTCCTGCTCTTCGGAGGCGACCTGCTGCTCAAACCGATCAAGAAGATCCTCCACTACTGGGACTTCCTGATCGCCTACAACATCTTTGTGATCACTATGAAGAACATTTTGTCTGTGAGTTGTCGATTTCAAACTATCCACAGTGAGCGATAATGCGACTCTATGATAAAACACGAATAATAAATCCTGATGGTGATGTTTTTGCTCTCAGATTCTGGCCTGCGGCTACATCAACGCTCTGGTTGTGAATCACTGCTGGTTGATTCAGCTGCTGAGTCTCGCCTGCACCATCAAGGACTACAAAGACACAGTGAAGCCGTGTGAGTGGACCAACATCCTCTTTCTCTTTGTATTTTCTATTATCTGTTAAGGTGAAAGATTTAGCAAGAAGGATATACTGACTGTCATACGCAGGATATGAATGTACTTCCTGCAGAGCTTTAATCAAACCACCTCTATAGTTAATTCTCAGGCCGGTTTTATTCAGCACCGCCTTATCTTAATCCCTCCAAGCTACTGATTAACAGTGAATATAAACACTGCCACAATCATGTCATTGACAGAATAAGATTTGCTGTGTTACAGCGAACGAGTGTGAGCTGCCCAGCAACGAGGCCGGCATCATCTGGGACAGTATCTGTTTCGCCTTCTTGCTGCTGCAGAGACGAGTCTTCATGAGCTACTACTTCCTCCATGTGGTGGCTGATATAAGAGCCTCGCAGATCCTCGCATCCAGGTACACTTGCTGAGGCCGAGGCCGTATGTCAGAGAAAAGAGCTGTTGAGCTTGGGCAGTTCACCTTTGCAGCGTTTATTTAAACAAGGAAGAAAAAGTTGACGGTTTTCATGAAAGAAAGTAAAATTCTGACAGGAACAAATCAGGGAGTGCTGTCGAACTCATCATGTTTCATCTCTTGTAACTCCAGAGGGTTTACTTCATGTTTTATATTGATATGGAGGGAAATTAAATTTCGATATGTATTGTTATCGTTTTATTGCCCGGCCCTGTGTACAGGACAAGTTTGTCTACAACAGGCGAAAAAATTGACCTAGGAAGAAAGTTCCTCACAGGAGCTTAAAGCTGCAGAGTGACACCAGACTGAGACATTATAGTTAAAGATCAGAGGGTTCATAGGTTAGTTTAACGTGTATTTGGGGTCATCAAAAAGTGAAAATGACAGGCTGTTGTGTGTTACAGAGGGGCGGAGCTCTTCCAGGCCACCATAGTGAAGGCGGTGAGAGCCAGACTGGAGGAGGAGCGCAAATCTGTGGAGCAGCTGAAGAGACAGTGAGGCTCTGAATATTTCACTTTGCTTTGGATGTTACCAAATACAAAAAAAATTTGGTGTATATTCATGTAAAGTTAAAATGAAAAATGCACATAATTAAAACCACAGAATTAGGTACACCATGCTAGTCCAGGGTTGGCCCTTTTTCACCTTCTATAAGCTTTGTGACATGGCACGTTAGCCTCATTGACGTCCTGGTTAGGTCTATTTCATGGTTTTGATGATCTGTCATCAGACTAGCTTGGCTTTATAAAGTAATATGTGAATAAACACGGTCAGAAAGCCGTTAAAGACAGTTCACGGTTAAAAACGGAGAGGTCTGACTCCATCTTTATGATTCCAGGAAGCCATCTCTTAGTATATGATACTACATAAAAGCGCTGTATTTCCACCACTTACAGTTAGCTGAGGAGTTCCTCATAAGCACTGATAACATCCACTCACCCGCTCTAATGAGCACTCTGACGTTACGTAACGTACACTAATTTCCATATGAAGTCCGGCGATGTTTATGTGCTTGTTCCCCTGTGTCGATACTCTGTGTCTCTTCACCGTCTCTCTGATCTAATCAGGATGGAGCGCATTAAGGTGAGGCAGCAAAAGTTTAAGAGAGGCAAGGAGAAGATGCTGAGCATAGCACAAGAGTCTGGAGAAGGACAGACCCTCGTCCAGGCCGAGGAGGATGATGATGACGGTATGATGAAGGCTGTTAGGGACTCGCTCTGGTGTTTTTAGGTTTGATGGCAGCTAGCATAGAAGTGATAAAAAGTGTGTTTTCATCATGTATTTCCTTGAAAAGAGCAAATTAACAGAGAAGAAAAGTACCTTGAAGTTTTTCTTATTTAAATGTTGCATTGCTGTATTTGTGAAATTTTAGGAGCACAGCGAACGAAAGCCAAGACCAAAATAAAGCAGTGGTGGAGGCCGTGGGTTGACCATGCTTCCAGTAGGTTGACCCCCACAAACCCCCCTTTTTTCTCTTCCTCCACTCTGATTGGCCCTTGTGTCCTTGACCAGAACGCTGAGGATTCCCATACTGCCCCTGGGCTCTGAAGGCACCAACACAGTAGCTTTACTCCCCTCCCTAGACGTTAGTCCTTTTCTGTCTCTATTTAAGGGCCCTTGTAACCTGTAGCTCCTGTGTAACTGTACACTGTGTGTGTGGAGAGGCTCTTCAGTCTCAAGATGATCTATAAAAGCGTGTCAGTATCGGCGCGGAGCAGGGTTTCCTTAAATAGACACGGTGAGACAGCAGAGAAAGAGAAAAAGACTAACGGCTGGAGGTTTGTACTCGACATCTTGGAAACATAAACACCATCACTGGTCTCACCTACAGAGTCCACAGTAGAGAATCGCTCTGTTGTCAAACATCTTCATGCAAAGACATGAAGCCGGCTCGCCTTTTATTCTCAGTACTGGAATAAAGGACAGGAAGAGTCGGTTCATTCTTTGCCTGCAGACATGATCACCAAACAGGTGTGCAGATAAAAAAAGAAAAAACCATCAGAGAAGTGACCAAACTTTAAAAAAAGAAGAAGTAGACTCAGATATATAGATAGCAGCATTTTCCCAAGTTTCCTGTTTGGTTTGCACTCATGTCTCATCTCGTACTCCACCCCCACATGACATCTTCGAATCACTCCTCTATTTTCTCTCCGTCATTCGATGTTTCATCTTCATTTCCCAGCATCCTCCCTCACTCCCCCCGCCCACTGCGGTTCTGTTCAAGGACATAAGTCAGCCTTGTCTATCCCATTGCTTCTAACTCTTAACTAACGCAGACAGGAGTCACTGGCTCTGTCGTGAGGTTTAAAAGGCGATTACTACAGCAAGAGTCTCTAACAGACGTTCTTCACTGCTCACAGTTTAATCAGTCATTAGTTGATGATATGTCCTGTGTTTCCTGTCATTCCTCTGACGTTTGAGTCTGAATCATAACACACTGTACGCTAAGATAAAAGTGTAGAGAATAAGGTAGAGTTTAATGGTAAGTGGTTTGACTGTCACGCAGCTCTGTTTCAGCAAAGACAACCTCGCCTCAGACTCATTTGAAATGCTTTGGAGATGAATGTCTGTTGCCCGTGTGTTTGACTGAATGTAACTCAACCTTCTGCCCCTTAGTGGTTAGAAGTGGAGACTATTACTTGTTTGAAACTGACAGCGAGGAGGAGGCGGAGGAGGAGGAGGAGAAAAAAGACGACGAGCCACCCAAGAAGTCGGCGTTTCAGGTGACTTCCAGGAGAAAACTCATTTTCCATCGCTGATATTTATTCACTCAATTACATGTTTTTATCACTGGTGACAAAGTTCTGCGCTCATGAGTGTATTTTAGAGTTTGTGGATAGTTATTATTGATACTAACACTCACACTAATTGTTTATTAATCCTCCCTGCTTCCTAACAAAGCTGACACCTGCTGTTTCTAACAATCTGAAATAATCCTCCTAACCTGACCTAACCTCTGACTCTGTTGTCTCCCTGTAGCGAGCTATCGGGAAGTTTGTCTCTGCTGTTCTGGCTTTGCCCAAGTCTGTCATTAAGCTGCCTAAAACTATCCTGCAGTATGTAGTCAAGGCAGGAAAGGTACTCACCACCATCAGCGAACACGGCTCTCTGTCTGCATGAACGTGTTAAATACCGAGATCATCCAGAGAGAGCCGCCCTCTCCAGCTCATGTTTAGTGTCATGTAGATTATCGAACATCAACTTGACCTTTTGCATGTTCCCTCCTGAATGCATGAGCTTTATTCGGACAGGGTTTTGGTTTTTGAGTGTTTGTTTTGTCTTTTCATGTGGTCTGCTGCTGCGCCGAGCTTGTTTTAGTTGTGATGCATCCAGCTGTCGGTCCTGGTGAGAGACATTGTGTTTTATGTTACACTGGTGGTCGTGCATGTTTCTCACAACTGAATCCTGGGTGTTAATGTCAATGTGCAACTGCAGATAATAATCAGGTTTTATGACCGAAAACATGCAAACTGCCACCTTTTTCTTTCTGCTTGGTGTTGCATGTGAGACCCTTTCTTCTCTTCTGTATTTAACTCCTACTCTGTCCTCCAGTTTCTCTACCACGCCTGGATCACAGACCCCAAAGCCGCACTGAGAGCTCGAGGCAAAGAGAAACGCAAGTTCTGGAAAAAATACACCAAAGGAGTCAGACACAGAAAAAGCAAGAAAGATGGTGAGAGAGTTCAACAGACAAAGACTTACATGAAACAAACTTTAGTGTCAGTGGATTTAACCTGAGGTGTCTTTACTGCTCTCCAGCGGGTCATGTGACCATAGACTTCGGAGAGCTCTCAGATGGAGGAGATAAAAGTGAGGAGAGTAAGAAGTCTGGTAGTCCAGGTAAGTTTCTATTACAGACTTTTTTTAATGAAATCTTTTAACAATTTCTAGATTACTGGCAGTCAAGTTTCGGTTTTGGAAGGTTTGTGACCCTAAATACTCAATCAGGACTTAAATTATAACAAACAGTAATATAACAGTGGTCATTATACAGTATTTGTTCTGGGCTTTTGTGTTTGGCCGTAAAAAAATAAGAGATGAAATAATTTGAGAATTTCCCTTTAAGCGTTTGTGGGTAATTTTCAGTACATGTCAATTCTGGCGCCCCCTGTGGCCAAAGAAATCTTTGCTTATCCTGTCCTCGATGTGCTTGAGTTTTGATTTTAGACGAATAAATCTTCAACTGCTGGTTTTTGACAGTCAAATTATGTCAGTTATTATTATTATTATTATTGTTATTATTATTATTGTTGTTGTTGTTGTTGTTGTTGTTGTTATTATTATCATTACTACTTCTATAATTATTATTGTTATCATTACTATTATTTTTTTTAATCACTATTATTATTATCATTAATACTATTATTGTTTTCATTCATTCATTTATTTTTTAGTCCCGTTTTTAACATGTTTTCATATTTTAATGTACTCCCTCCCTTTGCATTATTACCCTTATTTTACCTTATCTTATTTTATTATTTATGTATTTATATCTCCTTCTCTTTTATCTGTCCTTTATCCATCTTCTTCCTTTTCACCATCCTGATGTGATGCCGTCAACCAACCGCCAATCTTCCACTGTCCATTTCTAACTGTCTATTTTTAACTGTGCTTTTTTTCGTAACTGTCAATTTCTCTTTGTTCGTTTCTGCCTTTGTTTGCTTCTCCTGTTAAAGCACTTTGTAAAGATCTGTTTTTAAAGGTGCTATATAAATAAAGTTGTTGTAATTATTATTATTATTATTATTATTATTAAATGTATTAATAATCAAGAATATTTGTGGAAATAGTAAAAACAGAGCTGTTTCTTTAGCTGCTCAGCTGACACCCTCACATACAGAACAGCAGCTTTAAGTACAAAAACACCTTTCTTTTTGGGACTAGATTTTGGTTACACCTATTAAACTATCATATTGTAATAACCTGGAGCCACATATATTTAGCTTTTTTGTGATAAACTGTGGTGGTTGTTCCTTTTTAAACAACACCAAAACAATCATTATTGGTGAATTTTTTGAAGAAATCTCATGCCAATCTGAAAAATTTTGAGGTTTGAAATGTGCCCCGGAAACTTTAAATATTTGAACTGTTATTTTTCACTCCTCTCCTTTTAGATAACATCATCAAGCGAGTGTTCAACATCATAAAGTTCACCTGGGTGCTCTTTCAGACGACGGTGGAGAGTTTCACTAAGTGGATGAACGACATGTGCAGAGAGTACATCGACATCTCCACTGTGCTTAGGATAGAGCGCTGCATGCTGACCAGAGAGGTCAAAAAGGTACAAAATGACGTTTTTACATTTTAACCCACATTATCTATCCGAAAGAGTCCTATGAAGAAGACCATGATGACTTCTTAACCAACAGGGAAATGTGCCGTCCAGAGAGAGCATCCACGTCTATTACCAGAAAGCCATGAGGCTCAACATGTCCAGGCAGGCCAGCATGGATATACTCAGTGAGGACGAGTCGGCGTCAGGCTCCTCCAGGGGCAGAAGAAGGCGAGGAGGCTACCGCATGGAGAGCCAGGACTCCACTGCATCCAGAGACAGCATATCCAGGTACACGGATACTCCTGATGGTGGTCATATTTATCAGTTATTCAACATTTCATCTTCATTTCCACCAACAATTCATGTTTTTTTTACTCATGTGACAAGGTAACCAGAGCAACCTAACATAGATCTCATCTCATTCTTCTCATTTACTTCTCATCCCATCGGTCACTCACCACCTCTCAGTGCCGTGACTGAGGCAACCACGCTCTTTTCCCGCCAATCCACGCTGGAGGACTTGGACGGGATGCCGGAGTGCATTCCTAAAACCAGCGAGCGGGCCAGGCCCAAACTGCGAAAGATGTACAGCCTGGACATGTCCAATTCATCAATGGACAGCTGCAGCAGCTTCGTGTCCAGGTGCTTGGCCCCCGGCATCACCCATATACAGGACACACTTACCATGAAATATGTTTACATGCACAGAGTAGCCTGTAAGCTGCTTTAAACTAACATGCAGCCCTGAATCCTCTTCATCAGCTTAACCTCAGAAACCGTCAGCAGGTTGGTTTGTTTCAGTGCTTTTACAAACTATAGAAGCTCTATTACAGGTTTTTTTTAAACAAACTGTGGTTAGGTCCCAAAATATGACACCTAATGCTCCAAGAACTTATAATATCAGCTTAACACTTGATTTTTAAAACCCATTTTCCAGAAAAGATAGGAGGCTGTATGAAATGTTGCTAAAAACAGATTTTAATAGTCTAGTTATAATTTAAATGCTCTTTTTGATAAAAAATAACCTAAACACAACATGCTGAAACTGAAAAGTTTGACTTTTAACTTTAAATTTGATGAACATGTTTCAGAAAGTAACGATAGAGACAATAAAACTCTTTAAAAAAGTTTTAAAAGACTTATCTGGAGGAACATCCTCGGACTAACTGGGTGGATTTGCAACAGGTTGGTAACATGACTGGATTTATGAAAGGACATCAAAGGGGCTGAGTCTGTCAGGAGCAAAGATGAGATGAGGTTTACCAATCTGAGAGAACCTGTGTAAGCAATTAATGTGACAATGTCGGAAAATGTTCCTGAGCGTAAAACTGCAATTTTTTTTAATCAATCAATCAAATTTTATTTATATAGCACCGATTCACAGTGAAAAAAGAGCAGGTCTAGACCACGCTCATTGTTTGATGAATTATCAAGACCCAACCTTAAGATGGGACAGATTTGACCCATCTCATATAACATGAGTGACAGTGGCGAGGAAAAACTTCCTTTTAACAGGCAGAAACCTTGAGCAGGACCAGACTCATGTTAGACAGCCAACAAGCCACTGCTGGGTTTGGGGGAAATACAGAGAGAGACAGAGAAGGAGAGAGAGAGTCGAGAAGAGAGGGCAAAGGGGGGGAGAGAGAGAACGAGGGAGATATTTTGGGGATATTCTCTTCTATGGAACATGACAGCAGTGAAAGATCCAGAGAAAGAGGAAAAAAAGTCTTGAAAGAAGAGGGACGAAGCCCAGAACTAGTACTGGATGGCTGTGATTTTTGTGCCTTAAGATGGCGCCGCAGCACCGACAGTCATGACTCTGTAGTGGAAATCACTGCATAAGCTCAAAATCACCTTGAAAAAACAACTGAGTTTATCCCAGCACCCACAAATGCAGGTTGAGGCAGAAACCTCGAACTAAACCAGAATCATGTGAGACAGAGAGCGAATAGAAAGAGAGAGACGCATATCAAGAGGAAATCAGGATCCAGAACCACAGGTGACTTCTCGAGGCCTGAGCCCAAACCAGATGGACTTACGTCAGTCAGATGAAGTATTAAAATGATTCGCAAACCATCAAAGTCTGTTTTTATCAACACAGTGTCTCTACTTTTTTAGAATTTGTGTCCAAAGATGGTGTTAAACACACGTCACCCCATCATCATCATAATTAGAGAACAGTTGGAAATGAGTGTGCATGTAAACATATCGACTTTCACAGGCATTACCAAAATCACTGCATCTCCTCACTTCAGTTCATCCAAGTTTATCCCTCGCCCCTCTTCACAATACATTCATAATACCAAAGTTACAGAAGTTGAGTTTCTCTCCTTGTGAATTACTTTTTGCTGCCATTATGAGCCGTAAATCGAGGGGTGTTGTTGATGGTGTGGCGTTCATCTTCACCGGTACGCAGATGGACGTTCACACACCCCTGATGTTCTTGTCCCCTGCAGTGAAGCGACTTAATGCGTCATCCTCTACTCCAGACAGGGCACCGCGGACACCATCGAAGAAGTGGAGGACGAGCAGGATCAAGGAGAAGACAGGCAGCAGGTTTGCTGGGAATCCCAACAGCTCGACGAGAGCGAGGGGGCCGAGGGCGGTCCGTGGAGTGACGGAGAACCCAGGGAGAGACGGGAGGAGGAAGAGGAGGGAGAGCGAAAAGAGAGACCAGAGGGCGAGAAGGACAAGGACCATGAGGGAGTGGAGGGTGAGGAAGGAGAAGAGGTACGAAATGAACAACAGGGCAAAGAGAGAGGAGAGGCTCTCTGGGAGTCTTTTGGCCCGGATGAGGGTCCCTCCCCCAGGCAGGAGGAGGTGGACTCTGCCCCCTCTGGACAGGAGAAAGACTTTATCACTGAGAGTGAGGACGGGGGAGGACAGCAGGACTTCATGCACACAGAGGGGCGGGCGGGACTGCTGTACACCCCGGATACAGATGCTTCCAAAACGTCTGACGCTGACGTTCCCCCCAGCTACAGCAAAGCGGTCAGCTTTGACCGGCTGGAGGTCAGCGACGATGAGAGCGACATGGACAGGAGGAGGCGTATGGTGATGACCTCGGACAGTCGCTCAGACAGCAGGTCAGACCTGGTGATGCCCTCCATGACCACTGAATTGACCGCCAGTGAACTGCTGCTAAACAAGTAAGTCTAGCATGTCTCATTGAAGTACTGATGATTGTTTCAGGCGTGTTTATGACCCAAACATGAGGATTTTTTAAAGGACACCTAGTTCACTCATTTTTACCTCTCATAATGCCAGTCTGGGACACCTAAAGAGTTGCTTTGTGTGATTTACAGCCCATAAAAAAATCTCATATGTGCGTCCATGAAAGGCCTAAATTCGGCGCCTCTCCAGAGTTCTGCCTGAAACGCCTCATTGTGGCTGCTTCCCCTGTCATAAAAACTTAGACGCAGCTTGTGGGTGTTACTTTTCATTCAGCTTCGGAGTCTCCTTTGTAGTTGGCGCCCACTTAGCTCCTCATTTAGCACCATCAGCAGACAATAGCTGTAGTTACATAATCTGCTGCTGCTGTAATGCTGCTGATAGTTTGTGGTTCTGAGCCTTCATAAAGGGTCTTTATAGGTGGAACAGACCCAGGTTTCAGAGACAGCTGAGATGTGAATCTAGTTTATTTAGCCTTTGTGTACACATGAGATGTGTGAAATGGTTGTGACTGTTGTTGTCCTGAAAACAGAAAATATGAACAGGTGCTGCTTTGGAGCTGACTGTCCTTCAACATGGTGCTAATGGGATATCAGAGTAGGGCTGCGCGATAAACCGAAAATTTACCGAAACAGAAATCTACAACAGTATCCGACGTTATTTTGCCCATGTCAATATATTCGGTGTAAAAATAAATAAAGTTAGTTTTGGATGTGTGTAGGTAGGCTGTGGTCTCATGTCCCTGTAAGATACTGTCCTACGTCAGAGACGTGACTCCACCCCATCCAGTCTGTAACAAAGAGGGAAAGACAGGTGGGGAGATGGAGGACGGTTCAAAAGTTGTAGCGGCTGAAGTAGACAAAGTTAATGTGGGAGGGGGTGAGCAGCTTGTGGAGTAGTTATCGTCCATTTATCGTTATCGAGGTGAACTGCTCAATATATAATGATATTGATTTGAGGCCATATCGCCCAGCTCTGTGTCAGAGCCTGACATCAGGTCAGGTCCAGCAAAGTTGTTGAAATACGCCAAAAACACTTCCACTGTATTTTTAAGTATTATAAAACTTAACAGAGGTTTTTGATGGATATTTAATGGACCTATGGATAATGAATGCAAATTAGCAACAGGTAGCATCACTTTGTAGTATTTTTGTGTATTTATAGTAATTTTGTCACTCTTGGTAGTATTTTAAGTTAATTTTCTAACTTTACTGAATCGCTCTGCTCTTCTTTTCTGTCTCATGAGTTATTTTGTGAATCTTCATGGTCCTAAGTTGTCTCATCGCTCCTTGAATTCGCTTCTAAAATATTCCAATAGTGTTATCCACACGTCCCTCCAGCTGAAGGATCATCAGCAGGAAAGGTAGTGGTGATATTTTTGTGTATTTGGACACAATAACAGCTTCAACTTGGCCGTTTGGGCACTTTCGGTTTGATGCACATGCCTCCTGGAGATGGTGTGGTCTGTAAAATGCTGACCTCTTGCACGTAGTAAGGAAAAAGTCTAGGTGCGCACATGCACCTCTCTCTGAATTTCTTTGTGGGTATTTATTTCTTTGTGGCCTCACCGTGCTCGTTTTAAGGTTTTGTAGCATCATGTTGATTCTCTTAATAGTCAAACACATGAATAATACAATACAGTGAAGCGTTTTTGTGCAATAAGAAGATAAAACCGATCAATCTGTCTCCATCGCTCAGGATGTTTTACGACGAGGAGCTGGAGGAGTCTGATAAATTCTACCACAACCAGCCTCTGATCCTCCAGCTCTACTACGCCCTCTACAACATGCTGGTGGCTCATTCAGAGATGGTGTGCTACCTGGTCATCATCATCAACCACATGGTGTCGGCCTCCTGTGCTACCCTGGTCCTCCCCATCACCATCTTTCTCTGGGCCATGCTGTCAGTGCCCCGCCCCAGCAAGCGTTACTGGATGACAGCCATCGTCTACACTGAGGTTCTGATGTGATTTACAAACTGTCGACTATCCTGAGAGTATTTATTTCAAAAAGCAGAATTTGATCAAAGTAAACAGATCATTGCTTTAAAATCAAGGACTGATGATGGGATTTTATAGATTATTATAAACAGTCTTTTTTTATGTTTCAAATTAAAATTTTCAACCCAGTAATAACAGCTTCACTAACAGCTATTTGTTTTTCTTCTAGGTCACTATTGTCACCAAGTACTTCTTCCAGTTTGGCTTCTTCCCCTTTAACCAAGGCCACGTGGGGAAAGATAAACCGTATCACCCTCCGAACATCATCGGCGTGGAGAAGAAAGCCGGATACGTTCACTGTGACCTGGTCCAGCTGCTGGCTCTCTTCTTCCACAGATCTATTCTCAAGGTGAGCACAGACCCGCGTGATTTGGACAATAGTAACCAGAAAGTAGTCTGTTTGACTCTCAGCATGTAAATGATCATTCATTCACTTGTTTATTAAAGGTGGGATAGTCAGGATCTGAGGAAGTGCCAGTTTTTGGGAGAAATCTTGAATGTAAACACTACCCCTTCCAACCAGTTTTCCCCTCAGCTCCTCCTCTCTCCTCCCTCTCTGCTCCAGGAAGCCCCACCCACAAATGGACGCTCCTGCTCGCTTGTATCTTGCAGATAAATACTTCAGATAATCACAAATGGGACCCAGTCAATGTAAAAGTAAACAGCATTGATGCTACTGTAGATGCCAACAGACTACCAGCAAACACAATGTTTGCAGGACTTCTACAACTAGGATAAAGTGACATAGTCCAGGACCCGAGGTCAACAGTTTAGCAGCGCTACAACATGCAGCAGGTCCTGTTTGACAAGAAACACTTCTGTTACAGACACTTGGCTTACTTTGTTAAAGCGGTTTACCTGTCCAGCAGAAAGGTTACAGGGTCAAGAAGATCCAAAAGCGTCCCCCATCGTTCATGCTTCATTGATGTTGACCCTGATTTTAGCTCTTGACCTCCTTTTTAAGCGCCTGTTGTTCCGCCAGAGTCTTCGGTATTTACTTTGTTTTCTTGCACGTGTTGGCAGTCGTGGTCAAAGGAGGATTCAGACAATTGCCCGTACTTTCTGGTTGGTTTCTACTGTCCAATATTGTCGCACGCTAACTTTGTTTGACCTCCTGAACCTCATTTGAAGACGTGGAGCGTGCCTCAACACATGAGGGAGCAACGTCTGCCTTACAACCAATCAGGTTGAGGAGGTGGAGAGCAGCTTTGTTTACAGGCAAAATGAGTGGACTGCTAAAAAATTGAAAAATGTTGACCACACAGACATAAGAGAACACAGCGATATCGTTATAGTCCCAAATGTCAGCAATAACTAATAGCTATTGACTGATATTAAAAGCTTTTTTGTACAAACACCACAAAAAAGACGCGTCTTTAACGGATTCCTGCCTACACCACCTTTAATTTAAACAATGAAAGGCAAACAACTGCTTTTTGTTTGGTTGTGTTGTTTCTCTGAGTAAGGGAACCTTCATGAAACAAACTATTGATTTGACCCTCGGCCTGGTGGACACACCATGCAATCACACACCTACACATACACACACAAACACCTGGACAGGTACACACAGAGGACAAAAAGAGGTTAGTAACACATGAATCCCTCCCGTCATTTGTGGTTTTTATTCTTGTCCCATTTCCAGTGCCATGGTCTGTGGGACGAAGACGACCCAAAAGAAAAGAGAGCGCCATCTCGTCAGAGCGAGTCGGAGGACGAGAGAAAGGACAAGGAAGGGAGTGAGAGGGGATCTGAACCAGCATCCTCGCTTTTCAACGAGAGCAGAAGCTCCACTCACACTTTGAGATCCATGAACTTTGGGACGTCCATCGACTCAGGACATTCAGGACAGTCAGGACATTCAGGACACTCGGGACAGGTCCAGGTTCATTATCCACAGCAGCAGACATACCAGCGCCGGAAAAGCTCCAGTGGAGGCTCGCACATTTCTCACAGATCTCTCCACTCCTCTGCGAGGTCCAAAAGAGGTAAAAGTATAATTTTGTACGAACACAAGCATAACTCTTCTCACAGTTGGAATCCTGGGTACTACACAAAAACGACAAGAAATCCTTTGTCTTTATATCACAAAAAACTAAATTTCCTGTAGTCTTAGAGCTTGACCCGGGGCTGAGGTCTATGTGTGTGAGTATGTGGATCTCTGTCTCACTCAGTGCTTTGTCACGGTTTATTTGCAACCTGAAATGCAAATTGTTCCCACAGGAAGTACGGCGTCCCACAACAGCAGCCGCAAGGAGGGCAGCGTGATCAGCGTCCACCAGAAGACACGTAAACAGATGATCATGGAGAAGCTGAGGGAGCAGCTCCTCAAAGGAAAAGCTTTCATCTTAAAGCGGTACAGTGACGCACTCCGGGTTCATTAGAGTCTCTGTTTTTGTCTCGTCTCCACTCATGGCTGCTTACAGGTCAACGGTCGTGACTGTCATTATGCAAGAGAGCGATTTTATGAGCGCATTGATGTAAACACAGCTCAGAGATATGGGAAATCATTTCAACGGGGCGACAGCTAAAACATCTCAGAGGTCTAAATTTGGAGCTTTAATTGGTGCGTTCCCGTTGGACCAGGCTGTGTCATTACATAAGAACTGTGACTGTTATTGTTCTCAAATTAGTCAGAGAGGATCCAGTGGTTTCTGAGATAATGTCTCGGACAGGAAGGTGATATTTTTTTATATCACAGAAAGTTTCAACAGAGATTTAATTGACCTTCATTTTTCTACTATCAAGGCATCAGGAATGCTGTGATATAACACATGATCTGGACGCTAAGTGAGGCGCACAGGATGTTTTCAGTCCCTTGTTCATTCAAAAATGTGTTTCGGACATCACATGATGAAATTAACTGTGTCACAGTCAGTCTCTCTAAGAGATCAGTGATCCTACAGACAGGGGTGTTACTATTGACATAGCAAATATCAGATATTGATAAAAGCAAAAAGTGGTACCATAGTAACACAGAGTTCATCGTGTTGGTCTTTATGTGTGTCATTAAACTAAGGTGACTAGACATCTCCAATTTCCAGGGACAGTCCTTGTTTTGGATGACCTGTCCTCGGCTAAAACTGTCCCCACAAATGTCCCGATTTAAGCGTTCATGACGAGAACAAAAATGTTGCATGTAGACTAGAACAATGGTTATTATGGTAGCCGAGTAGGTAGAAAGCAAGAGAATGCATGTTGCGCGCAGTCCTGAACAACTGTTTTTTGGGGGGTTTATTACGGGGGGCGTACGCTGCTACAAAGTAGTACCAAGATGTTGTCTGTGAATTAAGTTCTATGGTTGTGTGTAGCTGCAGCCTGCTACTACGCAGTTGTTTGCTGCTTGGTTCTAATTCAGCACATGATTGGTTCAGCGTGAGGTGTACTTAAAGCAACTTCCCTTTTCATTGGCTATTCGTATAGTCTACCAAAACATGTCAGAATGCTGGCTGTTGAAAAGCATATTGACCGTGTTTCATATCGATATCGAGGGAAATAAATTTTTGATATGTATTGTTATCGTTTTATCGCCCAGCCCTACATGTAAGTTAATATTATTTATTAGTAAACTTTATTAAGTGATGTGTTGCAGCACTGATCCCTACTTTGAATGATTGTGCTGGGTTTCTTTCAAGTTTGGTCGAAGGTGCAGACGCTTCCTGCATTCTCAAGATAGCAACACACATCCTTTGCACCTGACCGTACTCTATTTTCAGACCAATAAAATCCCTGGACACAGACATGGGCACAAGTTCACTCACTGTCTGAACAACATGGGCACTGACCGTAAAAATGAAGAGTTTGTTGGATGGAAAGTAACTATAATTCTTATGCTGCGTGCATCAGGCTGACGGTGGAGCTGAGTCACTAACAAACAACGTAATAACTCATGTAAAAATTAAGATTTAAAAAAATAAACACAAAAATATCCCCCAAAAACATCCTAAGAATGCCTCTAAACAATGCTAAAGCTGGTTTGAACCATTAAAAAATAGTTGTATCAAGATTTAACAAAACAAAAAAAGATTAAAATCTTAAGGAAGCAGTGCATGTTTCTGACCTGACCTCAAAAAAAGAGGTTGCAGACTTAAATCCTTGCGTACATCCTGAAGGATTTTTCCCCAAAATTCAGAGATTTCTTTGAGACACCTGAGAACGAAGACCAGAGATGATTGCAGGTGTTACAGAGTGCTTTAGTGTCAGCATGACAGCCTTATCTTCAGTTCTTTGCTCTTGATGATTTTGTGTCTTTTCATTTCTCTGCAGAGTCATGGAGGTCTACCTTCCCATGCGGCAGTTCTTCTACAATCTGATCCATCCAGAGTACAGTGCGGTCACAGACGTCTATGTGCTGATGTTCCTCGCTGACACAGTCGACTTCATCATCATCGTGTTTGGATTCTGGGCCTTTGGTGTACGTTTATTTCGTGTTTTTTTCCCCTTAAACCATGAAAATTACACCCCTTATTTGCACATCACTTAGAGCCTGTTTAATTGAAAACAGTGGAAATTAAAGCTATTGACTGTCAAATTGTTTTATGGGGTAAAATTTAATCACTATTTTAACAGAAGTATAATGTTTGATACTGAATCAACACTGTTTATTTAAATAAGAAATAATAAGAGTCCTGGAGCAGATCCTTGAGGTACACCATATTGCACTTCCCTTGTAGAAACACGTGGCTGCAGACATCACGTCATCCCTGTCAGAGGATCAGGTCCCGGGGCCTTTTCTGGTCATGGTCCTGATCCAGTTTGGGACCATGGTGGTGGATCGAGCCCTCTACCTCAGAAAGTCCGTCATGGGAAAAGTCATCTTCCAGGTCATCCTGCTCTTCGGCATCCACTTCTGGATGTTTTTTATCCTTCCAGGAGTCACAGACAAGTAAGATCTCGATCTTGCTTTGGTGTCATTATGGTTTAGAAAAGAGGAAAGTTACCTGATTCTTGAATATTTAAATCGGTCTCACTGCTCTTTCTCTTTCACAGGCGTTTCAGTGACAACAGAGTCGCCCAGGTGTGGTATTTCGTCAAGTGCATCTACTTCGCTCTGTCAGCCTATCAGATCCGCTGTGGCTATCCCACTCGTGTTCTGGGAAACTTCCTCACAAAGAGCTACAATTATATGAACCTCTTCCTGTTTCAAGGGTGAGTTGTGTTGGGAAAGAGTTATTTCTTCCAGCTGGGCAAACAGGTCCAAGGCTCAGGTCACACCAGGGGGCTGATAATTAGCTACTGCTGAAAGATATGGAAACCAAGTCCCTCCTGAACCAGAACTTACTTGTTACTGACTCATCGCTATGGTGACAGTAATTTTCTTGATCATAGAAAATTAAATTGAAATCATGACTCGTGAGATTTATAGACCAATTCTATTTTTACCGAAAAAGAAATGTATAGAAGTTCTTCTAAACCCCAAGAACGTGCTCTCCCTGTTTCATTTCTTTAAAGGAAAAAAGGCCAAGTGTGTCTTTAGCTTAGTGTGTCGATAATACAATAAAACCTGTCATTTAGATTTAATTGTAAAGTTTATGTTAAGGTTCATAATACGCTTCTATTGCAGTGTCGACCATCAACAGCACAATCCTCTAAATGAACTCATGACACAGACTCGATTTCATCCTCTGACTGAAGGACTGAGATTTTGTCTGTTGTTTCCAGTTTCCGCATGGTGCCGTTCCTGACAGAGCTGCGGGCCGTGATGGACTGGGTTTGGACGGATACCTCGCTCTCTCTGTCCAGCTGGATCTGTGTGGAGGACATCTATGCTCACATCTTCATCCTGAAGTGCTGGAGAGAGTCTGAGAAGGTGTTAATCATATGTGGCATCAGGAATCAGACTCACAGCCAAAGCCTGTCATGCTTAAATTCATGCTTTTGTGATTCACTGAGTTCGTCTTATTTATCTAGATGTGAAGTTTCAGCTCAGCTCAGAGTTCTGTTACATCTGACTTTCTGCAAATAACTGTATTAGAGTGAGCTAATGTGATTTATGATCGACTTTGTTGACAAAAATCAGTGAACAACCCTTTTTGTCCCACCTAAATATCTGTAGTTGGTCCGATAAGCGAAATCCTCTAGGAAACTCTAAGCAAATCCACCTTAAACATCTGTGATGTAGAGCAGCAGTGAAAATGTCTCACTGTCATTTCTCTGATCTCTCCGCAGAGGTATCCCCAGCCGCGAGGCCAGAAGAAGAAAAAGGTGGTGAAGTACGGGATGGGAGGGATGATAGTAATGCTGCTGATCTGTATCGTCTGGTTCCCGCTCCTCTTCATGTCCCTCGTGAAGTCTGTAGCCGGTGTCGTCAACACTCCTCTGGATGTGTCTTTTGAAATCACCCTTGCTGGCTTTCAGGTAGGGATTTAGTTTCTGAAACTGGAGAGCCTACAAGGTGTTAGTCCAAAACGTGATCTTTTATAAATTAAATCTCTGCCACTTTAAGAAACAAGATCATTTCAGTAAAGTAAAAAAAAAAAAAAACAGATTTATTTCAAAGTCAGGCCTTGTCTTTTAAAGCATGCATGTAAGGCCAAACAGTGATTGCCTGAGAACACTCGAGTGCAGCGTAACCATAGACTGTATATACTATGGACAACTTGGTTCTGCCTCCCGCCTGTATACAGATTTGAAGCCAAAAAGCTCTCTGTATTTCTGCGATTCTTCTTCATTTTCCTGAAACCAGCATTGCGCAGTAGCGTTGTGCGCATTCGGCGGGAGAGTCGCCGAGAGTCCCTGTGATGACGCTCGGCTTAAACAGCGTATCCCCCGGCTGAGCTATGCAATCCCTGAACGCCAATAGGCTGTATCAGGTGTCAATCGTAGAAAACTTGAGCCCCCTAATAACTTTTAAAAACGGAGCTTCACAGAAAAAAGAGGAATTGAGCACAAACCAGTCTGACAGTAACTACATGTCAACATCGCAACCAGGGGGGAGAAACATTTATATTCTGTGTAATAAATTAAAGTTTGTCTACATTTCCCTAAGTTTTGCAGGCGGAGGTGGGATTTATGACCTATACTGCAGCCCGTCAACAGAGGGTGCTGTTCTCGGAGTGGCTTCACCCAGCGAGGAGGCAGACGCTGTCCATTTTATATACAGTCTATGAACTTAACACTTGTGCATTAAAACCAGAAAGGAAAAAGTTTTATCCTCAAACATTAAAAAGCTTTTCTCAACTTACTACAAATGTATTTTTCTTGCAGCCCATCTTCACCATGAGTGCTCAACAAAAACAATTACAGGCTGTGGATCAGGAGAAGTTTGACACATTTATAAAAAAATACAAAAGTGACCCTGTAAGTACCAGAAACAGGATTGTGACCTCCCTGAAACGAATCCACTGACTATTTTAGATTACTGTTTGATGACCTGGTGAGAGTGTGTCACTGTGAGTCCTTACATGGTTTTATCCTGTTACTAGGATGCTTTGGAGTGGCTGGGGGGGTACACGCCTGATGACCTGACCATTGCAGAGCTGAAAGGCAGCTCCAACTCTCTGTGGACCATCAGTCCACCCAGCAGGAATAGCCTGATAGAAATGTTGAACAGTGGCGAGGAATTCCCCATCACAGTGTCCTGGTCTGTGCAAAGGTAACCAAGTGGTGTTATTGCATATCCCTAGCCTGGCTGGGCCATCCAGTTGAGTGAATCACTTGCCGTTCCCTCCCACAGCAGTCTGGACTTCGGCTAATTGGGAGCCCTAAAAGTGGGCGGGAGTACTTTCCTTGATAGACAGACTACTGTAACCAATCACCGTAACCAAACATCTGACGTCATCAAAGTGCGCAACTGTGTTCCCTGCTGGGCTCTCAAGCATCAAGTAAAGGTTTGGTAATATTTCAACGTGTGCGAGCAAACAATGTCTTTTACGTCTTCTTCTGCGGATATAAACGATTTCTGCCAACTTTGCAAAGTCAACTACAGAATTAATGGCGTTCTGAATGAACGGCGCTTTGAAAACTCACGCAGCAGGTGTTGGACGTCACCATCTACACATGGACCAATCAGGGGGAGCCTTTCCCTGTTGTCCAGGGAACAATGGAAATACAGTCACTGATTGGCCCGGTTATTTTCTGATTTCTAATACACGCTCCCAATTGGCTGAAGTCCAGACTGTTGTGGGAAGGAACGGCAAGTGATTCACGCAACTGGATGGCCCGGCCAGGCTAGCATATCCCTCCATGATGGTGGCCCACCACTTTTTAACGCTTCTGTCTGTGGCTCTAGGTGGTGGTGATCTATGTGCTGCTAATGATTAAACTAGGTAAATTAAAGTAGGTAAACAATCCCGTCAGTCATTTTCTGTGTGCTGTTTCTCTTGTGATTTCAGAAACCTCACCCTTGGTGCAAAGGCTGAAACAGCTTCTGGAAAAAGAGTGACCCCGCTCGACCCAGCAGCAAAGTCGGCCATTGTTCGTCTCCTTAATGGGAATCAGACTGATGCTTCTGTGTGAGTGCATCTGCTGCTGACTCTACTATCAAAGTTTATTTTTGGGGCTTTTGAATAGACACTTTGAAGGAGACAGGAAATGTGGAACGAGAAGGAGGGGGAGTGATACGCCACAAATCTTCCCAGGACAGGATCTGTACGACGAGTGTAACAAGGGCTTCAGCCTTGAGACGCCTCCTCTGAGCTGAACTGAACTTAATACCCCTGCCCTGTGCTCTTAAGCTGAACACTCATATCAGTCTGTGAAGGACTTCATTAAGGTTTTTTTGTGACCTAAGTAACTCTACTTGTTGAAAAAAATACTGCCTCTGTGGCATTATCTTTTGGTTCATGGATTATTGACGCCTCAAATTTGTCACTTTGGTCATCCTCCTTTTTTTTAGTGCTGGTTTAGGCCAATACAAAAAAGAGCAGTCGCAGCAAACTCCTCTGAGCGTGTTTGAGTCTAATCAAAAGTGAACTTTTTCTGTGTATTAACCACAGGTCGTGAATTTTTATCTAAATGAGACCATTAATTCAATGAAACATAAGAAATCCACAAAGAAAGAGTGTACTGAGGTGAATGAAAGCATTAGGTGGCATTTTTTCTTTTATTACACACTTAAATTTAACCAGACTTCTTCTTGCAGTCAGTGAGGTCGCCCCCCGCTGGCCATTTGGAAGAAAGCTGATCTGATGCTGTGAAGTGTTGGCATATAACACTCCAGTCTTCTTTCCAAAGTTCAGAGATCATAGAGATCAGGGCCCCGAACACACCACCAGACTTCAGGCCAACTTCTCTCTTACCATTACACAGGACAACAAACAAAAGAACATCCCAAATTCTGACTTTTCAACCATTTCATCTCTGCTTTGACAGCAAATATCAAACCATGTAGCAATAACATCCTCTCCTCTTCTGCAGGGTCCTTGAAGATATCTTCCCACGTTTCCTTCGAGCCCCGAGTGACTCAGATGCAAAGCCCGTAGAGGTTCTCATTCCAGGTGAATATTACATACTGACATACTGATACCTGAGTTTTTGATTCAAAGCATATTTTGTTTTCTCATATGGATCAGGACTCTGAGATTGTTTTAATTTTCCTCTGTTTTATTCTGAGTCAATAATATGATTCTATTCTTTATGTTTGCAGGTAATGAGAAAACAAAGATGATGAACATCACCCTGACCCTGACACGAATGACAAGCGCCTCAGGTCAGGTCCAGGAATGGTGGAAGGTCAACCAGACCGAGGAGGGCCCGATAGACATAAGGAATGAGAAAAACAAGTTTGCAGAGGGTCTGGAGCTCTACGTATTCAGTGACCAAGTCAGCCCTCCGAGTTTGGGCTTTCTGGCTGGATACGGGTATGTGTGACTCAACTCTGCATATAATCGCTTTCTCGACATGCAGGATACATGTCTGTGATTGTTTCCAAACAGCAGCCAGTGAGCATGCTGGGAGTTTACAGTAATGACTGTTATTATCATGGCGGTTTTAACTCACACTGGCTGCAAGAAAAACATTTCAGATAGTGGCTCTCACCAAGGGATTAAAGAAGATTAACATAAACGTGTGAAAATGGTTTTTAAAGCTCTCCTTACAGACGGTTTTACAACGCCTGCTGATTTGTGATCGGTCAGTTGTACTGCTTTGTAGAAATCAGACCTCTTCTCATACTTAAATCCAGACCCAGACCCCAGACTTTGTAAGGCAGTGGTTCGAAAATTAAATAAATCTTTTGCCAAGGAAACAGAATATATTTCAAATTTTCATTGTCTCTAACTTCTTGTCTCTCTTTCTCGTCCAGGATCATGGGCCTGTACGCCTCTGTGGTTCTGGTCATCGGTAAGTTCGTGCGCGAGTTCTTCAGTGGGATCTCCCGCACCATCATGTTCGAGGAGCTGCCCAACGTGGACCGCATCCTCAAGCTGTGCACAGACATCTTCTTGGTCCGAGAGACGGGGGAGCTGGACCTAGAGGAGGACATGTACGCCAAACTCATCTTCCTTTACCGCTCGCCAGAGACTATGATCAAGTGGACCCGGGAGAAAACTCAGTGAAACCCAAATGAGGGGGAATAAACAAATGAAAACAAGACATGAGCTTTCACACTCGGGAGATCTCCTGGTTTGAGCAGAAACTCGTTCACCTGCTGAGGGAGCAAAAAGCAGCTAAGGACCAACTGTGTCCTCTTTAACTGAGCTCTGATGGCAGTGGGACATATTCAGCTCCACATGAATACACTTTTTTGAGTTTTAAACTGGTATTTTCTACTTTGGACTGATAAAAAAACAACCACAAATGCAAACATATTAACAGTTGAAAACAAACTTGCTGGTGCCGCATTTATCAAGCAGAACTTGGCTTAGTTTTGCATCCAGTGGACTAAACGAACAGTTGGTGTTCAGTAGCAGACTGACAAACCTTTTTGGACAGTTTTCCTAAAACATTACAGATCCTAACCCTCATATAGAGAGAGATTTTTACACACAAATCTCTTTTCAATTATTTTCACAACTGCACGAGAAGGCGGGCGAAGAGAAGCTCAAACTGGCTGCAACATTAATCTTTAAGGGCTTCCCATCTACGAATAAGTGCGCAGTAATGACCACGTGAGCACAATGTCATGATTCTCCTCAACTGGAACGCTAAGACTGTGGGACTGTGCAATGACAAGCTTTCACTCCTCTGAAGTTTTAACAAGGGATGTGGACTGAAAGAGAGGGCCTCTGACCACGAAACGTAAAACACCTTTTTTTTTTTTAAAGCAACACAATAACATCCTTAGATGATCTTTACTTGCCTTATTTGTTTGTATGAGATGAACTCAAACTCTTATCAAGTACATATCTTTCTCAGGAAGAGCTGTTTTCACAGATATTCATTGTATGAGTTATATGTTAGGCTTTGATGGATTTAAATGATTGTTGAAAAGATGAAAACTATTTAAATGGCATGAAATTTAATGTGGCTACTGTCCAGAAGGACTGATACTGAGTATGTTTACTGCACAGGCTGTTTAAAGAAAGGAAAACTAACGCTGTGGACTGTTTTCCTGACAGAGATCGAGATAAATTTGCCAATCGCCCGTGTTCTGAATCATCGACAGGTTGGCTGAGTCCAGACCAGCGGAGGGCTGTTTCTAAATCAGGGTAACGTGCACAAGGTGGAAGACTCTTGCACATCACTTGTGAACCTCTTGCTGTTTTTAACATTTATTAACACTGTGGCACCGACAGCCGTGCTTTCAGTCATAAAGGGAGAAACAAGCAGCAGACACACAAATCGATTCTTTAAATGAAGGGCTGAACCATGAAGCTCTTCTGTCCAAACTATGCATTAGAGGACATTGTAGCATGATAGAAAAACTTCATTATTGTCATGATTTTCAGTACATGTACATAAAAAAAAGATTACCGGGACAGGTCAGGGTGGAATGAAATGTGAAAATGAACTTGTATTGTTAAGGCAATGTGGTATGATAAAGGTCCAGACATCTGCAAATAAATTCAGAAAGGTGTGGAGTTTTGCTGTCAGCTGCTTTCTCAGGAGCATCTTCTTTTCAACTGGATCTTGATGGAAGACAGGTGAGTGAGCCCACGACCCTGAAGATAGACTCCATCACCCACTAAACTTCCTGCATCAACTCTGTGTTTCCTGTTTCACTTTAAGGCTTTTTATAGGTTTACCATAATGAAAAAATATTTTACATGCATTTTAATTTCCCAGTTTGACCCATCTATTAACATGGAGGAGGCAATCTTTTGGATCTTTACTGCAGCCAGCCACAAGGGGGAGCTCTGGTTTGCCTTCACTGCTATTGCACATTGACTGTCACCGGTTTAGAAACGAATGCTTTCATTTTGCAGTGAAGCGTTTCTGTCAAGAGTTTTATAAAATGAATATGGGTTGATTTTTACGGTGGCTGAGAACCGCCACTGCTGCAAGTAAATAAGAATAATTTCAAAAAAGCCACAACGTAAGTTAACTGCACAAAAAAAAAAGTGACCTTGGAAAATAAAAAGCTACTTACCGCGAAAATAAAAGGATGCAAATAAAAAAAAAGCCACAACGTAAGTGAGCTGCCAGGGACCAATAATGATGATGCACTGTTGTTTTACGATCTAGACACAGAGGACGATGGGGAGAAGATGAGCAAAGAAGTTAGTGGAAATGTTATTGTTTAATTTCGCTTTGTAAACTTTTCAGTGTGTCATTTGGTTAGACCATGTGGCGCCTGAGTGGATATGAAGTTGAACTGAAGCTAACACTGCACCAGCATCCTCTACTTCAGACCTGGGCATTTTACGGCCCGAGGGCCACATCTGGCTCTTTGGATGTCCCTGCCCAGCCCTTTGTGAGGTCTGTCAAACAAATTATCAGCATGCTATACAAGTGTGTTGCTTGTGTTATTTCCGTTTGGACGCACATGCGTAGGCCAACATCCTAGATCCGCATTCATGAACAGAGACAAGTTTAAACATCGGCATAATATAGATGCCTCTTAGTTGCCAAGTCTGCTTATTATAAAATTACCGTTGGTTCAGCCCTACAACACAGTTCAGGTTTCTCATGTGGCCCCATATGAAAATTAATTGCCCATACCTGCTGTAGTTCAACTTGATATCGACTCAGGCACTACATGGCCTGCAGAGACATGGGCCTACACCAGTGCATCATCATTATTGGTCCCCGGCAACTGACTTCTGTTATTGCCTTTTTTATGTGCATCCTTTTATTTTTGCAGTAAGTAACTTTTTTTTCCCACACTTTTTTATTGCATCATTACCCTCCATTGTGGCTTTTTTTTTTTTTTTTAATCTGCACAGTTTTTTATTTTATTTTAAAATTGCAGCGGGCTTCGGTCTCTTTTTTCCGCATCGGTAGCTAACATTGAGGCCTCTTTTTTTGCATTCTTTTTTATTTGCAGCAGTGGTGGTTCTCGGCCACCGTAGAATGTTTTAAATAAATAAGTTACTTGTATCTTGATACAAAGGACGTTCACTTAGTGAAAAAACCCACCCATCTCCATTACTTTATTGATAACCTATATCTGACCTATCATATGGCTGTTGCCTGTCATGTTCACCACTACCATGGACTCAAGTATGAAGATAAATGGCCAGTGGGAGCCTCCTCATCGCCGGGGTTGGTTAAGTATCTCCCTTAACAGTTTGTGGAGGTTTGGAGTCCAAAAACCGCATCCGACCATGCTAGCTTGTTACCTTATCTAGTTCACCTCCAACAACTGTACTGCTTTATAAATCTACGATTTTGCCAGTTTGATGTGTTTTTTATAACTGAGTCAACGCAGTACATCATATTCGGTAAAATCACCCTACATCTGAAGTGTTTGTGTCCCGAGAGAAAGACTCTCAAGAGTCAACGTCTGCCTGTAGTTGGTTAGCTTAGCATAGCATGTAGCCTAAAAACGAGGGAATTCGTTAGCTCTCCGTTAGTAGTAATGTATAAATCGGTTTTCTGATTTGCCAGTAGCCCAACTTCGGCAGAAACTCAATTATTATCTACCAAAATCGCCTGAAGACGATTATTAATGCCAGATAGTAAAGAAAACTCAAGGGACAACCTTGTCATACATTAATGTTGGTGTTGCAGTTACAGTTAACTTCTTGTTGACAGTGTGAAAAGAATGAATTTCCATTGGCATTGGTGTACAGCAAAGAGGATATTTTCAGTATCATGTCAGTACCTGTCATTTTATTTTGAGAGTACAAAAATCTGAATTGAAGGCTAACAGCAGAGAAAATATGGATGGAAATGTTAAAGCAACACAGAAATCGACTTTGGACTCAAGAAGAAGTCACCCAAATTGAAGAAAACAGCAATAATATATGGAATATTGTAGAGTACTAGACTGGCTATATAAAATCAGATGCATCATTGTAATTATTAGTAGTTGAGTTAGAGGGAAATCTCTTAATTTGATGGAAAAAAAAATGCCTAAAATGTTAGGTGTATATTTTGACCCATAAATTGGCAGGTTAGAGTGGTATTGCTGTGGAAGCCCTATCAACTGTGGGAGCTGAAGGAAGTGCATTTTTTAACGGTATGAATAAATCCAGCAGTATACTAGGCAGGGGAGAATCAACCCTCCTGCAGCCCTCATGCCAGAAATAAAACTTTAAGAATGTGCCTAGGATGCTCTCACTATACTATAAATGTGCCCTCAAGATACACTCAAAATAAATTCCTAATTTGATGCTAATCCAAGGGTTGAGATTTAGGAGTTAGCCTTATTACTTAGTTGACACCGAAGATTGGATTGTCAAATTCAGTTCTCCTTTTTTTAATCATTTTTTAAAAGTTGTTAAATCCTATAATTAGATTTACATGGAAATACTCAGTTTTGAAATAACTGTGTGAAACAGCAGATTAAATCCTGCTACTTCTGTCATGCAGCATGATTCAGTTTTTATTAATTATGCTTTAATAACTTTGTGTTTTTAACATGATTACATTTCTGCAGACTTGCATAATAGGCAGGATTGTTGCGTGCGTCAGATACCACTATCCCAGAGAGAGCATCAGCCTCCTCGATGATGAATTGGTCTCAGGGGAAGCTGCACAATCATCAAACATCTATGAGTGGCCACTTTGGCGCAGACATCTGCAGACGCTGTAAGTCTCTCTGATATGGAAAAACTGTCTGCTAACTCGTTTAAGAAAATGTACAAAGACCATAAAAATGCCACACACTGGAAATGTTTATTGATACATGTGCAGTGTTTGAAGATATGCTTTCAAGGAATATTCAGGAAGTGGGCGACAGCAGAAAAAAATAAACAATCCCTTTATAACCTTTAATAATGTGGCGACATAACCCGTCTTTAAACTGGTGTGTAATTGATCTTAGCTTAGTGGAGGATTTCTGAGCAAAAAGAAAATCACAAACACACCAAATCAGCATTTACAAAGTACTCTTAAAAGGGAAAATGCACTGGGAACATCTCCACACAGTCCCTTTAATCATAGGATTATACTATGAAAATTGGATATAAAGACACAGGCATAATTAATTTGTAGATTAAGGTGTAAATCAACAAACCCCGAGGTAGACAAATGGAAACAGTCTGAAATCAGGAGTTTCACTGTCATTTGCTTGACTTGTTGAATAAGAGCTGAAGCTGAGGACAACACTGCCAATTATTTCTCTGCTTTAATATTCGTAGATTCAGAACCTTGAATCAGATAAGTGTAGAGTTTTTCCAAACATGCATTTACAAGCTGATTGCATATTTTTCCAGTCATGTTTCAACAGGCCGAGCCATGAATACTGAATAAATTAACTCTGTACAAATAAACACCTATACATCAACTTATCAGCTATATATGCACTATTTAGAGTGTTTATGATCTCAATATACCTGCACCGCTTTTAGACACTACTCACAGACAATAACAGCATCATTTACAGCTTCACAGAGACAAGAAATAATAAAACATGTACAAACAACAGGCTTTGATACATTTTTCAACATTAAGATTTGTCATTACACTGAGGATCCACCTCAAATAAACACAAATGAAAAGGCTGCTTCAATTTGAGTTGACTTTTCTGCAACACCAACAGTAACTGTTTTTCTAAATTATAATATATATTCTTTTATTTTCACAATGAGAGATCAAACAGCCAAACATCTGGGTTCTTAAAGGTTTTAACAGATGGTGTCTTGGTGGTTAGAGGCGGCACTCTGCAGGAATGAAGGCTAGCACAGTCCTCCCTCGTAGTCATCCTCCTCTTCAGCAGGTGCAGGTGCCCCACCGGCTCCCCCTTGTGGGGCAGCCGCCTTCTTCTTCTTTCCTCCGCCTCCTGGTACCCGCAGGGAAATAGCCAGCTTGGCGTACTGTAGGGAATAAAGATGTGGAATGTGTCATCAGATCTTAGATTTTAAAGAGCTTAGGCACTCTCTATTCAGACCTCTTACCTTAATCACAGCAGTTTATATGAGCAATCCTAATATTACATAAATACGGGTCAATCCACAAACTAACATAGCAATGACAAACAGCACCTAAAAAAAGCGACAGCACTCTTTATCAGTGACAGGTCTGAATTTCCTGCTTCCTGATGTTTAATACAGACCATTTCCTTCACTCCTACCAAATGCTGAGGTCAGTCTACACCATTTCCGCACTATTACAGCTCAATCAGACAGATGTAGTGTGTCAGGACCCATCGGCTCTGAAAGCAAATTGGTTTCTCTCATGTAGCGTGTCTACAGTAACCCACAATCAAAGCCACGTCTGGGCTGCCTCCTGACTCCCAGACAGAGAGTCTAGCATGTTTGATTTTTCTGTGATATTTGTCTTTTTTTTTCAGTCAAGAAACAGCTCACAGTTTTGGCTCTATGATCCTCTTATGTACTGAGTAGTCAGACCTCAGCATTAGTTGACACCTTGTTATTGCAGCTTTGGACGGCTCTTCCTATACTGTAGATGAAAACCTGTTATACAGATGATGTTAAAATGAATTCAGAATGTCTTTTTTTAAAGATAAATACTGGAGCTTTAAGAAAATACTTTAATTTGTGGGCACTTTTGCTTTTAATGGATAGGAAAGCTAAAGAGAAACAGAAAATATAGGAAGTAGAGAGTGTGGGAGAGTTTCAGCAAAGGTTTATGGCTGGGAATCAAACCAGTAATAACAGGGATGAGGACCTCTTTAAAGTTAGAAACAATGTAAAATATAATGAAAGATCTTAAAATTAAAATGCCTCCACAATCACAAGCATATAAATATGCTGAGTGTATGTGCCTGCAGTGCACTGAGAGGTAAATGTGTAGACAGTACTCACATCATTGTCCATGTATTTCAGTAAAGGTGAGTTGCACACCCGATACACCTGATCTTCGTCCTGCTCATCGTAGCCCTGCAGTAGTGTCTCCATAGCAACGCAGTCTTCACTCCCACTGTAGCCGGGCAGACTGATGGAGACAGAGAGGGACTTCAGGTGATGATCCGCAGTTTAAGGTTTACAGTCTCAAAGGGTCTCAGGATGTGATGAAACGTACCTGTAACTTTCTCTGACACATTTATCGGCTGCAACGTAATCCCCCCGATGAAGATGGATCAGCACTTGAGCGGTTGTTTTCTAAAGAGTGAAAAACAAAAACGTCACTTTTTTATTAGTGGTATGCACAGAATACAAACTACACTGGAAGTCACTGGAGTCAAGCATCACAAGCGCGACAAAGTAGCTGACCTTGAAGCACATAGGGAAGTTTTCAATCTCTTTGTACATGTTCTTCTCTTTCTGCAGGGCCACTGCTGCTTCATCCAACCTGGATAGGCAGACAACAGATGAGTGAGGAATAATGAGGAGCAAATACTGAAGTTTAACATGAACGCAGAGAGAGATGAGCATCTCTGAGGTAACCCAAGTGTTTGAACTTAAATATGTCGATTAATACCGTCACGGACAGGTTTAGGATCTTTTCTTTCTAACTTTTCTTTTCCCTGTAACTATGAGCTGGTTAAACAGAGGTGCAGCAGTGTTGTACATATGCATTTGTCAGGTAAACCCTGGGGGAATAAGGACTACAAATCCCAGCGACACAGGTCAACAAGGAGACGTCATTTCCTGTCACCTAGTATGAAGACCTGTTGATTGTGGAATTGGGAACACCTGAACAGAGAGCAGGAACTCAGTAACTGTGGAGTCAAAGACAGAGATGCTGAGAAGACCAATTTTTGCTTGCACATCAGACGCATAAGATAACAAAAAGACATAATACCAGAGTTTAGCCCGCGTATTTTTATATCCACCATCCTAAAACCCTGAACGAAACCCACCAGACGGGGCTGGCAGCTCATGGGAGCTGAAGAACGGGCTCGGCGGGCAAGAAGAAGGTAAGCACCACTGTCACTGATTCGCCTCTAGCTGACCACTCAGCTCACAGTCGGGGAGGATTTTCTTTCTTTTCTTTTGGGTATGTTTTTTTACCTTTTGGGTGCAGCGACCACAACTCCTGGCAAGTGGGGACTGTCGCTAGCTGCATTCATAACAATACTCATAAAGGATGGACCGATCTGAGGACATATGCTTTTACAAATCTGTTCATGGGAAAATTCTGTCTCCATTGCTCAGCTTTTTCTTTCTCTAAGTCAGCACAAACACCATCTTGAAAGGATTCCACAACAAATCAAAACACAGCCACTATATTTTGGCAGCATGAGGAAGTAGTCATGATGTATCCTTTCCTTCTTTTACCTTTTTAATCTAACCAGAAGTCTGGAGGCTTTTCCTAGGAGTTCAACTGCCTGACGTAGGCGGTCCTCGTTCTGCACAGAGAAAGAGCGAGTTTATATTTAAATGAAGAAATCAACGTTTAGTAAAATGATTTGTGAGCAGTTTTGGGAGCTGAATTTGACCTCAAACACTCCAGCTGCCTTCTGATACAGGTCCACGGCTTTCTCCAGGTTTATGGGCTCAATTAGTCTGGAATAAAAGACAGAAAAGGAGTTTTAGATTCAAAGAAAATCTGCCTTAGTTGTCCATGAGCTTGAGCTGATTTTCTTCCAAGCTTAAAAAAAAAAAGGCACAGTGCCAGATCATAGCACTAGCACAAGATGGCGTTTCTTACTTTCCAGCCCGGTCCAGCGCCATGGCGGCAGTGTCAGGGGTCCCATTCTCCATGTACATCATACAGGCTTTCTCTATGTACTGGATGGCCTCTGGCATCTTCTTTTGCTCCTGTTGCAGCGCACACATGACAAAATTACAATCTGCTGCACAGGCTTAACCTACAACTACCTGTTTATCAGGCTGATGTTTACACTGAGGATGAAACTCACCTTCATCATCATCCCTGCTTGCTCGATAGCCCTGAGGAAAAGGGAAAGGGAGGAAGATGGAATAAATAGATTCTTTTTTTAGGGTGTATATGTGTCGCAGTAGGGTGATAACGCGAGATACTTACTTTGCAGCATGAAAGAGTCTGCAGGGTGAGTTAAGAAAATGACCTACTACTCAAAAACAGCACTGTCACAGTATACACCTGTAAGTAAAGGGAGGATACGTCTTGTTTTCTGTGTGATATTCAGCTTCCTTCAGGTAAGCATCCTTCGCCTGTTCGTACTGCTTCGCATTTTTGAAGCACACAGCTGGAACAGGACAGAGGTGGACAGTCAGCACAATGTAACGTAGTAAAAATGTCAATTAGAAGGTAAATACTTGTTCAATCTATTACCTGCTTTGGCGTATTCTGAAGCAGCACTGTCAAAATCAGGTTTCCACTTTGTCAGACTCGTCTTCAGGCTACAAAAACAGGATGATTTCGCAGTTTATTAACGACCAGAGCGAGAAAAAATAACCTGCATGATCCTGGTTTATTATCAGCAACAAAACAACACAAACATGTGGCCCATTCTATGTCCGTCATACCTCATCACAACCAATCCATAAATTGATAAATACTCAATTTTATCTGGTATAAAAATGCCACAGTGGCCTTTCTAACATTAGCCTGCTAACATCAGTAAATCAAACTGAGGAAAACAGACTATTTTTTACTATAACTCACCATTTTTCAGCTTTAGCTATGTGCTCGTGAGCTTCGTTTATCTTCTGAGCAGCCATGTCGTTAATAAATGATAAAGTATATCCGAGTATAACGAATCTGTTATCGATAAATAGCTCTAAATGTTGAATTCGTCGATGTTTGGATTAACAGGAACTCCTCCTCGGGTGCTACGTCACTCAATGTCGCAGGCTACGGGTGCTGCAGAGGACAAACGTAGCGATAGCGTCAAACACCAGCTGCAGTGCAAGTAGAGTGAGAATTTGAGCATTCTGGGGTTGGTGTGTTTACTTTATGATGCCAAATTTACGGTGGCCGAGGACCGCCACTGCTGCAAATAAAAAAAGAATGCAAAAAAAAAAAAAAAAAGAGAGAAGCCGCAACGCACTTATCTAATTTCACAAAAACAAAACAGAAGTTCTTATATATAATACATTACAAGAGCTTTTACTGTTACTTTTTACTGTTGATGCGCTGCGCTGCTATCTTGGATTATGACTTTGTCGTCAAATCGGGGTTGACTAGGATTGTCCGACTTTCCGAGTCAGAAATCCGGCTTCAGGGGGGCGTTCCAGATAAATTTGACTTGGAGATGGAAATCCTAACTTCGGAGTACAACTGGAACGCAGCATTAAAGCAGACTTTAAGCTGAGGAAGAAATTCTCAAACTACGACTTGATGGTGTTCCTAAACTGCTATCTCCATGACGAGGAGCTTGCGAGAACCACAAGACTCTGCTGAATACGTTGATATAATTTCTTTGTTTGTGACGCCCAAAATTTCTTCATTAGGACTGGTTAAAAACAGAGCAGTTTGTGTTTCTTCTGAAAATCCTCCTTTCATTTTCATATTAGAGCTAATGGAGAAAACTGGAGCTTTTTAAAAGGAGCCTTCTGATTGACCAAATGAAATGAGCCTTCTGATTGGCCAAAAAAAGAGAACCTTTTACCAGCTAAGGAAAAGGAGCCTTTTGATTGGCCGATTGAGTGAGTGTTTTTTTCTCTCTTAAAGGCTGTTCTAAGCATATTTGTCTATAAATCCTTTTTGAGGAGATAATCTCTGTTTTATGGGGAAAAAAAGTAATAAAACTATAGACCTGCGGCGGAAGCGGAAGTGTGCTAAAATGTGAGCCCTGACGTCATGACGGCCCCGGTCTCTAATGGCTGAACAACAACAACTCCCAGCGAGTGACAAACTTTCCAGAACTACCACAAGGACGAGAGAAAGTTCGAAACCGTAAAAAGTATCAACTTGATAATAATCCACGTGTGTTCGTCTATTTTTCTTTTGATTACAAATGTGGAGTAACTGATGGATCCGAGATATGACATCCCGCGGAGGGCCGCCGGTGGTGGCGGGGGCTCCGCAAACTCGTCCCCCGCTCTGGGGGCTCAGTCGCGCCGCAGGAAGATGCCTCCCAGACCCGCTGACTTTAAACTTCAGATTATCATTATTGGCTCCCGTGGTGTTGGTAAAACCAGCTTAATGGAAAGATACACCGATGACACTTTCTGCGAAGCTTGCAAGTCGACAGTAGGTGAGCAGCGGAGGCGTTCAAGGACTTGTTTTGTCAACTTTTAATGCCGGGCTCTGTCTACTTACTGGAGTGCAGACACCTTAACTACCATGGGCTTAATGTTACAAACATTTTATCTTCTGTTTTACCTCATAAAATGACTAGATAGACATTACACTTGTGTTTTTAGGTAGCTAACTGAAGCTAACGGAAACGTGAGTCACTGTCCTCCTTAATAAAACCGGTTCAGGTATTAGTCCCTGTTGCTATAGCGTTACTAGGCAAACTCACGTTTGAGGCTTTTTCACATGTTTGGTTTGTTGTTTATAGGCTGCTAGAAGGAGTTTAGAGAGACCTAATCTTTGCCCAATTGATAGCTTATAGCATGGACTCTGAAAAGGATGATTTGGGGGGGAAAAATCGCATTTAAAAGTCTTTTCTGTTTATTTAAATATGATCCTAGTTTGTTAAGTTTTGGCCCAGTTTCTGCCAAAGTCATATTTTAATTTTCTACATAAATTGCCACATTGGAAGCCTACATCAAAACACCAATTTACCTGAACCATAATTAGATAACTGGTAACTGGTTGCATGTAACATGCTCCTATGTCATTGGTATAGTATTTTTCATATATATGTTTTGAAAGCTTCCTAAAATCCAAGTTATTAACCTTGATATGTGTAATTGGGTAAACAGTCCTGTGACCAAAACAACAGTCAGTCATGGTGTACATCCCAAAATAGCGACACATACAAGCAGCTGCGTTGGCAGAGCTCCATTTGCACCCTGTCATTCCCGTGACACAGTTACCAGGCCCTGTTAGACGGGGGTGTCATTAAAAGTGTGTGGCTCTGATCCCAGGGATGATCGAGGAGGGGATAATTTGGCAGGCACCTGAGTCTGACTGAAAATGTTGATGTCCTATCTTGTAATTTCTTGGAAGATTGTTTTTTATGCACAGCAGTATGCATGCAAAGCATTTAAAAGACTTACTAAGATATAAATACAAGGATGAACTATTTACATGTGTGTTTCTTTGTGTTTTGCAGGAGTTGACTTTAAGATAAAGACAGTGGAGCTGAGAGGGAAGAAGATCAGACTACAGATATGGTGAGTAATTGAAGTGACGTCTCCAGTTCCTGTATTCCTTTGCATGGAGCATTTCCTGTGTCCGCCCCAATACTCTGCAGGCTTTTTAACTAACTACTGATGGCTCTCTGACAGCATCATATTAAGTTTTTACTGCAGAGAAAAGTGAAAACAAGCTTTCTTACAAGATTTGAGTTGTATGTTTAGGCATGCCAAATCAGTTGAATTCTACAGGGTTTAAAAACAACAACTACCAAAGTTCCATATTTAAAATGAATACCTCTTGTGCAGTCAATAGTTACACATTTGTTAACTTTTTTTAAATACAAACTACAGAATTGGCACATTTGTAAACACGGTTTATAATTCAACTGTTTTTTAATTCCATACTTGGCCCATCTTGATGAAGAGGTGCTAACACAGTTCCAAATATCTATGTCAGTGGGCCTGAACACAGCGAGATACCTCGTTTGAACAATGCTAGTGACACTTGTGACCCACATTTCAATCAACACAAATTTTAAGTGGTGTTTGTGAGTAGGGTAGTCAGTGAGGGAGAGGGTCTTTCGTATAGCACAAGCAACTGCTGCTGGTTTGTTAGTTCAATGAGGAGACGTACACGTTCATAAAGGAGTTCTGCTGATACATGAGAAGTGGCAGTTTGCCATCACCATATTGGTGTAAGTAAATACAACTTTAATATTTGCAGGTGAATACTAGTTGCACTTTCTGCACTAGTAGAACTCACCTGGTAGCTCTGAATAAGATGATTTTACTTTATCATGATGTGTCTCTTAAAAGTGTCGAGCAGGTTATAAATATCAAATTACTGTATGCAACACTGACCTCATCTGTTAGTAATATTTCCTTGTATAGAAAAAGGAAATATTCCAGATACACATAGTTCTGTTGAACAGTCTACCTTTGAATTGTTTTTTTGTGCATTACTCCTTTATACTGTTGAAAGTCAGAGATGTATGTCTTGTCTCCGAGCTCTTGAGCCTCCAGTGCCCTCTCTAAAACAGCGACAGAGAGGATGTTATTTCATTGGTTTGGTTCTATCAAGCATCGACTTGAGTCTTGTGACTTTAACTAAGCTTTAATTACATTTTGAAAACATCCAGTGTTTTTGCCCAACAATGGTAAAACCCAGCAACATGCCACAAATTACAGGTTTTGAACCGGCCCAGAATATAACTACATTCATTTAGAGCTACAGTGCCGGGCTGAAAAGTGGGAACTTCATTGCTTATTTCACTAACACATCTGGCGTGTTCACTAACACCCCATCCACCCTCCCGCTCCAAGTCCTGTTGCACGCCCCCACCCATTACTCTCCCGGCCCCGACCTGTCCGCTCAGGATGTCCGTCCTCAGTGTGTCTCGTCTCTCTCGTGTTGATCTGCTCACATCAAGCTCCATCACTGCCTAACCTAACCCTGCCATTGTGCTGCTGTGTGTCTGTCCGCTCTGCTGCTCATAAGCCTGACTGTGACTCACATGGGGGACGGGGAGAGGCTATCTATCTGAAGGTACAGTAACACTGCACTGTGAGTGGAGTTGAATGAATCATAAATACACAAAAACCCAATGTAGTAGTGGTGTAAATAAATCTTATTGATCAATCTGTAATGGATGTTAATGCTTTAGAAAAAGACGTATTTTTATTTGAGGTGATAATAACACTTAATAAACTGTGTGTAAACGTGCTATGAATAGTTGTGCCTTTTTAGTGCAGCTACATTATCTTTTCAAGTGTTAAATAATAGGTTGTATTTTTAGCAATCATAACTCTTCCAGTTGAGATGCACTTTAAATTCGTGTTTAATTTTGTTTTACTTTATTTATATGATTCTGTAGTTGTATGCCAGCTTCTGCTTATGCGTGTAATAGAAGGAGCCAAGGCTATATGCACATATAACATTAAGATTAATTTGTATACAGTTACAGCAATTGACTGATAATTGAGGCTGATAATGAGGATTTGGTCAATTATCTGTATTGGCCTTGTACTTTACAAATGGCTAATATTGGAAAAAAAGTGCTACTTTGGCTGGTCTGTTATTTTGCACTAGTTTGTCTCATCTAATGTTCTGCCCACAATCCCTTCTGATTGGCCTGAACTACATAGAATTGGTTCTTGCCCTGAGAAACCAGTATCAGTCGATTCCCAGTTATCTACACCATTTATGAAAATGCTTATTGTGTCTCATTCAGGAGCAGTTCTTCTGAAATCTTTAGTTAGATGATATCATGGAAGCTTGAACCACCCTCATATGATAATGGTTCATAAAGTGACCCTATCCTGTGACATTATCTGCATAATACCTGTATCAGCTGATTGTGTCAGCAGGTATGACAACTTCTGCTGTTGAGGTGATGCTGCAATTTTGTATCTGAGATGACAGCTCACTAACATCAAGCTTGGAACATGTGAGCAGTATGAAAATCCTTTTTATTTATAAACATGTTCATGGATAAGGAGAATTTCCAGCCATGTCAGCTGTTTAGTATTTATGATAAGTCACAGTAATGCTGCATTGTCTAACCAACTCTCCTCTGTTGTATTTGTTTGATTAGGGACACTGCTGGTCAGGAGAGGTTCAACAGCATCACTTCAGCCTACTACAGAAGTGCAAAGGGAATAGTTCTGGTGTATGACATCACCAAACAGGAAACCTTCGACGACCTGCCCAAATGGATGAAGATGATAGACAAGGTAAACAGCTGTGGAGTGGTCTGTATTGTCCCTGCTTTATGCCCTACATGTCCCTAGAGTCTCATAATTCCACTCATTTCTCCAAATCAGTGATTGAACAATTCTTTGGTCCCTTCCAAGAATCTGGAACTTGTGTTTTCACAACATTTTAATCTCCTAACATTGCAAATCAGCATGCTGTGAGCCCGACTGTCCTCCTATGGCTTTAATCTCACTGACACTGGCAGCAGTTTGAGGAGCAGGAGGTGTTATTGAAGGTGTCGCTTGGCAAAAACACTGTTTTAATTATAGCCTGAGTGATGCAGGATAGCTTAGGGATAATGAATAGTAACAATGACAACCCACTCACTGAACATAATTTGCTTAATACACAGCTATTTGCTTGGTGGATAAGTAATTTAACTCCAGATATTGATTTGCAAATGCTTATATTGATATAGAAATGATTGTGTGTCTTCTGTTGGAAATGATCATTGACCAGTAAAAATTTGAGCTGCATCCATGAAGCTAACTTAAACGTCACTACTCACATCAAACTGATTGTTGCCACTGATGGTGTGCAACCTTGAAGCTCACGGAGGTAAAAAGAAATAAATGTATCCACTATGAGCTCTTTAATGGATATTGCCTGGTACTTCCTGTACTGATTCACTGTATCTATCTATTCTATCGCTGTAATTTGGGTTCACTTTATGAATTAGGAGACTGATGATTTCCTGATGTGTCTCTGCTCTGCTTCTTTTTTTTTTTTTTGGCAGTACGCCTCAGAGGAAGCAGAGCTCCTTCTGGTCGGGAACAAGCTGGACTGTGAGAGTGATCGGATCATCTCCAAACAGCAAGGAGAGAGGGTGAGTTAAACGCACACACTCCCATTCACCGCTTTATCACATATATACATTCTCATTTGTTTGGTTAATTAAAGCATGTAAAGAGATGTCAGCTCACGGTCTGTGTTTGTGTATTTGTGTTACAGTTTGCCTCTAGGATAAGCGGTATGCGTTTCTGTGAAGCTAGCGCCAAGGATAATTTCAATGTCGATGAGATCTTCTTGAAGCTTGTGGACGACATCCTAAGCAAGGTAAGTGGGTGACCTGTCGAGTCTCCAAAACTTAAAGATATTTCTGTTTTTATTAAGAATGTAAAACTAAATGTGGGTGAAAAGGAGAGCATGTGGAGAACGTGGTTACAGAGATCAGCCAATTTAAAAAAAATCTATTCTGACTCAAAGTTGAGAAAGAAGTTATGTCCTCTTTGTGCTAATAGAGTCAAACACCTTCAGTTCTGGACTTGTCTAGACAGCTATCACACAAAGCTAGGACACCTTATACAGACTTTGCTCTGTACCTGAGATTTGATTGTAACCCAGACATCTTAAAAATGAAAGAAAATGTCAGCTCAATACAACACTGTCACGAACACAGAAAGTTCAACACTTTTTACCGGCAAACACCACGACTATTAGATTATTACAGTCAAATATCCATTTCTGATTTAATCATCTGTCTTTGGTTGTATGTCTTTCTATACATCAGAGGAGATTAATCACTGTGTTAGAAACAGCCTCTAAAAGATCACCCTCTAAATTTAGATCCTCTTTTTTTAATTCAACTTGTCATTCATTATGAACTTATTTCAGGGGATTTCACCATTTAAATGTAATACAGTCATAATTTTTACAACAATGCTGTAATTATATTGCCTTATTTAGTCATATCCATTGTTGGCCTCTTGTATTAAAACAGGTTGGTAGGGGGCATGTTTGCCATTTTGTTGGATTATGTCTTTTCAGCAACATTCTGTAAGTGTTTGGGGATTGAAGAGACCAGTTTCTAGAGTTTTAACATTGAAACATCCTCTCCCTGCTTGAGAAGGATTTTCAGCTGTGGTCTCCTTTGGTGTATTTCCTTTTAATAATCGTGTTGTAGTGGGTGACAAGCCTGGACTGCTAGCGGGCCAGTTTGGCACTGGAACTCTTACTCAGAGCCATGCTGGTGTAATACTTGCAAAATGTGTTTTGGCATTATGTGTCTGAATCATGAAAGGTTATCCTTAAAACAAGCACAGTGTCTTGGCAGCATAATGTAGCTTCAAAACCTGTTTATGTAGTTCAACATGAGTCGCACCTTCTCACATGTGTAAGCCACCTATGCCACAGTTACCTTCACATCCCCATAAGATCAAGCTCTGATAACAAGCTGGTTTGTCCATCTCCTCTTTAGAGCTCATACTGTTTTTAAACTGAACTGATCAGTTTGCACAGTTCAGTTTTAAGACTCACAGACGGTGGTTTTTAGGTGTGGTTTTGAGTATGTTGTGGCCCCCTGTCATGTTGCAAAGAAATGTTTCACTTCTAACATCTGATAGGTTTCATTGCATATTTTCAACCAAATCTAGAGTTGAAATGATTTGCAAACCATCGTATTCTGTTTTGATGAATATATTCCTCAGCGTCTCAGCTGTTTTGTAGAGTATTTGCATTAAACTCGGTGCTTTCTGACTCTTTTCTCGTCACTCAGATGCCTCTGGAAGTTACCAACAAGGAGCTCTCCAACAGCGTCCTCTCTCTGCAGCCTGAACCGGAAGTGCCTCCGGAGTTGCCGCCTCCTCGCATGCGCTGTTGCTGAGAGTCACTGTGGTTCTCCAGTCCTTTTACACACACACACACACACACACACACACACACACAAACACACACTCCGCTCACACATGCAGAGCGCCAATCTGACCACCGGGGGGCAGCAAACAGCAGCAGTTTGGAGTCTGCCGATCGATGATGCATGGACTCTGTGAACAACCAGTATTATCCTCTCCTGTTTTTTGACTGTACACGATGACGTGTTCAACACTAACACTTAGGCCTGGTAAATCACCCCCTTCCTTTCACCAGTCTGTCTACTCTTGACCCAGACTACCTCATTCCTCAGACCGTTAGGCGAGCTGTGTCCCACAGGTGCCTTGGAGGTAGAGAGCTCTCTGGTAGCACATTAACAAGGAGAGGGATTACTGAGGGCCTTACAGCTTGTTCTCTTCCTGTTTTCTATTAATAAACAGTCAACATAATTACTGTACACTAAGTTTGACCCCGTCTGAGTCGCGCTGGTTGTCTGGTATCTTTGCATCGTGTTACAGAAAGGGACAACGATATCTCACATCTCTGCAGCGTAGCTCGAATCCTGAGTGTAGGTACATTAGTTTTATACTCTTCTCTGTAGGTGTTTATTACGAAGCAATGAGTTGACTTGAGGTATAGACAAAAGCACATGATGTAAATAGGCTGTGTTGCAGTCATGACTGGACAAGGTGCAGATTTTTGTTGCCAGGAGAAGGCAGTTTGTGTGTCGGTGATCATATCAGTTTGTATCCTTTTGCCTTAAGGTATTAAAGAGGCTGGAGTGGCTAATATCCTGTTTGTTTAAATTGTAAAGTTTTGCACTACAATTCAACTCACTTAGTTAGCTTGATATAAAGAAAGAAAAAAGTACATGTAGTTGCTAGAAAAAGATTATTGCTGCCATGGGACTCTTCCATACACATGATTTTGATGCAAAAAGAGATGGGTGCTGTAGTTTCTGATGGTTCTGGATCTGTGTTTCCCCCTCATGCACCCTCCATGGTAATGAGTAGTGTTTTTTTTTTTTTTAGCTTTTGCTTTGGTTGTGTTACTAATATTGCAAACTGTTCAGTCGTGTTTCCTTTGAGAGAGAGAGAGAAAGCTGCACAGGAGGCTTTGTGTTGTATCTAAATTAACAAATTTTTGCAGTCTAATATGGCAGACGTCATTTTCTTTTGGTTTTATAGTAAGTTAATAAACAACACAAACAGAAGGTTCTTTACGGGAGCTTTAAATTTTAGATTTAGAATAACATACCTGTCTAAAAGTAGGGAAGCTCCAAATGCATTCATGCATTGAGTGCGTCTGTGTAGGTTAACATCCACATGCCTAAATCCAGGTAATCATGCCGACCTACACCGCTCTAGAATATGCCATCTGTCACCTGTGCTTGTTTATATCAGTGTTTATCAGTCTGGCATTTTCGTCAACTGATTTGTAAAGGGTGCTGGTTGATGACTGAATCGACTAAACAAGCACATCCTTTTTCTAGCGAGAGTCAGCAGTTTTAAATTAATGATTTGGCTGTTAGAGGCTCTGCTCTACACTGACACACCCTTACCTGCACATTTGCAATAACACAAGGCTATGCATGTCAGTCCTCCTATGATTCAATTGTGTTATTCTTCTATTTTGTGTTAACTGTTGCAATATTAGCCGTGTAGCGCTGTGAGTAACTCTTGTTTTGTTTGTCCACATTCAAGCGTAAGCCCCGGTGAGAGATGAGGGAGGGACAGGCCCCACGCAACTGACCTGATTACAAGTGACTCGCTGGTCGTTGGTTAATTCTGTTTTTGTTAAAGATTTAAGTTAAGCCCGAGCAGCTTCTGTGGACGTCTAATAGTAATGCACCAAAACAAAGCTACGGTTAGTGACCCCACAACCACTTCAGGACGTGAGATTATGAGGCTGCAAACAACATGAGCATACGAATAATCAGTGACTTTGCATTATTATCAGTATGATTTCAAAACAATAAACTCAGTTTTTTTGTTTTACTTTCCAGACCTGCAGTTTCCTCCTCGTCTTTAAGCACTTGGCACTAACCCTGTGGTCTTTGTTTTTAACAGCCAAGCCTTATACTACTCAGTGTTTTCAGTATCCATTTTAAAAACCTGATTTTATTTCAAATGTGTATCCTTAAAGATGGAAGACTGTACTTTGTATTAAACCTGTTGCAGGTCAGAGAAGTTTTGGCATGTTTAAAGCAGATTTGTGGTATTTATAACTTGCAGCATTCTCAGACTAATGAAATGCAATTAAAGAAATCTATATTTATTACCAGATTATGGTCTTTATTTTACTGTCTGACACCCTCAATATGAACCAGGAATGACTCCCCTTAAGCGCCTGAGAAAGGTAATACGTTTTCTTATATTGTGCCAAAGTTAAGTTCTTGAAAAAGAGATGTATTCAGGGAATAAGTTGATATCTTGAGCACACAAGATAATGGCATGCGCACAAGCGATCAATTTTACCTGATTACATAAAAATTAATTAATCTTGTATGGAGGCCCCTGAAGTTCCAAAAAAATTAATGTTTCTTTTTCTTTTCATTTTGTGCACAAGTTGTGTGCAAATGAATATCTTGTGCACCGGTTTTAATCATGCACAAAGTAAATATTTTCTGTGCACAAGATAACGTGTGCAGACTGGTTATGTTGTCTTGTGCATTAATCCCTGTGTCACTATCTTGAACACATGTTTTGTGCACAAAACGTGAGTGCAGAGTATAATTATTGTGCTTAAGAATACCTGTGCACAAGATAACGTACCCACAAGATAAATTCATATTGCACAATACATTAGCTATCTTGTGCAAAAAATGTATATCTTGGGCTCAAAAGTTGAGGATTATTAAGTTATCTTGTGCACACATTGATTTTATTTTGTGCTTGCTATAAATATTAACATGTGCATGAGATACAAATGTGTTAGCAAGATAGTAACATGTTCCCTCAAGATATTTATATTTTGTGCACAAGATGATTACTATGTCTCAATAATTTACTTGTTCAAAACGGAAAATAACTTATAAACATAAGATAATGAACTTGTTCCTTCCCACAAGATACTTTTTTGAAGACTGGAGTTTCTTGGTATCTTGCAGCACAAGATCAGTGCAGAGTGATTGACGGAGGGTTTTCCAGAAAGAGGGGAGTGTCACTATCTCTGACTCCATTCTGTGAAAGTGTCCATAAGCCAATTGTGTGTGTGTTTCTGTTTCTGTGTGTGTGTCATTAGGGCATGCGCACCAAAGCGTGTCAGACCTGGTCCCAGTGAAAACAAGGGGTGTGCTCGGGCGCTTGCGAGGCAGCAGCGCATGCGCCCCGCAGAAAATCACGGGCGTCGAGCCTCACACCGCAGCGATTGCAGATCTTTACATGTCAGATAGGAAGGAGTGGGAAAGGGGGTTCGAGACACGGGGGGGCCCAGCACTCAGAGCCCGGTGTGAGAGAGGGATGGAGAGCCGATCCGCAGAGGAGGAAGAGGGCTGACGTGACTCGGCTTCAGACAGTTTTTCTCCCCAACTTACGAGCCCGTGTCTGCGGATGCAACCTGTCCGTCATCCCGTCCGTCCCGGTAATCCCTTTTTTATTGCAGCGTTTCCTCCGAGGAGGCTCCAGCCAGAGGGGACGACAATGACAACCTGGTGAATGCACACGAGATGGAGTAAAACAGTCAGCAAAACGCAGGATGCGCATCTCCAGCCCGACAAGGAAGAAGGTAGAGGAACCTGACTGTTTTTCTGTTTTTCTCGCGCGTCCGAGATTTTCCGCGGTGTTGTGGATTGATTGTTTCCTTCATCGCCCTCCTGCTGCCGGTGTCGGTGTATAATGGAGAGCTCCAATGGCTCTGGCAGCGACACCAAACCGCAGAACCACCAGTTGGAGAAGAAGAGACTAAACCGAGCACCCTCCCCGGCCAGACCTTTCCTCAAGGATGTGCACTCTCGCTCCACCAAACCACCTGCCATCGTCCCCAAATCCCCCAAACTCAGCAAGCAGCAGCAGCCTTCCTCACTGCCCCTGGCCCATCCGAACCGAAGCTCCAGACGCAACACACCCGGGCCGAAGGAGAAACCAGCTCCGGCGAAGAGTAACACCAAGTCCTCTGTGGCCAAAAAGCCCACGAAGCTGCCTCAGCATGCGCCAGCCGAGCCCAAAGCCGCCGGCATCAAACCGGACAGCACCAGCAGTCCCATCCTCGCTAAAGGCAAGAAGGGGAAACTAGCCTCCCAGACGGGCCCTCTCAGTCATGGATCCCCGATCCGGGTACCGACCGGGGCGGCTGTCGGCCGGGTCAGCCAAACCGACAGCAGCTCAGACCTGTCAGACTGTCCGTCCGAGCCGCTGTCGGACGAGCAGAGGCTGGCACCAGCTGCTAGTAGCGACGCCGAGTCCGGTACCGGCTCTAGTGACCGGGGGGATCAGATGGGAGCAGATAATCCTCCACGGGGAGAAGCGAGCGAAGCGGCGACTGGAGCTGCTGCTGCTGCTGCTCCGCCGCGCACAACCGAGGCTTCCGCCGCCAAGGGAAGCATGTCTCAGGCTCAGCCCGCTCCGGGGGCGCACGGGGAGAAACACAAGCCGGAGAAAGCTTCATCATCAAGCGCACAATTCAGACTGCCAGGAAAGAAGGATGTAGCTGAGGAAGATTTGCAGCGGGAGGTGGAAGATTTGAGATCCGAAAACGACTACCTCAAGGTATGATGATGTTTTCTCAACAAGTTACACGCAGGAAAACCTCACCACTGTGTTTAAAGTTGCTTTAGTGACTCCTCATTCTGAAACTTCCACCTGAAAAGACAAGTGAACCTCAAATCATTCAGTCTCCTAATACAGATCCAACTGTTTCCAAAGCTGTCTCTTTATGGGACAGGAAAGAGTGACTACTTCTCAGAACAGCAGAGAACACTCGAAACAAAAATCAATTCAAACAAGAAACACTCATTTTTAGCAGGCTGTTAATTCATCCATCCAGATGTGGCTCTTTCTCTAAGAGGACCTAAAACTGCCTTTTTGCAGAGCATTAAAACCCGGCTGTTATACTGATTGTTGCATTCGCTTTATATCATCACCCCCATACTCAAAAATCACGTTTAGTATTTTAAAAAGTGCATTTTTAAGGCGCTTTAAATCCTCGGGTCCAAAGACAACTCCTTATAAGAGCTCTTGCCTCTCTACAGGACAGTCCCATGTTGAAATCTCCAGCCTCACCATCGTTTCGCTGGCTTAATAAAAAAACACGATCAAAATGTAAAATCTAAATTTTTGCATAATCTAATGCATCTCCTTAAACCAGGAGAGGTCCCCTGTGTCGAGTCTCCATCCATCATGTCGTCTTTTTTAACCTTCCTGGGCTTCCCTGCAGTTTGACCTTTATCGATGGGACTTTAATGGATAGTTGCTCCACACCGACGCATCCAGAGAGTTTTATATTACAGCTGTTGAATCATCAAAGTGTAAAATTTTGATAGCGTCTTGTCCTCTTCTTCCACTCTTGCACTTTGGGCACAGAAAGTCATATCAGGTGAAAAAACTCTGCACTCTGGATGTTTCATAATCAGGGTTTCATCATCACTTTAAGCACAAAGATCCTGCTTGATTCCACTTTATTGCAGGATCCCCACCCCCCCCTTTTTAAGTAGGCTACCCCCATTAGTTGGGGAGGGGAGGCGAACAGATAATGCGGCAAACAATCTTGCAGGTTTTTCCTCTCTTTCATAGATCAGTGACGGGTTTATTTGCATGTTAGTCTGAGTATTATTTCAAACTTGATCACGCATGTCTGTCTGTCTGTCTCTCTCTCTCTCTCTTGGTGCGCGGCAAACACAAGAGAGTTAATCAGCTTTACTGGCTCTGGCTGTAATGGCTTTATCCCACAGGAGTTGATAACAGTCAGATGTCCCATGTGTGTCGGGTTCAAACACCCTCCTGCCTGGCTGTCAGTCTGCCAGCTGGGACTCTGAGGCTTCCACCTCCCCCACCCACCCACCCACCATGCCCCTGAAATGTCTGGGAGTCCCCATCACTGCCACCTCTGCCGCTGCTGCTGGAAAAACATGTTTGTCACTTTCATAGTATTTTGACGCCTCATTATCAGTTTCATCTCTTAAAAGACGATTATTCAGACTCATGAACAAACACTGTTACACTTGTGTCTGGGATAATATTGAATCACACTCATGAATAAGTACTTAATCAACCTGATGACATGAAGTCACTCGGGTTTGGTGGCAGCGTGTGGCGGTGATCTTTGAGTAATCGAGGTACAAGAACAGACGCCTTACAAGCAACAACAGTGGTGAAGTTTTCTAACTTAATAAGCAGCTCTGTTTTTGTTTGTTTGTTTGTGAGCAGGTTTACAGATTCAAAGATTGACCTGGTTTTTAGGAAACCTGGGGAAATTACTAGAGCACGGTCTTGTAAGCTGAGGTCTGTCCTCCTGGGTCTGGCATTTAAAACTTATCAAGTGAAGAAAATCGCAAAAATGTGTCTCAGATTTACAATAATAATAAAAAAATAATAATTTTAAAATCCGAGGAGCTGGATCCCATAAAATTTTGGCATATTTCTGCAAAAAAAATGACTTAAAGGTACAGTGTGTGTATTTAGCTAAATTTAGCAGTAGAGACTTGGTACAAATGTAAGATAAAATGTTTAAGTGTGCTCAAATGGGTGTTAAATCACCCAAATATATGAGTAATTTTGCTTTTTTTAACTTGGAAGAGCTTTTTGTATCTAAATATGTAGCGGCAGAAAACTCTCAAACATGAGTCTGGTTCTGTTCGAGGTTTCTGCCTGTTAAAGGACATTTTTCTATAACTGCTACAATCATGGATAAAGATAGGATAAAGGTGGGTCTGATCTTTCAAGATGGGGCTCAATCTTATCCCATTTTTATATGATCTAGACTGGCTTTTTTGATTGATTGATTGATTGATCCCTGTCCTCAGGAGCTGCTCTCTTGTAATGCCCTGTTTCTAATGTAGCCCAGAATGGACACTTTTGAAAGTAAAAACAGGCATTCTAGGATCTTTTTGTCCTTAAAGGCCACCATTGCTTCACTATCTGGGGGTGAGCAAGGGGGTAAGCATAGATGCTGATAGTTTTCTCCAAGAGAGGGTTCAATCAACCTACAGGTCATTTCTTATGTTTAAAAGTCAGTGTTTACTGTTTCTGTTTTAATGATAAGTTAGTTAAGAGAAACGTATTGGTGTATGTTTCTTCTGCAGTTTGACTTTGGTGTGAGTTGTGAGATTTGGCTGTTTGTTGTTAAAAAAAAGATCTGAAGACAACATGTCAGAACACAATTAAACTTTAATGAGCTTATTCTGTAGAGGAAGAGGCCGGACTGAAACACTGATGCATTAATCATGGGAATAACCAGCAGGCGAACCATTAAAGGAGATTGTATGTGTTATGTCTACCTATTTATAGTTAAAGGTCTCGGAGTTCAGCACCATATATACAGTATGTTGCATTTACAGTAGATGCTAAGTAAGGATTTCCACACTTCAGGCTCCTACAGAGAAATCTGAGTACTGCTGCTCGTGACTCGGTGTACACACTCTCCCCACGGCTGAGCTTTTAACCTAGCCATCGATTAGTTCGACCCTATGCGAGGTCATTAGCTCCTTCCTCCTGGGTCCTCCTCGCCTAACAAAAGGCTCTGTGCTTTCCTAAATGAGGATAGATTTAGTTTTCATTAATTGACATTCACTTCCCTCGGCATCCTGTTGTCTTTTCATCAGGTGCCTGTCAAACCTCTGGATATCATCCTCGGGGAAATAAACCGAGCAAACGGATTCATCAGCCATCAGATACCCCCCTAGATCACTGTGCAAACTATCTGAGAAACAGTTTAATCTGTTTCTTCCTCCTCTGCCACCGACCAGGTTGTTTCCCATTGATGAGAGATGATTAAATGAACACATCCAATTCAAGAGATAAGATGCTTAAAGCCAGTTAGCGCTCTGACATCATCAGCATTCAGAGTTTTTGCATTACTGGAACTGATATGTAATCACATAAAGGTATTAGCATAACCTACTAAGGTATAATGTATTAAATCTCTTTTTTAAGAGCTGTGTGTCTGCATCTCCGTAAGCACCTTAAAGCTACTATAAGGAGTTTTTTGACTTTAGTGAAATAGACTGAATTTTATATTAATGCCCTCTCATGTAATTCAAAAGCAAACAAGACTATCAGTAACAAGATTGACCATTTTTATATTGATAATTTTAGTAATCTAAACTGGGGCTAAGAAACTAGAGATGCACTGATCCATTTTTTTCCGATCCAATCCGATACCTGGACTGAGCGTATCGGTCGATATCCGATACTGATCCAATACTACTGTTGAATGAACTGAACTGTATACCTTGCCCTGTGAGTGAAGGGATCAGGCTTGACATTAGCCTTGTTAAATAAAAAAAGGTATCAAATTAACACAGATACAAATTTACTTAATATTCTTTATTAACAAATAACAAATTGCACATTAGCACACAGCAAAAAGAAGTAAGACTTCCATGTAAGAAAAATTAATTTAAAGAAAAAATAGACCAGATCAGAACGCTGGATCGGCATCATTCATCAGATATCCGATCCAGTTAATTTGTCAATATCGGAGCAGAAATCTGATCTGAATAGCCCTGATTTTACACTCGCCACATAAATTCACAATAAAAAATATTTGACTGTTAAGAGTCAGCAGGATGTCTCAACCTTGAGGTTACAAAAGTGAAGCCAAAATACCCCATGTGACGGGTGGCCATATATTCACTGTTAATGTTTTTAGAGCTGGATTCTTTGCAGCCAAGGCAGCAACATTTGCAACCTGCCTTTTCTGCTAGCTAAGACACATGGTTAGCTCACCATAAAACATGACCTATCCTTCCATTTGGCTCAATCTGTAGCATAACAGCTAGTTAGCAGACCTTCATAGGTAAATATCATAAGTTTTATAGCAACTAATAACTTCATTAAAACCAGAAAAAAACACTTTGACATGAATCAACGTGATTAGAACTATCCTGAATAAAAGAAACCATGATTGGGAAAGACTTATTTGACATGCATTTTAAATTTGAAGCTTGACTCATGTCCCATTTGTTAACATGGAGCTCCGATTGCGTTGGCTTCACTTTTGTGTAGCTGTCATGCCATCCACTGTTATACTCATTATTTACTGGAATATTCCCAGTGTGTGTGTGCTGAGAGACCCCAAAGTCACAGTCTGCAAAGCCCAGAATTGACTCAACAGGGAAAAAATATTCCCAACAGGAGTGTTTGTGACATAACTGGGGCTGCACTTAAGCACAAAGCTCCTGTTACATCAGTTGGTCTGTCCTTTTATCGAACGGCGAGTCAATCACTAAATGCCTCTTTCAGGTCAGACTCTGCCTTGGACTAACAGCTGGATCTTCTTATCGGCTGTTTGACTGGAGGATATTATTTTGACCCTCTGACCTTTCCCCTGACCTTCCCTCCAGTCTAAATGTCTGTTTGTAGAGAGGAAGTATTAAAATATATCGGGTCATGAAATGTAGTCGGCATATTCACACTCACACTCCAGTAGCTGGACATAAGTTTCCCCGGAGTGCCCTTTAAACGCCTGTTAAAAACAGGAGCACAACGATATAAAGACATGCCTGGAAAAGCACAAGAGTAGCTCTTTTATTACATCTCACTGTGTGGACTAGGATCATTCTCCGGTTTTGTATTCAGTTTGATGTATTATGAACTCTCTCAGGCATAATTTATACCTTTTTACTCACTTTTAGTTTGGCTCACGAAATATCAAAATCTTTTCTTTCTTGATTTGATAGATCAATTTTAGTGGATCTCTCATTAGTCTGCCAAAAAAAATCACCTTTTACAAATTGGATATCATATGATCTCGTGTGTCTCTCAGGATGAAGTGGACGAGCTGCGGGCAGAGATGGAGGAGATGCGGGACAGCTACCTGGAAGAGGAGGTCTACCAGCTGCAGGAGCTGCGGAGGGAACTGGACCGCTCCAACAAGAACTGCCGCATCCTGCAGTACCGTCTGCGGAAGGCCGAGCAGAAGAGCCTGCGGGTCGCTCAGACGGGACACGTGGACGGAGAGCTGCTGCGAAGTCTTGAGCAGGACTTGAAGGTTTGTGAGTTCTGTCAAAGTGTATTTTGATCGGCTGTTACTATCGATTACTTTCTGTGTTCAGCTAATATCATAAAAATGTACCGCTTTTAACCTCAGACTTATCCGTCTCTATGTTCTCAGGTGGCCAAAGATGTGTCTGTGCGTTTACACAATGAGCTGGAAAGCGTGGAGGACAAACGCAGCAGAGCCGAGGACGAGAACGAGCTGCTCCGGCAGAGGATCATCGAGATGGAGGTCTCCAAACAGGCTCTGCAGAACGAGCTGGAGAGGACCAAAGAGGTGAGAGGATAATGATGCTGTTTGATGCGAGGCGGCTGCAGGTCATGAGAAAACTTTTAGCTTTCATGCACACAAAGAAGTAAATGCTGATCACGTAATCGCAGGACTTTGTTTGGGCCGAGTGTCAAATGAGTGATGATACTAATAAGTGGATATGGAGGGTGAGTGGTGGAACAGCAGTTAGAAAAACAGCTGTGTGGACAGGATAGTGAAAATCAGTACTTATGGGTCCACTGATCTGCAACCTACCATGAGATGCTTGTGATTGTTGCTGCAGCCTCTTTGCTACCTGCACATGAAAGCCGGGATCAATGCTGATCCTCAGCCTGATCATCTGCATGATCAGCAGGCCGGCAGCGGTAAATGATTTCATCAGTCACTTTCTCTGACAGGCCTTTAGAAAACAGCTGCTCTGTGCAATGACGCAAAAAGGACCCGAGCGGTTTTGCTTGCAAAAGAAATGCAAAAGAGGATGCATGCACATTTGGGAACTACTGATACCGTGTGTGTGTGTGTGTGTGTGTGTGTGTGTGTGTGTGTGTGTGTGAGGTAAGTTGTCGTTGAAAGTTCATCTTAAGGCCAGAATGAAATCTTAAGTTCACTTACATAACAACTTCACAAATGTTGCGACTGAAGATTCTCTCCTGATGTTCAACTCTGCAGATCTTAAACAGCTCATGAAATCACCCTTTAAAAACAGCTTGAGCGTTATCAGTAATCTGTTGTAATGTTTGCTGTTGGTTGTCCCTATTATGTAATTCAAAATGCTTTTATTGAAATATCTTACAATGTTGTTAAAAATAAGCTTTTTTTGCTCAAGTGCAAAAGGTGAATGCACAAAACACACAAAGTCCTGTGCAGCTGCAGCATGACTGTGGCTCCAAACTTCATATTGCATTTTAAGACACCACAGGTGTTGCACTTCTTCACCACCCTCGCTCTGGATTTCAGTCTCTTTGAGTTCCTGTATCGCTGCCACCCTCCTGCTCTCAGAGGGGAAAGTTCTTTCTTCGAGTCCCCTCTCGTTGGTGATAAGATGAGCTGAGGCTGTTCCCAGTGCTGCTCGGGTTCAGCTGCTTTGACTAATCGACTCTGACGAGAGCAGGTGACATCCAGTCTGGCAGTTAGGAGAAAGTAGGCTAATACAGCAGCAGTCAGTCAGCGTGGATGTGTGACACTGTTGTCTCCTCCTGCTGTTATATTTGTAGCTGGTTTGATTGATTTTGTCCCCTCAGTGTCTCCGTACGGACTACTGCTCTGTGACTTTCTCCACTGCTTTGAAATCTGTATCCTGAATTCTCTCCGTTTCCAACATTGTTGTTTGTCACTTCATCTTATCAGCCCCAAACTGAGACGCTTGGAGTACAATTTATCCAACATGACTGCAGACGATCGTCAAACAGAGTTTAGTGAGTCTGGTGCCAATTGGGAAGTTTAACTGACTTCCCTAATCATACGCCTAAAATGCGAGCTGATGTATCACGGTATGATGTTTTGTTTGAGACTAAGAATAGAAATAGAAACAGAAAATCTTGATGACATTCCTGTGGAGGTTGTCAAAATGGACATGATGAGTTCAGGCAGAAAGGTTAAATACTTGTGTTGGGGCCCCTCAGTCAAAAAAAGCCCGTATCCGGCCCTGGACATGTGGGACCTTAAGGGTACAAATGATGACCACCTATGGGGACCTTTTAGTTTGTGCGGTATGTTTTCTTCTGACTTATTTTGCCCCTGACTCTCTTCTACACGGTGAGGAAAGCGGCGAGGCAGCGATACAGGCTGCTCCAAATAATTGCAGATTTTTCTGTGTTCCCCTTGAGGTTTTGTCCCAGAAAAACACAAGCAGATCCAGATCGGCTCTTCGACGTCACGTGATGCCGCGTACCCCGGCGTGCGTTTTATAATGCAGCACCCCAACATCTTCAGCTCTGCTGCATGAAATCCACACTTCCCTCGTCCTAGATTCTTCCAGTTTTGAATCACTGCGTACTCATTATGCCAGTCTCTAATTCCTGTGTAATCATAAAGCGCAGTAGGTAACCTTTTTTATTTCTTTATTGTTATTAGCAGGGGGTGATAAAGGCATTTACAAACGTTTAGTCAGAGGTGAATTGGAGAGGAGCTGCTCTCTGCTTTTGATGCTGCTCAGCTCAGAGATAAATCTCACAGAGAGACAGACAGAGAGAAAAACAGGAGGGGCACATTTTACTGATAAGAATGTGGTTCAACTGGACTTGAAGGTTGTTCCTTTCTCTATCTGCTTTAATTAGACTTTGGAAATTGTGACGCAGGTGTGTTATATCACAAGGGGTGGAAAAAACACCAAACTTCATTCAATTTTCGCAAGATTTTTCAAACTCCATGGTCAGCGCAGGTCCCCTCTTCTATTTCGCTCCCTCGGGTATCACCTGTGGTTGTTTTGAGCACCATAATGAAGAGGTAACATGACCAAAGAATACAAAACTCTTCAAGCTTTCTCACCGCAGAGGTAAAAATCCAGCTCATTCAGCCGGTTTTGTGGTCTGTGTGTTTTTAAGTCCACCTCCACCTGTCCCTGCGCCTGTTTTCTAATATCAGAAGCAACACAGTGTGACTCTGACCCACAGATTGGCACCCCTGCATGTATAAATCCCACAAGAAGGCCTGTTATAAAACATCCTGGCGTGTTACAGCTGACTGTGATAGGAGGGGAGAGAGCGAGAGAGAAAAAGAGAGAGAGACAAAGAGTCAGGGAGGAAGAGAAAGGCTGTAGGCCCTGTTTGCCTGCGATAGGACCACAGCTCCTCTGCTCACACAGCCGATATTAAACAGTTTAGCGGGGCTGCTAGGTTGACAGGACCCTCTGTTGCTACAGTACAAGCCCGAGGATCCAAAACTGCAGCTGCTGCTTCTGTGTGGTCAGTTTGGAGGCCGAGAGTGATCGGTGGAAAGATTTCTCATCCCTCTGGCGTTGGAAGAAAGACTCGCTGATACGTGTAATGAAATGGAACTAATGAAATGTCAACGTGCATAACACAAGCAGCAGGTGATTTATTAGGTGTTCTGCGTGCGCCGTGATAAGTTCATCTTTCATTACGGGGAAGTGATAATGCTCCCATGTTGTGCTTTTCCTGCTCAGTGAGAACCGGTTCCGTCTCATGTCAGATTTCCTGAGTCGTCAGACGGATCTCGACATCAGATCTCACGAGGACAGAACACAATGAAAAGACAACATCTACACATTCGATAACACGTGTCGGAGGAAGCTCTCGACAGTGAGAGTGTGGGAGTGTTTTATCATGCTCGCCAGCCTCACACCCAGATTATAGTAGAGGGACTGCATGTGCTCGAATGTAATCCTTTTAGTGTTAAAAAAAACTGTATGAATACCACATTGAAGATGTGTTTTTATGGCCTCACTTTGCCTTAAAAAAGCCCTTTTTGTTTTTATACTATCACTACCTTAAAGCTCCTGTAGGTAACTTTTGGGTTGTGTTGATTCTGGCGCCCCCTGTGGTAGGGCTGGGTGATATGGGAAAAAGTTTATTACGATATATATTTTTTCATATCAGTCTGTATCGATATATATGATATATATATATATATATATATATATATATATATATATATATATATATATATATATATATATATATATATATATATATATCATATGAGAAATGAAATTGAACAGTACTTATTGGTAGCGTGTCTTTGGCAATACAATAAGCTACTGCATCTGTGAGGTCTTTGTGTCTCTTTGACGTTTTGTTCTCGAGGCACTGTTTCAGGTGGTGAAAAAGATTTGAGGTATTTCCTGACTTTGTGAGAACATGTACTTGACATTATTTGCAGTGCACATTACTCTGCTTCATGTCCGACCTCAAGAAAACAAAATACCTCCACACCACTGATGTTTTCTCATGGACAGAACTGTCGGCTTCACATGTTAAAGTGCTGTAGTTGCGTGTAGCTGCAGCCTGCTACTACGCAGTTGTTTGCTACTAATTCAGCAAATGATTGGTTCAGCGCGAAGCAGACCCGGGGCAACTCCCCTTGTCATTGGCTATTCGTATAGTCTACCAAAACATGGCAGAATGCCGACTATCAAAAAGCATATTGACCATGTTTTATATTGATATTGAGGGAAATTGATTTTCGATATATATCGTTACCTTTTTATCGCCCAGCCCTACCCTATGGACAAAGTGATTTCTCCAATCTCACATCCTTTACATGCAAAAATGGTATCTGTCAATCATCTGGTTTGAGATGTAGCATCAGTAACTTTTCCGCTTTTACTAATGTGTTAACATCGTGAAGCTCTGGTTGTAGAGTTTCTCCATTTAAAACAACACCCTAACAGAAAGTGTACATCCCTTTGTTACAGCATCAGTCAAGACGTCCAAACATCCCTCTTCCTGCTGGTTAACTTACTCCTCACTGACTAACTTCACCAGCAGAGCTCCCAACAGAGCCAGTCCCAGGAGAGTGATCAGTATTGGCTCAGTTTTCAACCTCTCATCGTTTCAGATATCACACTGCGCTATTATCGTAATCTAACCAGCACAGGTCTTTGCTTTTATTCCTCCTGTTTAAAAATAGAAACTCTAATATCTGAGAGTTTTCTAGCCTCACATCTTTAGTTTGTGTCTTTCACCGCTACAAAGGTAGGAGAAGGGGATGCCTGAATTCTTAATATGTCAACAGCGTCTCAGTGAGAATCACTGCAGACATCTTTTGTTTCATGTCAGAGCAGCCGCCTCCTGCTCCTCTCTCATTTCTCCTTCTTCTCAACATCTCAGCGTCGGCTTTGAAGAAGCTCCCAATTCTCCTCTTCTCATCTCGGCTTCTCACGACTCCTTCGCATCTCTTTCTCCCCCCTCCTCTCTCTCCTGCGCTCTCCTCTGCTGTGGTTCCCTGTCGGAGGAGTGTGAAGGAATCTCATTGACCTAGTTAATATCTGGTGTCTGACTCCACCAATGGGAAGGAGAGCAGGAGTGAGGCGAGGAGAAGCGTAGGGACTCTGCTGTAAGTGGAAATCTGCTGCAGTGACACACGTCCATGTAAAGCTTATCGACACACACAGTGGCTGTGCAGTTGAGTTCAGTTCCTCATTTACATAACGGACAGGAGAGGGTTTTTACATGTCATATATAGCAGGTAGAGTTAATGAATGAGTAACTGCAAAGATCCGACCTGTCCTGCCAAAAAGTTTTAGATTGATGACTTTAATGAGGATGTTTCAAATTTAGTCTTAAGTCGTGTTGCAAAGCATTTAACAGGCGATGATATGGTGGCCCTACAGGCAAACTACCAGCGACAGAAAGCAAATACGGAAATCATCAATTCTGCATGAAACCCCGGAGTAATGTGTTTTAATTCTGGTGCAGCTCTTTGAAGTCTAAAACCCTTAAAAACGAGATTCCTCCTCCGTACGAACTACTGTTTTAATTTACGCAAGAATCAAAGCTGCCACTTGGTAATCTTTAAACATCCTGAAGCATTCACAGTGGCAGCAAATCAAAGTGTGTCTCCAAATGTCTTCATGAACTTCAAGGGACATCTTAAAGTCACACATTTATATCTTTATCAGACGTAACCTGGAAGAAAATGAGAGCGTCTTGATTTAAAGCACCAGATTAAGGCTCGAAGTTGGCAGCATGTCTGCTTGATTTTTGTTGACAATCAGTTTGTATATTTTTCTTATTAAGCGGGTAATGAAATGTGAAACAGCAGTGAACACACTCTGCTTTCTTTGGGAAGTCTATAAATATGTATGGGTGGAAGTATGGGGGTAAACAACACCCCAGAGCTGCTTTTCTTTACACTTCTCATGCAGAAAAAAAATCCCTTTTTTTACAGCGCTGGTTTAGGGACTAGTACAGGGTTCGGGGTTTCTGCATACATAATGAGGTTATCTGAAGGTTATTAATTCAAAATGAACATATAAACAACATCAAGGTAAAGGTCATCAGGTGTTTCTGCTGAGATGAGGAATTGACTTTACAAACACGTTTCTCAAGAAAAACAAAATACACCATTTTGAAATAGCAGAAAATATTTGACCTATTCGAACAAAGATTTAGATTTTAGACTCATTTTTAAGAAGCCCTCATTAGAGGTTAAGGAATTCACCTCATAATATCACACATTACTCTAATAATGCCAATAGAAGCAAAGGTAAGGAAGCGTCAACATAAGAAGGATGCAACCTCTGAGGAAAATGAACATCTGAAGAAACATTCTTGGTCATCTTATTGTCATTTAAGAATGCAGTTTACATCAGTCTGTCAAGTTAATTGTTGCACTGCATTATACAAAGAGAAGGGGGATCACAATATGAGAATGCATCCTCTGAGGACAATGAACAGCGGAAAAAACATTGGTGATCAGCCCACTGTTGCTGAGATATTTCACCTAAAGTTCCTCATGACCTTCCTTGTAGCCCAAGAGAAAAAGTCAGGGACTTTACAACATCAGTGAGATGCATCCTCTGAGGATAATGAATATAAACATGACATTATTTATAAGTCAGAATCTATTAAACATATATCTTTAAACTCTATTCTTCAACTGATATGTTGCACTACAGAAAAAAAGATAGAATCAACATATAAGTACGATCTGTCCTCTGAGGACAATGAATATTTCTGAAAAACATAGGTAATCTGCTAACACAGATTTACCAAAAAACTGTATCATCAGCTTCATATTGGCACAAAAGAACTGTTTGACAATCAACAACACCAGTTGGAAGCATCCTCTGAGGATAATGAATAACAGCAAATACAAGGATAATGATTTAAAAAATTATTATGACATACCACTTTAAACTTCATGTCTTAATCTTGACGTTACATTACATAAAAAAGTAATGAAATCAACTATTAATGCAATCTATCCTCTGAGGACAATGAACATTTGACAAAAGCAGATAATCAGCCAATAGTTGTTGTTGAGATACTTCTGTAAAAGCTTTACATCAAACTTACATCAAATAAGGACGTTAGACAATTTAAAAAAATGTAGGATGTATCTGAGGAAAACGAATATACTCGCAAAAACATAGGTGATAGGGTGTTTGTTTAAACTGTAAACTAAAAACTTTAAAGACTAGAAATTTGGCAACACCAATGGAGTGTATCCTCTGAGGATATTGAATATATGTGGTAAACAGTGCCAACTTAAAACTTTATTCTAGTCGCACTACAGAAAAAGTCAGGGATCAACAGTGTTTTAAGGGTCTATCCTCTGAGGACAATGAGTTTTTGAGATAGTTGTGATAGTTTCCCTTACACTCCACATCAACCTTACGATGGCACCAAAGAAAAAGTCAGAAAATCAACACAGGTGAGGTGCATCCTCTTAGGATAACGAAATGAAATAGTGACAAGCTAGTGACTAGTTCATGGTTGGTGGAAGAGCCATTTAAAACAAGCGTTAACGTCATGCTGATCAATTAAAAAAAAATCAGGTAATCAACAACACTGGTAGGATTGATCCTCTGGGGACCATAAATGTGTTTACAAACGTCATAACTAATCATCCAATTACTGTGGAGATTTTTCAAGGTGAACCGAGAAGTTTACTACAGAGAAGGACATGCCAACAGATGTTGCCTGTACAGATAGCAGGGCTATAAAGCATCATCCCACAATACACTTCTGCTCGGCTTAACCTAGATCTGAAAACAGCAGAACATACACGGAGGAGCCCATCCAAGGTTGGTTCTTTGTTGGCTTCTCTTCTGCACTGTAACAAATGGGTTTAGCAGTTATATTTAGGGAGGCTGACAGCAGCTTGGCAGGCTGTAAGTCAGTCTGAGTCATTGTGTTTCTCACCTCTCCTCCAAACACAGAGAACAGACAGGCCGTCAGAACAACACAGCTTCAGATAGTGTGATGGGGGACGTAGCCTTGAGTGAAATACAGTCCTCAACAAAACAGATTTTTGGCTTCACTGACGGTTCGAGAGTGAAGATGTCGGTATTGATCTGAGTTATGCAGCTGAGGCAAGATTTTGGCATCTCTTGTGGGGCATTTCAGAGAGGTCCAAACCTCATTTTATTGATATTTTTATTTTTGTAATGCATCAGTGTGAGAGTATTGTGATAGGGGTCTTATTGTAGAGTGTACATATTGGAGACAGAAGCGTTAAAGGAGAAGAATTTTGAGGTATTCTTTAGATCAGGATATGTTGACACAACAGCAGACTGACTGTTTTTCAGTTGGTACGGTAGATATGGTAGATATAGTAGATACAACATATGGTATGTTGTATCTGAACAGGTTAGCTTACGAGCTAAAGTTACTTAGCACAGATGAAAGTTAAAACAAAGACGTTTAGCAAACTGTTAAAGCACACAAACCATCGTCATATGAGAAATCCAACGCTATGACTCTCCACAAGTTGTCCTTCAGGTTGTCAGGTTGGACACACAGTATGCGAAACTTTAGAAAAACAAGACGGGAAAACGTTGCTGATGTGAACGCTTGTACTGACAGGATGCAGGTTTGAAAAAAAATATTGACGTCCGAAATAATCGCACGAAAAAACGCTCCCGGTGTGAAAGGACCTTTAGGTTTGACATATCTTAAACTTCCTCATAGAAGCTTCAATCACATGAACTTTAAGATACCAAGAATGATAAAAAAAAACCTGCCAAATGCCTGGCAAGCTCAAAAACCAAAGAAAACACTCTTTATCAGAACTTTTTAGGACCTCCCTCTTGGTTAAAAACTCAAACTGTGCAAACTTGCAGAACTCCCCTATAGTTCAGCTATTTCCACAAACAACCACAACATGCTTTTAACTTCTTTATTGTGCAGTCCATGAGCACGCACCGTCAGCTCCTTGTTAAAGTACAGAGCTGTGTTTGGTCAGTCTCGCAGTATTCCTCCGAGTCCTCAATCACATTCAAAGTGCTCTATTTAGGGCGATCCGGCAGTCTCAGAAGCTGTGTTAGGAAAAAGCCCCCTGAGCGGTCCATGTATTCCTGCATCCTGGAAGCCTATAGATTGGTGCTCTCGTTTGAAGTGAGGCGCGCTCGTTATAGAAGATGAGACGAAGTGAAAGAGTGGCGAGGCAGACGGATGCGGGCGCTCCCAGCTCTCTCTGGGGTTGTGTGTGGCGTGCAGTCATGATTAAATGATGACTTCAACGATAAAGACAGAGACCTGCCCACACAGCTTGATACGCTCGGAGAAAAGACTTCATCAGATGCTGCGACATCTTCGTGAATCTTATCCATCCTCCTCCTCCTCCTCCTCTGTGCTTTATAAAAAATAATCCCCCTCTTGACTCTGGTCTTTCTGCTTTAGCATTTGCACGGTTGTAGAAATCTCTTATCCTGCTGCTTCTGACTGCAAACATCTCTCATGGGTCACACCGGCACTGTGCAGACATTTGAAAAACCTAAAATTAGTGTTTAAATGATGTTTTCTAGATATAAGTTGTCTCATTTTTTTTTACAATAACAGGGAATTTCCATGCCACTGTTTCTAACAGGATTTTAGTAATCCCCGCTATGACTCATAATAAGTGACAGAAAGCTGTAAAACAAAGATAAATAATGAAACAGATTCACAAGCTTAAGGTTGGCGCATTTCATTGCATTGAAACAGAAAAAGGGCAGCTTTATAGATTTACTCCCTAAGCTGTTAGCACCTCCTAAAACAGTCTTATTTGAGTATTATAAGGGACTTGAAAACATGCTCTTATCAGGCATTGAGCTGATTATCATAAGTCTGTATTAAAGGTAAATATATTCCACTTATGAAGGTGGCTCCATGACTTTTTAAGGATGTTAAAAGCTCCTGTGAGGGATTTTTTTAACATGTATAAAAGACTGAAATTCATATTGATGCATATTCACGGTATCCTAAAGCAAACATGGTTATTAGTAAGATAATTTATGATATTTAAGTAGTGATTTTAAATGCATGAAACCTGTGCGAGGGGGGAGGTGTCAGCCCTGCTCGACGATTTCTGGTCAAAACAGTCGCAGTTGCACTCAAATGTCATCAGGATTAGATTTACAGATTTACTTCAGAAGAACATTGTCCACAGGGGGCGCCAAAATCGACATGAGTCAAAGTTCCTCACATGAGCTTTAACAAAGAGTTGCAGTGGTCTGCAGGAGAAATGCCAAGAGTGTAGAGATGTTGTAGATTACAGAAGAAGGATTTCACAGCCCGTCTGTTTAAGAAAATCTTCAATGAATCAGTCTGATCATCTTGAAGAGAATTTCTCATCCTCTCCTTTCTTCTGTTATGTGATAAAAATCTTAATGCGAACTTTAAATGTATTATTTTCTTATTTTTATAGTTGCTGTATAACTTCAGTTAAAACAGGTCCTGATTTAACCCCCAGTCCAAGTTGTGGCTGATGTTGATTACATGCTTGTAAACACACATGAAGTCTGTGTCTCCTCCAGAAGTCGAAGAAAAGCTGAACCGGCTCAGTTTAGGGAGAAAAACCCCCAACAGCTCCAGAAACACTTGAAAACTCCTCATTAGCGTGTCTGTATTAGACTAAAGGACACAAACCTGTGACATAAACCTCCACCAGCCGATAAAGACTTCCTGTAATGACCCTCCAGGTTACTGTGGACCTCTGCTGCCACCTGAGCTCAGAGTTCGTTATCTTTTATAACGCCCGGCGGTGGTTCGAGAGTCTGCCGGGCTCTCCGCCTTCCTCCTTCACACAGACGGCATGTGTGCAGAGGCAGAGACCCCTCCCTCTTATTTCCAACCTATTGTGAACCTTTTGACACACACAAGGGGACAGTGAAGTGCCGGGCGGCGGAGAGCGGCGCGGGGGTGAGGACGACCTCATTATCAGCCAGCTGGACAGCCCCCCTCCCCTCTCTTCTTATTAACCCTCATCCCCCGTCCTGCACCCTCCTCCTGTCCAAACTTCTGTCAGAAAGGAGAATAGCGCTCTGTTGTCTGGGTCCTTTTTTAATGAGCAGAAGAAACATGGCTGAAGCCCAGAGGGAGGGACGGGGGAGGTGATCCAGCCCGACTTTTAGAAGTTTATCATCATATAGATGGATTATGTCGTGAGACTAAACTCATGCTTGGACTCATACTTGGCTCAGCTTTTGACCGTAGAAAAAGCAGCAGCAATCCCTGACGATATGAGAATCACAGATAATAAAGCTGCTGATAAAAGTTTAATTAAAGCCCCCTAGCCATTTTAAGGAGGCTGTTTACAGAGACGATCAGATATAGAGCAGGCAGAGTTTGTGTACTGTGTTTTAAACCAGCACTCATTATGATCTTTTGTATATTTCATCTGTTACCATGGGTGCAAAGTAGCCTCTGTTTTTAAGATTTTTAAGCCAAAGTTCAATTAAAGTCCAAATTCTCATCTAGAGAATTGTCTCCTAAATGACACTGTATGACACAGCCGAAGTCTCCCGTAAAGAGAGTTTCTTAAAGGGATATTCCGGCGTAAAATTAATTTAGGGTCAAACTCACCAAAAAACCGAGTTAGACACCCCCTCGAGAGGTGAATTTTGCCGACCGCTTGCTTCTCTAGTTATACCAACTTTAGTAATGACTGCAGATAGCAATACAGAGAGCCACGCGCTCAACCAAAATGCCACTCTATAGCCACAAATAATGCTCAGAACAGCACCTAACTTCATCAACAGTACATATAGGGTCCCAGCCACAGTACTAACCACCAAACATCTTTTTAACTTTGCCTGATTTCTTTAGCAAAGAGACTAAACACAACTCACCTACTCTCTTCCAGCAGCCGCTTGTTGGTAGCGAGACCTCAGACCAGTCCATTACGGACTACAGCGGGGTGACGCAGCTCAAGAAAGAACATTTATGATCATTACTTCATGAAATGCAATCAGACCGAGGTGCTAAGGCAGATGAACTACTGTGTCTGCAGTGCAAAATGATTAATATGGTGATAATTACTTCAAGGAAATGATAAACTAATGATCATAAATGTTCTTCCTTGAGCTGCGTCACCCCGCTGCAGTAATGGACTCGCCCAGAGGACTCCATACAAACAAGCGGCTGCTGGAAGAGAGTAGGTGAGTTGTGTTTAGTCTCTTTGCTAAAGAAATCAGGCAAAGCTAAAAAGATGTTTGGTGGTTAGTACTATGGCTGGGACCCTATATGTACTGTTGATGAAGTTAGGTGCTGTTCTGAGCATTATTTGTGGCTATAGAGTGGCGTTTTGGTTGAGGTTTGTTTATGGCTCCTGAGACCGCTGTGTATTGCTACCCTGTGGTTGTTACTAAAGTTTTTATATCTAGAAGAGTGAGCGGTCGGCATTCATCTCTCAAGGGGGTGTCTAACTCGGTGTTATGGTGTGTCTGACCCTAACTTAATTTTACCCCAGAATATCCCTTTAATCTCAGCTGCACCGACTGGTTCAGGACAGGTACCACGAAGATAAGAGTCGATATCTTTTCATTTCATGTCTGAGTTTGTGACATTTGTTATGGCAGGAGCAGCACGGAGGAAATGTAGTATCTCTTTCCTCTTTAGATTTGTCAGCAGTATTTTGCCTGGAGGGGTTTCAGTCGAGTGTATCTCTGCAATCGTATCCGTGTCCTCTGTACATCATGATGAAAAAACAGAGCGACGTTCGCCTCCTCTGCCCTCTCCACATTGCTCGCTCTGTCTCGATCTCGGCACATTACACTCCGCTGGCACGCCGCCAGTCTGCCATCCCGGAGTATACTCGACAGGACCTGCCGAGGAGTTTGCAGGCAGATGACACAGCAGCTCTTCCCTCCTCCTGGCCTGTCTGAGCCTCACTGTCATTTGTAGCTGTTAGCATCGCTCCACGAACAGGACGACTCTTGTGACACAGTGAATTTTCGTCTTTACAGCCTGTTATCAGCTGTTATTGAGAGAACAGGCTTTTAGGATATAGACGACCTCTAGACAGAGTGTGGGCCTTTCAGATGTATTGACCTCTTCCTGTCACCTGTGTCCCCTCTGAGGGTTTTGCTGAAACTGCATCCTGCTGCACGTTCATAGTTACACACATTCCCACCTGGGAGCTGCCCACTGTCGTCTCATGGCCTCACCAAGGGCTATGTGATCACTGTCAAGGAGGAATTGATTCATCCTCCTCTTACCTTTGGGCTACTTTTGTAACATACACTTTGCTTTTGTAGTGATTTTGGACTTAAAGCCTCCTCCCTGAGTGAACGACAACACCAAATATTCTCTAAACTGATTATTTCTCTTTGGTTTTATCTCATTTTAGAGCAAAAAAAAATTACAACCAAGACAACAGAGTCACAATAATGTGTCTGTTAAATTTTAATCCCTGGCAATCAGCTGATTTGCTTTCCAGCTGAGAGTTCAATACAACAATCAATACCACTCTCACGTGTTAGCTTTAAAATGCTGTTTTATGGTCACCATCCCGTCAGCTTAGCTCGACACAAAGGCTGAAAAACTGGGGAAATATCGAGCCACGCTCTCTCCATGTTAACTGAGTTCATGCCGGTGGTTCCTGTTATCTACATGTCTATTGATGAACAGCTGTTTTCTGCACAGCTTGGATTCATCATCTCTGCTAGGTTTATCCCAACCTCAAAGCTGGGATTCTTGACACGACCAAGTTAGCTGTTTCTTGCTACTTCTACTCTGTGCATAGCTTGAGTAAAAACTGTGTGTATTTTTCAATGAAGCTTCATGCAATGAAACCAATTTGTCTAAAAAAACACCACCTGGAGATTTTATTTGTTACAGTTTGTGTAGTTTCAGCTGCTCCAGTCTTGTTTTTATGATAGGAAATTAATGAAAAGGTTTGAAGCTCCTGCAACAAACTCTTGGTTTGTGTTGATTTTGGCGCCCCCTGTGGACAAAAGGCTGTTTGCTTGTCTTGTCCTCTACATCAGTGGTTCTCAACTGGTCTTACTCTGGGACCCACATTTTCCCATGGTTCTTGAGTTGCGACCCACTTTTATAGAATTCAAACCAAGCATATTAATTTTTATATATAAAAAACAACCTTTAAAGGTTAACATAAATCCACTTATTTTATTGAGTTAAGTGCATTTCAGAGCAGAAGGGGACAACAAGAGGACGACAACTACTGAAGCTGCATGTACAAAAAATATAGAATCAATAATAAATATCATATTATATATTTACGTTTTTGACCAGCTGTTCGTGACCCATCCAGACTGTGTCCACTTTTGGGTCGGGACCCACCAGTTGAGAACCACTGCTCTACATGTCCTCTACAAAAAAACTCATCCTGCTGATTTTTGACAGATGTTTTTATCATTTATCGTTTATGTTTTATGTAAAAAAATGTAAAAGCACGTACCTGCACCTGTTTTAGGCATTACCATATATGGTATATATGGTTATATATGATATAACCATACAGAAATTTTCAGTCTTGTTGTTTATGGTCTAGCATGATTTTGTATATCATAAAAAGACATCAGTATAAGTTTGAGTTTATTTCACAAATGTAAAAAAAACTTCTCACTGGAGCTTTAAACACCAAATTATTACTCTCTGTGCAAACTTCCCATAAGAAGTAGACTGTAAACAATGCTGCACCTCCAGTCTATATTACTCTCCATTATGTTGCCATGTGGGGATATCAATCAACGTTGATTAAGCCATCAATTAAATCGTGAATCTTTGCTGTGGAAATACTAAATACCGGTTACAGAAATCAGCCTTAACTTTATAGAAATGATTCATTTTGTTTCTGGTGGTCTTGTTTGCTGATGGAGCTCCTCTAGAAACATCAGTATTAATTTCACTCTGTTTGATAAATGAAAAAAAATCTCCTAACAAGAGCTTGGAGGAGTTTACTGCCAGTAAAAGACCTTTTAATTTAAGAGTCTAATAAATCAGACTGAAACAATTCAGCAAACCCCCTGAGACACCCATCAAATACATCAAGTACTCCATAAAAAGGTAATAAGGTTTATTTTTGATTTGCGCTCTGTCTCGGGGGTAGAAGTCTGTTCAGATTGTACCAAATCTCTGATATTTGTTCACCCAGCCTGACTGTCTCTTTGTGTCCCCTTCCGAACAAAAAAAATCAATCACCACTCCCCTCTCCTGGCCTCTAGCAGTCTGGGACCTGTCCCCCCAGTTCAACTCCACCATCAGCTCTCATACAGAGCCACGGGTGGAGGTTGCCAGTTCTGCACTCGTCAACCCTCCACGTCACAGAGAGGGCTGAATCCATCCCACAGCGGCTCATTGTTGCACATGGCTGCTCCAGTTTGTTCTCCAATGCCACAGTGATTGATAGTTTTACGACGATATCTCTCTGCAAAGTTACATTTTACTCAAGGTCCTTTTTTCTTATTAGTCCCATTAGATCCTCCCTGTCATTGTCTGAGAGCTACTTTTGTTTCTGCAGGCCTGAAAATATCACATTCAGCCTCCATATCTCTGTCTATGAGTGGATTTATAAAATATCAAGGGTAAAATATGCTAATGTCGCTGTACTTAAAATTCAACTGTAGCCATTATAGTTAATCATGCAACCTATTCGGTGTTGGAGAGGCCCTTTGCTCCTCGTCTAAATCCTATTTCCAGGTCAGATTTGTCGATTTGCTTCTCTCAAGCCATCCATTACCAGAGATGGACAGCCCAGCCAGGCGATGGGTCATTAAGTACAGCGAGAAGCTTTCCTGTCTTTACTTCTGTTCACAAGGCAACAGAGCAGACTGAGGGCCAGCGGAGACATTTTCGACCTTAATTATAGGTCTTTAAAGAGGCTAAAAGCGTTAGTTTTTAATTAATACAGGTCTCCTTTTAGTGTTAACATTTCACACAGTATTATTGTTACCTAAAAACAAGCAGGAGAGCGATGGAGAAATACACAAATAAACCGTAGCAAGAAGTTAAAATGTCAACTCATCCACATCAGTGGGTCCAAATCTAAAGGTCAGGTACCTTTCCGAGAGTTATAGAATAAACAAGACTGAGTATGACAGGAAATAAAAGACTTCTGATGCACAAAATCTTTAACTTTTCTTTTACTGATATTCATCAGAAATTTTTGTGTTTGGAGGTAAATAACCAATATTTAGAAACTTTTTGAATGAAGCCCTCAGATGGTGTGATCGGTCCAAAGAATAGCAACTGTTAAGGTAGGGCTGGGCGATAAACAGAAAATTTACAGATACTGAAATTTACGACAATCATCAATGTCATTTTGCCCATATCGGTATATTTGGTGTCAGAAAAACAAATAAATAAAAGTTGTTTTTGGATGTGTGTAGGTAGGCTATGGTCTCATGTCCCTTTAACGGGCAAAACCCACAGATCCGGAACCACTCCGCTTCGCTCCGGCACGGCAGGCGGATCAAATACACAAGCATTATAATCAACGTGTATCAGGGTTTCATCCTCCTCTTATCTGACTCCACCTGATGTAATATGTTGTTATCTTTACAGAGATAACACCTCAGCGCCTTTCTCTTTGCTTCTTTTATTTAGTTCTTTCCTTCAAAACACTGATGCTAAACTCGCCGCTCTGCTCGTCCTTTATTACTTCGGCTCTTGTGAAAATTATGCAGATGACTTTTCTTTTACACGTGTCGAGCTGAGCTTTGGTTAAAAAAATGAATATAAATGAATCTGTGTGTCATGAAGGGACCCTGAGCTGATTGTAATTATACGTTTCAGAGAAGCTAAACCTGCTAATGGGAGCACTCACTGAGGTGTAGCCTCCTCTCTCTCTCCTCTCTCTCCTCTCACACTGGGAGATCTGCCGACTCAGCACGGCGCTCTGGAGGTATTTGAGAACCTGTTTGCCGGCGAGTTTGATGTATCATTCATGCGCCGCACACACTTACACACTTTATGTCTGCTCACGAGGCTGATCTTCAGTTACACCGTCAAACCTGATTCACTGCGGAGGACAACAACACTCAGCAGTGAAAGTAATCATGTTGGCTCAATTGTTCAGCACTTGTAGTCTCATCAAGAAAATTGCTAATAATTATTAGCGGCTAATTACATGCGGTTTGTTTTGTTTTGTTTTGTTTTGTTTAAAGCAGCATGGAGCTCCAGCTAACAAGGGATTAGCAGAAAACCTCCTGAATATCTTGTTGCTTATTTTAGCTTCTCTCAACCTGGTGCTTTTGGTTTGGGCCAGTTGGCACGACGATGGCGGTGGCGGCGTGTTTTCTGGGAGCAGCATGCCAGGCTGTCGGGTTGTTGGGGAGATTTGTAAAGCGTGAGTGAAAGCGTAGTGACACGCCCCATAAAAGCTCTATTGTACCCCCTCTTTAATGCATGTCGAGTCTCAGACTGGGGTCAGGGTCGGCTTAGCCAAGAGGAACAGTATGAGAGTGACCCTCTGCTGCTCACACGCCACCCCCTGCAAACACACACACACACACACACACACATAAAACTGTAGTACACACATGCACACTCTCAGGAGGGCATATTGTGGTTATGTTGTTGTGCAGGATGATTTATAACCTGTGCATGTCAGCAAAGGTCGCTATAGCTACCAGCAGACCCCCTTTGAGAATTCATGTTTTCTCAATCTAAAGGCTGCTATAGGACCTCCAGGTCTCCAGTGAGCGGCTCAGAATAACACCTCACAGCTCACCTGTTGATGCACGACCAACAACTTAAAGCTTTACCGTGTTTTTCACTTCTATATCTGCAGGTTTCCACCAGGAGCTCTAATTCAATTGGTCACAGAAAGTTCTTAGCCCACTAATCAGTTAATGAGGTTTTGCGATGATACAGATCGTGGATTTCCTGAATTATATGATTATCACATCTCGGACATAAATCACACGACCAGGAGAAGAATCCGACATCCAGGGCCTCAGAAACCAGCAGATGAATGCCTGTCAGTTCATAATATACTCTCTCTTATCGAAAAGTGAAGCTGGATTCAAAAAGATAAAAAGTCTGGGGGAGAACAGACCCTGACAGGTCCAGATCCAGCAGACTGTGATAAAAGTATGATTTTTTTCAGTGGTTTAGAGAAATCTAGCAGCTCTTCTCTCACACACAGGCCAGTCGGCCGTCACTCCTCTTACAGATCAGTGAGTCTTCACCGTCCCTGACCCTGTCACTTGTTCACTGGTTTTCCGTGGACCACGTTAGTCAGTCTTGCGAACCTCAACACCTAAAACAAGCTGCAGTTTTGGAGATGCTCTGATGCTGTTTGGACAATGTCAAACTAGACCTTTTAAGCCTGTTTTATTTCCTACACTATAAAATTGTGCTTTTATTTTGAAGTGTAAGCTACTTCCTGTAGTTTGTAAGTTACAGAACAGTTAAAAGAAAGTTAAAAAAATATATAAATGTTCAATTAATTAGTGACTAGTTTTAATAGGATTTACAAAATAAAACATGATATTCAGTTTTTAAAAGTGCTGAGTCATCTCTCAGAGTCACTAAAGCGAGCTCACTAGCAGTCTTCTGCTGCTTCTTCTTCATCTCTCTTCAGTTTAATGGCATGTGGCAACCAGCATACAGAACCACTGCTATAAACTCATGGTATTGCCATATGCTTATTTTAAGCATAATATTTGTATTCAGTGTTTTAATGAAAATGGTTAACATCATTACGGTTATATTGTGACAGCCCAATCCTGCTTTTAACACATGATAATAATAATGATAATAATAATAATAATAATAATAATAATGATGATAATAATAATGATAGTAATGATAATAATAATAATAATAATAATAATAATAATAATAATAATGATAATAATAATAATAATAATAATGATGATAATAATAATAATAATAATAATAATAATAATTATTATTATTATTAATAATACTTTCCTCATAATAATAATAATAATGATAATTATTATTATTATTTTTATTATTATTAATATTATTATTATGAGGAAATTATTATTATTAATAATAATAATAATTTCCTCATAAATTCCTCATAAAGGTTGTTCAATGATAGAAAAAACTTGTTCTTCTTTAGATTTGAGCTTCACTTTAGAACAACCACCTGAGGATCTCCGGCTCTCATATAGTCAACATTTCTACAGATTGTCAGCGCTCATAATGTCATGGTTGATCGGTACATATCCTCTTGTTTAAAATATCTCTTTATATCTCATGATAGGATTGTGATATGTGCCATACTGCTTGATTCTTGCACAACACTGTCCTATTTAATGGAGTGGGTGGAAAGGAATTTCTGCTGCAGGTGAAATTGACCCAAATAAAAAAAGAGCTGTGAGAGCAAAATTGCATGCCAGGAAACCCAAAACAATGGACCGAAAAATGCTTTAATGCTTTTTGGAATTGAGGGGGAAGCAGGACTTAAGATAAGTCTTTTTGAGCTCGTCACTTCATCCCTTTCACACTGCATATAGTCTGATCCATTGTTAATGCATTAACACTGATTAATGCGGCTTTAGGAGGCTGGGTGATGCCACACTCTGACCACTGGAGTCTGTTTTAGTTTTACCTTCAATATGGAGCACTTTTTAATGACTTAAACTTGCTGCATGTGAAGATTAATTACACATCCTCTCTCCAGACTCCAACTTCTGCATACAGGCATTATCCTCCAGCGTCTAACATTAAGGATTTCACATTAACCGCAGAGATTGGAGAGCAATCTAGTGACAGATATCGATATCAAGACGCAGGAGCGATGTCGTGGTCAGAGTCTGTTTACGAGATGCTCACATCCGCCGGGGGATGGCCTGACATTGGAGTGACCTCAGCGAGTGGTGCAGTCAGCCTGTCTCACTGACAGACCTACAGTATGCTCACACTGGCAGATATATATGAACCCGAAAACCCCGCTCCGCCTCACACTCATGCAGACAAATGCATGAAAAAACATGCACCCACACGTTCCCGGACACATGTGGGAGACTGATGACTGCAGATGTACACGCGTGTGCACACAAACACACGTGTGCACATCGGCTGAGCAGCGCACTCTACTGGATTACTTTAATTCTGTTAGCTTTGATTGGTTTAGGGCTTTTTTGTTGATACATCACTGCAACAGCTAGGCGAGCGGGAAGGGGGGCTTGTGCGTCATTTTCAACCTGCAAATTGAATTCTAATGGGCTGCATGGTTCATATTTGGCTGATGAAGCATAAACAAGCTGTATATTTAGACTGTAAAAGCATACTGCAGGTGGTACAAGCCAGAGATTGATCATCCTCATAAAAATAGCACCTCGTCATAAATCAGGGTGCAGCAGGAGCTGGAGAGGAAACACTTGGACGGGGATTTTCTCCTCGGTTCTAAATTAAATGACACAATGTGAGCATGTGACACTTGTGTGCTCTCGTTCAAGTGTGTATGCTGTATTAATTAATTTATCGTAACGGATTACAGTCCAGATTGAGCGCTCATTCATCCTGATCTGGCTAATATAATCTGCCTCTAAACATTTCATAGCGACTTATCTCTCTGAGCTCTGCCGCCGGGTGAGAGATATTTATTCTGTTGTGTTGGAGTCTTAGCCTCCTCTGTCAGGGCTCAGAAGGGGTTTATCTGCATCCAGCGGTCGTCGCAGCTCCTTTTGTGCTCCGCCTTCCTTCCCCCCCAACTCACCCCGCCGCTGCCAGCCCTCCATCCCGCCCCACTCGCCTGCTCACACCACATTTCCTGCTAAATCCCATTACTAGAGCCAGACGCTGCTGCTTCTTCGGCTGCTGCTCTCTGCACCGTGTGACAGCCTTTGAGAGAAATCATAAATAGGCCAAGTTGAGTACAGATGCTGCCGAAAATACACTCGCTGTGCTCCCTTTCTTACTCATGCTCCTGCCCCTAAAATACTCCTTCCTCCCCTCTTTGGGGTTTGTTTTGCGATAACACCGAGCGATGTCATCCAGTACTCGTTCCAAAAATGTCAAACAGGCGTGTCCGGGTACACAGTATTCTACTTTCCCGTGTGAAAACTACACACGCCAGTTTTTTCCAAAAGATGATGAAGTGAGATTGTAGCAGCAGCAGAGCTTCACTGAGCAACACACTGAACAGTCTGCTTTTAATCATCTGTTGAATATTTTCCCCTGAGGTCTGGAGCGACAGTAATGGATGACAGAAGCGGCACACACCTACGAAAACACACACTGTCATAGCAACTTACAACACTCCACTAAGTGTAGTGTAGAGAGGAGCAGAGCTGGAAGTAATTGTTGATCATAAGGACACTGTCACACCCATCAGGCACACTCCTGATGTCATTATCTGGATGCTTTACTTCTATATTAACTTCCTGATATGAACCAGAGCAGGGATACACATAAACTCTGTTCAGGCGGGGCGACTTTTAAAGAGTCGTGGCCTTCATAGCTGAACTGAGCTGAAATGAAACAGCAGAGAATCACAGAGTGTACGAGACTCTCTATGAATGTCACCAACTTTTCCTGCGTTTACCCTCTTATTACAATGACGCTCCTGTCACCTAGCAACCTCAGATTTATGACTTTGTCTCCTCCAGCTGCGATTAGATTCTTTGGTTTCTAACCATCTGCAAAGAAATGCACTTCAGAGGTTTCATCCATTTATGTCTGAATCAGCATGCACGTAAGCAAGGCGTTATTGACGGCTGATTTCTCTTTCTTTTGAGCCACATACGCTCCATATCGAGTCACATGACTGTATACAGATTTGAAGCCGAAAAGCTCTCGGTATTTATGCGATTTCTCTCTATTTCCTGAAACCAACATTGTGCAGTAGTGTCGTACGCACTCCACCTCTTGCGCAGTAGCGTTGTACGCATTTGACGGGAGAGTCGCTGTGATGACACTCGGCTCAAACAGCGTATCCTCCAGGTAAGCTACGCAATCTTCGTACGCCCATAGGCTGTATCAGGTGTCAATCGTTCTGTTCTCGGGGTGGCTTCAGCCAGCGAGGAGGCAGACGGCGTCCATTCTGTTTACAATCTTGTCGTGTTGATTCAACTGTAGTGTTTACATTTGACCTCCTTCTGCCGAAGTATGTCCAAACGACTCATTTTTCTTCAGTACAAGCTCCTGGATTTGTCCAGTTGGATGGTTTGTGTCCTCTGTGTGTTTCTATGTTGCAGCTTAGATGAGGCAAAGTCACGTGACTGAATGGATGGCGGTGTGTGAGCATGCAAGGTGGAGAAAGTCAGAATAGGATTTAGGAATAGGATCAAATTTAATAATTGACATGTCGGTTAGAGGTTCTGGATGTCAATTTCAGTCATTTTTTGTTTCATTACCCAGTCCAAGGCTGACTAGTAAGAATGAGTCATTAATTATTTAGTCGATTAAATGCATTTGTCTCTATTTTACCTTCGACAGTCTGCTGTGATACTCTGGTCATGAAATTCAAAGTATGCAGCCTCAAATAAACGGCTTCATGGGAACCCTAAACTGCTCAACCGTTGAAGATTTAAACCCAAACATATCCTAAAAAGCTTAATTCTCACTTTCCCCACAGGCTTTCTAACTTAAAGCCACAGTCACAGCCTGAATTCGCCTTGAATCCAAACTAAATCCCAACCTGACTTTGACCTTGAGTTCTGCTGAAGAGGAGTGTCTAATTAAATGAAAGAAAACCCTTTAATTAAACCCCGTTATGAGCCTCATCAAACTGATGTTGATGCTGCAGTCACGAGTCCAGGGAAAGGTCTGAGATTTGACAGGTCACCGAAAGGGCCTTCACCGTGATCCTCAAATAGGATTAGTTTACCATCCAGAGAGAGAGAGAGGGGACCCTATTTCTGATCGGCTATTTGAAGAGTTAAACCATACTTAGGTTTGGAGTTGCACAACACCAGAGCACATTGTAAAGTGGCTGTGCATGGGGCGAATCAACCAACTTCATTTGTAGTGTCACAGTCCTACCCGGATGAATGCGTCCTCACCGCTCTGCTCCATGATGCATTTTTTGGCATTTTCATCGCCAAGAGAAGAGCCTAAAGTTAAATCTGAGAGGAAAAAGTTACAGAGCAACATCATGAACAACAAAGATCTGGACTGTCCAGACTTAAACCACCGGGCTCACCTCTGAACTCCCTGACTGGTCCAAGTCTTTGACTCTGAATGCCAACATTTAATCCACATCCTGCCCTCAGCCTTGTCCTAACCCTACAGCCTTCTTATTCTTATCAAATCCAAAGCTTACATTAACCTTAACCTCCACCTACACCCTGCTTTCAAATGAGCTTAATCCTTCAGTGTGGATTCTTTAATATTTGGGAAACCTTTAAAGAGCTTTGCACCATCTAAAGGACAGAGTGACACAACATCGGAGGAGGGGAAAGACCAAGTAGAGGGTTCAAGAGAAGGCCAGAGAAAGACAGACAGTGCCCAGTTCACTCAGTCCCATCTGGGTAACAACTGTGTAACTACAATCTGCTAATCCTGCAGGCTGGCAGAGGCCCAGGGGAGTAAAACCAGCAGCACCAGTACTCCAGCCTGCCCGCCCACCGGCATGACTGCATGACTGGCTGCCACTAACCCATGCTAACAGGCTTGTGAGAGCAGTGCATTCAGATGGTGATGAGGACGGATGCCTGTGTGTTTGTGCTGTGTGCGTTTTCGAGTGCAATTGTGTGTTAAAGTGGAAGAAACACAACCGCACACAGAGACGGGGGGAAATAAGGTTTTAGTTCTGCAGTAAACACTCAGAGGGAAACATCATCTCTGCGGTTCAGATACATTTTAAGGACATACACAGTTATTTTGTACTGTTGAACAATTAGGATTAACATGACAAGAATCTGGGGCTGCAGCGATCGAACATTTTAGTCATCAAGTATTCCAGTGAATATTATAAAACATGATTTAGTTGAAGTGCAATTATTCCGGAACAATCACGAAACAAGCGTGAGTGTTAGCAGATTACAACGTTTGTAAGAAAGCTTATTATGAAATTAACTTGCATCATGAAAATCAGTCCAACAGACTGAAGCGGAAAGTGGAAAAATGAATTTGACATTCTTTTTGGAAATCATGGACACTTTGTCTGTGATCTAAAGAGAAGTCAACTACAGGATTCGACGTCAAAAGCTTAATTTGCAGCAGACACACTTGAACTGCTTACACTTGACCATCAGCTGGTGTCAAACGTTCAATGTCAAAGGTTGTCGATCACTCATGCTAAGGGTTTATCGCTCGGCTTTAAGGTGCTTCAGTATAGAGAGATAAACCATCTGTTCCAGGGATCAAACCTGTGACCCCGCCTGTCTGCGGCTCCCATTGCACTGTTTATGTGACCTCACTTTGTCCAACTCTAATCTTATTGATCCTATACAGAGTGATTAGGATTGTGGGAGTGCGAGGGGGTCACTGGACTTAAACGAGTCTGCACTCTATTGTATGCAATTACATTTGGGAGTAAATCCAAACCCGGACCTCGGGGAAATCCTTTCAGCGTTACGGACAATTTTAGCAGATTACTCTTCCTAGAAGTTTAAACTGTTTTAGATTTTCTTTTATCCAGGTTTGTTAGGCCCAAATGTCAAATATTTGTTTTCTGGCAGCTTGTATGTAAAAAGAGTAAACTAAATATAAAAGAAGATCCATAATAAATGCTGAAATTTAGCAGTAAGAATAAACTAAAGCTCCCATGAGGAGTGAAATAGACTGAATTTATGTTTATAGCTTTTTATGATATACAAAAGCAAACAAGACCATCATCGAAGAGGTCGGCTGCTTTTATATTTCAACTTTTACTGCCTGAAATCGACAGGAGCTACTTCAGGTGTAGTGATGTGCTGGTTTACTATCTTATGATGAGCGTTATCGGCTTGTTACAGTGTAAAATGAACTTTTTCCTCAGAGTTTAAATGTAGGTTCATTTTTCAGATAAAAAGTGATGGCACTATAAAAGATCATTGCTTTGTCCACAGGGGGCGCCAAAATTGATGCGAAGCAGACGTTGCTCACAGGAGCTTTAATTTAACAAACAGCACAAGAAAATTTATCCTTTTACTGATTTAAAGATGTGCAACAAAAAATGTGGCTGGGGATCGAACCTGTGACCATGGCTTCTATATATTGGGCGAGCACTTGAAATTCCACCTCAACTTGCTCTCTGAGCGTTTTGTTTTCTTTATATCACTGTTACAGAAATACACCAACAGGGTCCCTATGATTAGTGCTGGACGATATGGCCTCAAATCAATATCACGATATATTGAGCAGCTCGCCTCGATAATGATAAATGGACGATAACTACTCCACAAGCTGCTCACCCCCTCCCACATTAACTTTGTCTACTTCAGCCACCACAACTTTGGACCGTCCTCCATCTCCTCACCTGTCTTTCCCTCTTTGTTAAGGACTGGATGGGGTGGAGTCATGTCTCTGATGTAGGACAGCGTCTTAAAGGGACATGAGACCATAGCCTACCTACACACATCCAAAACCAACTTTCATTTATTAATTTTTTTGATAAAAAATATACCAATGTGGGCAAAATGACGTCAGTTATTGTCGTAAATTGCGGTATTGGAAAATTTTCGGTTCATCGCCCAGCCCTACCTATGATGCAGCAGTGGAGAGATGTCAAAATGAGGCGGCTACACAGGAGTGAGTGGTTTGCTCAAGGGCTCCTTTGCAGTGACCAGAAAGTGAACTGTGTCTTCTCTTATAGCCTGTCCTGATTTTATGGGAGCTGGACCAGAAACACCCAGTTTCCAAGTTGAGTCCCTTCAGATTGAGTTACAAAAGTGGCCTCGTTTTTCAATTTGCAGCACCATAAACATAATCAAAAGACTTCCAGTTTATCGGTTTATTGTAATGAAATGTAAACTACAGACTGAATCAGCATGGTTGTATTATTCAGATATAAAACAGACATCAGGTTCCTTTCACCTCTCAGCTGTCTGATAACACAGATGTTGCATTCACAGTGAACAAGGATCCCTGGTTGGGGTAGTGTGGGGTTCTGCGCAGCTTTGCACAAGATGCAGCCTAATCCGCTGTCTCCCCAGAGAGATTAGCCTTGTCACCAGGGCTGGGAATTAAAGCACGACTGGTGTTGGAGATACTGACACAGACACAAAGCTAAGACCAGACCGGTTAGGGTGGAGGGGGAGGGGCGGCTGGTAAATGAATACCTAAAGTAAACTGTGAATTACAGTCTGTCATTGTCAAATAAAATCAATTTTAGGATTCCCGGAGCTAAAGTTGGCACTCACTGTTCAATACACGTACAAACCTGAGTTTGACAAGTCAAATGTGAGAGTAAACAACTCTGTTTACCTGCCTTTTGAAAGGAAAGCCAAAGACTTAGCAGTGTGATGAGATGAAACAACATGTCAAACACATCATGTAATTGAAGCGGGGCCTCAAAAAGCTTCACGCCGATCTGAATTCAGCTCAGGGTGGGTTTCTCTCTTTGCTCCAGCAACAGAGGTCGAACTCAGATCAGACACGGGAACTTCAAAAGACACTGCACAAGGCAACAAGAGGGCAGACAGAGGAGCTTCAAACTCAGAAATCCAGTTTAGCATTTTAAAAAGTGTTGATCAAAGACTAATGAGGAAATACTGATCAGGAAAAACACCTCAGCGAAAGGCTCTGAAGTGGAGGTTGTTTGGAAATCAGGGCAGACAAGACGGTGAGGAAAGGGAGGGCGCGTGCAGATTAATCTTGACATTTAATGTAGAGGTTCAAGAAAATCATCCAGAGCGAAAATGTGCAACAAACTCAAACCTTCAATAAGAGGAACAGAGCTCCCTCTGTGACTCTGACTGCCCTCAGTGTGGTCATGTTCATGTCTCGGCGCTCCCCTTCCTGTCGCAGAGCCAGAGTCTGAGTCAAGGTTCTTCTTTGCTCCGGGCAAAACAGGTTCACCCCTCACACTTTCCACCAGTCAGGCCATGAATGATTCACTCTGTCCTGCTGCTCTGTTTTAGCTGGCAGCGGGGTTGTACAGTCAACCGTTTGCTTTCTATAAAGTTAGAAAGAGGGTGAAGCAAAAAGAGGACCTTTGTATCCTCGAACGGCAGCAGTTAAATATGACTCTGTTTGCTAATTTAGGAGGAAAATTTTAGTCTATTTAAGAAACGTAATCCGTCTTTTAAGTGGCAATTTGAGGCAAGAGGATTTGGTGCAAACTCTTATAATCGTATCTCAAACTACAGAACATGTAAGGATGAAAGATGAACTAAATTAGTTCGCAAGGCTTTAGGTGATTCGTTTCCGCTGCAGAGATACATGATATTAAAAATGTACGAACACTTATCAATCTGTGCAGACAGACTGAGCAAAGCAAAACAAGGTTAGTTATGCAACACAAGGTAATTCAAAATGCCTCGCAGAAGATGCTGGAACATCATCATAACTGAGTGATTTCAAATTAGAGAGAAGACAAAACCAGAAGGTTGGAATTTGGAGTAGAAGCTGCGGTGCAGTGTTTATCATCTGAATAGGAGTTCAAATAATTTCATCAAAGGTTTCTGCAAACAGCATCGGTTTAAACCAGACATGATGTTTTCTATGAGTTTGTTCAAGATATATACAGCATAAAAACCAAACCGCTGACTTTGAAAACAGAAAGCAGACTTGGTTCAGATGACCTGAGCGGTTCACACTGTATGAGAAGATCACTTATATGAACCATTTTGGCCCAAAATCATTCAGTACTGTATAAACCAGCAAAATCTTTTCACTGACAAACAGGAAGTCAGTGTGAAGACCTTTGAACTGGACTGATGTGATCCACTTATCTGGTATTACGAAGGACTCTGCGGTGTTCTGAATCAGCTGCAGACAAGTAAAGACAATGTTACACAAACCGAGTAGATGGGTGATGAAAGCATGGACAAGTTTTCCCAGTCCTGTCGAGACATGAGTCCTTTAATCCTCTATGTTTTCTTTAACAATCATCCTCATGCAGTTTTTAAAGACTCAGGTCTGCACCCAAATCTCTGCCTTTGCCATTGTTTTTTAGCATTAATGACCGGAGCTGTGCACTGACTTGAGTCCACTCTTCAGCTGCTAAATTGAGTCTGTGTTAAACAAAAAAACACTTAAACACACTTGAACGGACAGATTCACTCATTACTTGCACCCAGTTTTTAGGACTTTGCTGCCCTGGTGAAACTGCAGTGTATGTTTGGGTTTTTTCGCTGCCCGTATAGTAACTTAGTTGGTTATTTCCTATAATCTGAGTTAGTGGAAGCTTGCAGTAAATGTTAAACTGATGAGGACCCAGGATGGAGCCTTGGGGAACCCCAGGTGTGAATATATCTATGGACTCAAAGGAGTTTATGTTCTTTAAAGGGATATTCCGGCGTAAAGTTAATTTAGGGTCAAACACACTGTAACACCGAGTTAGACACCCTGTCGAGAGATGAATGTTGCTGACTGCTTGCTTCTCTAGTTTTACCAACTTTAGTAACAACCGCAGATAGCAATACGCAGAGCCACGCACTCAACCAAAACAAATAATGCTCAGAACAGCACCTAACTTCATCAACAGTACATATAGGGTCCAAGCCACCAAACATATTTCTAACCTTGCCTGATTTCTTTAGCAAAGAGACTAAACACAACTCACCTACTCTCTTCCAGCAGCCGCTTGTTTGTACAGAGACCTGCTCAAGGGGTGACGCAGCTCAAGGAAGAACATTTATGATCATTTTTTTATCATTTCCTTGAAGTCATAATCACCATATTAATCATTTTATACTGCAGATGCAGTAGTTCTTCTGCCTTAGCGTCTCAGTCTGATTGCATTTCCGTGAAGAAATGATCATAAATGTTACTTGTTACTCTGTTTCTTGAGTCCAAACCTCCAGACTGTCTGTATAAGCACCTCACTGATCATCATTTTGTTTTATATCGACCCTTCAGCTGTGGTTTAAAAAAATCGACCTTAATGCTAATGGTCTGGTTTGTGTTTCTGTGTCATAAAAACATATCAGTATTGATCCCAGTCACTTTTATGACTGAACGGGAAACATTTGGACACGCTGCCTGTCAATCTGTCTCGATTTTGCAGCATCAGTTTTGATAGTCCCCCTTTTCCTCAGTGATTTATTTTCCTAAAACCACCACAGTCACTGCGTCTGGCTCCTCAGAAGCTTTGCAGATTTCCCTGTATCATGTTGTTGTAGAGTGAAGTAGAAGTACATCATGAAATATGATTGCAACCCAGAGATCAGAATTATTAATATCAAGTTATGCTTCCTAGAAAGGAGCCCGGCTTAACTGATCACCAGAACCTTTAAATAACTCTGCCAGGGACGCAATCTGTTCCTGGAACAAGGTTCCCACTTGATGACTGACTCTGCATTTGTAGACGGCCGGGGATTTCTTTCTCTTCCTGTCTCTCCTCCTGTCTTCATTTCCTCACACTCCTTGTACATCTTGACCTTGTCTTGTTCTGTGGAGCTGCAGCCTGTGGTGAAAGGAAGCATAAGACACTTGATAAAAATGAATGATTTTATTGGTGGATAAGGCTAAGCTGGTGCGCAGAAGGGCCTGTTTTATCCGGGCTTTGCGTGCGATGTGTAGTATTAGCTACAGGACAGATTTCCCCGCTGGACCGGCAGATGCCCCCCACCCCACCCCCTAGAGCGCTGTGGAAACACCATGTGTCACTGAATCTGAGCTGGGATAAGACGTCTGTCACACTGAGCTCTGAATGGGATCCGAATCACTCTGGTGCACCATACTTTAAAGACATGACGGACTATCCTCATCATCCGTCCTCTTAGGTTTTTTTCCGTGAAACACTGATCCGATTGGTCTGACGTGAAGATTGAATTTACAACATGTAGATCACATGTAGAGTCCGTTCATTCAGCCCGTCCACTCGCTTGTTTTGAGACTGATGTGGGGACAGATGTTGGTATGTGATACAGGCTGTTACCGTTTCAGTGTGAATGAACTGGTCAGTAATTACTCCATGTGATCTGCAGTCTGCATTAGAGTAAATACTTCCTCATTAGACTTGGCTCTGGCCTGATGATGGAGATGTTATGTAAGACATCCACATAAATTAATAATTTTCAGGCCTTTCACAGAGTCTGCTTCATGGTAGTCGAGTTTGCAAAGTCGTTTGTTCCACTGCGCTGGTGTTTCATTTAAAATCATCATTATAATGATCTTCCTTTATTGCACATGTGAGTTTAAACACTGACATAGTGATGGATGGAAATATCAATAGCAGCGTAAAACTGCAGAGATCTACACTACCGAACCCACAACGTCCCTTTAATGCTTTTATTGATGTTCTGTTTGTTGGTTTACATAATATTCTGGTTCCCTCTTGCTGGATGTTGGAGGAAAATGTTAATATTGTTCATCTCGTGTTTAACATAATTTCTCTGTTTTATTACAGACTGCGCTGAGAAGACGAGGGAGCAGGGAAACATTCAAAGACAAGAAGTCCACGAGTCAGGTGAGAAAAAAAACTTTTTCTAATTATTCCCTTTTTTCTGAGCTGAAAAACATGCAATCATTATTGTTTTTTTTTTATTTTTTACTTTGTAAAGGCATCAAACAATAAGGGCCTGTTTCCACTATGAGCATTTTTTGTGCTTGCAATGTCTTAACCCTTAATTTCAGGAGACTTCTGAAATTAGCCCAATACTGATCTAATTATAACACCAAATTTAAATATCACAGTTAGTTTCACTCTTTAATACTCCCCTTTAATGTTAGTTAGCAGTGCGATTAGGGCCTGTTTACACTATGAGCATTTTTGTGCTTGTAATGTGTTTACCCTTAATTTCAGTGAACTTCTGAAATTAGCCTGGTTTATCCTAACCTTATTATGACACTAAATGTAAATATTACAGTTAGTGTCACTCTGTAATACTCCCTTTTAATGCTAGTTAGCAGTGCTTTTAGGGCCTGTTTCCACTATGAGCATTTTTTTGTAACATATTGCAACATCTTCACTCTCAGTTTCAGAGTACTTCTTACTTGCACCTAAACCTGGTTGATACATGTGTGTTGGGGTAGTATCTGCAATACTAACCCTCATCACTAGTTGGCAGTACAGTCACAGTTTCGTCTTGTTTTTGCGCAGGGAACCATGGCAACTGAATGTAAATACAGTCAGTACATTTACATGCATACTTTCGTCTTGCTGTGTTTATAGCTGAAGTAGGCAAGTGATGACTGTGAGAAGTTGGATTTTATGCAATTGCAGTCAGACTGATGTGTTTACATGTATTTTAAGAGAACAGTTTCAGTTGGACCAACTTGATAAATAGATTTGTAAACATATTGATTGAAAATGAAGCAGATCATACCACAATTGAGAAACAACCCCAAACTGGGGACATTTTGGGGCATAAGATCCTGAGAAACATTGAAGAGTGTTGGTTTTGAGTAAAAATAAGGCTCTACAAGTGATAAAATGCTGTCAGTGGACACAGGCCCTTATTTTTTCTGATGCCAAGCAAAAACTATGAAATACTCATCAACGAGCCACACCATTAAACAAGGTTTTCTCACTCCTATCATTCTGCCAGGAGGACAGTGCAGACCTCAGGTGCCAGCTCCAGTTTTTGAAAGAGGAGTCCAGCCTGATGAGAAAAAAGATGGCGAAGCTGGGCCGTGAGAAGGATGAAGTGGAGCAGGAGCTTCAAAAGTACAAGTCTGTGTATGGGGATGTGGATAGTCCTCTTCCCCTGGCTGAGTGTGCCGGTGGAGGTCCTCACACCACACGTGAAGCTGAGCTGCGGTTACGGCTCAAACTGGTGGAAGAAGAGGCCAACATCCTGGGCAGGAAGATTGTGGAGCTGGAGGTGGAGAACCGCAGCCTGCGAGCAGAGAACGAGGACATCCGCTGTCAGTACGAAAGAGACTGCTTCGGGAGGGAACCCTTCTCCAGCATGCCCTCTTCGCCGTATGGAGGTGACGCGCTAGAGTCGGCAAGTGAGCTTCGTCGTCATCTTCAGTTTGTGGAGGAGGAGGCCGAGCTGCTGCGGCGCTCCATCTCAGAGATCGAGGACCACAACAGGCAGCTGACATCTGAACTTAATCGCTTCAAGTTCGGCCCCAGCAGCTCCGGGCCTGTTGGAGAGGAGGGGAGCGAGGGGGGATTATTCAAACCTGGGGGGAACGGTAACGGCTCCAGCAGCGGGATGATGATGGAGGAGCTCAAATCGGCCAGGCTGCAGATCAACGAGCTGAGCGGGAAGGTGATGAAGCTGCAGTACGAGAACAGAGTCCTCATGTCTAATGTGCAGCGCTGTGATCTGGCCGCTCACCTGGGCCTGCGGACAGGAAGTCCTCGAGACAGTGACGCAGACAGCGATGCAGGCAGGAGAGAAGCCGCTGATGAAGAGGAAGCAGGGCGGCTTCTTCTTCTCCAGCCAAAGAGGGAGGGCCCAATCGGGGGTGAGAGTGACTCTGAAGACCTGTTTGAGAAAACAACAACCACCTCAGGGTTCGGGAGCATGAAACCGTCAGACGGCAGCGAGCTCAGCGCCACCGAGCTGGCCAACCGCAGGAGAGAGGAGCGGGAGTCCTTCACCAATGTGAAACGTGAGGCGGAAAGGCTGGGGAAGACAGTGGACCGTCTGATCACGGACACGGACAGTCTGATCTTCGAGGGCAGGCTGCTGGTGACGACAGGCGAGAGTCTGGAGGGAGGGGCGGCATCCGGAAGCAAACCGGACACCCAAGTCCTTGACACCATCAACACTCGCATGAAGGCTTTCCGCACCGAGCTGCACATCTTCATGGAGAAGCTGGACCACGTAGGAGAAGGGCTGAGAGAAAGGACAGACGATCTGTCGCCAATGCCAAACCTCACAGAGTCCAGCAGCTTCCTGTCCACGGTCACCTCCATGTCCCGGGACTCTCCCATCGGCACCTTTGGAAGAGACCTGGTGACTGACTTCCAGGTAGGTTCAATGAATCAACTCCTTGTTAAGTTTTCTACTCTTCCTAAAGAGGCGTTGGTGCATTTCTACATTCCCTCTTTGTAGCTGCTTTGTTCTTTTGCAAAAAGGTGAAATTTCACTAACAAGGGCGAAGACCCGTCGGACGTGACGGGTCGATACTTGAGAATTTCTTCCAGCTTTTGTAAACAAGTCCAGCACAAGACCATTTTAAAGCATTCAAACTCAAGAGCAGATCACCTAGAACAGATCAGTTTAAGATGAAATCACATTCGAAAGCTTCAGCAGTCGACAAATTAGTTTACAAAGTTATGTTAAGCAGAACAAAATGATGAAAACCCTCTGGTGTGCTTAAGTTGATTTGAATGGCCCTAGGTGTGCAGTCATTAGTCGAACGTTAGAAGCCAAAATAAACTAAATGAGATCCTAAAGTCAGCTCTGCGTGCTCAAACTCTGCTCTAATTAAAGACAGAGGCAGATTTGTACACCTTGAGCTGAACACATGCCGTCCACATCCTTTTCTGTCGATGGGAATCCAATTAAGCTTTAAGGATAGGTTCGGATTTTTTCAAGTCCCTCTTTATTCAATATTCACACACCCGTTTGTACTCACTGTGATTTATGGGTCACCGTAATCTCTTCTCCTCTCCATAATGACAGCTTTGTGACTCTGCTGTAAGAAATAAAGAGGAAATTTACTTTGTGGTTGATGCAGCCAGCATTTTTTGACAAAGAAGGAGAACGCCTGAATAATAGACGATCGCTCTTGTGTTAATTTTACGCCTTGTTCTGTCGTATATTGGTCATTAAAAGTCTGGCAATGAAGTAAGAGGTCAGCGGTAAATCAAAGCAGGGCTCTTCTGAGTTAATTTGAGGGTTTTGTTGTGTGAAGTTTGCCAAATTAAATGGGAATCTTTAGAGTCATCATAGAAAAATCTCCCCTTTGTGTTCTCCTGTAAACTGTGTCTGTGCTCCACTGTCCAAAAGTCACAGATGAACTTTCTGAATTGGTGTTTTATTCATGTCAAAGTGGTTGTTTTGATCAAGAAGGAACCACAATTAAACACAAGTGTGGATTCACATCGCTATCTCGTTTGATGGGTTGCCATGGTAGCCCATTGGCAATCAAGGGCTGCAAGGACATGAAGCAAACTCTGCTTTATGCTCTTTCAAGAGATGCTGTCTGGAAAAGAAGAAGCACACACATTGCAGGAAGATGTTTATCTGAGGGAAATTCAACCGGTCATTTTCAATCTAGATGACATTTTTTGTGACTTTTTTAATCTTCTCATGCAAAGAAGAATAACCCAGCCGTTATGCAGAAAGGTACTTGATGATTTTCTTAGTGTGGACTGATAATCGGTTAAATGGTTTGTGTCATTCTGATGTATTTTCTCATCCTTAGCAATACTGATATCAAAAATAGGGATTTTCTCTTGTACTGAGCTTACAAAAATACATACATGTGACTTTTTAAGCTTGCTTTGAATGACATATCGCTGACTCTGTGCTCTTGTTTGTTATTGACAAGTGATTAATCCCCTTAAACCAGCAGATTTTTAGAGACCCGTTACAATAGTACTATACTAACAGTGCATGACAATACAATACCATACGATAGGATAGAAAACACTAGAGACTGTATTAAATCTGTAAGAATGAAAGCATACTGCACCATAGGATAGGAAACAAAGGGGTGGGTTAGGAAAGGAAAGCACACAATAGAATATAATTATTAAATATTATGATATCATACAAATTGATTTATTACAGAAACCAGATATGCTGGACACAAACCAGATATGCTAGACGATACAGTATAATAGGATGTGGTACAATATGACATTGTAGAATAAATGTTCTTGTCCTCTTAGATAACCTTTTCTCTGACCTGATTGTAAAATACATTTAGCTGCGTCCACAGAAGTTTAACTATTCAATCCTTGGATTCACAGGAATCCTACACAAATTATATTGTTAATTAAAATTAATACAAGATGACACTATGTGATACAAAATGATCTAATACAACATGAGAAGATATAAGATGTCTTAGATTTCTTTAGGTGATAATATGATAAAACTAGATTTTGTGTATGATATAATTTTAAAACAGTACAAGTTGATTTTGTACTATAAGGTACAGAGGATTTTATTAACCCCTATAGGTAAAATTGATTTTATTAACCCCTTTACTATAAGGGTTAATAAAATCAATTTTACCTGTAGGGCCTATAAGTAATATTGTCTCGAAGTAGATTGTTAAAAACTTTAAGCTGTCTTCAAATAAGTTTGGATAAATTTGGATGTTTAATCCCTGCAGTTAGTCATCAACTACAGATGATAATTAAAAAACAGGTAATGCTTGAGGAGCTGCTACAATAACATAGCATGCTATACATGATGATACACTACAATACATTGTGACATGGTACAATATGTTCAGATACAATACCATACGATACAATAAAATACAATACAATAGAACAAACTATGATACTGTACCAAATGATACGATACAATACAATATGATACAATACGATAAAATATACGATACAATGTGTTCAGATACAATACCATATGATACAGTAAAATACAATACAATAGACTATGATACAACACCAAACGAGACGATACAATACAATATGATACGATTTAATACAATATGATACAATACAATACAATATGGTACGATAAAATACAATATGATACGATACAATAGGATACGATACAATACGTACAATACACAAGACACAATATGTTATGTATCACTACATAACAGGACATGACACAAATCTGATATGATAAGTCCACATTTTTTTAAACTTTATATCACATTACAGGAAAGAAAGTCTTGAGCTGCACACATTAAGATACCTCAACAAGAAATATTAACACATTTTAATAATATTTAATCTCCACAATTATGTGCATCTCTGTTGTTCTCTGATCTTGGTTTTTAAGCTGAGTGATGGGTATGTGTATTCATATCACTCCAACCTTAGGCTTTCATTTTTGTGTATAAGTGCTTCTGCGATACTGTTTCCTTTACTGTGAAGCAGGAACTGAATTGAAAGAACAGGATCCCTGACCAGAGCTTAGACACTGATTATTAGACTTGAAAAAATCCGAACCGATCATTTAAAGCTTTAGATTTTGAGAGGCAAACGTTTGCCAGTGACACGAGCAACCCAGCTCTACCAACAACACCCCATCCCCGATCCATCTCCACCACCATTGCTTCTGCTGCAGCCGCATAAACATCTGCATCTCCATGCACATCCTCATAGCCAGCAGCCCTGCCTGCCTCCTTTTCCCTGCACTCACTGTCTGCAGCCACCGCCCTGCTTCCAGTCAGCCAGGGCCAAGAGAGGGTGCTTAGACGGGTGCTTGGTGTGAATGGAGTAAGTACCAAAGAAGTTGTGGCAGCTTCTTCCATTTGGCTCTATTCAAAGCTTTCCCTGACACAGTGAACTCTTGCATGATGAAGTTCAGTGAATACTTTCCTCTCCGTAGCTTTGCTACACCACGCTATCATTGGTATGACTCATAATGACCCATAAATGGTGTAGCTATTATGTTTGCACAACATATCATCGCACACACACAGACGCAGACACACATGGGATTGGTACTCTAGTGTTGCCAAGGAGATGAACTATAAAAATGTGTGTGCACTGTCAAAAATAACCTCTGTTGGATAAAAAAGAAGAGTATAAACCAGAGTTGCATGGCGCTGTGTGGAAGAACCTCGCTGGCTGGCTTCCTGCTTTTTGTTCTTGTTTTATTGCAGCTCAGTCAACATGTCAACATCCTGTGTATTCTCCCAAAGCAGGTTCATTATCTGTGCTCTGCATGATCCAGCAGACATCATGGTTGTCTTCTCCAATCAGCCGGACTGTCAAACTGAATAGAACAAACCGCTGCTCAAACATCTCCCCCTTAATCTGCTTTGTAGAGATAATAGACTGAAGCTACCTCCATGTTCATTCCTTTCAGTCCAGTGACTTGTTTCTGCTCCAGTCTGCCGCTTGAAGAGCTTGCTGCTTAGTCTGGGGGATGCTGGGTGGTTTTAGAGAGAGAACTAACAACTCTAACCTGATCAAAAAAGCACTTTTGCTCCTTTAGAGGATGCCTAAGGTGGTCAAACTTGGACAAACACTTAACGTATCAGTAGCCCCAGTTTCAAGAAAAAAAGAAAAACATAGTTTGAAGGTTTGCAAAAGATTTCAGCTCTTTATTTAACTGAAAATGGTGCAAAGAAAACACATCCAATGCTCAAACTGAAATATTCAGATTTTTCTTGTTTTGGATTTGATTTTAGAAATGTGAGGATGAGAGCATGTTTACTTCTGTGTTGCTTCACGTCTCCTTTTAACAACCCTCTGTAAAAGTTTTGGGAGCGAGGAGGAGACCTGTTTCCGGAGTTTTGAAAATGAGACCCATTTTTCCCTGATATAGAATTTCTGCTGCTGCCATATTTTTGGTTTCATAATGCGCCCAATGTTTCCATCGGGGGAAAGTCAGGACTGCAAGCTGGCCACTTCATCACCCAGACTGCTGTGATACAGAGCCACGCTGTGCAATATATGTGCAGAATATGGATCGGTGTTGATCTTGCTGAAATATGAAGGTCTTCTCTGAAAGGACTTGGTCTGGATGGCAGCATATGTTGCATGTAAATTTTGCTCAGCAATAATGGAGCCTTCCTGGGTGTGCAAGCAACCCATGCCGTGAGCACTTCTGCATTCATATATTATCATAGAGGCAGACTTTTGAAGCAATGAAGACAGCATCCAAGATCTCCAAAAAGAAATGTAGAGACTCAGACCACAACAGTTTTCCTCCGGTCATCTGGAATGTGCCAAAGTTAACGACATGTTTGGTTTCTTCTTTGCATGTTACAGTTCAGATAAATTGTGCGCAGAGAAAATTGATTTTTTAAGTGGATGTGGTGATTTCCAGTACTTTTCAGTTTTGCCTCTTTTTTGCAGAATTTCTTTTTACATCATTTTTTGCTGTAGTTGATAGAATATCCACATTTTGTATTCCCATCTTAACTTATTGTAAATTTACTGTAGGCATCAAATATTGAATGAATAATTATTCTTCACAACATATTCAAAATGTTTATTTTTGAACATTTTAAGTGTCGTCTTTGCACTATTTTCGGTAATACATAAAATGTTTGAATGAGTTGCAAACCATCAAATTTTGTTTTGATCAAAAATTTTCCAACTTTTTTGGAATTGTGGTTTTATTATTAAACAATTTAAAAATGGGTATTCACCATAGCTTACAATGATGATTCAAATTCAGTTTATTCATTAAACTATTTATTATTTATTATTATAAAATCTTGTCAATGTATTATGTCGATCTGATAAATATTTCATTTTCAATTTATTATTTTTTTAAATAACTTCTTAATAGCTCGTAATCATGACACTAACTCAAATTTCTGTCACTTTTATTAGAAATTGGTGTATAAATGTAGATATAAAAGACATTATTTTTGCATAAACAGAAGCAGTAAATCCTAAAATAAGTAAATATGTTCAAGAAATAAGTTAAAGGTCAAGTGACGGATTTATTAAGTGCTGAATTCGCTGTCATATCATCTCTTATCACATTAAAATGACACGCACAGAATAAAAAACAGGAGGATCTTGAAAACTAGAATAATGAAAATTAGTTCTAGAAGTTGTTTTAACGTTTTCTTTGAGTGAGGACTTTTTCACATTTTAAAAACGAGGCAAACAATAAGTGCTCATTATGTCACGAATGTGTCAGATTCACTTTATTTTAACTGTTGTATAAATAGAAATGCAACAGTGCAGTTGTATTCTTACAGAAATGTATTGGACGACTTTAGTCAGAGGTATATATCCGCACACTCAAGTCATGCAAAATAGAAAAAGGTCTTTTCTAGTGTTTATTTAAAGTAACTTGAATAAACTGCAGCTGTTGTTTGAAGACGATAATGGTATAATGAGCAGAAGACGCTCCAATCCTAAAGGTGTAGAAGTCTTCCCTCTGTTTCTGTAGGTGTGTTTTTTGGCACATTAGAATAACCTTTCCGCAACTGGCAAAGAGAAACCTGACTTGTGTGAACACGAGGGCACGGCTACATCACAGGGGGAAACTAGCAGTGTTTTAAAAATGCTGTAATGTGTGAAACAACAACAACAACAACAGCGGTGTGCATCGTACAGCCTTCGCTAACTGCTCCTCCTCCAACACTCAGGGCTGTGCACAGGCATGTGTTTTAAACCTTTAGCGTGCTAGCTCTCGCTCTGCAGTTTGCCGTGGTATCTCTCAGCTGTTGGTTTGGACTCATGTATCCCTCATTGCATGCGCTTCATAACAAGTGTTTTGCATTCTTTTCCCCCCCGACTCCCTCTCTTTGTTCCTCTTTGTGTTCCCGCCAGATGTTTCAGCCCATGATTTTGTTCATCCTCATTCTCGTTCTCTTCTCATCTCTCTCATACGCCGTCACCTTTAAGTTGGTCTTTCTCTTTGCGCTTTTCTTCGTACTCTAGTCCGTTTGTTCTTCTCCTCACCGTGTAGTCTGTTAGTTAATTTTCCCCCCTCTGCTTATATTCTTTACCCATTTTCTGTTTTTTTCGTTTGTTTCCCCGCCCGCTTTCTTCCCTCATCCCCTCACCCCGTTTGTTGTCTTCTGTCTGTTTTGTCCACGATCCACCTCACACATCTCCTCCTCCCCTCGACACCACCACCACCACCACCACTACCTGCACCCCTGTATCCCGCACCTGTCGCCCCACTCCCCCTTCAACCCTCACATCCACCTCCCCTTTCCCCTTCCCCTTTCCCACCCCACGTCACTCACAGTCCGGTCAGAGGGATGAGCTGGAGTGGCGTCTAGGACAGGAGCGAGGCGTGGATCCCCAGAGCCAGAGCCAGGGTGGGGGCCAGGCCCAGAGCAGGGGAGCCCCGGGACTCACTAGGTACCACAGGCCCCTGGCTTTAAGAGCAGAGGTCAGTGCCTCCTCCCTCCCTCCTCCATCTCCCTTCAACCTGTGGGACTGAGTTGACACTGGCTCAACCACCAGCCCCGTACGCGGGCCTTCTGTCGATCTGGACTCGACTTTCTAATCCTTTAAATTGATTGAAAGACTAATCTGGGTCATGTCTTTTACGTAAAGCGGCTAGTCCATTTTTTTCTCATTGTTAGCTGCTGTGAGCTCTGCGGACGCTTCAAAACCACCCAAAGCATGTCTCAATACTGCACGGTTCTTCCTCTAGAGTCAACATATGATTGGATATTCATGCTTCTGCAAAAAGTGCAATCTGAAACGTGACTGATGAGGGTCATTGTTAGGAAATAAACATGTTTTGGGTGTGTCTCTGGTTTGTTTTTGGAGCGTCTGTCAGCAGCAGCAGCAGCAGCATACAATGACAAAAAGCACAGAGACTTTTCCTCAGGATGATTTAGGATGATGAGTTAAACTCCACAGTTTAAATGCTAAAGACTAAGTTTAGTAAAGTCAGCGTATCTGTATCTACTCACTTCTGTAAACCATGGGTAAACCAGTCTCCTCATAAGTAGACGATTGATTTTAAATCATATGGGATCCAAATTTCTAAACTTGTTTCCGTGCCACTCAGTCCAGCATGTCTAGTGACACTCCAGCCACGGTCATTTTTTGATGCTCGACACGATTTCACTTCATTCACTCACTCTACTTTCACACTGAATATCTCACTCCTACAGCCACTGATCTTTATTTCTTTTTTTGTTGTTTTTTTTTTCAACATTTGTTTTTGCTTTTAAAGTTCTTGCCATGCACCCCCGGACATTTTTGTGATTGATTTCCTCCTTTTGAAGAAGTAGAAAGTAGATCATAAACCCTTAAGAAGAGTTTTGAAAGTTTATCTCTTTTATTGCATCATACCTCTTTGAATTTATGAATCTGCTAGTCGTCGGGTTGTTGCCCTGTAAATCTCTGTGATGGAGCGGCCATGCACAGCTGCAGAGTATCGACTCGTTGGGCGCATGTACGCACTGAGTGTATCACGGCTGAGTCTGCACACAGTGCACTCTGCAGCGATGCCCTCTGGCTCCGGTTCATCACTGCCGGCTGCACTGTCATGACTCGGCTCAGCAAGTTAAATGCATGTGAGAGTGCAGCTTACGCAAAAGTGAGTGTCACAATACACTTTGAACGCCCCCTGACACACACTCACACACACACACACACACACACACACACTGAGGGAATCAAAGAGCGCAATCAAAGAGGCAAGTGGTAACATTACGGCACAAGCCCAGATCTGTTAAATCCTGCAATGACTCGGCGGTATAATGGCAGGACACTGATTCATAATCGCTGCCTCATGCTTGTGTTCGTAGAGAGGTTGTTATGTAATGCAAAGCACTGGCAGCACTGATGTGACACATTACTATTACAGTTACAGTTATGGCACATTCATGTGGATCTCTTTGTGTCCCCGCGCTCTCTGCTGCAGCCGCAGTCTAATCTGAGAGAGGGAATGAATGAATGGGGAAAGCAGCTTGGATATGGCAGGATTAGCGCTGCACTGAAGGCCTGGGTGATTTGCATTTGACATTGGGCTGACAGGGAGGTGATCCAGGGTCCGGTACACACTGAACAGCTCAACTTACTGTTGGAGTGTGCATCCTGCACAGCGGATAGAGGACAGAAATCGCCTTAAAAACTGCTGCAATTTCAAAATTGTCAGAATCTGCACCGCGAGTTCTTTCACGCGGACGGAGAGAGACGTGTGCAGCAGGCGAGTCTGAGGAGAATCATTACATTCAGAACCATGAACATTAGCATCCCATCTCCCTTTGAGCATTTTTCCACCTAAAATAAGTCAGAGTCACATGAATTCAGTTCCTAATGCACTATTTAGCATGTACAGTTTGTAAGTCAGATACTTTTAGTCATGATAGTTTTATGATGGAAACTACAGTTTAGATCAAACTTAGATTTTTGAATGAACTCAGTGAGCTCATCGGATGTTTTTGTTAATGACGTGTAGCTCCAAAAAAAGAAAACAGTCACTCTCCCAGGCTGTTTCCAAAATCACTAACTTCCCACGCTCTACCTCAAACTACTGAGTTCTATGTCGTGGGCTGTAGTGAGCTGAAAAATGAGCACAATCTTAAAAAAAACACCTTTAAGACACGGTTTGCCATCTTACTGTATATCAAATGTATAATAACTAATCTACAATGATGTTAGGACACTGTTTTAATGTTGATAGAAACAGATTTTGACTATTTGAATTTTGTGCAAATAATGTGACTGAAAAATTGAAAAACTAAAAAATGGGATTAGTGGCACCAGAAAAAAAGAATTAAAGTAAATTTCTTTTTATCTCTGACTATCTTCATCTTTCCTCAAAATTTTGACATGACTCTGTGCTCCTTTAAATTATCATAACTCCCTGAGAAGTTGCAGAATAAGTTATTTTGGGTTTCTATTTGTGTGAAAATTGATTCATTTTGAAGATTTTGAGTGAATTTTTGGTGTTCTGTGAGAACAGAAGAGAGCAAACACATCAAGAGGAATCATCTCATACATAAATCCCTGTTATTTTCTCTGACAGCTGAAAACAACTCGAGAGAGAGGGACAAACAGAATGATAGTGAGCTTTCAATATGTGATGAAATGCTTTCAAAGTGCTGGTGTAAAGTGACTGTGCACTGTGCTGTTGTGGGTTCAGCTCCGGGACACGCCTGCTGCTGACATCCAGTTTCGTCTGGATCATGAACGAAGGCTACGAGCGGGGACAGAGGAGCGGGAGGCTGTCGTCTCTCTGCCTCAGGTACAAACACACAGTCAGTCACGCCATGACTCAAATATTTTGAACACGAGCAGTAGGACACGGAGAGCGCTCTGCTGAAGTCTGGACAGGGTTTTAATAAACTTCCAGAGGAGAGTTTGAGATGTTTTATGGTTTTTATGAAGCAGATTTGATTCAAAACCTTCCAGACTTAAAAAATTCAAATCTATTTTAGACCCTAAATGAGACAGTGGTCATATTATAAAGATTAAATCACACCTAGGCTTGAAAAATAATCCAAATAAGGTCATTGTAGTGCAAGAAAATAGTGTTTTAAACTGCCTGAAATTAAATCAGATGCTTCAGGATGACCAACAAAGATTTTTTAATCAAGAAAAAAAACTATTCAAGGACATAATCAGCAAAAGTTACTGATCATATCGGACACAAACGGACAAAAAGTGCCCTACAGCAGCAGAGGCTCTTCTGCATTTTAAGTATAAATGAACATAAATCAGCATTAAAATTAGATCATTAAGAGCAAAAAAAGCACAAAAAAGTGTTTATTGCTTGTTTTGTAATTGCAAACAAGCTCTTATTTTCCAATTGTACAAAGATTGAGCTAATTCACTGATGATTAATGGTTAAAAAAAAAGGAAATTTGTGTATCTAATCTTCTTTTTGCAAATATAATGTGTTTTTTGGACCAATTTATGGAGAAAGTTTTTAAAAAGTTGTGAATTTGTAAAAAAATTAAGATAAATTTGTTCATCTACAGTAACTATTTCTCAGTTTGGGACTTATTACTTGCCAACTATAATATTCTGATCAGATATTTGGAGTCAGAATTTTTCATTGTCTTTGCACTCCATCTGTCTTCTCGCTGATTCGCTCCTGCAGCAGGATGATGAGCGTTTGCGTCAGGAGGCCCAGCGCGGTGGTCTGGAGCTGCAGGGGCTTCAGAGCCACGATGTTCCCTGGACTCAGGAGAGAGCCATGCTGCAGCAAGAGGTCCGCCTCTTCAGACGCAACACCATCATCTTCTACATGAAGCTCAGGTCCATCCTTATGCACTGGAGGCTGGAGCGCAGGGACGAGTCCATGGAGGAGGCGGGGCAACCGGAGGTGAGGGCGACAGTACACATGACATGGCATGAGTGGTGCACATAGAAGTGAGTCAAGCTAAGTTCCTGCCAGTTATTGAGGGACCCTGTCTGCTATCCAGCGTCTTTATTTCGTGCTCAGTGCTCCACATTTTCTTTTCCCCCTCTATGACTCCTTATTGATCAAGTTAAAAAGTAGGATTTTAATGTTTTCTGATTTTATTTTATTAAACATACTCATGGGAGCCCCTCTCAGACACAGCTCTCCTTTCAGCTTCTCCTTTCTATACAAAAAGTCCCTCGTCGTCTTCACAGTAATACCCATAGTTTTCCTAAATCTCAAGTCGGACATTGTTTATGCAGATCATCTGTGTTTCAAATGAATCTCTTATTCATACAGCGCCTCATAGCGAATAGTAAATTGGCCCTGCAGATGGTGCAGCGGAGAGGAGCCCAGGTGGATTTTACCGAATGTTTATCACACGCCCTTGACTTGACACAGAGTCCAAACAGAATATTTTCTCATTTTCTCGAGTCAATTTATCTCCAAAGCCCTTTATTACGGTGGCAGTTTAGCTCTGTGGCGCTCACATGGTGAATAAGTAGAAAAAATTTGGCCTCTTGATTTAATAAATCAGATGGAGGAACGCAGTGGCAGAGTTTTGTATCGTACTTTTGTATCGTACAGATTTGATGCTTTATCCTAATTACAAAGAGCATAAAACATGACTTTCAATTTAAACGCAGAATATATTTAGTAAGTCAAGTAATACAATACTCTTTCATTCTCAGCGTGATAAAACATAATTGTTTGTGTTCTCTGTTTTTGGAGTGAGCCGCTCATTAAATCTAGTAAATCTTTGGCTTTGTCTCTCCTGCTGTAGAGATCAAAGATATATTGGCTGTTTTCCCAGGAGGACTGTCTCACAAATCTATACTCCAGAGCGCACGTCTTATCTTTCTCGCAGAGAGGGCAGCACACTGCACTTCTGTACAAGTCACAGTTATATCTCTTAAAGCTCTCACCTGCTGTGTGACTCACAATGATTTGTGATAAAACCTCAGCTTGCAGACAGGATCATTATACACGTTATAGTAAAAACAGTTAACTTAAAGCTCCGGTGGGGAGTTTTTTAATGTCACTGAAATTCATATTGAAGCCTTTTTATGATATTTGAAAGCAAATAAGATGATCAGCTACAAGATTAAAAATTCCTATATTTTCATTTTTTATGTCTAAAACTGGTCAGAGGGGGTAGACGTCAGCCGAGCAGCTAAAGAAACAGCTTGTTTTTGCTAATTCCACATTGAATATTCACAACAAATCGTACGTTTAACTGTCAAAAGTTAGCAAGATGAGATTTTCATCATAACATTATATAAATGTCAACATTAGCAAAGACTTTTTTGTCCAGAGGGGGCACCAAATTCAACACAAACTGAAACTTTCTCACTGGAGCTTTAATCTAATCATTTTACAAACTTTTCTCATTCTTCCTCTCTCTGCAGAATTTTACCTTATGTCAGATAATCAAGTCAAGTTTATTTTAGAAAGTAATAGCAAAACAAAATGCTGCACAGCACTGAAACTAGCAATACATAAGAAGCAAAGTAATTACAAGAAACAAGAGACAAAAACAGTCCACCCAATACAGGAAACAAAGAAGGCTGCTCTGCGGGTGTAGGGCGTTGGTTTCAAAGCTCATCACTCTAAGGCTTCTGATTTGATCAAGGGATAGCAGAGCTATCATTCATTGGATGATCTAAGGAGCATCAATATGGCACTAAAGCTGGAGAGGTCAGTTAAGAGGGAGAGGGCCAGGCCATTCAAGGATTTAAACACTTATAATGCAGCCTTAAAACCAATCCTTTAGCGAGTTAGGAGCCATTAGAGAGAGTCTGGTGTGGTCCAAGTCTAATCCGTATTCTTGGAACTAGTCTGAAAACCTGGCTGCTGTGTTTTGGATCAGCTTCAGGTGAGAAAGGAGCGACTGGCTGGTTCTAGTGTTCAGGGTGTTACAGTAAGAGATGAGAGTATAAGAAGAATTCATCAAATCATTGAGTGAGAGGATGGTTTTAATGTTATCATGGTCCCAAACTAAACAGGATTTCTGTGCTGCTGTTACCTTAGAGTCAAATGAAAAGAAGTGTCCAGATGGGGCGGATAGGCAACCTAAGTTGTTGGAGATTTTGCAGCTATTTAGTTTTAGAGAATTATGAGCCATCCAGTTATTTATATCCTCATGGTAATCTCAGAGAGAGGCGTGATCATGCGCCTGCGTTTTTGACCTAAAGGAAGAGTGTAGACTGAGAAAAGAATGGGACCGAGAATGGAGCCCTGCGGTACTCCACAGGTGTCTGCGGCATCCTAAAACAGGAAACTAGTAAAGCATTTTTGCATTTCAAGTTCCTTCATCTTCATGTTTGAGGGTTTTAAACTGGAATATACTTCACACGAGTTTAGAAATTTTCACACTTAAAGGGATATTCTGGTGTAAAATTAAGTTAGGGTCAAAGACACCGTAACACCGAGTTAGACACCCCGTTGAGAGATGAATGTTGCCGACCACTTGCTTCTCTAGTTATACCAACTTCAGTAACAACCGCAGGATAGAAATACACAGCGGTCTCAAGAGCCATGAACAAACCTCAACCAAAACGCCACAAATAATGCTCAGAACAGCACCTAACTTCATCAAAAGAACATATAGGGTCCTAGCCATAGTACGAGCCACCAAACATCTTTTTAACTTTGCCTGATTTCTTTAGCAAAGAGACTAAACACAACTCACCTACTCTCTTCCAGCAGCTGCTTGTTTGTAGCAAGACCTCAGGCCAGTCCATTACAGACTACAGCAGGGTGACACAGCTCAAGGAAGAACATTTATTGTTGGTATAATTAGAGAAGCAATATCGAAAGGTTGGTGTTATAAAAAATAGTAAAAATGCTGATTGGTGTATCTCTACTATGAGTGAGTAAAGAGGTGACTATGACGAGTAATGTAAAAGTGTTGATAGCTGCACCCGCTAAAGGAAAACCAGAGGACTGAGGCTCATTCTGTATTTATCTCTGCCTTGTACCAAATGCATGCTGGGAAAGGCTCAGCAACATTGAGCCAGAAACAGAATGTGTTAGTACTGAAAAAAAAAAAAACAACAACAAGTGCATGAATTAAAACACAGGCCCCTCATGGCTCTGTCATCTGTTCCAGTTTGAGAAGTTGGAGGGCATCCCAGAGCTGGGAGTGATAACGGAGCAGGCGGAGGGGGAGTCGGATCGAGACGACAGACTGTGTTTACCTCAAACTCCAGGGGACGTCCGCGACACAGGGCCCTTCATCCCTCTGCCGTCACCTGACCGGCACCTGCAGCACCAAAGACAGGTACTGACATGTTTACCAAACAGCCAAATAATGCACAAAAAAACCCCTCTGCACGTACAATCTGTTGCTGCTGCAAACTCTGCTCACGCTGCGATGGTTAAAGCTTAATTGCAACAGCAGAACATCGTATTTGGCATTTCAGCTCAAGCCTCATCGCTCCCTGCAGAATATTAAAGGTTGAGCACAGGGCTGGTGCAGACACGGAAAATCTTGCAGCTTAAAGGTGCATTGTGTAGTAGTTTGTGGCATTTAGCAGAAATGTGATATAACAAACCAAATCTCTAATAATACAACTTCACTCAAACAAATACACATTTACTTGGGAACACACAAACTTGGGGGGACAGAGCCTTCTCCGTTGCCGCCCCCACCCTCTGGAATTTACTCCCCAAAACCCATCCGAGACTGTGCAGACCCCCACACTTTTAAATCACTCTTAAAAACACACCTTTTTAAATTGGCTTTTAACCTGTGAACTGTTCTGTAATTGTTTTCTTATATCGTGTCTTTTTTAACCTTTTACATCATTGGTTTTTTCTGTGATTTAAATTGTTTTTTCATTTTATTTTCTTCTTTTTCTTTGCCAGGCGTCTTTGAGCACCTGTAAAAGTGCGTTAAAAATAAGATTTTTTATTATTATTATTGTTACTGAGCAGTTTGTGAAGTGCTCAGGACATGTATTTGTAGTAGCTTTTATAAACTGGTGTAGTGACAGAGTTTGGACCTCAAACGGGCCGGTTATTTTTGTTTTCCTTCAATGTCATTGTGTGCAAATGAATGTCTGGCAGCCGTTCTTTAGAGCCGCGCTGGCATGGTACGCTGATGAGAATTTTGGCCTAGATAACCACTTAGAGGTGGTAATTATTTTGAGTACACCCAGTTTTGGGTTCACTGTTCCAACAGTAACATGGACACTAAGTTTGATGCAGAGAGGAGGTTTTACTCTGACATGGCGTGAGTTGTTGTCTCTACGTCCGTTCACCACCTCTACCTCTGTGAGGCCAAAGAAAGCATTCGGGGTCGGATGCATTATTAAGCAGCTGAAAGAGCTCCGCTTTGCCCTGTGTTTTTTATTTCTCCTCTGCACCCTGAAAAATAGCCGGTACAGTGATCTCATGTCGTCTTTTTACTCCGTGAGCAGTGTTCCAGTTTTAACAAGCTCGTCCTGTATGACTATATTAAGCTTTATGGAGGAGAGCAGAGATGCAGACTTGCTTTAGTAAGCACTCCCGCACACATGGCTACTACAGCAGATGATATATCCTCCAGCTGGGGGTGAGATAATAGTATGTTAATTTGGGGAAACGTCAGTTGGAGTTTTTAGCTCAGACTCGGACATAATTTAAGCAGTTTGGCAGCTTGAATACGGAGAAATCCTGATTCATCCCCTCGGGTGCTGCCCAATGTCTGATACCGTTTAAGAGCTTAAGTTTATTTAAATACTGTAAATACTGTAAATGAGATGATGCCTACTTGTAAGCTTTCATCTCATTAAGTGCAGGAAGCTCTTATCAGTTCACTTAAAGGTACGTGACAACTAACGTAGCTCATGAGTGTTTACTTCGTATAACTGTTCTTAAATCAGCTTCAGATACCTGGAACAGAACCTTTAATGATAGCACAGTTGCATCAGTGTTACACCTGAACTTTGACCTTTCTGCGCCACTGCCAAGACGAGGTGATTGTCGTCCTGGATGTCTGAGTCCTGCCCCTAATATTTTCAAAGGATAGATAACAACAAGTGTTATCCCAAGACTCTTAATTAGAAAAAGATGGACTCTATCTCCAAAAACCCCATCTCCTAAGATCTGACCCACTCCCATCCCATCTTGTGCAGCCTTTCATGAGTTACAGTGGAGAGGAAAAACTTCCTTTAACAGGCAGAAATCTCGAGCAAGACCAGACTCATGTTTGACGGTCATCTGCTGCTTCTGCTCTGGGTTTAGAGAGGGTATAGAGGGAGACACAGAAAGAGAGGAATGCTCAGAGACTCCCTGAAAATCACTGATCAGAGATCCAGATCCAGGCCAGAGGTTTACTGGTTCATCAGCTGATGGTAATGTGCTGAGGCTGGGAGGCTGAGCTCTCCTGTTCAGGTGGATTTTGCTCCTCAGGAGGCCAATCATCAATCTCCTATCTGATCTTTGTTGAGTTTCAGATGTCAGATCAGGTATTTGGATAAAGCCTCAAGTGGACATATGACGAACTGCAGTTTTTAGCGCCGGGACATGTCTAAGGTTATGTTTGTCGGGGTGGCAGGAGCTCAGGAGGTACAGCGGTCGTCCAATAACCGGAAGGTTGGCGATTTGATTCCCCCCTATCCCTAGTCTGTCCGTTCTGTCCTTGGGCAAGACACTTAACCCACCTTGCTCCCAGTGTGCGTCCTCCACTGGTGTATGATTGTGAGTGTTGTGTGGTGGTGATTGGAGAGGCTGTGGGCGCAAACTGGCAGCCACGTTTCCGTCAGTCTGCCTCAGGTCAGCTGTGACTACTGAGGTAGTTTACCACCACCAAGGTGTGACTGTGTAAAGCACTTTGAGGGTCTCTGATAAAGTGCTATATGAAATCTGTTGCACTATTATTATTATTATTTGTAATAACCTGTCAAGATAGGGTGTTGTCTGTGACATTTTAAACCACTGTTGGTGCTGTTGAGCTTTTCCGAGGTGTGATTTGTCAGTAGGATAGAAAACATCGCTGACAGGTTGGATTTTCCCTGTCAAGTGAGTGGAAATGAAAGTAGTCAGGCTCTTTCAGCTCTTTCAGCCTTTTTTCTGTACTTCACTGTCATGTAAGAGCTTAGTGTCTTTGCGCCTGCTAGCAACAAAGATTTGCTAAAAATATCTTAATTTAAATAGGATATAAATATTCAGCCTAAAAGATACACAAATGTGCATTTCAGTGCTAAACACCCTTTGGAAATCTAACTCCTACTTTTTAAGGAGAGTCCACAGGGTCTCTTTAACTTATCATCTGCTAATTAGCCTGTAAACTAGCTAGCCATCACGCTACAATTTGGTAGCTAGCAGGCTTGCATTTCTTTTCTAAAATCAGCTCTTGTCTTGGGAATTTTCCAGGCTTTTCAACTTCAAGTTTATGTTTATCCATGAAGTGAATCCATCAAGTAAAGAAACAGTGATTCTTGGGTGTTTAATGCACAGACATAAAAGCACTTTTTTGCAGTGTAGTGGCCTTTTAGCACCTGGTATCTTATAATATTGTGTTCCCGGCTGAGCTGTAGTGATACCTCAAGGTGATGTTTTACTCACAGACTCCTTTGTGCTTCACCACCTCCCGCCAAGACCTGCAGACTCTCTAAAACAGGACCTCCAGAGGCACACAGCTCTGCACACACCTCTCTGAGCAGAGGAGTCAGGAAAAACATGCTGTGACCCTGTGCACGTCTCAAGCCGGAGGCGCTTCTGAACACGAATACACACCGTCTACAATTTCTCAAATCCCTGCGCTTCATACTCGACTAAAATAAATCAGCATGTTAGATGCCCAACAGGTTTTTTGTTGTAGCTCTAATTACTGCGCTACTCTCGAGGGATTTCTTTGTAATATCCACCGATCTGTGAGCAGGATTTTTGAGGGCCTCACACACATTTTTGTCTTTATATTTTAGGTCCTTAAAGGCAGAAAAAGACCAAAGATAGATGAGAAAGAACATCAGAGCAAGAAGAGGGATTTGAAAGAGGAGAAAGTCGAGTCAAATTGATTTATAAGGCTCTTACGGAGCAGGTTAATCTTGAAGATAAACAGAGGACACCAGCTCAGATAAAAACAAGAGACAAGCTTATCAAGATAAGATCGAGCCTGCTGAACTTTCTGTAATCATGCTCTCCCAGTGTGCTGTTTTGACATTTCCTAATCCTGTACTTTGTCCCATATCCTTGCCTGCAGTTTGGGGAAAACCGGCAAGTCCTGCAGGCCCTGCGGACGCTGCTGGAGGAGTTTCGGGAGGAGCTGCGGGAGGAGGAGGCGAGGCGACGCCAGCTGCAGCAGTCCTACGCCAATGACAAAGCCGCCTGGGAGGTCAAGTGGGCAGAGATGAAGTGCCAGGTCGCACAGGTACAGATGGCGCCTCAGCGCCCACCTTAAAGAGACAGGACACAGTCTGGTGTGGGAAAACTAATGGTGCATTCAGGGAGCAGCGAGGGGACAGTAAACATGTTGACTCGAGCGCGGATGAAAGCCGCTCAGGGCAGAGGGGTAACAAGCTGGAAACACAAATCTTTGTTACTCCCCTTGAGCCAAACACAGTCTTTCTGAAGGTGCAGCAAAGAAATGAACACACAGAGCAAGAATCCAAACCCTCAATAATCAAAGCAAAAGAGGAAGTTTGTCTTCCAGTAAGACAAAAAAATATGAATCACTTTCTCAGCTCTGTGTCGTAACTGTGCAAAGCGCCTCTAAGCATTTTTAAACATCTGTTTAATTGCTCTCTTCCTCTCTCAGTATGAGTGTAAATATTTTGAACATCTTCATCTCAGCTGATATGAACAGAGAGAGCTGATACCATTTATTCAGAGGAGTACAGTCAGTTCAAGACGCAGGAAGCAGCTAATTATTTTGTCAATTTGAAAAAAACGGTTTGAGTTTACTCTGCATCCAAAAATCCTCCCAAACATCATTCAGAAGATTTTGGTCCATCAAAATATTGTTTCTTGGACTAAAAGAAGGAAAATATATATCAAAAACAAAAGCTGGGACACTGTAAATGTTGATTAAATTGATTTTAATGTTTCCAACAGCTGGTCAGGGGCATGTCTACCATCGCGTTTCATCGTTGTCTCTCTGAACAACATCCAATATAAGTTAGGGAACAAAAAAGACCAGTTTCTAGAGTTTTAAATGTCCAATTCAGGCTGTTGCAATAAACTGGTAGTAGTGATATTGTGCTTAAAATAAGCACACAGTAATGCAGTGAGTTAGCAGTCGCAGGATAGACAAAGAGGAAGTAGCGGACTGCTAACAAGCTAACTTTAGCAGCACTCTGGGAGATTAAAAACTGACTTTCCAAGATTTATGGTGAAATCCAAAAACAACATTAAAGCCTTGTACTTCTTCAGGACACTAATCAACTGAAGATTTGTACTTTCTAACACATTTTTTAATGGTTTTCATTTAGTCCGGTAACTCACAGTCTACCAGAAATAGTTCCCTTCAAAATAAAAGCATAGTTTGACCATGCAGGAAATGAATCCTAAATCATACATTTGCAGATGCCATGTGCACCCATACATCCCCACAGTGTCTTCTTTTTAGAGCTCACCTGGATTCACTGATAAGAAGTTTCTTGAAGTGATTTTGAGCCTATGCGGTGACTTCCACTCCAAAGTCATGTCTGTTTTGACTGAAAGCCTGAAAATCACTAACTATCCCTGATAACTCCATAAGTAATCCACCCTCAGGAGATATGAAAACCAGCGTTAAAGGTTTATGTAACTTTTAGCCTTGTCATCCTGTTGTTCCTCCATGTCAGAGTTTTTAGGTTACAGGGGTGTAAACATGAGATTTAAGGTCCCTTTGCTGCAAAAGAATAAAGAGAAATGTGTGTTTCACTCGTACTTTGAGAGGTGAAAATCTATGAAACCACTGTGGGAATATCTCTGTCTTTGAGGATGTAGGTTTTCAAAGAGTAAAACATCAGTAGGCTTTGAGCGCTGGGTGGTTGATTCCAGCGTATTGACTGAGGGAAACATACACTGAACATTTGACCCACGAAAAAAAAAACATTACAGGGAATATAAGCTCTTTGAAACATTTCCCAAATGGCCCTGAACAGACAGAGGGATTTTTTTCAGGTTGCAAAATGAAAGTTCACTGCTGTGTAAGACCATGATATTAAAAACTATGTGGAATAGAAAAATCACAAACCCTGCCTCTTAATTAATCAGATCAAATGATGGGAAAATCAAAAAACAAGCTGTTTTTTCCGCCTTTTTTATCTCAGTGCAATTCAGTGTGCTTTAACCCCCAATTTACAACTTCACAGTGAGTCTTAAATATTTGAAAATTAGCTCATTTTAACAGTGAAACACCAGATCACAGTCTCATCACCGTTTGTCATCTGTGCTTGTTTACATCCAGGTAGTAGAGCATGATAGCATAATGGCAGCTACCAATGACAAGAGCTACAGCTCTAAACAATGGTGGATGGCTATGCTTCCAATTTGACCCCGTTTATACATACCCTGTTATTTTTAAAAACAGACATTAACCGGCATCATTTTGCCCATGTCTGTATATTTGGTGTCAAAAAATAAATGAATGAAAGTTGGTTTTGGATGTGTGTAGGTAGGCTATGGTCTCATGTCCCTTTAAGACGCTGTCCCACATCAAAGACGTGACTCCTCCTCATCCAGTCTGTAACAAAGAGGGAAAGACAGGTGAAGAGATGGAAGACGGTTCAAAAGTTGTAGTGGCTGAAGTAGACGAAGTTAATGTGGGAGGGGGTGAGCAGCTTGTGGAGTAGTTATCGTCCATCAATCGTTATTAAGATGAACTGCTCAATTGTGATATTGATTTGAGGCCATATCGCCCAGCCCTAACAAGGACTTATAGTTTGATCGGGCTTCTGAGGAGACATTTGAGGCTTGAATTCAAGACGCCTCCTCCCTGCTCCATCAGTGTGTGCAGCAACAACAACAAGAGCATAAGTGTGGGATCGTGAAGACAGTCCTGTTCATGTTGTTGTTGTCTCATTTGTTACCTGGCACACAGGGATACTGACCCTTTATTGTTTCGTGGTACAAATGGTCAACACAGTCAGATCCATCTTGTCTGCTGTATGAAGATGAAAATCCAGAAACCACAAAGCCCAAGTCTGAGCTTTGCTTCTTCTCTGATCTGATCAAAATGGAAACTGCAGCTTTGGGAACTAATTACGCAGTTTGACTTATAGGAAGGGGATTATCTCTTTAACTCAGCTGTTCGTAATCTGAGCGGCTTTTACATGGTTCATATCCTTCCACAGAGCAGAGGTCGCCGAGGGCCTCAATGAGAACTAATTTACTTAGTTTCCTGTGATAACACCGTGTCGAGTCCTTTTCTTGCTCCGCTGTGCGTCGTTCTGATTAAGACCTCAGAAACACGGCTCTAAACTGCTGATCATTACGCAGCTCAACAGAGCAGAGCAGGAGAGGAAATTACCCTCACCTGTGTTATTTATACATGGATGGTTATTTTTGTTCGGCTTTTAGATGATATTAATAAAGAGGTTCAGACCGGCTCGTGTTTCTGGTGACACACACTCTGAGGCCCCCTAACCATCTGTCGATATTTATAAAGTCTTACACCATGGCTGTAACTGTTCAGTCAGCAGCTATTACTGTATATGTTATCCTCCCAACTGTGTAATAAGTTAAAAACCCAGTATAAAATTATACAAGACAAACATTGTGAATGGTAGTTATGTAAACTGACGTTTGAAGGCAGTCTCGACCAGCTCTTCACGCACAGACCGGAGCCATTTGTACCGCCGTGTTTTCAGATCAAAGCTCGCCGAAGAGTACAAAGCGCCGCTCTGCTCGGGAAACGGGAGCTTCCAGAGAGGCTTCGCTCCGTCCTTCTGCTGCTTTGAAGATTCCCTGCAGAACTACCGACTCCTCGCTTCAGAGAGCGGTTGAATATATAAATCTGCAGCTTGGGGTGGAATTGGTGGACACGTGTGGTCGTAAAGCGAAAAACATAGCTGTAGAGGAAATAATCAAAACAACTCAGAAGTCAGTGCAGGCTTGACTTGGGTGTCCAGTCGTTTAATGAACTTCTACGGTGTAAAGAAACATTTAAAAGCTGTTTTTGAATATATTATGTTTGTTTGATATAGATTTGTTAAGACATATGAAAACTATGTGACTCCTTCGATAAATGATGATGCTGTTGTACGACCAAGATGTAAACAAGCACAGATGACAGGTGGCTTCTCGTAGCACACCATTATGTTCATCTTGCCATTAGGAGTGTCCTGATACGATATTGATATCAGATAAAGGTCCAATATCAGCAAAAAATATATATATATATATATATATCGGAGTATATCGGCCTGCATCTAAAATCTCCGATACAGGCAGTCCATTCCAGACTCCACTCCAGCACCTCTAGCTAGCAGCGCCCTGATCCAGCAAGCTGAGCCCACAAAATCAGAACAACAGTGTGTACTAAGGCACAAACAAACTAGCAAGGAGTAGGAGTGATGTCGGCCATGTGGCAGTATTTTTTGTTTAAGTGCAAAATTTTGAGCCAATATCGGATCAATATTGGTATCAGTCAATATTGAAGGCTGCAATATCGTTATCATTTCGGAAGTCAAAAAGTTGTATCGGAACGCCCTACTTGCCATTGAACTTACCTGTTAGTAGGAATTCCATTTTTCCTCATTCTAACATGAGTGTTAATGGAGCTTCTTTGGGTTTCGTAAACAGCCCCAAGTGGACAGTCAAGGAACTGCACGTTTGTTAATTTTTTCATTTGGTTTTTCAGCTCAGACAGTTGTTGCTTGATGTTCATGCATCTTGAAAAATTACGTATTTGTAGCTATATGGTTGTCCCAGAATAGCAACAACACAAACATACTATAATCTTCTTTAGTATGACGTCCAGCTGTAGATGAAACAACACAATATCTATCCTGAGAAAGTGCGACAAACAAACTAATAAAGCAGCAGGTTAACTCAAATATCATAATTAATGGTCAAATAAAGACAGAGATGATTTCCAGTGCAATTTTAAGATAATACCTGTTTACTTTGACTCATGTAGACTTGAAATCAATAAAATAAAACCAGTTACAGTGTTTTGGAGCGACAGATATGTGAATTAAAAGGCTCGTCCAATGCATCTGTATTATTTGAGTTTAATCATTTAACCAATAAAAACCCACAGTTAGAGCTCTGTGGTACATTTCTACTTGGAAAAGGCGACAAAGGTGAACTTAAAGTTTTTAATAAAGTTTTTTGCTGCCATCTTATTTGACTCCATTATTTGGCAGTTGTGAACTTTATTTTGACTTTTTTTTCAACTTTTTTTAAACTCAAAGATCACAGAGATGGATTAAAGATCAAAGCGAGCGGATCAAACACAGTAAACCTAAGATGTGTCAATAGCAATGTAACTTACTTTTCTACTAAATGTGGATTTATGCGTGTGTCTTCGCTCTTGTCTAGTTCGAGGAAGAGACTCCGGATCAAGTGCGAGGCGAAGCACAGGGGGGTGAAGGAGAACCAGCGGGAGATCCCGAGAGCACCCTGACGCAGGAGCGTGAGGAGCACCGACGCCTGCTGGCCGAGAGCCACAGCACCTCCCTGGACCTCCGCTGGAAGCTGCAGCACGGGGAGAAGAGATGGGGTCGCGAGAGGGCGGAGCTCCTGGAGCGCTTCGACCGAGAGCGGCAGGAGTGGGACAGCAGCATGAGGGAGCTCCACCGCAAGATGGAGAGGGTGAGAGAGCAGAGGAGATGAGGAGAGAGAGAGGAAGGAGGGAGGAGTTATAGTAGAGAACGAGGAAATCAGCACGGGGTCAGGCGAGGAAAGGAGCAGTGGGATTCATTCAGTTGCTTTTCAGGATCTTAAAATAGCATCACCTGACTTTCCTAAGTGTCTGAGAGCACTGTTTCAGAGTTCATGTCACCTTAAAGGTGGGATTAAAATACATTTTAAGTCTTAAAATATACACTAAATGTAATTTATATGTAGAAAAAGTAACTGCAGCTCTACAGATCAGAGAAGAAGAAAACAGCACAAAAAGTGAAGTCTCTATTTTACTGTTTTTGTGCTTTGAAGTGAAGCGAGGGTGAAACGGTGAGAAAGCACCAGAGGTGATAATCTGCTCTGTTGTTTAGTATTTCAAATATTCGACCAGATAAAAAAAAAACTGCAGAGGATTACTGAATAATTGATGCCCTTTGGGAGATTTAATGAAGCCTACTGCAGCAGCTCACCTCTCTCATGTTTGATGTCCCAGACAGGAGGTAGAAACATGAACCGGTTAATATGATATGAGGGTATTAAAATAATAAGCGGTGACTGGAATAATAACAACAGGAACTCCCTCTGAATACAGCTCACTTTCACCCGCTCAGAAACAAACTGCTGATGCACGGCTGAACAGAGACACAGAGCAGGAAGCGGAGATGCATTATTCAGCAATGCTGCAGCAAATTGTAAAACACAGGTCACCTACTCCAGAGTGAGAGTGAAATACTGATGCAACTTTTGTCCTTTTGACCAGAGCCTGAAATGAGGCACTTAACCCAGAGTTTAGCAGGTCTGTTACTCGACGGCTCAGAGTCGAGGGACAGAGATGTTTCTGTCTTGTTAAAAACCGCTAAACTGAGCACCTGTGCTTGTTTTTGGGTCCTTACAGATGCAGAGAGAGCTGAGCACCAGGCGAGGCGAGGGAATCGACGTTAAAGACGGCCACAGAGGAGTGTTTTCACCTCAGGACAGTCCCTGTAACGCCCCCCGGTCTCCTCGCTCCCCGCGCTCTCCCTGTACGTCCACGCCCCTCTCTGTCCCTCCCACTCGCTCCCACTCTGACTCGGAGGCCATGCTGGAGGAGCAGGGCGCTGCCATGAGGCTGAAAGGACCAACAGAGAACCTGTTCCTGGACGCTCTGTCTCTGGACCCCCTCAGTGGCCTGGAGGTCCCACCTCCATCGAGACTGGAGAGTGAGAAGAGGTTCCCCTGCATGAACGAGGTAACACCTACAGAAGTGTGGTCTGTTTATGGAGTGATGTTGGCCTCAGACAGTGAAAGATCTTTGGAGGAGTTCAGAGGGTGGAAAGACTGATCCACAGATTCAAAATTCATGGTCCCCAGTGGATAAACCAATGTTGGGTATAACTATTCGTGCTCTTCTGAGGATGAAATGTAGTTATTTTTCCCCCTTCCTGAATTTATATTTGGGCTTTTTTGCCTTGGTTTGGAGAGGACATGGTGGGGTACAGAGTAGGAAACAGGGAGTGATAATCAAGAAAGGAGCCAAGGACTAGAATCAGACCTGGGCTAACAGCTCCAGGTATAACTTCTGTATATGTGGTGTTTGTGTAGACCGCTAGGCCCCATCTCTTGGTTTTTAATCCAACTCTGCCATAAAATTAAAACACTTAAGTTTCCCATCATCTACAACTGTGTTTATCACAGACTGTCAAATATTACGTATTTAAAAAGGTGACCATTTAAAAGCTGCTTAACTTTAGCATTTTCGTCAGTGTTAGGTAGACCATACATCCTCTTTAACCCGGACATGTTCTCTTTTTGGGGGCTGTCCGACCTTGTCTGGCTTTGTTCGGGGAAGTTTACAAAATCCTTCAAACGTCCACAATTCTGTATGTAAGTTTCAAGCATGTGTCATGTGGACTTACTGAGTTAGAAGTGTGTAAAAGACTCTCAATCCAACCTGAAAACTCTCAAAATTATCTTCGTGCGACCCTGTTACTCCACCCCCGTGTAGTCATGTCCTCTTTGTGGGGATTCAGAACATGGTCACCCTAGTCAATGCACCAATGTTAGCATGTATGCAGTAGCATTTAGCTAAAATAGTTACTGGGCTTTAGTTAAACCTCAGAGAGCTGCTTTCATGGCTGTAAACCAGTAGTCTTACTCTAGAGGTCAATCTCAGGTAAAAAGAAAACCATTTGCACAGAAAACTTTGGGAATTTTTTAGAGTGAGGTGCATGTGTAAACACAAACAGCCTGAATTTTCACCATAGATCAGTATTTTTTCCTGTGCGCTTCCTTGTAAAATTTGAACAAGTGAGTGAGTATAGGCGGACATAGAGGTATGATGTTTATACCATTTGACTGGTGTAAACCTGGAAGAGTGACGTGAAGGAGGAGGAGATTCATTTTTTCATTGCAGCATCAGCCTCCGCTATCATACTTTAAACATCCCACTGAGAGTTTTTACAGTGTTTTCTGCCCCTGCCCACCATTCCTATCATCTGACAGGGAAAACTCATAATCTGAGGAAGATGTGTGAACGGACAACTTCAAAATAAACACACTTATTTTCATGTCAACAACTCAGAGTCCTTTCCTTTCTATAAGTTTAAAATCTTCATAAAATCAGGCCTGAGAAACTCTTCCCCTGTGGGTAAACCCAGAGTATTAGCTGCTTAGGCGGTAGTCTTCTTATTAATGGAAATTCATCTAAATGTAAATTAAAGTTTAACTTAAATCCTCCTGAATGGACTCCTTTAAACCCTGTTGTAGCAGAGAGAAGTATCTTTCTAACTGAATTTGGATGAAGATCATTATGGGTGCACTTCCTTTACTTTACTTTTATGCCACTTTAATGCGCCTGCTTTAGCAACATTAACTGAAAAGAGATGAGGTGTTATCTGAAAACATTCGCCCGGAGCAATCATCAGACTCTGAGGAAGTAAACCACAACGCAAGCCCCATAAAATCCACCTTAAATGAATCACCCAGCACCTGTCTGCTGTTAACAACCAAAACAAAGCGGTGCTAGATTAAAGCAAACGTCGTAAGACTTTCAGGAAGATGATCATTTATCTATTATGCGAATCTTTGCGACTGCATCTTTGTCCTCTTTAATCTTCTTGTTGCATCTGTTCGTCTTTCAGGCTCTGAATGAGATTCCAGACAGAGAAGGCACCCCGGAGTATCCAGAGGAGGAGATGGGCGGAGGGAGTCTGCTCAGGTAACCTCTCTTTAAACTTTTATGGCTCGAAATGTTAACTACTCAAATTACAGAGATCAACTGTTGATTCGATTTTCTGCTACTTGATTTTTCCGTCAAAGTTTCTCTCTTTCAGCTCGCTTTGTTTTAAAATCATTCAGACACTCTGTAAACATTGAAACGATGCCCGTAACTCATACCTGCCAACATTTGGGTTATAAAATCAGGGAGAATTTTTTCTCACGTTTGTTTCCCTTTTATTGAAGTGTTCATTTTGCAACAAACACTACTTAAATATAGTTTACAGCTTAAACAGACCTGAATCATCCCAAAGTGTAAAGTAAAAGTATCAATCCAGTGTCTGTGAGGCTCAGCAGAATCGCAGGACAATCTTCGGTTGTCTAGAAACTTTGGATAAATATAGTGGTCCGATTCATGAATGAACGCGGACCTTCAAAAGAGAAATGACAATACAGGAGGTGGGTGGGAGATAGGTCTGAAATACAGGGGAGTCCTGGGAAAAACGGGAGTGTTGGCAGGTATGCCGTAACTTGTCAAGCTGCAGAAGTCAGATTGTTTAGTTGTGGCTGTTGTTGATCTGTGTGTGTTTGTGTTTGTGTGTTTTTCAGAGCCAAGTCCGTCTGCTCCATGAGCGACTTCCAGCGGTTGATGGACAGCTCCCCGTTCCTCCCTGACAAGACTCGGCACGATGACCAAGGCCAGGATGACATCACTCCCCCTCTGTCCCCCGACGACCTCAAGTACATTGAGGAGTTCAACAACAAGGGCTGGGACTTCCCATCATCCGCCTCTGGACAGGGTCCTCTCCGGGAGGCGTGGCCTGACCGACCGCCTGAAGCCCTGGGAGGGGAGCCCATTCTTGATCCATTCCAGCCGGCCTCCTGGTTCCTCACCACCAGCGCCACCCTGACCACCAGCACCCTGAGCAGCCCCGAGCACTGCCACAAGTCCCCGCTGAGGGGCAACGGAGCAGGGGCAGCAGGGGTGGGACTGGAGCACTGTGGGGTTCACATGATCCACAGCCCCACCAGGCCTGGAGCAGCTGAGCACCCTACTGCCCAAGACCCGGACTTCCTGTACGCCAAAGGGACCAAAGCCAGGGGTGGAGGAGAGGCTGGGGTGGGAGCCAGCGGTCCAGACGAGGTCTTCACCGGTGGGAGGTGGCCATGTGGGCTACTTGAGGGTGGGGGGTTGAGGACTTCTCCTAGTCAGTCTCCTATCTACACCTCCTCTCTGGAGCTCCAGCTCTCTAGGAACTTGAGCGACGACATGAAGGAGGTGGCGATCTCTGTAAGGAACGCCATCCGCTCTCCTCCAGGGCCCGTGGTCCGGGACTCCGCCTGCCAAACGAATGGATTCACCACACGAGGCACTCAGACCACGCAGACCATCAGTGTGGGTCTCCAAACAGACCTGCTGAGGAATCTAACCAGCAGCCCTCACCGCTGCCTCACTCCTAAAGGCGGCGGCACGCCTATATCCTCGCCATCCCGCAGCACCAGGAAGATCCAGTACTCTCCCGTCATTCAGAGTAAGTTTGAGCGACCCTGCTGTTCGCCGAAGTACGGCTCGCCCAAACTTCAGCGAAAACTTTCCACATCCAACAAAGCGGATCTACCCAACACCAGCCGTGCTCCCACACCCACCACGCCACAGAAGGGCAACAGCGAGTCTGCGTGGGCTCGCTCCACCACCACTCGTGACAGCCCTGTCCATACCACCATCAACGACGGCCTCTCCAGCCTCTTTAACATCATCGACCACACCCCCGTCTACGACTCCATGCAGAAGTTCAACAAGTCCCCCAGCCGCTCTCGCCCTAACGCTTCCTCCTCCACCACCGAGCCCGGCGCCGCACAAGGCGCTCTAGCCACGGACCCTAGAAACGCACAGGAGTGCTTACGGACCGCTCGTGGGCGTTCTCCCAGCCCTGTGCAGCTGATAGTGGAGACGCAGGGGGATAAAAATCAGGAGGTGGTGAGCATACGGCAGGACCTCTCAGCCCCTCCGGGCTACACGCTGGCTGAAAACACAGCTCGCATCCTTAACAAGAAGCTGCAGGAGCAGAACTTTAGAGAGGAGAGGAGGCTGCAGGCCGGAGCTCAGAGCGGCCACAGCAGAGACAGCGGCAGGCAGGCCGACTCAGACAGAGGACAGTCTGGATGTATGGAGGTAAATATACAGTCGCACTGGATCCATCGCTTCATCATTCATTTGATCTGGGGCCCATGTTTTATGACGCATTGATATTTATGACTCTGCCCTGGATTTCCCTCGTAATGCTTGAAGATAAACTTGAAAGCATGTGTGTCTAATCAGAGAAACGCTAATCCACGACGTAATATCACTAAAAGTCTTCATGTTTTTTTCTCAGATCGAAAGCACTGACTGATGCAATGGTAATGTCAAAATATTTAACCCTTTTTAATAATACTTCACTCTTCGTCTTTGCTTCATGTAGAAACTCTTTAAGGTTTCTTCTTCTTCTTCTTCTGTACTTTCTCTCTGACTGTAGCAACTTTCCTGTAGCTTTAATTCTGTGAAATAACTTCCAATGAGGCCCGACCGAAACCAGATTCAAGTGTCTGATCGCTGGAAAAGTGAAATTAATGTTCCCATATTAATCATGGAGGTGAGATTGCGGCTGTAAAGCGGCATAATTAATCCCGATCACAACTCTTTCAAGTGGATTTCAAGTGTATCTAGATTTTGAAGAGATTTGACCGTTCATGCAAAAAGAAACGCTAAATTTTACCCAAAGAAATTGGCGCTCTGACACGTCGGTCGGGCCTCTTTTCCACCACCCATTCAGCTGACCTGAGGGGAAAATAAACCATAGATTCATTTAACGTATTGGCAGGCCTCTCATTTTGTCTCTGCAGACGGATTAAAAAGACATAAAGTAGGTCATGCTGTGATAAAGCTCTACATTAAAACACAGACACTCCTCCATCAGTGAGCAGTAAAATCCCACATATGGTGATTGATCTATCTACTAACAATAAGGTTTTTACAGGCTGATTAAAGTGCGCAGTTACAGAAGAGGGAAAGTCGGGGTAAAAAGGATCCTCATTAAACTGATTGAATTTCCACCAACACTACTTGTTTGGGAGTATATTGTACAGTGTTGGAAAAAAGTTTGGAATATTTGTCAATTCGACCCCAGCCTCGTGTTTAACGCGGTCTGCTGCTTTCTGGAGAATTATTCAAAGACTTTTTAATGTTCCCTGGTCTCTGTGATATGTTTTTGAAATTCACATCAAACTATTTTGTTTCTCAAAAAATTGTAGGGCGGACACCTCATGATTCACAAAAAGCCATAGAAATAACACATAAAATCATGAGTCGGTATTTAATAAATAAACGGCTGTAATTTTAAATTGCCACAAAATACGTGGACCATCTTTGAAAGCAACATCAAACATAACAAGACGATAACAACAATACAGTCAGTACTTTGTGTGACCGCCTCTAGCATTGTACAATGCGCGTACACGTCTGGGCATGCTGGTCACTAGGTTGGTAAGAGTTTCAACCGGGATTTCTCGCCAGCATTGGATCACAGCCTGAGTCAGTTCAGCCACGTTTGTTGGAGGATCATTCACGTTACACGAAACACTGAAGAAAATATTCCAAACTTTTTTCCAACACTGTAGATGTGATTTGTAATTGATTAAGGTGCCCCATATATACATATTTACCCCAAAAATGTGCACTTCTCCTGTTTGAAACAATAGCTGTGTTTACATGCACACAAATAATCAGAATAAATGCCCGATCGGAATAAAAATGCGTCATGTAAACATGGTGATCGGAAGATTCTGATCTAATCGACTTCTCTTACCTGACTCAGTCTTCACTCTTTATTCACTGAGACCGGTACAAGAGGTTTTATTATTAACACTCTGGTGCCGCGTCTGCTCCTCTGATAACATAACAAGGCTTACATACAACGTAATGATGTCACAGAGCAACCTTTGACAGAACAGTAAAATGAGTACACAAGGGCGCCATCTAGTGACAATATTTAACAGGGGGAAAACTTCTGAATTGGATGGAGTGAGCCACTACCGCGTTTGTTGGTTTGTTGACAGCATAGGCGTCAATACAACTCTTCTTTTTCTGGGGTTGTTTTAGCGAAATCAGACAACTGTGTGCATGTCCAAATGCTTGAGTAAAACTTGGTGCATGTATACGCACGTCATGATCGATCCCTCAAATTTTTAATCGGATCAAGAAATTTTGCCCATGTAAACTAGGCTAGTGAGGCACATTTCTAAATCAGTTCAGTGCAGCTTGTGCAAAAAAGCCCAAAAAAGCTTCATCTAACTCAAGAAGCACAAACAAAGGGTTAAATGCACCACAAACTGCACTACAGAGTACATACTGTCATCGCGAGGTCAGGTCCAGGGAGGAAGCTGGACATAAAATGTGGAATATTTGTCAAATCTGTTGTGAATCAACAATAAACTGATACTGAGTTTCCCTCTCCATGTTAATGGATTTTAGCTCTGTCAGGATTAGAGTGCACATTGCAGCACTGTGCAGTAGAGAGTCGAGATGCTGACAGCTTATTTCCACAGCCAGACACAAAACTAGAGCTGAAGACCAAATGCATCAGAGTGCAAGTGACCCACAGAAATCCTCTAAACTTTTCAATTACTCCAGCTATCTCTGTCGTTTTTAGGCCTGCCTTTTTTTAGATAAAGTCATGGCTCAGTTTAGTCGTAGTCCAGCTGGAAATCTAAGAGAGGATCAGACTCCTCTGTCATGATTTCTTCATTTTTGGGGGGTTTAAAGGTCAAGGTGGAGGCTGCTGATCAGAATCTTGTAGAGCTGGACTTCTTCTCAAATCAATCAATCAATCAGTCTACATAAATGAAGCTTCATTGATTGATTTCTCTCACATAGTGTGTGTGGGAGTCTTAATTCTAAGGAAATTGCCACCATGAAGAAAATTGTTACAAAAAAACTCCACATTTTTTTGGTATTTTTGTCATACCTCCAAGCCCTTATTTGTTTTATTTGCAGCCGCCTGTGTTGAATGTTGGCTATCTCCAACACTGTGTGACTGGTTGGCTGGTGTGCACAGGATCCCGGTTCTTTGTGTTGTTGTTCCAGGTCTAAAGTGAATGGGTGTGTGTTAAACGATGTCTGTGTCGTCTGCAGGCTAAAATCAGCCTCCTTAGTTCTCCTTATCATCCTCTCTGCCACTTATTTTGCCAGACTTATCCTTTCTGCCCGATTTTACCGATTAACATTTCCTGCTCTATCTTCCCTCCTCCTCCCCCCTTTTCTCCCCCCTCCTTCTGGGCTTTATCTCCCCCCCTCTTCCTCGCTGTCCGCTGTGCTCTGATCCAGAACCACACTGTCATACTAACAACACCTTGGGGACTCTAACTCTGCTTGTCTCCGTGATGTAAGTTCCTCTTCCTCTACGACCTTTGGCGGTGGATTCACCAGCCACATGGACCTCTCACCCCACGCCCTGCAGACCCCCTGCCCCCTTCCTCCTCCTCCTCCTCCTCCTCACCCTCTCCATAAATGCATGCTTCACAGGACAGCAGAGTGACAGTTTATGAAGCCATCGAAGTGGTGTCAAAAGTTGTGCGACGGCCATCCATCCTTTTCTTGGTGTTAATGTACGCATGCTACGTTTCTTTGGTGTAGATCATCTGTTTTTTTTAAAGGACCATAATGGTGATTTTGCATGTTTTAAGCCCATTAATCATAAATCACAACTACGATTTCCCTACACATACCATACATTCTGAGATTTCCAAATTTAAAGGAAAATTCCTGCCTAAATAAAAATGAAAATAGTAGATAACTTGTAAATAGTAGATAACTTTTTGAGACATATTATGTAAGACAACAGACAATTCAATTTCCCTTCAGGCATTAATAAAGTTATTCTTATGAAATAAACTCATAAAGACCAAGACAGGATAGTATAAAAAAATAACCAGCCAATTAACTAATAATAATAAAATCTACCTCTGAAACCTTAAACTCTGATATGTACACTAATATGTCTTTAGTGTAAGTTACTGTTATTGTAGCTTTAAAAAAAACGCAGCTAACTTAGACTGAAACTTGGATAACTGTGCGTTAGCATAGACTGCTAACAGCTAGCTAATGTTAGCGCAGACAGACCTGAATGTGAATACTGATATGTCAAAGTTGTTTAAGTAGCGTTAAAAAACACAGCTAACTTAGACTGAAACTTGGATAACTATGCGTTAGCATAGACTGCTGACAGCTAGCTAATGTTAGCGCAGACAGACCTGAATGTGAATACTGATATGTCAAAGTTGTTTTTGTAGCGTTAAAAAACACAGCTAACTTAGACTGAAACTGGGATAACTACTCGTTAGCATAGACTACCGACAACTAGCTAATGTTAGCGCAGATAGACCTGAGTGTGAACAGTGATATGTCTTTACTGTAAGTGTAAGTTACTGTTTTTGTAACATCAGAAAAAAACGTAGCTAACTAAGACTGAAACTTGGATAAACACTCATTACCATAGACTGCTGACAGCTAGCTGATGTTAGCGCAGACAGACCTGAGTGTGAATGCTAATATCCTTTTATTATCCTGTTCAGTTATTTCTTGAAGCTGCATTTAGAATTACCTGTGGGGTCATTAACTCAAACAAAACAGCAACTTCATTGAGGTTAACCACATCTCAGACTGAGCTAACATGAAAATATCATATAAAATAAAGTAATTATTTTCACTGCGAGTACTGTTAATGTAGCATGAAAAAACGCAGCGAAATGAGATTGAAACTTTACGTCCCATTTGCATTTCAAAATTTTCAGCAAGCTCAAGTTAGTATTTCTAAAAACAACAATTTCCTTTTGCTTTGGGTGAATTCTACAAAATTTCCAGCATGGTCCTTTAAAACAAGCTCACAAATCTGAAATTTTTCACTTGAGTGTCACCCAGTAAGAAAAGAGGACTTTTCGGATCTGTTAGCGACTGCTGTCTGTCGTCTTTTGGGACCTTGTGCAGCTTCATGCGGTTTATTCTAACGCTGTGTTTCTACCAGGATGTCACAGCTGAGATGATGTTTCACTTTTTTTACCCTTTTTTGTCCACACAGTGTTTGGTTTCCTCTCCACTCTTTCAGCTCGCCCCTTCAGCACATCCTCTCACACTAACAACAATCCTCCAAAGACTAACTGAAGGAGAAAGCTGCTAACGCTCATCACTTTGATACTCTGTCACCTGGCGGGTTGTGTTTGACTTCTGGAGGATATTAACCGGTTGCTGCATGCTTAAAGGAAAAATCCACCATTAAATGATCGTATACTGGAGTATAACTTACTGTATAGAAAGGGTTCAATTTCAGGTTGTTTTTGCATACATCAGTGAGTTATTTCCTAGAAAAAATTCTTATTTCATTCATGCTAACTTTATTTGCAGTAGGCATATAAACAAGAGTCTGCCACCTCATGCTCTATGAAGTTGTTAACAGTTTAGCAACAAGTGATGGAAATCAGTCCAAGCATAGTCAGCTGCTCTAACTCCACATCCTCCCTTTCAGCGTATGTGTTCAAATGTGATATTAAAGAGATATTCCGGCGTAAAATTAATTTAGGGTCAAACACACCGTAACACTGAGTTAAACACCCCCTCAAGAGATGAATGTTGCCGACCGCTTGCTTCTCTACTTATACCAACTTTAGTAACAAGCGCAGGATAGCAATACACAGCAGTCTGAGGAGCCACAAACAAACCTCAACCAAAACGCCACTCTATAGCCACAAATAATGCGACAGTACATATAGGGTCCCAGCCACAGCACTAGCAAGACCTTGGGCCAGTCTATTATGGACTACAGCGGGGTGACGCAGCTCAAGAAAGAACATTTATGATCATTTATTTATCATTTCTTCGAAGTCATAATCATCATATTAATCACTTTGCGCTACAGATGCGGTAGTTCTTCTTAGCATCTCGGTCTTATTGTATTTCCATGAGGAAATGATCATAAATGTTCTTCCTTGAGCTGTGTCACCCCGCTGTAGTCCATAATAGACTTGCCCAAGGTCTCGCTACAAACAAGCGTCTGCTGGAAGAGAGTAGGTGAGTTGTGTTTAGTCTCTTTGCTAAAGAAATCAGGCAAAGCTAAAAAGATGTTTGGTGGCTAGTACTATGGCTGGGACCCTATATGTACTGTTGATGAAGTTAGGTGCTGTTCTGAACATTATTTGTGGCTATAGAGTGGCGTTTTGTTTGAGGTTTGTTTATGACCGCTGTGTATTGCTATCCTGCGCTTGTTACTAAAGTTAGTATAACTCGAGAAGCAAGCAGTTAGCAACATTTATCTCTCAAGGAGGTGTCTAACTCGGTGTTATAGTGTGTTTGACCCCAAATTAATTTTATGCCGGAATATCCCTTTAAATAAACATCCTTATCTGTGAGGGGAAGCTGAAAGCCGAGATACTTACTCAAATGTGGTGTCAAGAGAGACTTCAAAAGTTCTGCTAGAGATAAAAGTCTGTATTTTGTGGGTCAATCTCATCCGAAATTGTTTTTGCAACGTGGTCAGTTGTTAAAAATAAATACTGACTCTCCAAACTTGACATTTAACACCAATTTTCTTTGAGTTTAATTTGAGTTCAATTTTCTCAGAGTTTAAAAAAATCCCTAACCTTGCATCGAGAATAGTATTTTAGTACATAATGACCTGCAGTGGTAATAAAAAAAAAACCTCTGGGACTATATCTTTCTTTTCTTTTATAAATATCCAAGTGTTTTAAGGTGGATTTCTCCTTTAAGGTCGATCATTAACTGAGCAGTCCAAACTGATGCAGATTTGTCCACATTGCTGTTTTCAGTGGCCACTTTTGCACACTGACCTGCTGTTCTCATATTAACTGTGCATGATCTGTTGTGTTGTGTGATTTAATGTCTGAGCATCACTTCAATGATCTTGTATTATTAACCCACGAGCTGCTCTGAATTCCCTTTGTGTACACGGTCCATCAAATTCATTCATTAACTGATTAATAATTAATGGGGTTATGTATAATGTGCCCGGCTGTCCTCTGCGACTTGGATCCCCTGCTCATTTCCTGCAGGTTGTTTGACACGTCACTCTCTGGTGGATCTGTCTCCTCATCCATCTTACTTTCTTTTTTATTTCTCTTCACGTCATCCTCTCACGCCACCGACTGCAGCCTCACCACCGTGTATTTTTAGCAGAACTAGATTGTTGCTTTGCGGGCTCCATGTCCCGCCATCCTTCAGCTGAAATCTAACGCCCCGAGACGTGCTATTTATAAACCGGGCCAGTGGTGTGATGTCCCGGTGTGATGGTTCACCCAATCACACTCTGACATCATACCCAGGGTTTAGGGGGGGCCTCGACGACAGCTATTTTTCTCACTTCTTGCCCTTTTTGCTCGCTATTTCTGTTTCATCTCAGGGGGCAGATGTATAAAACTCTGCACACTTCAACACCTGCAGAATGATGCACACACTCATTCTGTCTTCATCATTTCTATGCATGCGTTATATAAAAGCTGACCTGAAGGCACCTCATCAATGATTAGCAGAAGTGTTTCGTCCTTCAGCTGACTCCAGAAGTGTCCTCTCTCTGTCTCTGCAGTGAAGCTGTCTGTGTGTCATCACACACACCTGTATGACAGGAAAGTGTTGATTCAGCTGTATGGATATTTCCAAAGCTGCAGTTTGTTACAGTGGTATGAAGAAGTCTGCTTCCTTTAAATGATGTAAACTGGACGAGAGAGCGGTGGGTTGTTTGCATCAGTGCCAACCCCAGGATGGCTGCAGGGTTAGTTCAACAAGAAGAGACTCAACAATCACAGGGGAACAATGATTCCTAAACATGGTTGGTAGAGACTTAAAAGAGTGAGTGCGCATGATCAGGAGAGGAGAGAGGAAAATTGCTTGCAGAGCCAGAACAGGAGTTGCAGACGAGGTCAGGTCGACCATGTCAAGTTTTGAAATGAAAGACCACATTTTATGGATGTGAGATTAGTAGAAAGAATGAATGAGCTTTCTGATGGAAAAGTAAAGCTTACACTTGCACCAGTATTAGAATTTAAAGGGATATTCCAGCATAAAATTAATTTAGGGTCAAACGCACTGTAGACACCCCCTTGAGAGATGAATGTTGCCGACCGCTTGCTTCTCTAGTTATACCAACTTTAGTAACGACCGCACGATAGCAATACACAGCGGTCTGAGGAGCCATAAACAAACCTCAACCAAAACGCCACTCTATAGCCACAAATAATGTTCAGAACAGCACCTTAAGAAACTAAACACAGCTCACCCACTCTCTTCCAGCGGCCGCTTGTTTGTAGTGAGACCTCAGGCCAGTCCATTACAGAGTACAGTGGGGTGACGCAGATTAAGGAAGAACACTGTGTTTTGATATCATGCAGTCATTACTAAAGTTGGTATAACTAGAGAAGCAAGTGGTTGGCAACATTCATCTCTCGAGGGGGGTGTCTAACTCGGTGTTTGACTCTAAATAAATTTTGCGTCTGAATATTCCATTAAGTGTAGAGTTTTCTTGTACTGAATCGTGTAACAGAGTCGACTCTTTCTGCAGACTCTAGCCCAGCTGCAGTGACGGTCCTCCAGCTGGTTTTTAGCAAAGGAGCCAAACTGAGGGGATCCCATGTGGCAAATACACTCATGTAGACCCCATGTTAAAACAGGGAACTATCCCTCTAAGCAGGGAGCCATATGTGTAGATGTATTTTTAGATATCAGCGTGTTTTGTCAGTTTTGTCTGTTGGGACCATTTATCCCATCAGAACAGATGGTCCAGTCCAGCGAGGTGAGGCTCACCTGTTCAGGTGTCCCTGCGGCTCTGTGAGGCTGCAGATTTCACTGTTTGAGTTCCTCCAGCTTTGAGTTGTTTTTATTTTAATTTCATTAACTCCTCATATGAATTTAGCCCGGTCTAATCGTTCATCTTCCCAGATCACCGCCTGAATATTACTCTTAATTTGTCCTGTTATTATTGGAGTAATAATCAGGCCTGATTTGTGACTTCTAATTTGATAAAAAGCCAAATTAACTTAAAATTTTAATATTTTTAAATACCCTAAAACTTTTTGTGATTGAGTCTGAAATTTTAGTGCATTCCTGGATAATTTCAGGACTTCAGGCTCTGATATATTCAAGCACTTCACAGTCGGAGATTTCTACTGTCAAACACACCCTCATCCCTCTTGTTTGGCAATAACAAATGGTTAAATGAGATGCCTAAAATCCTTTTTCTATCGACTCTGATAGAGAAAAAATAAAATATGACATGTAGAGGTAATAAAACTTTTAACCTTTTAGCCAAAGGAAGTGTGGTGACCCTGGAGATGACCTTCAGTGAAGCTCAGTTTGTTGTTAATGGTCCTTTTCCTCCAAAAATCCGATGAATCATTTTATTTTTCCATTTATTCATCTGCTCTCTGCTCACTCACGCCTTTTTTTTCTTTTGTTCGTCTCTCTCACTTTTTCCTTTCTGCACCGACCAGCTGCTGCACCCCGCTGCTCTCCCCTCCTCTCTGACAGCTCCCTCTCATTGGCAGGACCTGCCTCGCTCTCCGGTGGCCCCGCCCCTGGACTCCTGCTTCCTGAGACCGGCCCGCCCGGCCAACCGCCGCCCACCCTCGCGCTGGGCCGCCCGCTCCCCCTCCCCTTCCCCGAAGTGGAGCGAGGGCACGAAGAGGAGGTTCACCTTCCCGCCGCCGGGGCACCGCAAGACCATCCTGGAGAGCGAGGAGCCGGCGTGAGTCCTACCCGCTACCTCCTCTCACGCTGCTCCACCTCAGCCTAAAAGACCCAGTACCTCAGAAACCCCTCCTGCAACACAAATCCAGAGACTCCAAAGAGGCGGAGCCTGAAGCAGGGGTTTCATGTACCCACCTAGTAGCACCAGCTGACCATCGAGGAACCAGAAGAACCTGGAATGTACTGTAACATCATCGAAAAAGACCTAAAACTTCATTCTCATAAGAGGTGCCTGCACACACTTGAGTTCATCATCATCATCATCATCAGCCCACGTGTGTATATATGTATTTATTACATATATGTATATTTTAGTCGCATTTATGAACCTTTTTCAGCTGTTGGATTTTTATGAAGTTTACACCATTTGTTTACACTTTCTTTTCTACATTTACGATCTTTTACGTTGTCCTGCTTCTATTCATGTTTTTATTTCTCAATCAGAGCAAACCTTTATTTTTATTTTTTCGTTGCCAGCATTTAAAGCTTGCCTTTATTTTTTTTTGTTCGGTCACAAAGAGAGGAAAAACAACACAAGCGAACAAACAAACAAACAAAAAAACGACCTCTGCTTCTTTGGGTCTGAAGCGGAGACACATGATGTCATTTCTGATGCTAATGTCCTTTATTTATTTTTACGTTGGGATGAATGTCCGACTCTGTGAACATGTAGAAGAAGGGTGACGACAAACTGAATAACCTTATGCATATTTGGAAGGCAGTTGTACAAATATGAGTGAAATATTTGCATGCCTTTTGAACACTAGCACTTTAGTGCATGTACATACGAGCTCTAGTCTTTTGTGATCACTCGGCTCTGCTGTGGGGGGAAAAAAAACGTCGTGATGGGAACTCTTGAGCTGTCGTTTTTTTCTTTTTTTGTTGTTGTCACATGATTTGCATCGACTTAAATATGAGGACTTTTTAAGTAAATTATTGTACCTACTGGGCTGTCTTTGTACAGTTGTTACTATTGGATATGAATAACTTTTTTTCTTTTGACAGGAAAAAAGGGATTGTGGGAAAAAAATATGAATGTTTCAAATGAAGTCTATGTCAAAAAGTCTAAAGATCCATAGTCTTATGTAAATAGTAAATGGTAATAAACATGAATGTGTATTTACAAGACTTCCTCCGCCTGTGTGTGTGTGTGTGTGTGTGTGTGTGTGTGTGTGTGTGTGTGTGTGTGTGTGTGTGTGTGTGTGTGTGTGTGTGTGTGTGTGTGTGTGTGTGTGTCAGTAAGGTATTACTATATATCTGTTAGTGATGAAGGTTAGATACAGCTCATGATAGATTATATGCTCTTTCATTAGACCTGAGTTTGTGCTCTTGGCAGAACCGTGTGTGTGTGTGTGTGTGTGTGTGTGTGTGTGTGTGTGTGTGTGTGTTGGATTACAGTTGCAGAGACCACAGGATTACAGTGGGTCAGGGGGGACAGAGACACACACACACATAGAGAGAGAGAGAGAGAGAGAGAGAATGTGAATAAGAAGATTGTGTCCTCCCAGAAGTGAAATCCTCTTGCATCATGGTCATACATGTCCCACCTTACTCATGTTACTCAGCTTGTCACGCAAGATAAAGATAGCAGAATAAACCCAGACGGGTCGGCTTAAAAAGTCGCCCACATGACCTTTGTGTCGTCCATATTAAGGAAAAGCGGGTCATGTAACGTTTTTGGTTTGAGGAGGTGAAAAAAAACAGAGACTCATCTCATTTTTCTATTCGTTCCTGGACTAGTTGTGTTTCCTAAAAGTTCAGATTACACATAGAAACCCTCACGTATAGAAGCCTTGACCATAAAGTTGACATAAAATCTACAAAGACTCATCCACCTTGAGGAGCCACTTAGCAGTAGTGGCCAGGAATAACTTCCTTTCATGCAGAACCAGACACAGTGGTGAGCAGCCCTCTGCAGCAACCTGAAGAAAAAAAAAAGAATAAAAAGAAATACAGACCGATGATGATGATGGGATTTCAGCAGGAATTAAAGGGATATTCCGTCGTAGTTAGGGTCAAACACACCGTAACACAGAGTTAGACACCCTGTCGAAAGATGAATGTTGCCGACCGCTTGCTTCTTTAGTTATACCAACTTGAGTAATGACCGCAGGATAGCAAAGCATTATGTTGCTGTGGGGGTAAACATAGATAAATTAAGTAGGATCTGTATTTTAATCCTGGCAGGGCCTGTATGTGTAGCCCTCTAAAGCCCCGGGTCTTAACTCATGTGATGCTAGAATGATCTAGGTTCCTACCGCAACAACCTGGACCGGGTTTTTGTGTCTCAACGGTGTCAAGAAGAGAAACCCATGGTGTGACTGTTCATGACAAAAAAGCACCAGGTTAGAAACCCAATAGGAGAGCCCTCATGCATAGCTAGAAGGTTCTGGTGTCCTTCTAGTCTATGTTGTAAATTATGTGGCTGATTTATCACATAGAGTACCAGGACCCTAAAGCTGAAGCAGCTGGCTGTAACTTAGCCATCAATAATTATAAAGTTCACCTGTTCTTTCCCTCCGTCCTCAAGAAAAGTCTGAACATTTGAGATGCAGCCGTGTCTAGAGAGTGATATTACTCCCAGCTAATAAAGACGAATCTCACAAATTTCTTGCTTTTATTGTCCTCATTTCCTGCTTTTTTTCACGTCTGAGCAGGAAGTACGCCACAAGAATTAAATCAGTAAATCTAAAGCGGTTGATTTTATTGGAAAACTCAGAGCGTATACAGCCTCTGAGGGACAGAGGCTGATGGTAAGAAGAAGGAGAAGAGGGAGTGATAAAGAGCGCTAAAGGCCTCTGTATACCTTTCAGAGTTATAGTCATGAATAATTAATGTAACCCAGATGCATCATGGGAACTGCTGATGGCACTGAGAGGATCAGCAGAGGGAAGAAGAAGAAGGAGAAGCTTTTACTTCCATCTGGCCTGAGAGAAACCCACCGCTTCTGAATAATTTAAACATACCCTGAAGTCTAACACACACACACACACACACAGACTTTTTACTGGACTCTGCTTTAATGTCAGCTGCAGCAACAAGGGCGTGACCTCCAGGAAGCAAAAGTCTCACCTTACTGTAGTAGATGTCCTGATGCAATGATAGAGGACAGATTTTTGTGATAGTTCGGGATTATTAAAGGGATATTCCGGCGTAAAATTGATTTAGGGTCAAACACAACATAACACCGAGTTAGACACCCCGTCCAGAGATGAATGTTGCCGACCGCTTGCTTCTCTGGTTATACCAACTTTAGTAACGACCACAGATAGCAATACAGAGAGCCACGCGCCCAACCAAAACGCCACTCTATAGCCACAAATAATGCTCAGAACAGCACCTAACTTCATCAACAGTACATATGTGTGTGTGTGTGTGTGTGTGTGTGTGTGTGTGTGTGTGTGTGTGGCCTCTTCCTCCTCGTTACCATCAACCTGTTTCACCTGTCTCCACCTTCACACCTGCAGCCCATCAACCACTCAAACCTGCAGTATAAAAGCACAAGGCTTGTTTTACTCCTCAAACCAAACCTCACATAAACTCTCCTCCAATGAAGAACTTAAAGAAAATGTTGTCTCTGACTTCAAAATGCATCAAATATTGTTTGCACTGTGGCATGCAGGAAAAAAAGAAAACTTAAATTCGATTTTGGTTTCACGTAAATCACTTTTCTCTGAAATCGATGCTTCTCGACAAAGTGATCCAATTAAATGATAGGCCAAATAAATGAAGCATCAGAAAGTAAATGCAATTATAACGTCAAAGGTGATTATTTTACCTGGGAAAGGACACGTCAGATGGATAAAAGCAAAAGTCACACTGCTGCCTAAACTCTGCCGTATCCAAACACACTGATCAATGATGAAAACTGAAATCATCTGTAGTAAAAAGCTCAAACAGAAAAATCTATGAATTTCCTTTAAGGTGTTACGAATAGTTCAGTTGTTCGTTTGAAGCTCCTTAAACGGAGCCTCTTCTGAATATTTGATCCGACATTTGACTGTGATTGAAAAAGATAAAAAGAGCGATGTTTTCCTCTCCGGCTCTGATGAATAATGCAATGCCGGCTGTCTAGACTTCTCTGTCAAATTGTTTGGAGCAGTTTCCCCTCATGTTCTCAAGTCTTTGTGTGATTGAGTAAACAGAGTATCTCGTTTTCTTTTTGTCTTTGCTTTGTTATGTGGAGTTTACAGCTGACAGTTAAATCTGAGCGCCGGGGATCAATGAGTGTTTCTTTTATAAACCTTTGTGGTGGAAACGGACCTCTTAATTAAACTTATAATGAAGAGAGACAGCAGAGAGAGTGTTGCGTCAAGTCTTCGCAGAACATGAGGACAGTTTGTCAGCAGAAATATTAAGACTCCACAACGAATCTGCAAAAAACTGTAAAGCGCACCAGTTTTTTAAGATGATAATCCCAAAACTAAAAGTAAAAAGGACATTTAGATTAAAAAAAAAACTTTCATCAGGTTTTAAAGACTTCTTCCCACTTTGCTACCTGACATTTCAAAATCCTCCACCAACCTCTTGATTTGGCTCGTGTTCACGACCTCCACCGATTTTCATGCTTTGTGATTATTTTAATTGATCCCAGTGTTAGTTCAGGCCAATCATACATCGACTGATCTAAAGGCCATATGACCTTCTGCAAATCCAGTCAGCAAGTTTTCATAATAGAATATAATAATACATAACGACCAGTCATGATGGGGTGCTCACACTTGGCGCTCTACTCACTTAATGTAATGTATTTACTCGCTTCATTCGCGCGTCATTGGTAATTTGATCCTGCCAATTCAAGTGGCAGGATCAAGTGATAGACAAAGGTTTTTTACCATTTACCAGGTAATCCGACCTCCTCACTCACTTGCCTCCAGGCGAGCTCCTTTTTATTCTAATTTTGGTAATTGAAAGAAAAGTTATCTTCTAATTCGGGGCACCCACACATCGACACAATCAGTTTGTCCTCCATCTTCAATACCAGTGAACAACTGTCCGTTTTCATACATCACCTGGCAACCTTCATGCTGATAAGTTATCGTGACTCGAATATCCGCTCAAGTTGAGACATTGTCAGCTCCCGCCCAATTCGCGTTATTTGCGCCGCCAGAGTAGTAGGAGCGTCTAATCGCGTCTTTGCATTGACTTAACATGTAATTCATTCTCCCGAATGATTTTTCTCGCACTTGGTGTGTGGAGACAGTCGGGATCGTACATGTGCATGGCTGTTTGATTTTAGCACACCACTGTCTTACATCCTCATGCATCTATCTCATCTGAGCGTGAAGATTTTGGCATCCATCACAAATCTTCACTGGACATGTGAAGAACTTAAACAGCTTCTTTTTTTAACATCTTTCTTTTGCATTTTATACCTGGTTATGTGTCTTTTAAAAATGTCATGGTTAATGTAATTTGCCATGGGTTTGCTGTTGTTGTACACTTACAGGATTAAAAATTACCCTTACTTTCTGATGTTTTGGATGGTTTTTGAATTACAGAAGTCTAACTCTTGTGAATGAATGATTAATTAGCCGTTTTGATCATTCAAAAAGGGGAAAGGTTTGCTGTACTGAACTTTTTCTCTTCATCTTTCCTCTTGATTCATTCGGATCAAACACCGGTCGAATGAATCTTCTCAACAACCTTAATTACGGCTTGAATCGTAGCTTAGATTATCGGTTACAACTTGGACATCCTTTTAAGATTATACAAGAACTTTTTACAGAGTAAGGACTAAAGTTCCCGCTGTGATCAGTGAGTGACTCAGAGTCTTTCTTCACTCTTAAAGTGCGTTAGAAATTTAGTAACCAGTTGTCCCCGGAATTTTACAACAGCACGAACAATCTGACATGGATAAAGACGTATTTTCCATCAATTTTACTAAACTGCTCTCGCTCTCCATGTGTCCCGCTGACAGAATTAACCTTTTCCGTGGCGCCACACCGCCTCGGTCAGCGTGCAATCTGTCAAAAATTGGACCCCAAATTGCACATGCCTGCAGCTGTGTGCAAAGGCCTCAAACAGACAATGGGCAACACAATGGGCCTGGCTGTGCCATTAGCTGAGAGGTTGCCATGCCAACGTTACAAAAAGGCCCACGCTCGACTCAGGCAAAAGGTTTGGCCTGGAGGAGAATTCATATTGAGCGAGAGCTTTCGCTTGGAGGCCCTTCACTTCTTTGCGCTTTCTGTAACATCATTATTCATGCGAGAAAAAAAGACGTCTTCTTGAAGTTTCTGCAGAGGCCCGCGGAGCAGAGAGGTGGCAACTACCCGTGCGTTCACACTGGGAAAACAGCACGGCTGAGGCCTCATCAATTTTTACCCTGTGAGCGGATTTTAGCTCCACGAGAAACGCACTGTTGTCCCATTGTGCGGACAAGTTTGATGACCGTTTGAACTCAAACTAAACCAGCAGGACCGCTGCGTGGACTGGTGGGAAACCAGAGGCGAAATGTTCATCTAAGCAAACAAGAGCTAAAAACACAAAAACAGCTGAACAAAAAATATGAAAGACTAGATTTATGAGTGAATATTTATCGGGAGTTAGGTGAGTAAGTCGTCTGATTCATCGCAGAAGTAGAAGTTTGAACACAGCAATCAAAAATACGCCAGAAGTTCCATCTCTGCTTTTGAAAGTCTGTTTTTTTGCACAATCGGAGGAAAGTTTTTGGATCTTGGGTCCGACATTTCCAAAAAAGTTTATAGTGATGTCTGTGGAGCATTTGTTGGTCCATTAAGGAGAGAGTTATAGATGTTGTGTGTCGTTTTCTTCCATTGTTTGAGTTGCAAGTTAACATGAATGAACACTGATATAAACATGCGAAGGATAAGTCATATACAATGGTTTGAAAATGATTAAGAAAATATTGCAAGAAAAACTTTGGATTGTTGTCACAGAGAGACCTTTGACCCGTCGTGGATCTCCTTTGAGTTATGTGATGAATCCTCGTCTACATACTGTACCATTTCAAAATAAGGAATATTCAGCAGGCTTCAAGTTCAGTTGGACCATCTGTCTCTCTTTTGAAAACCAAAAACAAAAAGACACCATTCATTTGGTGCCTCCTTGATTCCGCTTTTGTCCGTGTAATTTGCTTTGGACATGCCCAGTCTCACACACTGAGCTCACATCTTTGTGTCACTCACAGTGGGACTCTGCATCTAAACAGGCCGGGACGCATGGTGGTGAAACCTCCGGGTCCCAAAACAACTCTCTCTGTCTCTCTCCGTCTCTGTCTCCATCCCTCAACGTGAGTCGGTGTGTTATTGCATCAAAAACAAAGACGAGGGATTTTGGGCCGTAATCCTCGAGTGGCTCGGGGTTAAAGAAAGTTGAAGAAAAGTAAAGAGAAATCAGACGCAATAACACTCTGGCTCTTTCACTCCCTGATAAGAGATGCATACAACCTCTGATTTTTAAAGGTGTTTATAACCTGATCTACCTTTCTTTTTCAGGCTTTTGTGGTCAAAATGACTTACTTTTCTTAAACCAACACTTTCAGAGGTTGTGTTTTAATCTAAAAGCTGAAAGTGAATTAAAGAGATTGAGTTTGTCTCTGAGTATCATTGACTATAGGAGGAGCTGGTCTCTGCTGACAGAGCAGCTCTGTCAGCCGTTTACCCACAACAGCAGAATATCGAGTGGAGGATGATGACATTATGGCACATGATGAATTATTTATCATGATATGGTCCTGCAACATGAAGATTGATCTTGAGATTCAGTATATGTCGCCATCCATAATGAAAGAGATAGTGAGGCTAACATGTTCAAGACAAATCTCTTATTAAACTACAAACAGAAAAATGTTAATTACAGTAACTCAGTTTGCAAAAGTATGTTTAATCAATATTATGGAAGCAAAAAGTTATTGTCTGAGAATTTACACCAGCTTTTACCATTTACAAACTAATTCTGGAGAATGTGGGTGTGTTGGATTAATTTTTGGCAACTTTTCCTCCATATTGAAAAGTTTAGGACTTTTAATTTAAAATATAAGAAGTTTTTTCTGTTTTTTTTTTCATCTGTCAAATTTTGCTTTTTTAATTTTAAAAGAATTATGCAGTTTGAGGATCTATGTGTTAAACCTTCAGATGCCCTTAAGGAAATGTTCAAATTTTGATTAAATGCATGTTGATTTGTAAGATATGGCATACTTGACAACATATGTTGGATCTGTGGTTTTTGATTGCCTCTTCTATTCAAATGTTTGTGGCATCTATACTTTTCTATGCCCTACATTTTAGAATTATTTTTGGAAATTCCTACGTTTCTATTTTAGAAAACAGTATTTTTCCATACTTTATTTTTTATTTACCATACTTTTTAAGACCTGGCAATTGATTAAATTACTTCCATACTTTTCAATACTTTACATACTTGCGTAGGAACCCCGGAGAAATGCATGTTGACATTCTGATGTTGCTGTATTAATTAGCTTTTGTTTACATCTTCTCATAGTTTACGATTAATGAAACAGAGGAGGTTTGCAAATTAGTCATCCTATTAATATATGATATAGTCAAATAAAGTCATCATCATGAAATCAATCTTAACACACTCTTAAAAACAACAAAAAAAGAACATCTGGGGACAAAAAACTCTCTTGTTTATGGGTCCCTTTTTGAAAATTTTGTCAAGGTTATTGGTCCCCATATTGTCTTTATCTGTGAACGTGTGTGTGTGTGAGAGTTTGTGCCTAGAAGGCGACTCACTTCTTTACCTGAACGACCTTTTCAGGCTAAAAAAATCATCTCCGGACTGCTGTTTAGACCAGAGAAAAGAGGGAGGGGTTAGTGGGGGGAACTGAGTGGTTGTCATGGTAACCACTCCTCTGCTGCTGGGGGTAATGATGTAATATTACCCACTGCTGCATTTCTGGGCTGTTTTTCCCCCCTCCATTCTTCAAACCAGCGCTCACACACACAAACAGGCACAGATCGCTGCATGCTTGTGACAAGGCGACAAAGGTGCAGCAGGGACGATAAAGAGGGTCTATGGGGTGTCATTGACCCCACATTTACGGTGTTTTTACTTTTATTGTGACCTCCTGCAATCTCATCTTAAAAAAAATCAGGTTTTTACCCTTTTTAGTCTCTTTTCTTGACTGATCACTGATGTTTGTAATTTAAGAGGAATCCAGAGCACTCGAGATGAAACAACCCCCCTCTTTTCTTATCTCTGCATCTCTGTCCCCCTCTAATCGCTGCCCCCTGCTGTTACACTTCACATCATTAAAGCCTTGTGTGTGAGTGAGTGTGTGTGTGTGAGTGTATTTGCATCTACAGTTTGTGTAATTGTTAGATTCTGTGTGCACTGTGCATCATTAAAAGACAAAAGGCAGAGAGCCTTTGCAGCAGAGTAGAAAGGCTTTTACAGTAAAGCTGCAGAGGATGATTCCTGCCAGATGAGGGCGACAAACAGCCGCTGAGCTTCAAATTAGGAGACGAAAACAAACAGATACAGTATTTGAAGCATCTCTTTACTATTTGAGATTTTTATCGTTTCCTAAAGATAAAAAAAAAATCTTAAATTATTATTTTTTCTCTATTAATTGATTTTTCTTTCACTTCTTAAATTTTAAGCTTTAATGGGACTGTGCTGCATGCTTACACACACTTTATACAAACTTGCTCAGTGAAATTTCTCACTTTATTTCCAGGTCATAGCAACATATCACATATTTGAAATCTACATCAGTGGTCAGTCATAAATCACATTTTTCCAAAGCTGACTTTTTCTCTTACGAATCAATGACACGAGAAGCAAAGACTTGAAGGAAGATAGTAAATCAGTTAGTGGTTAGTTTGACACGTAAGCCCGACTGCAAAGCAACAACAACCCAAGAGCAGAATATTTACATAAAAGCACCACTAACATTTGATTTTTCTTTAATACAACAAAATCTCTGAGCATGTTACTGTCACTGCCATAGTTTTCTAATCCAATGCCCTTTTATTCAGACCTAAAGAGTCCTAATAAGCACCCAGATGCTGGTTCAGAACCAGCCGTTTGTGATTGTCTTCTTCTCTACCGTTTCACAGCATCAACAGGGAACGAGGTTGAAACGTCACTTCACGCAGCAGCTTCACACCTCTGGCTAAACAGCACCTCCACCACCTTGGGGTCAGCCAGGGTCGAAAGGTCGCCCAGGTCCTTCTCATTACGGGCGATCTGCCGCAGGATTCGCCTCATAATCTTTCCTGTACAGGGATTGAAGTCGGAGGAAGAAGAGATAAAGGTTACTGACTGAGAGGGGGAGTCGTGGTGAAAGTTGTTAATTTCAAACAATTTCGAGTGCTGATCAGATTGGTACCTGAGCGGGTCTTCGGGAGAGCTGGGGCGTTTTGAATGAAGTCCGGCGTGGCGATTGGTCCGATTTTCTCTCTCACTGGGAGAAAAATAAAGAAAATGAGTCTGAGCAGCAGAGAACAAACATTACCTTAGAGTCAGAGATCACATTTTCCACATTGAATAAATGGGCTTTGTCAGATAAATAAAGTACTTAAATATATATAATTTAAAAAGTATTGTAACTATGTCCAAAAAAGGGCTATAATGCAAAAACACTCATACCAGAGTCCTCTTCTTGGATCAATGCAATCCAGTCTAATTTCATTGTCTTATCATGTCATATCACTTTTCCAGAATAGTTAATTATACATCATGTTGAATGTTATATTCTATAATGTATTATAGATTATGAAATATAGTGTATCATTATCAGGTATTGTATACGACACTAGTTATTGTTTTATATAACATATAATATTAAAAACACTATGGTTAATTGAACAGCATACTGAATATCTTACACCCTATTCTGCACCAGGTGTCCCATATGTCTATAAAGTATTGTTTATTCAAGTGTTTTTAATTGTATCATATATTGTCATATCATACTTAATCATATTGTATTGTATCTCTTATCTAACACAGTATTATATATCCTTTAGCATATTATATTGTGTGTCACACAGCATTTGCCACAATATATATTCTGTAGTATATCATACCATTCATCATATTCTGTTGTATATCGTAACATAAAATGTAATATAGATTGTATAGTATTCTAAGTTCAGTCAAATATTTATTTCCATTTATATACTGTTAATTTTTTTATCGTTTTTATGCTATCATATCATGTTTTAAAGTTTGACATTATATGGTATCCTATTACAACTTATCTCACTGCATGGTAATCATATCTTACAAGTTCCATAATTATGAGCCAAATATCTGGTGGACAACAAAAACCTCTACATTAACTAGTTAGATTAAATAATTACAGAGATATATTATTAAGATTTAGTTGATGTCCTGTTACCTTGGACCAAGAAGGTGCAATGTTATTTATTTATCTGTAATTTAATAAAAAAAAACCTCCAATAACAACATCTGTAATAGAAGCTGAAAAGTAGCCATGACCAAAACGTGAACTGAGCCACACAGAAAACAAACAACACAACACAGAACAAAACCCCCAATTTACATAATATTGAGTGGATTAGCCCTTTAATCCGCCTTCGTCTAAGCCTTTACCCAGTCTCTTGAGCTCCTCCGCCATCGTGTGGTTAAACTCCCGGCTGTCTTTGAGGGTGACGAAGCAGTACAGACACTCGCCTTTCACTTTGTGAGGCCGGCTCACTACAGCGGCCTCTGCCACTGCTGGGTGTTCGGTCAGAGCCGCCTCCACCTCCGCTGTGCTCATCAGGTGGCCTGAAAGACATCCCAGATAATATTTTTAAAAATTTAATTAACATGAGACGTAAAGGCTGAGAGTCAACTGTTTTTTTAAACTAATGAAAGTTGTGAATAATGAAAGTTGTGAATGATACCTGACACATTCAGCATGTCGTCTATCCTTCCTGTGATCCAGTAGTATCCGTCCTTGTCCCGCCTGCAGCCTGAAGGAGGAGGACAAACAAGTTAAATAGCCCTAAAAAGACTTTTTATATCTACAAAGTCCATGCTTGACCTCTAGACTCTAGACTAACAGAAGAAAAAGTTTAATTTTACAGTATCGTCTTTGCAACTCACCATCACCAGTTACATAGAAGCCTGGGAATTTCTTGAAGTAGGTGTTCTCGAAGCGTTCGTGGTTTTTGTACACAGTGCGCATAATTCCAGGCCAGGGCCTCCTGAAAACCTGCAACAAAATAAAAGAGGGGCGAAACTGTAACTACAGCTGCAAATGACTTACAATAAACACGATAGTTCTGGATTATTAAAGGGATATTCCGGTGTAAATGTAATTTAGGGTCAAACACACTCTAACACCGAGTTAGACACGTGCTCGAAAGATGAATGTTGCTGACCGCTTGCTTCTCTAATTATACCAACTTTAGTAACAATCGCATGATAGCAGTACACAGAGGTCTGAGGAGCCATAAACAAACCTCAACCAAAACACCACTATATAGCAACAAATAATACTCAGAACAGAAATAACTTTATCATTTCCTTGAAGTAATAATCACCATATTAATCATTATGCACTTAAGACATAGCGTCTGATTGCATTTCTATGAAGAAATGATCATAAATGTTCTTCCTTGAGCTGTGAAACTCCGCTGCACTCAGTGATCGACTCGTCAGGGCTCCCCCTACAAACAAGCAGCTGCTGGAAGAGAGTAGGTGAGTTGTGTTTAGTCTCTTTGCTAAAGAAATCAGGCAAGATGTTTGGTGACTAATGCTGTGGCTGAGACCCTATATGTACTGTTGATGAAGTTAGGTGCTGCCCTAAATTACATTTATGCTGGAATATCCCTTTAAGGTGGTGGTGACAGGCAGCAGGACACGCTTCCTCAAACTTACCAGATAACCCTCGGCCTCGCCTTCCAGCTCCTCGCCGTGCTCATTGAGGATTGTGGGCTCCACCCCGAAGAAAGGAAAGGTCTGTGGATTTAATGTCAGATAAACGCTTTCTTTTATTAAACTGGCTGCAGTGTCACTGTCTGGTCATAATCTGGACAACAATCTACACATGCAGAAGCAAGATATATAAAAAAAACAATATCAACATCACATCTGCTGCTTTAGTTTGGCTCAAAGTCCTGAGGTTCTTGTCTTAGATATGAAAGTCCAATCCTACCCCCACCACACCATCAGAAAGTTCCTCACAGGAGTTTGAAAGTGTAATAAAATATCATGATCAGGATGGTTGAGAATAAATACATAAAGTCGGAGAGTTTGACATAATAGATGGCGAAGATGTCACTTACAGCAGAGCCAGGTTTCAGCGGTGTGGCAGCAGGTAAAGGAGTCAAAACATGACCTCCCTGTAGAGAAATAAGGGACCGTTCAGAGGTTAAAGGTCACACTTGTATGTGTTTGAATGGAGTTAAATATGCAGCTGGTACTCACAGTCTCCGTCTGCCAGAACGTGTCAACAACGGGACACCTGCCCTGACCGACGGCCTCGTGGTACCAGTGCCACGCCTCCGGGTTGATCGGCTCTCCAACAGTACCCAGAATCCTCAGGCTGGAGAGGTCATACCTGGAAAAGACACATAAGGGCATTTGGCTTTGATAGGATGATCAGTCTTGGACACACTAATAAATATATTATCTATTTACTTGTTCTGACTTAACCTCATCTATCAGATCCATTCAATTCACGGTCAAATATAGGTTTGTCAAAAGTCAAGATTTAAAAGTTCCACATTCAAATAAAAAAAAGTTCTAGCATCCTGTTGCAACAGTCCAAAGTTATTTTTCACATTAGCCGTGTCTCTGATGAAAAATAGAGTCAATCACAGTTTAGGATTTAGGGGTTGCATCAAGGGTGGCCAATTTCAAGTTGGGCCCATGCCACCCCTGGCAGCTCCTCTGGACACACCCCTGTCTACATTCAAACTAGTTCCTACAGACATGAGAATAGACTTGAAGTTGAAAAGTGATCAATTTCCAAAAGAGGTATCTGTATATGAGTAAAACTGAATCATAATAAGGTGATTAATTGACGTCACATGAGATGAGGTCCCATATTGAATTCTGAACAATAACAATCAGACTTCTAGTAGTCTAGACAATGTTGTGGATCGGTCAATACTGCTTTAAGTTCTGATCCAAATGCCATTTTTAGAGGCTTTGGTACAGCGGTGAGTCATCAGAGACTCCAGAGGAGATATTTACAGTTTTCATGCTGAGCTAACAGGCCGCTGGCTCCAACAGCAGAGGGTGGTAATCACCTCAAACCTCTGATAGGATACACGTCTACCAAAAGGAGGTTAAAACTTTGGTCATGAGATTTTCTTTAAAATGTTGTGTTGTGTTTAAAAAGAGCTTTTCGAGGCATTTTAGGGTGAACTGCTGCTGTAACTTCTGTGAAATCTTTATTTCCCTCTTCTGCTGCTGCTGTGACACTCGAAGGATGCAGATTCTTACTTCTGGAGCGGCTCCCGTCCATACTTCATCAGCAGTCGGATGGCTGTGGGAGCTGTGTAAAACTTGGTCACTTTGTACTTCTCAATAATCTCCCAGAAGCGGCCTACATGTGGGTGGACTGGAATACCTTCAAACTGGAGAAAGCAAACATACATGCACCTCTGAGGAAGATGGTAACATCTTTTTACTCCTCGATATAAGAATGTGTCTTCTGATCGCTCTGAGGTGACTTTAAAGACGCTTCAAAATCTCTTTGTCTCACCAAGACGCTTGTAGCCCCGTTTGCAAGTGGGCCGTAGGTGACGTAGGAGTGGCCGGTGATCCAGCCAATATCTGCGGTGCACCAGTACACGTCGTCATGGTGATGATCAAAAACATACTTGAAGGTCAGCGACGTGTAGAGCAGATACCCGGCAACTGTGTGGAGAACACCCTGTACCGAACACGAGGACGGGAACATGAATGAGGGGATAATTGGTCGGCACCAAAGTGAGCGGCTATAACATGCATGCAGGTTTGAGAGTGTGCATGAGTCAGACCAAGACATGATTGCACACCATCTGTTGCTCTAAGGCGGTATTTTGTGTAAAAATAACACAAAATATCGACAAAATGCAGCTGCAGATGTGATGCTTTCAGCCTCCTTGGTTACATCAGTGTGAGAGAGGCATCATCTCTGTGTATTTCAAAGCTAAAATAACTCCTTCTGCTCTAAAGATGGGATTATCTGTCCAAAAATGTGGACTAATTGAGAATTTATTTACAGATAATGAGAACCATTTTACTCACAATCAAATTTCCTCACTCACTCTGCGTGTCTCTGATATAAACCCAGCTCCTACATCCACCTGTGTCTCACCTTCGGTTTGCCGGTGGAGCCGCTGGTGTAGAGGATAAATAAGGGGTCCTCAGCATCCATCCACTCAGGCTCACACTCTTCGGGAGAGTCTCTCATCGCCTCATCCCACCACACATCACACTCCGCGTCCCAGGGGGTCTGAAAGCAGCAGAACAGCAGGAAACGAATGAAACACATAAAAACCACTCATTACATTTTGCTCGCATTGTGCGCCGAGAGCGCAGGAAGCAGCACACCATGTCGATTTTGAGCCGACTGTAATTTACTGTGTACCTCGGAGGCAGATGGCAGATCCTGAAGACAGGGGAAAGGAATGAAGGGAGCATGTTTTTGTTGGTGTTTGTCTCTGTTTTCTGAACCTCGGGTGATCGTCTGAATCAAGGTCTGATCTTTCATGCATCAAAGTGGATTTGGTGATTTTCTGCTCCATCTCTTGTCACTTTTTCTCATATTTTTTCGATAGCGTGATTTTGCTGTTTTTAATGACTCACCTGCTTCAAAACACACCTTCACTTTTCAGCAGCATAAGCACCAGTGCAGTGCTATGACCGAAGTATGTGAAGGCTACTTTTGGAGCCCTGTAATGCTCTTACACTGTTTTACATGGTTGAAAATTTTAAACAATTCAGTTTTTTTCTTATATCAATAACCTAATTCATATCTGTAGTAATGTTAAATACTTAATTACAAATAAAAAAAAGTCAATTTTCAGGTTACTGTGGCTCTAAAGGAGTTTAGCGTACTTTCTCTCTAAATAAGTTTCACCGTATTGCAGCATAACTGTCTAATCTTTATTCTGTTACAACCCTGGTTATGAAAAAAAGATTGGATTTAACAGTGAGGTCTCTTCATGACCTGCAAAAGCAAACAAGACCATCAATAACAAGGCTGACACCTTCTTTATTGTAGTTTTTATGCCTATAACTCTTGCACACTATGAGGCTGAATTTCCCCCCTAGGATAGATAAAGAATCTGACTCTGATTCTGATGATTAATATATGAAGAGTTTGGCATTTAGATACTTGTGCTCTGTATGGAAGTAAATGACACTCTGTGGATGAGGATATAAAAACTTGAAAACATAAAGTTTCTTATCACAACATGACTCTAATGACGGTTGCAAACCTGTAATTTGTTGCACGCGGCTCCGCTTCTTGTTCTCAGCGCGTGGTGTTTGACGACGAGGCATTTGGTGACACTAGATGAAGCTCTGTGAGGATGTGAAAAAAGGTGTGAATCACAGAAGCAACGCCAGTTTCCATAAGAGAAAAAAAAATCAATTTACAAGCTCAGATTTGATTATTTTCTTCAGCCGTTTCTTTGGTTAAAATACGGTTCAAATATTCTGTCAGAGCTCTCAGAGGACAGTGAAATCAGAAGAGCTCATTACAGTCCTTTCTATTCTGTGATCCTTGAGTAAAATTAGGAAAAACTAAAGTATAAGAAGCTTGAGAGAGAGGAACAAAGAAAGGATATCTGTTAGACTGTATATCATGAAGTTAAAGAAGCTAATAAACACACATACTATAAGATGACAAGTTAATCTAACAAGAGTCAGACCTGAATACTTGAAAACTTTGAGTATTTTCGTCAAAACCTGCACCCTGACACCTTCCCTTTCCAAGATAACCATTCCCAGCATGCATTGTTCCCTTGTTCACATCCCTCCCAGGCTCATGTTGCCAGGAGAGAAAGCGAGCAGCTCGGGCTTCCCTGATGGATCTGATCGCCTCTCATGTTGCCCGGCAACCCCATAATGTGGAAACCAGGCAGTGTGTTTCCTCTACATCCCTGATAACAGGTGATAGGATTGTGAGTGTGTGTCTGTGGGTGTCTGTGTGTGTTCAGTGACTCATATGCCAAGGGTACAGGCCTATTACCAGCAGCCAGAGTAAATAAGGGCGGTCTGCTTGGAAAAGAGGAGCTGGAGGTCTTATAAAGAGAGGACCTACTTTTCTCTGCACTTCTCCAGAGCCTCGTCTGTGATCTGTTTCAGGTTGATCAGCTTCTCTCCTCTATAAACACCATCTGGATGTCAGAAAGGGAAGAAGAGAAAGAACATGTAGATATGGAGAAAGGTGTTATGGTGTGCAAAATAAGCAGGAAGCCAGCTAGTGAGCAACTCAGTCCAACAATAATGTTGTACCTGCTGTTACCAGGACACAGCTCTGTGCATCCATGATCCTCTCACACAGAGACTCAGAGGAGAAACCTGCAAACTGGACAACAAAAGAGAGAAAGGAGAAGATGAACCGTGATGTTTGTCAGGGTCTGAACTTCATCTCAGCCTTCAAATTTGGGTGTTTTCGCCATGACACAGGAAGTCGCTCTGCCTCAGCCTTACATGCTCCAATCTGACCCAACCTCCCCGTGCATCGTGGAGGTCAAGGCCTGTTCATATTCATGTAGTATCATTTTATTCCTGTTATAGCACCTCCTAGTGGTATGGACAGTGGGTGTGGGCTTTATGATTAAATCCGCTACATCCACAGGTTTCAAATTTCTGTCCCTTTGGTACATTTAAAGCAGAAGGATGTCCTTTTAGATCTTGACTACACCAATCCTCTACTTTTGCCAAACCCAGACATGCATCACAGACCAACATGCATGAAGGTGCGAGGGCCCACACAATGCTGCTCTCAGCTTTTATCTAAAATTGGGTCTCGTTTTCGCAGGTTTACAAGTATTTGTTCCTTACAAGGATAAACTGAGATTGAGGAATGCAACAGCACAGGCGCAATGATAATGTCAAACATGACAGGCTGTAAACAAGCCAACAGCTAAGTAACATCATCTGCTCACTGCGAGGTGCAAAGAGACCCCGTCCCCTCTCATCACCATCTATGCATGAGTCACCTTGTACAACCTTAAAGGATAATGAACCAGACATTTCTAATGAATCTTTAATATGATTGTCATTTTCTGTTTGCTCCAGCAGACGCTTGTGTTCAGGCCAAGGTTTTAGAGTTCACACAGTATAAAGTTTCAGTGTTGTTTGCCACACTGTGAATCAGGTCACTGACGACCGGACTCAGCAGAAAAGTCACCTCATGACTGACACTGCCTGTCCTGTCTGGATCTTTCTATGATGTTATTCATGCCAAGTTCATTTATGATTGACATCAGCGGGAACATGAGGATTTAAGACGCTGGCAACATCCCAGAAGACGTCTACTCCTACTGGTGGTTTGCAACAGATATGTCCAAAAAAAAGTCAAGGTTGGAAAATTTACAACAATGACCAAGCACAGTCAAGGTCTCTTAGACAGCAGTCAGCCAAGAACAGCCCTTTCCAAGTCGTAAAACAAACCAACCTTGGAGCAGGCTGGAGGTATTTTTAACAGGGCTGCTAACCTTTGCACGGATGTGGGAGGCTGAAAAGCTAAAATAGAGCCAGCACACGTCTGACCCATATATTTAGTGCAGGTGCTGCCAGCGCTGTGTTCACACAGAGAGCAGCTGATAACTACAGGAGCGAGGCAGTTTGAGTGATGAAGAGCTGATGTTTTCTCCTGGAAACGAGGTCAAAACAGCAAACACTCCAAACCTACATGTTGACTCTCTGCAAAGATGAACTGAGGTGAAATGAGTTGACTGATCCTGGATGATGAGTTGGAGCTTGCGCATGTTAAATATTGGTTTAAATTCTCCTTGTACAAACACTGATTTGAGTAAGTTGATTGGTGATGTGGCTGAAACAGCTGGGGACTTTTCAAAGCTAGCATGCTAACTGCTAATGTTGAAAACCTCATTCATCTGCATCTGGGGCCAAACTGCAGCCGAGCACTGTCATTGTACTCACCACAATGGAGTGGACAGCACCTATCCTCGCACAGGCCAACATTGTGACCACCAGCTCTGGAATCATGGGGAGGTAGATGGACACCCTGTCTCCCTTTTTTACACCTTAAACAAAGAAAAAGCACAAACTTAAGGGTCTAATTAACCCTAGAACACTATCGCTAGGGGATTTTCACCCGACCAAACTTGTTTACGTGATTTTCGTGATGTTATGTTTGTCTGAGTATCATGGGTCCGTGGGTAGCTTCAGCATTGCCTTTGACATCTTTGAAGGCATATTTTTTTTCCTGATCCAAAACCTGCTTTTTCCTACAGGCTCGTGTTCACAGGGTGATTTTCACCCGACAATAGTGATAGTAGAGTAGGTTTAGGTGGATTTGATAGCTGCATGTAGGGAGTAGGGTCAGTAAGAGTGGTCCTGGAATTTGCAAGATATCTTTATTTAGCGCAGTGGTTATAAATAACTATCACAAAGTAGTGATTTTAATGGGAATTCATATGGTGATAGGAAATATTTTAGTCAGCTGGTCATTTTTTTTTACTCACTCAAATCTGCCATATTTTGGTTCTCCCTCCTGCAGCTGTTATTGTGCCAAGGACTCTGAGTCTTCACCAGGAAAGACTCACATGCCCCAGGAATGGGTGGAAAAGAAACTAAGTTTACAGTTTATATATATATATATATAGGAATTTTTTGTTCATGAATGTCTAATTTCATTTATTTTGTTGCATTTTTATATGGTCCCCTCATGGCACTTTCGTTCCTTCCTTTGGACATTGCACAGTTAAAAATAACAGGAAAAATAATTTAGTTTGTCATGTATTGTCCTATTTTGATATATTTTGAAGTACTTTTTCTTGGGTATAGTATTTCAGGTAAAAATAGTGATGGTGCTACTAATTTAAGTGATAGTGTTCTAGGGTCAACAAATGTCACATCTGTGCATAAACCCTTTTTAATTTAAACCAGCTATGACGATATTGCGTCAAGGTGAGTTTCATCAGGCTGGAAACTGGCCAGATACAGTACTGTATGTACGACATGCAACTACTGCATTGGACAAATGCTGACATTGAATTGATGATGCTATTTTACGCCTTTGTATGTATCGCTGAGAAGTGGTTTTACATGATGTTCCTTTGACCCTGTAATGACAGGAACCAGTTGTAATGACTACTCACTGTTGTATCGGGTGATTTTGTTTTCATATACTTGTTTCTTACCCATCTTCTTGAGGACATTTGCACAGCGGCACACCTGGCTCAGCAGCTGGCGGTAGGTGATCACCATGTGGTGGTCTGGGGAGTTCCCCTCCCTAAAAGGACAACAAACAAGAGGAGAAACATAAACAAAACCTGTTCCTGTAACTTAAACAAGGGGTCAGCTGGTTTGTTTTGATTACATAAATCTTAGTTGATAGACACAGAGAAGAGTTATCAGCATTTGAGTTCATGAGCCAGATAACCTGTCCTTGTAGCTGATGAGTCTGTATTGGGTTTCAGTGTTTATTGGGGGGAGTTTTTTGGCACAATGTTTTATAGGCCAGCTGGAGGGATAAAAGTAGGCCTCTGTTGACTTATTCAATAACTGTATCTAGAGGTTTTTACCCACTATTTTAATATCACTGTATTCACATCATATCATTAAACCAAATGTGGAGTTCCCCAGGGGTCAATCTTCAGACCCCCTTAATTTACTGCTTAGTGTTATGATATAGTGATCTTTAGGTAGAAATCAAAAATATCACATAAAAAATAAGGTAAAAGTCATTTTCTGTTTTTAAAATGTAAACAGCATTTTGTCATACTCACTATTACTGTTCAAAATTACATGTTTTTGACGGAAAGGTGCAAATCATAGATCCCAACCAAGCCCAACTGTGCTGCCCTATCATATAACGCTCCGATATTTGATAGAAAACCAGGCAGTGCCTTTATTTCCTCACTAACAGCTGAAATGCAATTTGGTTATCTTCATACAATCAGACAAGCACACCTTCGCTTTAATGGCAAAGACAGGACAGCAGAAAAATAGCCTGTAACCACCTCCTAATGGAACATGAATAAGAGTGCTCTCAAACAAACAAGATTTAGAAAACATAATCCACGCCTCTATCTCTGCCAGGCTGGACTGTTGTAATAGGATTTTCTCAGATCTTTCTAAAAAAGCTCTTTGACAGCTGCCGCTCTTTCCGTTTCACGCTGCTGCCTGAGATCCAACAACAATCGAGAGAGCAACTTCTCGACAAATTACTGCAAGATCTTTTTGACAGATATTACCCATTCATAAATCCAACTAAATGCTGATTTAACTCTCTTTGAATTAACATTTTAGTAAACATTTGATCATTTAATCTTATTGATCCTAACAGCTTCTGTAACAAACTCTAAACACTTTAACAGGTCTGCAGGAATCACATCGCTTTGTCCTCTCCTGGCTAAAGTTCCAAAAGAAAATGACACTAACACAAACTTTAAAATGTTTTCTCTTCTTTTTCTACAGCCAAGAGCTTGAAAATCTTTAGGTTTGAGCCAATTTGGCGCCCCCTGTGGAGTACCTATTATGTCTCGTTCACTCATTTACAGTGTTTGCTTTGGAAAATGCAAACTAAGTCTGTTTGGAGGATAGTTTTGTGTAATGGTCTCATGCCTCAGCAAGAGTTCAGGGCTTTAAAACAAGTATGAAGACACAGTTATGTCTCGAAAGGTCTTGTTTGTTTTGGTAGGTCATAAAAAGATATAAGTATAGATTTCAGTCTGTGTTATTACCGACTAAAAACTCCTCGCAGAAGCTATAAAACCGGCTAGTGCATAAACCATAAAAACTTTAACATCTTCTCTTAACAATTCAAAATGTATTTTAAAGTACTTCACCTGAAGGGCTTTTATTTATTCAAAACTATAACAGGTTCCTTCTGTTTATTTTGCCATAACTACTCCCACAGAGGATGGAGGTGATGTTGAAGCTGAACCCAATTTTAACAAATTCTTTAAAAGGGGAAGGAAACTTGCAGAAAAGGGTTCAGATCCCTCTTTGGTCAAATATGTTTGGTTTGAGTCAACATGTGAATTCAGTGCTGACAAGATCATGTCACTCCTGTTCAAGATGATATTTATGTTTCTGTGTGATTTCAGCTTTGGTTAGCTCTGTTGCCTTACAGGAAGGAGGTTCCTGGTTCAAGTCCTGACTGAGGCCACTATGTGTAAAGTTTGCATATTCTTCCTGTGCGTGTGTGAGTTCCCTCAAGGCGGTACAGTGACATGCTTGTTCAGTCAATTGATGTCTTTAAATTGCCTTCAGGTATGTGAGTGTGTCTGGTTATCTGTATTTCTGTCAGCCCTGGGGTTAAATGTGACCTGTACAGGGTGTACCCTGTGACAGTTTAGATCGGCTTCTGCCCTCTGAAGCCCAGACCGGGTTAGTACCTATAACTTATTTTATTGATTTTCAAGTCAGCTTAAGCATATGCAAAATATGATAATTGGCTATCATTTTTAAATTTTTTTTTTTGTCAGACATCTCTTGGTCCATTTGAAATCACATCTGTAGGACTCTGTTAAGTGGACCAGCAATAAATGTATGAATAACAAATACAATCCTGACAAGCACAACAACAACAACAACAACAACAACAACAACAACAACAACAACAACAACAACAACAACAACAACAAAAAGGTTTGGAGACTGTGTAAAATGTTAAAAACAAAAGATTTTGATGGTTTGAAAATCATCTGAACCTGAATTTTAATTGAAAAATAATGCAAAGACAACATAACAAATGTTAAAACTGAAAAATATTGTTGTTTAATGTAAAATATATGCTTCTTTTAGAAGAGATGCTAGCAAAATATTTTTAAAAATGTTGGGGCAGGACTCTTAATACATGGTGCTCTCTTTGCATGGTGAAGTTTTAACCTGCTTTTGTGGATTTTAAGTGCATGCGATGACTTCCACTACAGAGTCATGCCTATTTTTTTTTAATTCTGAGCCACCTGAGGGTTCCAAAGGTCACAGCTATCCAGGATTGGTGATCAGTCTTGCTCCTTTTTTGTAACTCCAGGTACTCTGAAATGAAAACCTATCATTCTATGTATTTGCTCATGCAGTCTCTCACAGTATGGTGACCTTCTTTCCATCATTATACCTGAGGGATTCTGCCTCTCTGGAATACTCTACTGTTAATACATTACTAACCTGTTGCAAATGAACTTATTTCACTGGGAGATGTTCCTCCAGGCGTTTCAAGCATTACACAGCACTTTCTGTTTTTTGTTGTCCCTGTTAATGATTTTTTTAAACATATTGCTAGCACTGAAATGAAAATGAGTCATTATTCTATATAAAATATTTGTCAAATGGCTTGTTTTTAAAGAATCCCAACTAATTTGAAATGGATTTGTATCTGTTACAGACTTTTTTCTTAGTATCCAAACATCAGAGATAGTTTTGCGTTGCTGATTGGACAAAGTGTGAGCGAGAGTGTTTGACAGACCAACACAGACCATCTGGCCACTGGTACTTTGACTACAAATACGGTAACAACACAGCTGACAGACTGGGTCCTCCTCATATGGTGCACTGATACCGGCATGGCGAGCGCTCAAGCAGATGAGTTACATAAGTCTTTTGATGTAGTGCAAACAGTGTTAAGATGCTTGTGTGGGTGATGGCTGGTCTCTATCAGCTGGGTTTCATTGAACCTTTTGTACTGCTGAGTTGGCACCACTATTTCTATATTTGCTTAGCCTCTGAAGTTGACAGAGCAAATATGAACCATAATTTAGAGTCAAACTTATTGACAGGCTTTATGGTAACTTGTTGGGGTGTGAGACTTTAGAAGTTTGAGAACTATCCTAGACTTTAAGGAAGGCTTATCTTAAAGTTAGCAAGTGAAAACATGTATTTTGAAGACAAAATGTCAAACTGTCATTTATTCCTTCTTACTGGAAAAATCTAGAAGGATTTTAGAAGAAGTTTGCACCTGTACATCCACTCTTAAAAAAGTTTTTATGAGTCTATTTGCTGTAATTTTAGATCAAGTATTTTCTTTCATTCCTGTTTTATTCTCTGGAGAACTGACACACATAAGTGCTGATGTTGTGTTGTTCATTGGGGTCAGCATAGAGGACACAACAGTTGCTGTTGACTTGAATACCTGAAATTACTCAAGGCAGCACCTCCCATCAATGCCATCATTCATCCCAGATGAACGTTGTTGCTTACCAGTAATAGGCAACCTTTTCACCCAGGCTCCTCTCCCTCACCAGCCTGTCCAGGACATTATAACACATGTTGGTTTTGGCCCCTTCCATGCACTTGACATAAATGTTTCCTTTTGTCACATCAAAGTTGTGCTGCAACATTGCTCCTGTTGCTGGTTTCTTCCAAAAGAACTCATCAGCAATCTCTTTCCAGAAAGCTGAAATAAAGTGAGACTTTGTCAGAGTCATAGACTGCAGAAAGAGTGCCAAAGCAAAAACACAAAGATTCTGGGCGTGCAGACACATTCAGAGGGGGCTGGTATAGCAAGGAAGTGCTGCACTAAAAATAAAGATTGATTTGACCTACCTTCTGGATTCTCGAGGGATTTCCTGTACAGGGCTAGATAGGAGTTAAAATCAGGCACGTGAGCATCCCTCTGCAGGTCATCAGGAGGGTAGTACATTTTGTCCTGAGTCTCAGGAACAACCATTGTGGATGGACAAATGCAGACAGGCCTGTATCATCAGAGGGTGAGTCAGAAAGTGGGTTAATCTGGAGCCACTGCTGATCTGTCTGGTTCTTAGGGAAGGTAGGAACACTATAAGGCCCCCCTGCGCTGAAGCAATACAATTCAGCATGCAGAAGAACCACCTCTAATCCCTGAGCTGCAGGCTCTCTCCCAGTCTGCTTAGGGCCAGGGCAGCCAATCAGCTCGCATGGTGCGGCACTCCCTCTTTTTCATTGGGTAAGCCCTCCCTGGCCAGTCAGTGGCATTACTTTTCCAAGCAAGTAGCAGAGAGAGGAGGAGGTAGAGGAGGAGGAGTGCTGCAGGATGAATGCTGAGGATTCAGGCAGGCTTTGGGGGGTTTGATCTGACAGGGAGGGTGATGGGTGCCGTGAGAGAAGAGAAAACAAAATTTCCTTCACTATGAGTACGAATTCAAAATAACAAACCCTAAAGCAATTGTCGCAGGGTGATCTAAAGCCTAACTTTATTTTTCTATTTGCTAATAGTTAGAAGTTCAAAATAGACACAAAACTGTTTAACTTGTTAAAACAAGAAACCAAAGAGTAGGTGTAGTCATCACAATATTTGGGTTTAACACTATTTAGCTACTTTAAATTTAAAAAAACAACAATAATCATGTCAAAATAATCCAGTATGTGTATATGTATATTATCCTTGGTCATGTTCTTACGATATATTAATATTGTGTATGTGATATAAAATGCTTTACATAAACAAAAATTTAAAGATACTGTACATATCAGCTCTGTAAGATAGTTTTTATGTCTCTGGGTTCTACACAGTACCTTTATTTTATTAAATGTTTTTCTGGGATTCAAGATGAATTTCTAGTTGTTCTATTTTAATCAGGATTGAGTCGATATCTATCTTAAAACAAGGAACCAAAGAGTAGGTGTAGTCATCACAACATTTGAGTTTAACTCTATTTGCCTCACTCTTAGCTACTTTAAATTTAAAAACAACAACAATAATGTAATAATAACCTAATATGTGTATATGTATATTATCCTTGGTCATGTTATTACGATTTTAATCTTAGTTTATGGTGACAAACACTGTTTTACAAGTGTTAAATAGGGATTTGCATTATCAGATCGTTAATAAATGTGAAGTTTACCTCCTCTAATTATCCACCATTACATTTTTTAACCTTTAAATGCTGATGAATTTGCTGCATAACATCAACAACCATCACATTGCATAACTAGGCTTTTCTGAAACGCCCTGAGGTCTGTGGGTGCCGTTTATTTTTCAGCTCATATTTCGCTCTGTGATCGATTTAGTTGCGGCGGAACTGACCAACGTAACACGACGCTTCAGACCCTCTCAATCGAGCCTGAGCGCTTGTGTCGATGTGGTCCGCTTCTGTCCCGTCCATTAGCTGAAGCAGCCGGACCAAAACTTCGAGCTCCAAAATGTTTTTGTCCTCCGTGGTTCGGTCTGCTGTTTCGCAGACGGTAAGGGCGCGTTGTTACCTTTAATTGTGGGTTATGTTTTCGTAGTTTAATTCGATTATTTGGCGATAGGATGCCGTGACTCTTTACAAGGACAAGCAGGCCGCTGAGCTTACAGAGCTAGCTGTGTTAGCTTCCTGCTGTCAGATGTGCAAGGTGATCTCAGGACAAAATCACCAATGCAAAGAGAAATATAGTCTGGACATGCTTTAAAAGGCATTAGTTTAACTATGTAACGTTTAAAATGTCACTTCAAATGTAGATAGTTTGGTTGAAAGTGTGAGTTTATTCGCTTTGTGTAGTTTTGTTTGTGCGCTGATATTGTATGGCACAACATGGTGTCAGTCTGACATAAGGGAGTCCTGAAAGACAGTGATGTAAGCTGTTTTATTTTGGCTTTTTAGCTGTAAGGGCAAGAATTTTTCATTGACTTTAATCTGCAAATACTGTGAACTTTAAATATAACACGCATGCGCAGGGTTGCATTGGAAAAAAAACAACACTACATCCGATAATTATCGGATAATACAAAAGTTGTGTACATTATGAAACAACAGACTGACTACTTGGATACTTTAAGGACGCTGGGCCAATTTTTAATAGATATTTTCTTGCATTTGTAACTTTTAAAGCTTTGTTTTAAAGGTAGAACCTGCAAGTAATACGCTTCCACTTCCATAGGGCTGTATTTTCTTTTATACTTGTCCTAAATTTCTTCCATATATCGTCCGAAATGTGATGTTTTTTCACAATTAACTTTGTCAGATGTCAAGATTTTTACCCATAAAATCTCTACACACTCATATTTGGGCTCGTTGTAGGTGAAAGTGCCCTCTGTTTTGATGGTTATAAGTGTGTCACAATTACGGTCATGGCCTGACTAATCTGTAAAAATATGATGTACGATTGCATTGCTCAATATTATGTAAGTGATATAAAATGTTTTACATGAACACAAATTTAATGTACATATCAACTCTGTCACACAGTTTGCTATGCTTTTAGGTTTTACATAGCACCTTTATTTTATTTAATATCTTTCTAGAATCCAAGATGATCTTAATTGCTCCAGTTTAATCAGGAGGCGGCTGATATCTATCTTCAGCTTCGTCAAATAGTGCAAATATCTTTCTGCCATTACACTCTGGTTTCCTCTGGTTCCTTTTTTAACCTCTAGTATGTATTGTTATCAATTTAAAGGTGGAACTGGGAGTAAATGAACACCAAAGTGACACAAATTTCTTCACTTGATTTACTTGGCAAATCTGGACTAAATCTTGAGAAAAATTATCAGATTTTTTTTTTTTTGCCAAATTCAGCTCAGTTATGTAAAACAAAAGACTGTAAACAGAGGACTTCTACTCTGCTGTGTTTGTCTCTAAAAATGACAAGGTCAACATGTTTTACTTTTATATCTTACCTCTCTCAGTGCATGTGGATATACGGCTAATGCAAACCGACATATCATCCATCTCCTCTCTCTCTGTTTACAGGCCAGGCAGGTCAGGAGTCTACATCGGTCTGCTGCGCGTGCAGGAGCTGGAGGCATCTTTGTGGTAAGTTACAGTTTCTTCAGGGGTTTACAGATGTGCAAGAGAAGATGGATACATATGTAAGCCTTAAATGATCTATATGATGGCTCTCAAGCCAGGCACAGTCAACCAGCATATTTAGAAATAATGATGGAAAACAGTAAGAAGTGATGGTCAGTCAGTGAGTATGACTCAGCAAAAATCCAGTATGATGAGTCACATTCAGGAGACACTCAGTATGTGATTATAATATTAATTGTATTAGTGGTTTCTATTTCTGTTTTGAGGATTCATTGAAAGATATTAAATCAGTGATTTCTTTTACACATTTTTATGCTGAAATTTTTATGAGCTTCTACAGAAACCAGCATTATAGAAGCATTATTATAAAAACTTTTACAATCATTTTGAGAATAAATTATTCAGTTTAATACATCTGAAAAGCACTCTTTGTTCATGTAATGTACAGGTAATTATTCTATGGGACAAGTCTATTAATGACAAGAACTGAAGAAACAAACCAGTCCTCACCCTTCAAATCATTTTAGTGTTTTAATCTTTGCTGACTTGTAAATTAGTTTTTAAAAAATTAAATAGCCATTTAAAACATGTGTTAAATGTTCTTTCTGCACATCTTAGCAACATGTTTATTCTTTCATATATGCTGGAATAATCCCAGAGGTAACAGTTTCCAAAAGTATCTCATTTATCCCGTGGGCTGCCTCCAAAAGCCTATTAGAGGTTTGCTTTGCAACAAAAGCACCACAGGTGATTTTCTTGTGCATTGGAAACATGTCATGGTTTCAGTGTCTCCTGATAGTTGAGATGTATTCGGTCTATAATTGGATCTGTCTTTGAACATCTCCTCTTTCATTAGGACCGATGTTGTTTCTGACATCTCTACCTTCAAAGAGCAGCAGTGTTGTTCTGTTTCTTAATTGCACAAAGGATGTTTGCTGCTCACAAGGGGGCAGTGTATACAGAATAAGACAAACTGTAAATGTTGTTTGTTGTTGTTGAATTTTTTTCTGTGGTTTAGTAGCAGCACCTGTTTCCTCTTCTTGGCTTACACTGAAACTTGTTTTGTAATTTATCTCTAGAAGATATCTTTAAGACACTGATGAGGAGCCTGCTTCTCAAATACAGAGAGAAATCAATCATCTGTAGCAACTTTTGAATACATTTTTGACAGGATTTAATAAGTGCTGTTTGATAAGTAGCATTTTAACATGATTATAGGTGAACTAATGTTAGCTTTGATTTTCTCTTCTTTAGCACAGAGACACTCCTGACAACAACCCTGATACTCCTTTTGAGTTCACGGAGGAGAACAAAAAGGTAAAATGTCATCCGTGACGATCAAAAACATGACAGGCATGTTATTGTGTTTAAATATTTGGAGCCAAGACTGTCATTCAAATGTAAAAGAGCATACGGTCAGCGGATATAGCCTCATTTTTTACATTTTAGTGTCTGGTAATCCTGTTATCAACTGTACTGTTGGTCTTGTGTTCATTATGGCAGGCCTGTTTATTGCCTTAATTTTCAACTAAAAGGAAAGCAAAGAATAAAACTATTTCATTTTTTAAATCAAATGTAAATATCTATGAAGCTGTTGGTTTTTTAAAAGGCACAGTCTGAAAGCTCAAGTCAGTTTGATTTGACCAATTCTGAAGGATGCATGCAATTACTCCAAACACCACATCACACTTACAGTGAAATGCCTTTTTGCATCCTCTAGAGGATTGAAGCCATTATTTCAATGTACCCGATTGGACACAAGCAAGCAGCCACCATCCCAGTGCTGGATGTAGCCCAGAGGCAACATGGATGGCTCCCCATCTCTGCCATGAATAAGGTACAGTCATTTTCAGGAATCTGTTAAACAGATGTCTGGAGTGGAAAAGGTTTTTCTTGTCCTCATTTTCTAGTGTATAACAGCATAAAATCAGTGTCACATCAGAGGAACTGTATTGAATGTTTGTGTCTGTTTTTTATGCAGGTTGCAGAGGTGCTGGAAGTCGCTCCAATGAGAGTGTATGAAGTAGCAACATTTTACACAATGTTCTTGCGTCAGCCCGTGGGAAAATACTTCATTCAAATCTGTACAACAACACCCTGCATGCTCTGCAACTCAGACAGCATCCTGGAGGCCATCCAAAACAAACTGGGTAAGAGCCATTTTAATTTAGCAGCAGGAACCCCAATGAAGAGATGAAAACACAGATGAAAACAGTCTTACTTTTATTGTGTATAGTTGGGATCAACACAAATCAGACAACAAACATGAAAATAAACACTTGTCTTCACAATCAAACAACAGGGATCTGTAGCAGTAAACAAGAGGACATTCATGATTCAGATGAAGCTTGATGACGGCTAATCCACTTCAGCCTGTGTGGCATCTCATAACACACAGTCAGCTTTATTTGTCCTTTTAATCAGCCACACAGTGAGGTTATTCATTTTCCTCTAACTTGCTTATACTTTTACAGCTGTGTAATGTCATGTGGAACTGCCAGCGCTGAGAAATGTTTGTGGTTTAGTAACATAATCTGCTGCAAGTCAGAGGAGATTAGCAGAATGTAACGCAGCTCTACATTTGTTTTCTCTGCAGGTATCAAGGTTGGAGAGACGACCGCAGACAAGATGTTCACGCTAATAGAGGTGGAGTGCCTGGGTGCCTGCGTGAATGCTCCAATGGTCCAGATTAATGACAACTATTATGTAAGTGTTGCTTTTTTTTGTAAAACAGTGTCTTTATCAAGTTTAAAACACATTCAGCTTCGTAGTTCTCATACAGAAACATCCATTCTCTTCAAGTTTTTCCTGCATCATGATTACATCAAACAGATAACTTAATGATACTTTCAATACAGGAATGCTTCACTTCTCTGTGCATTTATCTGATTTAGCAAAACTAGGTCAAGCCTTGAGGGGTGCAGTGTGCATTGTCCAAGATATCATCTTGATTGTTGTCTCAACAGAGTGCAAAATAATAATATCAGGTGTTTCACTCATTTTGCAAAACCAATCAAATCAGGCCATGAAGGTCTGTGCACATAAACTGAATATGATTCAATCTGGTAGGACAGACTACTGCACATGCACACTGAGAACACATGCAGTGATCACATGCTCACAATGAGCCAAGCTAGCGTAGCTGCCTGCATGGCTGAAGTTTAAGATGAGGAAACAAGCAGCATTAGAATCATTAGAGTTTACTTCATGAGGTTTAATCGATGTTGCTAAGAAGGCACTGATCTACAGACTGGTAGAAAGAGGTTACAGTAAGAACAGCTGGACGATTAACATGTTTAACCATCGACAAACTAATCCCTGCAAACAAAAATGAAGAATTTAAAATGCTGAGGGACCGACAGAGCAAAAACACACAGCAAGCTTTGGCACAGTCGATTGGAAATTAGAGCTTTACACTAAGAGATGGCAAGAAATGACCCAGCTTTGAGTGAATATCTTAGACCTGTTGATCTGGAAGAAGTTGTTTTTTGTCATCATCGCACCCCTTGGTTGAGTTCTGCGGTGGAAGTCTGCAGAGACTACAACTGCCATCCCTATTTTAAGCTTGCTACCTTTATTTTTTGTTTCGATGCCATGGCAGGTGTGCTGCTCTACATGAACAACTCAAATCAAATAATTAGAAAATGGACGGAAGGAAATAAAGTTGAATTAACGTCTTATTTATGACCTTGTTTAGAGGAAAAAAAACAGATGTTCGATCAAAATCTTGCATTTAATGTTCAGGATTAAACCTAATCTGGAACAAACTTTGCACACATTCGGTCATTTCAGTCTTTGTGCAAGTGAATGACCCAGTTAACATAAACATGATTAAGAAAAGAGGAATTTTCTATAATGCCTGAATTTGCCGAGATGTGATCTTGAAGATATAAAAGGAACACAGTGTTAGTTTTAAGAATGAGGTTCCTTTGAGTTAAGGATTTTACATGATTAAACAGCTCTTAGCAGTACATACCGTCTACTACTGTGGTACTACTGTTGGTAAGCTCTTTACACAACATTATTTCAGGCTTTTTACACCTGGAAATTCATACTGTTGTTATGAAAAAGTAGATTTGAACTGACTGTGTCTTTCAAAGCACGTTGTTTTCATCCAGCAGTATTACAGTTTATTCTCTAACTAAAAAGAGCTGCGTGCTGACTACTACTAAATCAGGTTAGGTTTGGAAAGAAGAATATAACAGGGCAGAAATATACTGCATATCTTCTACCTGTGACAACACGAGTATTTAGAAATTCAAAACAGATATTATTCAACCAGCCTGATCCACTCTGAAGGCAATGTGTGATACCTGCTTTTGGAAAATTGCTGTTTTTACATAACTGGCTGTTTTAATCACAAGTTTCTTTCACATGCTGTATCACAAGTGATGCATCCAACACCTTCCTTTAAGACGGAAACAAACTGAGATGAGATGGTGCTCATATTAAAGATTGCAAACAACTGTTCATCCCTCACCATTACACTATGTCACTCTTCAAGTCTTCTATTAATTTTCCAGGAGGACCTCACACCCAAGGACATGGAGGACATTATTGATGAACTCAAAGCAGGCAGAGTCCCACCACCTGGACCCAGGTACAGAACTGAAAACACCTACGTGAATAACATACTGGTTTTTCTTGGTCGTTCACTGATTGAATGTTAATACGGGTTCTATTTCCTCTTTCCACAGGAATGGGCGTTTCTCATGTGAGCCTGCAGGTGGATTAACGTCCCTGACAGAGCCCCCTCCAGGACCAGGCTTTGGTGTTAGAGCGGACCTGTAGACATTTTGTCGAATGTCCCTAGAGCTTATATTGTGTTAAGTTCAATCATATTGTGTAAATAAACTGTTCATGTACCTAAACTCTTTGTGTCAGCGGGATTTTAAAAAGGGGGGGAAACAACTAAAAACAGGTTTAAATGTTCAATTCGTGTAATTATAATTCAGCCTGTGAAGGCGACTACAGCAGTCAGCACACTTAACAACAACACTATAAATACACGAGTTTGGTTATTGACAGCTATATTGTATTCTCACAGTTATTGTTTTCCTCGTTTCCCAGTTTTATTTTCAGTCAAATGAGGTCTTTTAAGATTAAGACTAGTGGTGCAACGGATCATCATTGATCCGTGATCCGTTCGGATCGACGTATTCGGTTCGGCACACATGTGATCCGCGGATCGATTTCTGAAAGCGGAGAAAGGAGGAGCTCGAACGCCCCGCGACACTTAAATCCCCTGTATGGGAGCATTTTGGCTTCCCTGTCAATTATGATGAAGAAGGAAAGAGGTCAGTGTACAAAACTGCGACGGAGTGTAGGCACTGTGGCATAAGAAAGCCATATGACAGTGGAAACACATCGAGCATGTTCACGCATTTGAAGCGACATCACCCGGGTGTTTTACTGACAGGTGTTGTGCCGTAGACTGCACCCCTGCCGTAGAACGCACCCCCTGCATCCCCTCCACCCGTTAGCTTCTTAAAGTGGAGATAATGATCTCATATTTGATATGAATAGCCTGAATGAAATTATTAAAGGCAAACGCTGTTGAATACATCCAACGTAAGGAAAACTTGTATTATTTCGCCTTGTTATGTACTTTCAACCGCGCTCCCGTTAGGGGGTGCACTATACGGCAGGGGTGCATTCTTTGGCATAACACCTGAGATAAAACGAAAGCTGCCCAACAACCGCTCATCACCGCAGCATTTAAGCAGCCTCTTCCTGCGCAATCCGACCAGGCTAAAGCTTTCACAAACTCTATCGGTGTGTTTATAGCTGCAGACATGAGGCCGTATTCAGTTGTGCAAAACGAGGGCTTTAAAAACATGCTGAAAGTGCTTGAGCCACGTTACGACATCCCATCGCGCACACACTTCATTTTTGGTTCATTGTTACATTTTAAAGGAAGGAGATATGCCTGTATATTGTACTTTAAGTTGTTTTTCATTAATAATTATGTTAAAAAGAAGATATTATGCTCTGTGCACTACTTTTATATATTTTATTTGTCTTGTTTTTTTTTCTTTTTGCTGATCCGAAAAATGATCCGATCCGTGACTCTTGATCCGAGGAACGATCCGATCCGTGAGTTTTGTGATCCGTTGCACCACTAATTAAGACTCACTAAACTTAAATAATCCGCAAGTTGTGTCTGAGAAAAACACAACTTTTAGTTTATTCTGACATGATGCTGTGCCCTAAAAGAAAAAAAGCTTTTGTAACAGGTCCTTTTGTCATCACTACTTACACAGAATCCTTCTCTGATAGGCTTACTAAGACTCTAACCTAACCATTGATTATACAGTTCATTCATACAAATACAGATGATGAGTGTATTGATCTTGCACAGTTGTTGAAACTGATGCACACTCACGTTTCTTACAAATATCTTAAATTCACGACTAATTACTAACAAAGCAAATATACACTGCGGTTGTTAGCTATGATGTCAAAGATATTTCATTTTAACGTGTCAGTGCAAATACATATCACTGTTTTTTACCTTGAAGTCTTTGGGGGCTGTCCTGTATCATTTCTTTGCAAAAAGCATGATATTTGACTTTTTCTAATTGCAGTCTGCACCTGAGTAACCTAAATTTGAAGTGCGTTTCTGTTTAAGCTGGTATTCAGTTGAACAAAGGTGTGTACCATTCACCCCCCTCAAAGTCTGGATGGCTCTGCAGGCTTAAAACCTAATGGCAAAATCTGACTCAGTCTCACTTACCAGGATGCCAATGCAGGTATCTTGAATAAGCACTTTTAAAGAAGAGAACATGCAGCACAAGCCATCGCCATTTAACTCGGACGTGTGTTTTTGGCTGTTCTATGATAAACCATCTTGCCTCACCCCCTTCCCACAACTGCTCCTGTCATTTCCATCACGCCCCGGTGGCGTTCCGTGTCTAGCCGGTGCCCCTCCCCCACTCCTGCTTCCTCCTCTTGCGACTTTTCGAGCCTGCTCTGCAACATACAACATTATGCATCGCGGCGCATGCGCGCTGACATCACGATGCAAATGTCACTGCGCAACCAACTCAAAGGTGGCCTATACAATATGTCGGCAGGCAAAAAAGAGGGAATAAAAGCTATCGGTTTATTCATTATAGTGTGGTTAAAAGTCTTAGGCAGCTCTAGAGAGAAAGAAGCCACCATTCCTGTGTTAACCCCGACCGTGATCTTCGAGAAAGTTCCTACTGACCGCAACACAGCAGTGGAAAAGATGACGTCAAGTGCCCATTACTGTTCTCCAGTTAAAATCAAAATATTACGAAACTCTAACGCGCCTCTAGCTTACAAAATATGAAAGCAGAAAGACTACGCTCGATATTTAAGTTGCTGATTTACTCACAGCGTCGGTAGGATAAGAGTTAAAAACGTTTGACACATACCCATCTCTGTCTATCCAGCAGACGGAGACCTTATAAACTCGATGGGGCTCAGGCAGGACACGTGACTCCTCTCAGCCAATCAGAGCGGTGCGTGCATGTTTTGCTGGGCTTTTCTCCGAGAGGACGGGCGACGACGAACGAACGAACGGCTGGGATGTTTTCAAAACCAGCGATGAACGTCACACAGCCGTAGGCTACGGTTAACGTCCAGTATTTAGGAAATAACTGTTTATATTGCGCAATTTCACTTAAAGACGAACCTGAATGAGTCGGTGGGAACGCGTAACCCGGTGTAAAGGTAAGGTTTGTTTAACCGCCTCGGCTTAAATAGGGTGAAAAATCCCAGTTAACATTAGCCATCTGGCTAAGTTGTACAGCGAGCAGGCTAACGTTGAGCTAACGTAAAGTAAACTGCGTGTGAAAACGGACAGTTATGCGTGTGCGTGGGCTTGGTATTTCTGTGTGCCACGTGTGTTGAGTACTTTCTTTTAGCTTACGGGGAATTTAACCCCTCTCTGCATTTAATAACTCACTGGTTTTCGAAGTGAGAGCGCAGACAGAAGCGCGATAGGGAAAATGTCGGAGCTGGTTAGCCCCAGTGTAGGGCTGGAAACGAGCTCGCTAGCTAGCAAGATTAAGCGCTGGGGAGGGGGGGAACGTAGTGAGGGCAGCGAGGGGCTGCAGTGGGCTTTTGTCTCGGGTTGTGCTCTGCTATCGTGTTGAATATTGCCATTTAAACACGAACTCTTACGTGCTTTATATTAGCGCCAGAATCTTTCATTCCAGCCTATTCATCTGTGTATGAAACAGTTCGCTAACGTTAATGATACTGTAGCTCGTTATGTTTACTAACCGTAGCTAAGTTGAAATTTTAGCGCTCACACAAGCACGAGCGACATTACCGCGAGGTGGGCGGTGTTTTCTGTAATTATGTCCTCAACACAACTGTTTATTAACTGTCAGCGTGGTGAGAGCGACAATAGTGATCAAATTTAGAAGGAAATATCATGTTTTACGGATTCTGGAGAGGACTAGTACAGGTTGAATAATCAGGAGATTGCGCCTCCCAGCCTATGCCTGTGACATCTTGGGGGTGTGTTGCCTGATACAAAAGCTGCCTGTTTTCAGATGGCTGTCCGTGCAACGACTGCTCTGAACCAACAAAACGCCAACCTTGAATTTACAAAATAGCTTAAATTAACAAGTTATTTTGCATAGAAAGCATTCAAAAACCTCGATTAGGTATTTTTTGATACCTTCACATACAAAATCTGTTAGGAATGTGCGTACTAGTGGTCTGTGAAGATGATCTAAATAGACACTGCATTTGAAATATCAGTAAGGGCATAATAGACAGGTAATAAAACAGAAGTATGACACGATTATGAAAGATTTAGCCATTAAATTCACTTTGGAAATGTAAGATCATTTTGTCCTAATGGCAGTGAAGATTAGGTCAGTGGTTCCTGCTTTGAAAGTGTTGCACTAGGCCTGGGCAATTTGGCAAAAAAAGATCACAATATATTTTGTCATATCGTCCGATCTCGATTATTAAAATGATTTTTTTTTAACCAACTGTAGCTAAGTTGAAATTTTAGCACTCACTAATTTTAGCGCTACTTGCACTAGGCCTGGGCAATTCGGCAAAAAAAAGATCACAATATATTTTGTCATATCGTCCGATCTCGATTATTATAACGATTTTCTTTTTAACTGCCTGTTTTAAAGCATCTGCACTAAAAACTAAAGAAACTAGAGATTAGCTCAACATTTCATTAACATATAAAGTAAATAACAAAGTGAATTCAATAAGATGCACTTAGAAAAATAGAAAAACCATTTTAACTCAACACTACAACAAATGTAGATAAATACTAGATTATACAGTGAATAAGTTTACAATCCTGAGTGTTTCTGCTGGTATGCAAGACCCAAAATAAACAAATCGCCCCCCCCCTTAAGAGATAATGAAGATGCCTTAAAATGTAAACATAGATGGAACAATTGATCGCTGCTTTGGTCTGGTGGCTGCACCGCTAATGGTGGCTAAACTGCGAATGGTACTTGTGCCGTCAGCAGTGTCAGGCTGTGCAGACTCTGCTCACATTTTCATGCTTTCTGCATAATCACTCGGGAAGTACTTCTTCAAATGATTTAACAAATTTCTTGTGTAGCTGGTTTTTGAGGGCACTGATCGCCGACGTACCTTGCACATCAGCTTAATTACTCGACGTCACTTTGGAGATACCCGAACCACCGCCACTCGACCGGAGTGAGCAGGAAAAGCTAGACTCTGATTGGCTGTTGTGATGCACATTTCCGCTATGTTTAATCGAGTAAATGTGCTCACATCTGATCACCGTAATCGAACTGAAATTTATCACGATCATCAATCACGATCATAAAATCGCCTAGTCCTATGTTGCACCGTTTAAAAATAAATGCAAGGTCCTGGTATGATTTGTTGGCCCCCAAGCCCAATCTAACTTTTTAATACTGAGCATCTGTTAATACAGAGTTCCAATCCAATATTTATATTTGCCTGTATAATTTGGCTGCATGCTGTGTTTGTGATTAATTTTACATCTGATTAATTTAGAAGCAAAACAGATTTATCATGTTCAGAAGTTACATTCTTTATTTGGACTTGGCTCGGCTTGTGCCTTGGATCCACCACTGTCGCATTAGAGGGGATCAGTCTGAACCAAGCTAAAGCTTTGTTACACTTCTATCTCTAATAGAAGGCTTTTCAATGCTTTGATTCTTTGGTCAGTGTTCTGCTCATGGAGAAGAACATATTTCAGGGCTGTAAGGGCAGGGATCACATCAACCGTACTTGTAGGCTCTACACTGACAACCCAGGTCAGCTCTTGAAAAGGAGAGAAAACCTGACTGCCTTCTCCAATAGTGCCCACTGGTTTGCTCTAAGTGAAGGTTTATGTGAACTGTTTGTATGTTTGGTTCTTGGATATCACATCAACTTGATAGTACTGAATGCAGCCCTTCTGCTATTGCTTTGCAAAACAGTCTTATTGCATACATTGCACGTGGCTGTTGGACCATTTTCACTTTCTAGTTTATATTACCACACAGCTGGTGGTGTAACACTGCGAGGTTACTCTCACTTTAGCATTCTGTGTCAAATTTTGCTCAATTTACGACAGCAGATGCAATGATCAGATTGAGATAATTGGCTCCAATTGCTAATCTCCAGTCCATGATCAAATGTACTGACTGGTTCCCATCCCATATGTGAGATTGGGATTGAGACTCCTTACAAAATAGTAGTTTTGTGATTTCTACATTACCATAGCTTTTTCTTATGCTCACAACCCTTTGCCCTTGTTTATAGGGAGCAGTACTTTGGATCAAAAACAAGAGAAACATTGAGAAATAGCCTTAAAAAGTTTCATTATCAGAGAATAATTGTGATTATCTCTGTGATCTGAAGAGAACAGGCCTTCTATGTTGACATCAAAATATTTCCTAATAATAACCAACTAAACATTATCTGCTTATGTTCTTTTAAGTTCTTATTTACATTTCACTAGACATCAAAAACATAATTAGCCTTAGCGTGAGTGTGAATACGACAAATATTTAAGAATCCCAATGAAAATGATCACTTTTCAAACATTGGCAGTCAGAACTGGAACTCATTTCCAGCCATTGCAATTGTTAAATCCACAGTGCTCACAGTGTGTGAATAGGTGGTTGCATCAGTCTGGTTTTTTGTCTTATTAGTCACCACATATTCCCACATGGTTTGGGATATACTCAGAGAGCACTTCAGCTCGGCTTTACCAACAAAGATTCATGATTCTCAGACATCCACAGAGTCGAAATATAAAAATGCACCACGTCATTCCACTCATGATCGCTCCTTAACTTTCACAGTAAACTTTTTAAGAGGGACTAAATGTCCATGATACTGTACTTTAGTCATTAAACATATTTGAACATTGCCAATCAAAATTATGGGACTGTGAACAAACCAACTGCCCTTGATGAGCCGTAGATGTACAAGTAGTACCATTATTATACTTGGTAATGTTATATCTCAAACTTGATTTGAAATACAGTGGCCAAAAGGTTTTTTTAATATACCTGCCTTTGGTGTTACATTTTTTTCTCAGTTTCATACTTGACTGCAAAAAGAGCTCCCACAACGCGATGGAGTCATTGTTGATCATTTTAGGAATGCTGTGTGAAACTGACAGTATAAATTAAAAATAAAGGGACATCTTAGTAATATAACTACAGAATTGTTTTTTGCTTGCCTCCCTTTTTCAGAGATGTGGGTCAAGTGAATAAAACTATTGTGATCACGATTGGTAACAAACGGGTATTGAAATTGGCCGTTCATGCAGGACGACTGTTGTCACAAACCAAGAGTTCTTTGTGACAGTTCAGTGGCTTGCGATGTTTTAATGCCTCCTTTTAATAGTGTTGCAAAAGAACACAATATTCCATTTCTGAGCCTGTTACAGTTTCAGTTGTGCCTCAGGTCATGTTTCTGGATCATAGACATATAAGTTAAAAGTCATATTTTGGGCTCATTGATGTCAGTGCTTTTATTGCTGCACAAAGTCTGACGTTTTGCATCCTTCATTTATCTATATTACTCCTCAGGTCTATTTTTCATAGATTTAGAGAAACAGTGAGATGATTCCGAACCCATTTTACTACAATCCAAGAGTCAGTAATATAAACAGAGTATTTTAAATCCCTGTATCTGTGTTCCTGTCTTAAGCACATAATCAGACATTGAAGGGGACCTGTAATCTTGGCTGATACGTATTTATCGTTAACTAGCTAGTGGTCATGTCTTATGTTAATGGGAGAACACTGAGATCTGAAATATATATATTTTTTAATATGGTTTGATTTACATTTACAGACTACTGTAGGCTGTGGGATAAAGTTACTAACTGTGCGCAAGAGATTGGAGCTGCAAGCACCTGACGGCCACTACTGGCAAGTAGATTTTAGGCTGGTGATCAGACTCTACAGTGGAAGTCCTGAATAATCAAATTAGTGAGTTTACGAGGAAATATAGACATCTTTGACCAATACTGATGCCAACATCAGTATTGATCTATTTTAGAGTAATGTCTCTTTTTATTATATCTTATATACTGCTCATAATCTATGCTCTTGGGTCAGTTGTAGCAGCGTGTCAAGTAGTGATGCATGTTGATAGATATTTTAGCTCTTCTGGAACTTGGACCCAAGAGATAGAAAAAGTACCTGGAGCAGCCACAGCTTTTGCGCTTAGAAAACCAATAGTTGAACAGTTCTGGGCAAGTAATGCTGCACCTTACCACCCAGTCAAAGCCGGGCTATAGACAGTTGTCAAACAAAAAGCTCAGTATGCCATGGAAAAATATTATGGCATTAATGTCATCTTAATTTTGTACAGTTTTTTAAAAACTGTCTTAGTCCATCTGAAATAGACGAAAAATCTCAGGCCAGGTATTAAATTTCTTTTGGAGTTTATCCATTTAGATTAAATAATATTTCCATACCATTGCTACTTCTGTCTGTTGGGCAACCAACAAAGGACATGTAGCCAGGGTGTGTCACTTATGGGTTGAAATTGTTGTATTTCATTTTTGGCAGCAGTTATATTTCTGACAAAATCACTTTCCCTTATTTCTTGCTAAATTGATCTTGAAGTAACATTACAACAAGCACTGCCTTTTGACTACAGATGTATGAAACTCACAGAACAGGGTGATCACTGTCAACACCAACAGATTGTCACTGTCAGATTTTCCTGCACATGACATGTAAAGGGTGAATCGACACCAAGGAGACCTAATGGTGGTGGACCTTGGCTGATGATGTTCGAATTCAGTCATCCCTGTTGACCGGTCAGTTGCTGATTTCAAAGTTGTCCTCAGGCTCACAAGAATCTGATCATCAACTGGTCACAGGCGTAATGGTAGCTGAGGTGGCTGGTCATGTAGCTATGTTAAGAAAACATTGACACAGGTCAGCAAAGAAATGTTTTTGGTCAGCCTCAAAAATATCAAGGCATGTGGACTTCAGGGTGAAAAACTCTCCATGCATTTGCCCTGCTGTATGCTTTTTAGAAAAAAGATTAGCTGCCTTGACTGCAAGACCCTTAAAAGAAGCCAATGCTTGATACTAGCATTAACACTGTAGTAGCCAGCTGTATCAAATACAGAAGTCTGTGGTCATCACCACATCCGCAGCCAGTGTTATCATCAGGTTTGCAACCAGGGTTCAAATTAACTTTTTGCCTCAGCCTTCAAATTATCAGGCAGATGAAAAAAAAGTATTTGAGATAATGACATAATTTCGTCACCCTCATTTAGATTGAACTTGTAGGTAGCAGAAGAGCAGGAGAGAGACGTTGCAGCTAAACCAAAAAGCAGTTAAGACTTAATAGTATCTTCTAGATTTATTCTGAACCAATCTACTTTGGTGTAAATATTTACTGGCCACAGGGCACACAGCTCTCTTGAGATTTACCACCCACATGGCAAATCTGATGTTTGCAACTTTTCTTTAGAGTGATAGCTTTGTAACATGGTTAATACAATATGAAAGTTATTATTCCACAGTCAAAGAGCTTATCAAGTAGGAGAAAACCCCTATAACAATATTCACTAACTGTTATGTGCAATTCATTAGTGATAAACACAGAAATCAATTGCGATGAGAAAAACATGACTTGTTTTCATTACAATGCAACAATATTGCAACAATAAGCTCTATCATTCGCTGTTTTCATCTACTTTATGTAGTGGCTTTAATTCATATCACTGTGAAAACAAACTCTTTGTTTTGAGTGCTATAAGTAGCAGTATCTACGTTTAGTAATTACACATTTTTATTTCTCCAACACAACTACCTGTGAAAATAAGACTGGGCACTGCATCGTGATAAAGACTTTGATTTTAATCATGGCTATTTCAGTTCACATCTTAGTCCAGTGTTTCGTTCAATGGACAATGAATGAGCACAAGGATGTTCATTGAATTTTACTTGTTTGAATATATTTAAAAAAGTTAAACCTCTGATTCAATCTAAGTAAATTGAAGGAAATTAAATTGAATCAAATTGTTTCTTATTTTAATGAATTGTTCTTGAAACCAATTGTTGCCATCAAGGATCCAGCTAAATTGAATGGTCTACATTATTTTGTTCTTATCAAGTAAAAAAAATTAACCGGAAATTCAGTTATCAATTTGCATCAACCTGAATTGATGAGTCACGTCGTTGTGAGTCTTAACTCATTTTAATGAATTGTCCTTGAATTGAATTGCCAGGTTAGAACATCTTTTTAAGATTTACATCTCCACCAGATCGTCCCCATGATGAGGAACATGCTGAAGTGCTGTTTGAAGAGAGTGCAATATTTATAAGATGAGATAGGATAAACCTTTATTTATCCCAGGGTGGGAAAACTTGTAAATTCTGTCTGATCCTTCCTTTTCCTCATTATCTTTGCAGGGTTGCTGTGAATAACTCGTTTAGATTTTGTTTGTTGGGTTTCTTGTCATTGAAACCTGTTCCTCTCAGTGTCAGATGCAAGTTTTGTTTAGACAGCCCACTCACAGTGCCTGCCCAGTGTTTTGGTGTAAGAAGCCATGCCATTTGTGAGCGCACATTTGAGAAAAATTGGAAGCATAAAGTTTGGATGATTTAATCTTCTGATATCTTGAATGCACTGTTATTATGTTCTAAGAAAACTGGATAGATGCACGGTGGACATCCTGATTGTAAATACGCTTTTTAAAAGGTTAATTTAACCCTGACATGGTGTTCACTGAAAACTAAATGGTCATTATGATCCGTTTTTCTTTTGCTTTCTAACTATTCATGGTTCTTTGTGTTTTGATCGTGTAGGTTGCTGTATGGTCTATGATGCAAACTTGGAAATTTAGATGATCCTGTCTATGGACTGGCAAAAGATATCCAGGCTAGAAATTAGATTAACGAGCAGCAGAAATGTGATGTGTGCGTTGTTTGGACACATTTTCATGCCTCAATACACATTGTAAGAATTTTACACAAAATTAAAGGATTCAAAAAGATTGACAGAAATATCAGACACTGTTTCCTGCTACATTATTAATGATAGGGCCCTCACAGCTCCAGTGGAGCACAGTGGGATTTTAACAGCTTGTTAAAATCATGGACAGACAGTACAATGTGCCAAAACTATGTTTGCTAAATATAGCTCACCTTGTTCAAATGAGGTATGTACGCATATTTACCAAGAAATATTAAAAAATAATTTAATAGATCAGCATATTCGCAGTATAAACCTTGTCAATGAACTATGAGAGTATGAGAGGGCCCTATCACCCAGCACTAAGCCCAAATTATTAACCTAAAATTAAATAAAGATAGAAAAATAAAGTTCACTCAAAATCTGAACACTAATTTATATGGCATGAGGAAACCACAAAAAGCTAAGAACTGTCCAAAACAGTATTTATTTCATTTCTACCAGATCGTTAAATCAGATGTGAGAGGACCTGCAGTTCATCCAAGCAGAGGGGAAAGGGTGTTAAAATATATGGCAAATTTATGAAAAATTATTTAAAAAAAAACAAGACTGTTTGATTTAAATGCACAATAAATTCACTATTTTTCCAAACACATCACCGGCATGACTTCACAATCAATTATAACCTCATAATGATTGGACAACACAGTGCCAAAATTATGAATTTGTCATTATCTGCAATTGTTTCATCTTTGACATGATTCCATTTCACATGTTGGATAGAGTCTTGAAGCCTTTCCTGTCTTTATAACACTTGGGCTGAGAGGAAGTTCTGCATATGTTACTTGAATACCATACTATTGCTACCACAGCTTTTGTATCTTTAAGCCTCTTAGTGTTTTGCAGCACCTTGGTCAATACCCTAAGCTCTCACTAACATTTATGTGAAGACATCCAGTGTTGTCTTACACGCTGAATGAGAATGTATGAGACATGCCTCTTTGTTGAACCACATCTCCCTGGCTCTCTTGGACAAGTCTTAACATGCAACTTTCTTTTTCTTTAAGTTTATTTTTCTCTTGAAAAGTAGCTTTTATATCAGGTAGAGGAGGCAGCAAATCAGCTCAATGAAACAGAAGTGTTGAGCAAGTGAACTATTACTTTTTAACCTAGAAAGATATGAATTACATTCAGTAAGTTTTGTCATAGTTAAGAAACTTTATCTGTGGACCTGCATTCCCCCTGTAACCGAGACATTTTAAGTTTTAGTAATAATAAAACTGTTTGCCTTTAACACAGTGCTTTTTATGTCGTTCCTCCTTTTTTTTTTTGCTTCGAGTGATCACAACAGACCATTTTCTTAAGGGAAATCCCCTAAAACGGTCAGCCTTCATTTTACTTTCTTCCCTCACAGCGAGCAAAGACTGTGTCCTGTTTAGTTTCACTCCCAGGGATTGTTGTGGCTTACGTGGCTGTTAATGAAGGTGTTTGCCCAGGATCACTTTGGTGTGATCATGTAGAAAATAGAGCAACATTGAGCAAGGTTGTAATAATTTGGGGAAAGAAATGTAAGAAAGCAGAGATCATCAGTTTCTTTTTTTCCAGTCCGTTCATAACTCTGCACTGTATCACTTTCCCTTCAAGCTTTAAAGCACATTTTCTGTGCAGAATTCAAATCAGACTGAGCGCACTGGTGCCGTTTATGATATGAAGTGCCTCTAGCCAGGCCTGGGCCGATCTGCAGTTGGCTCCATCAGCCGAGTATCTGTGTCTTCGAGAGGCCCAGCAAGTGTGCGTTTGTGCATGTGTGTGTATCTTTGTGTGAAGAGGGTGGAGCCTACTGATTACACAACATGTGCTAGTCTTTGCCAGCAGCTGAATGCGTGTGCAGTGCAGTGTTTTTGTTTAGTGCGTTGGGTGCAGTATATGTGTGTGCAACGGCCGATGCCTTTTGATAATCCACCATGTATGGTTAAAGACTGAATATTCGAGAGGCTGTGACCTTCCTGCAGAAGGATACAGCATGACAATGCAGAAAAAGAAGGAAGAAGGGCTGTAATAATAACACAGTGTTCCAGCCTCTTAAAAATTAATGAGCCCTTAAAGAATCTTTTTATGAATGAGCAGTAAGGGAGAGATCAGTGTGTTAGTCTGATTGTTTAGTGCGTTGTGGTTTTCATTCTTCATTGCTGGGATGCTTTTCTTTTAGTGATTCCTAAGAAAGCATTCGTATCCTGTTTACACTGGCTCTTACAGTGACCACACCGCCTGCGGGCCAAGGACCCTCCTGATGCAAAATAGGTTAATGAGTGTTTCATTCATAACAACGTTTCAGTGTCTCATTTCAGTGATTGGCTGCATCCGCCCCACGTGTGTGAAATCAAACACAACAAACATAGTGAGTTTGACCTTGATTTTGTTCTGCTAATGTGGTCAAATTTGGTTAATCATTGACATCAGCAGGCAGCTCCAATCATATGCTTGTCCCCTGTTTTATGAATAAGCGACGTTTTACTTTTATTGATGTAGCTTGTATCTGTTCAGCCACATTTGTAAAGTGTTGATTTTTACAACCTAAAGAAGAATCCTGGTGAATTTAAAAATCATAGTATCTTTACTGGAAGTTATTCTAAAAGAGATTTCAACGTTATTTTTTTGCAAGCATTTTAAACCTAAAAATAAGAAGCATGCATAAATAAAAGATAGGACAAAACAAATTAAAGTGTGTTTAATGCATTTCTTTATGGATAGAAGGAGTGACGGGGTCTTGTTTAAATAGCTGTACAATGTTGGGGAAATCAAGTCAGACTAGTACAGTTTCATGTTTGTTTAGAATTTGCACACTTTGTCCAAGTTAAGAATAAATCATTATGTCTTAAAATGTGTTTGTAACCCTAACAGAGCGGATATTTTAGCAAGCTTAAATATAGTTTTATGTTGTGGGATGATATTTTAGGATTGTTATTGTAGAGCTGAGACTTGGAAGCAGAACGGACTTACTCAAATTGGAACGTAACAATCTCAAGTATGTTAAATTAGAGTATTAATACCTAAATATAAAACTAGCTTTGTTTTTCTTAAATTACGATGAGCCTTTTTCTGTCTACATAGGAAGTGAATCCACTTCCATTGAGGCTGCCATCTTGCATCAGCATGTTTCTACTGCATCACAGGACAGATACAGAAACAAACTCCTTTTTGTGTTTAGTTAGTGGCTTTCCAGAATACCTTTCCTTCCTTTAGAAAGGGGAATAAGACTTGAATTGTGTTCTGCAAATAGTATTTTTGCTGACATTTTTATTTGGTGGTAAACTTAACCAATTGGGGATCCTGCATCACAGTAGTTTCTTCTTTTCTAGGATCCATAAACAAAAAAGCTAGGAAAGGCAGCGAGGCAAAAGTGACTTGTTTTTTTTTATTGTGTCCATTGGGTTTCTGTAAAACAAGATCATTTAAAATATTACTGCTCTGTGTTCTTGTTGCATTTCTGATGGTCTCAAGTGCTCTGTTGCTTTGACATCTTTTGTAGAAGGATGTCAAAGCATCCTTGTCAGTCCCTCTGAGATACCTTCAGTGTTGTTGTGGTGCATTCTCTTGAAAGATGGTGTATCCTAGAGGTGGGTGAAGTAGAGCACTTTGCTAACTTGTTTTGTGTCAGCAACATGTTTACCGTGTACATTATTGTCTGCTGGTTAAAATGAACCTCACGCGGATGGTGCAACAGGCCTCAGGTGTTCAGTGTAAGTTGCCACAGTGATCTGCCAGAGTAAGAAGTAAGCAGTCTTGGAGGTACTGAGAACCCAGAGGTGGCCCTGATGTAACCTATCGAACCCAAATCCTGCTCCACAGTAAAGGCCCCAGAAGTCTGCATTATATGTAAATGTTAACATGGTCTGTTTTAGTTCAAAGTCTCTTGCTAAAAATGTGGATTTTAAGGGTTTAAACTGCAAGAGAGCAACATGTTTAACTTCCGGTACAAGAATCCATTATTAATCTGTTCTTTTTCCACACATAAGCTCATTTCTTATTCAGATGCCAAGATTATGTCCTTCTGGCAATTCTGAATCAAATACTTTTGATCTGATTTGGCCAGTTTGGCTGCAGTGAGGACTCCGAAATGCCAGTACGGCTGGAATCTGTTGCCGAAAGGGAGTTATGACCTTCGGGTAAATGCACTTCCTGTTTCCTTGTGTATTAAAGGTGGGGTTTGGAATTCTTGAGAATTTGATTGTAAAGTTCGGTGATCAACAATCAGTTTATTCAGTATTTCTTCAGAAACTCCCCTTAAAACTATTTTTGTTTCCCAATCACATAGACAATCAGGTGACCATTCGGTGACACTTTGTGATGAATTTGTCAACAGTTACCCTCAGAAAAAAAACGTTTGGTAGGGAATGCTCTGCCAGCCAGAACTATGGAATAATATTAAACAGTGAAATGAAACTGCTGCTGATATTACGATTGCATTTATCAGAGACTTTGTGTGCTTTGTATTTTTGTATTCCTCTGAGTCTACGGTGGAAATGCTGTGTCAACCTTTACATGCTGGTTTTGCTGAGGTTTACTCTGGCACTGTAAAGCTGTGGTTTTGGCACAGCTCTGCTAACCATGTGTTTCAGGCCTGTGATCGGATCCACGTCTCATCAGGCATAACAGGACGTGGCAGGTGTAGATGAAGTCATGTCTTGCAAGTCAAAATGAAAACTGACAGTGTTTCTCTTTATATATTTAATTTTCCATCAGATGCTCACAGGAGGTTTCCTTGAGGTTGTGACACTTTGTTAGTGTCGTATTGTTGTTTAATAGTCATGTAGGTGGCTTCTTTGTCTCTCAAGGCTGTAAACTCTGCCTACAGCTCTTTTGGAAGGAAAGGGGGATGGGTTATGTTTTTGAGGACAAAGATGACAAAGCAGTTTTATTTGTTCACTTGGTGCCAAAGCACCGCTCTGCAGTTTGAAAGATAAAATGATAAGCGTATAATTATACACAAGTATGAATAATGAATGAGATTTTTTACCATTGTGTTTCCGCTGCTGGTGCGAATGTTTCCTTGAAAGTTGAACAGCAACAGATCCCCAGTGTTTGGTTCAATCATGTGAGCCCGATGTTATGTTGGAAATACGAACGAGACCCACGCCTCAGTCCTAACCTTTGCTCTAATCCCTCCCCCACCCCTCCACCCTCTCCTTTTTAACCCATAATCAGCAGTAAAGGCTTCATTGTTCTTGTCCATTTCTTGGGCATCTGATCATTAACCTACATTCAGAGCGCTGGCGGTAGGCTTCTTAAGGCTCTCAGACTTTCTCGGCCAATTTAATGGGCGTGTTGCAGTGGGCTGAGCCTTTTTCCCTTGCCAGTAAAGTTAACCCTATTTATGCCTCTCGTCTACAAACGTTGGGCTATTTTATGAGGCGTTTGATTGGTGTGTGTGAGCCCTGCCTTGAGCCTCTGCCTTGTAAACTCAGTGCTATTCCTGTTTTTATGAAAGCTTTTAAGTGATGGATCAGACTGTAAAACAGTTTAGCACTCTATCTTACATAAGGAAACACATTTAGGACAAATAAACTACATTATGTCTGGGTTTTCCAACAGCTTAATGCTTGGATTATTCTGAATTAAGCCAGAAAATTTGGTACTCTGCAAGTATTTTTGTCTAATATGATTCGTCCTTGGACAAATTGGAAAAATATGCCTCTGTGGCTGACACTTTCTATCAAAACATTCATTCGGTCAGTTTTTCCAGAGTAATTAAAAGTCTTTAACTGAGACTATGACTGGCGCCCTGATCAAACAAATTATCAGCTTATGTGCAATTACGGCTGCAAACATTTACCTGCTTTGCATTTTCTCACCAATGCTGGCAACGGTAGCTCATGCTCTTTAACTATTGTCTTGTCCCCACCTCTTCCCAGGAACATGGCCTGCCAGTTTATGCAACTGAAATGCTATTGGTATGAAGGCCAGACACTCTGGTCGGAGAGGCATGTTTAGTCTGTCTGGGGTTGGAGTAGAGAGGTGAACAGATGCCTCGAGGCTTTTAGTGTCACTTGCTGTTTGTCTGTCCGTGTCCAAATGTGCCTTCGGCGCAGACGACCCACTGACGACTAGAGGAGAGCTGTGCATGAGATTTTCAGCTTGTAGATTTGGCAGTTTAGGCAGGAAGCTTGCATCAGAAATAGCAAAGTGTTATTATTTATTATTTTTAATTGGGGTTAACTGGTTCTAGTAAATAGATTGGCAGAAAGGCTGACGGTTGATAATGCCAGTTTTATGTTGCTGTTATTTTGTTTTGTTTTGTATCTAATACATTTAATAACAAGAAATGAAAAACCATATTTCTGAAATTGAATGAAATTTTTTTTTATTATTATTATTATTTATAATACCTTTGCAATGTTGTATGGCTGAAACCACACTGAAAAGGCTGCCTGGAGTGTCTGCAGTCTGTATTTGTTTATGTTTTGATTGGCCTTGTGATTGAATTTTTCCAGTTGGGTCATTATTCCTGGCTTTTTTTTTTTTTTAACCTCTTATTTCAACAACCTTCACTGAGGAAATCCACTGAACATTGAATAAATGAACATCAACCCTACTGTCTGCAATTTAGTCTTTTTAAGGTGCTTGTGTAATCTGATTATCTTGCTAAAACACAAGTGTAAATATATGTCAAGACTTGTAGGATAAACTCCTGCAGTAGTTTCATATTGTTACATAATGAGATAATTAAAATTATTTATTTCATTAAAAAAATTCAAATGACACATTAGAAATTTAAAAATACTATCACGTTGAAGATTAAAGTTTATTTTTGTTTTTTCAACTGGAAAATACTGGCCAGCATATAACAGATTCTCATATGGACTATATGAAGTGTGTGTTATTAATTGCAGGTACATACATTAGTCTACCATACAAAGACTTACTCTGCCAGTATGTGTGTGTGATCATGTCAAAGATGGCTGGCTCTTTGCTGGGTATTGTTGCCTCTTCTCTAGTCACAGTAATCGGGCCTTTGCGCCTGGCTTTGTCCTGCTACTCATTAGGGAGTCAGAGGAGGAGGAGGAGGAGGAGGAGGAGGCGAAGGCTGGGAGTGGATGTGCAGCTGAGAGAGACCTCCCCCATCATTTAGTCTGATAGCATACAGAACGACGACCACGTGACCGGCTGTTTACTGTCGCAGCCAGCGTAGTGTGTCTCCTTGAGTGCGTCACAGGATTGGCCCCCTTTTTCTGTGAAGAAACAGACTCTAGCTTTGTTGCAGGTTATAAATATCCTTCCTATTAATCTACTTTGTCATAATTTTTCTTGTGTTGTGTGTTTAGTACTGAGTGATGTATGCAGATCTCTCTCACTCAGAGGTTTCTTTGTGTGCAGCCACATGGGAGACCAGGGGAAAATCACATGTATTTTCCACATGGTGTGTGTGTGTGAGAGCTCACAGCAGGCATTACTCGAGAAGATGTGGCAGAGTAATGTTGCTGCTGTCATTGCTGCTGTCGTTGCTGCTGTTGTTACTGGTAGTGGCGGTGGCGGCGTACTCTGCGATCTGTGTGTCAGGCTCAGTGCTATTCTTAGCTCTCTTCCCTCCTTGTCCCATCCTGCAGTCTGTGGATCAGGTTACCATGCTGTGTGTGCTCTTCATCCTTCCCTTCTCCACCACCACCACCACCAGCAGCATACTTTCACCAACCCCCCAGCAGCACACATCTCCAACCAAACCCCCCTCCTCTCTTTGAGCTCCTCAAACCCCCAAACCGCTTCACTCACGCAAGGACACGCATTAAAGCAGCCGCTCTGCTGTCAGGGCCAACATGCTCCAGCACTACAGGGAAATGGTTGTTATTGTTGTTCGTCAGGAACCAGCGGAGTAAAGTGCAGAAGCACCGGGTTATAAATAAATACAGAGACATCTGCTTCTCAGAAGGACCGGCGCTGCAGCCAGTACACTTAGCTGGGGATTTTACTGACTTAGTTCAGTCAGCTGAGATGGAGACTCAGAATTTGAAAAATTCAGACACATATCTTTCCTTACAAGTAGATTTTTACATCCAGGCTGTCAGATAATAATTCAGGAGCTGTTGTGTTTTATAAATCACAAAAACTGAGAGTCAATTTGTATGAGCATCATTGACACTGATGATGATGATGATTATCAATTTTGCAGTGCTTTGTATCCTTGAAGCTGAAGTTTTAAGATATTGTAACCCAGCAATGACTATGGTCTTTTAAGATGGATGTGAAGCCAGCAGTCAAAGGTAGTATATACAGAAGAGAAATAGTCGTGTAGTAGATTACTCTCAGTATGTGCCAGTCGTAGTCCTTTCTGGCTGAGTGTTTCTAAAAATTGAATATTAAGACCACATATTTGTGCAGTACCTAATACTCTGGACCATTCTTGAGGTTGAACCTTATGTTACAGACATGGTTTATTTTGAATTATTGGACGATGACTTGATAATAATGCTTTTTTTTTGTACTTTTAAGTATATTCTCCCTTAGTGCTGTTACCCCGGCCTCTGAATTAGTTGTCACATCTCTCTGTTTCACTCCACAAGATCCAGTGTCAAACTAATCTCATCTGTAGTTTCTTTGGGTCAGAGTAGTCATGAAGGCGGGGTTTTGATTGAGACTTGAAACAGCTCAAGGTTAATGGCAGAGCTTTCAGGGGCTCACGCAGCCATGAGCTGCTCGTGAAACACAGTGACTGCCAAACTGGCGAGAGCCCAAATACCTCTGTAATTATAGTCACACCCTCTTCGCCTCGTTTCTGGGCTGGATGCGAGTCCTGTCAGCGTTTGTTTTCTGGTCTGGTCCCGGGCTGTCCATACCGCTTTAATACCCCCCGATACACTAGCCTCTTTACTCCAACGTGCTCACTGTGGGCTGCTCAATTCTCCTTTTCAGCTGCCCTGAATGACGGTGCTGCTGCTGCACACAAGCTAACTGCTGACTAATGATGGACCTCTCACTGGCCTCGGCAAAGCAGCAGGGCTGTGTGTTGGAAAGTGATACCTGTCAACACTGTATGGAAGTAAAACATAAAACTGAGAAGGCTTGCTTTTTTGTGATAATTTAGGGTCGATTGTAAGTGACTGGATTTTGTCTGGAAAGGCATATGTAAAATGCGCCCTGCTCTCGTTCAAAGATTTAATCCTGTACTGCTGGAGTGTTAGTGTTGTTGTTGAGGCTTGATTAATGATGATTCATTGCATCTTTAGTCACAGAAATATGATGTAGAAAACAGCAGTGCACTGTTTCCTTATGTTCGCCACAGATTTATGAGCTGATATGTTTTATAACCTGTTGTAATCACTTTTTTTGTTCAAATAGCACTTCAAAACCCTAAATAATTAAGAAAATGACTCATGGTTTATCACAGTATTACTGATGGGATATCTTTGTGTATCGACTGACCTGACCTGTGTCAATTGACAGATTCATAATTTCAGCACTAAAAATAATCGACTGCACTAAAGACCTGTTTATCACAAAGTTCACAATAATGAGTATATTCTCAGTTGCGAGTGAAATAATGACGTGACCTCACCGTAATTATAAAATACTAACCACATTACAGGTTACAACAACAGCATTTATGAGTGGCAGCATCACAGTAACCGTGTTCTCTCCTTTATCTTGAAGTGCTGCTCAAACTTGTAAGACTTCAGGCTTTTCAAATAAATCCTTGATAAACCACATAATCTTTCCATGTCAAAAAGAAGCTGTGTATGAGATGTCAGAACATGCTTGTTATCTTTAATGACATTTCATAATTGAAGGCCCGCAGACTTGATTTGATCCCTTCAGCTACAGTTTCTAATTTTATTTCATGGACTAATCGCGCTTTCTTGTTTGCATCACGATTGATGTTGCTGTCTAGATGGGTGGCATGATTGATTGGAGTCCAGACAGTCACATGGTTTTGCCATTATATCCTCAATGTGTTCCTTACATATTGGTTTGGTCAGCGTAGCCCCCCTTTGGAAACCTTAGAAGCTCTGCTCACAGTGTTGTGTGGCGTGTTGCCGAGGCTCACAGGATTATTGCTCTGCTGTCCCTGCAGTAGCCGCACAGTGACCCAGATGTCAGGATGGCTGTCTGTGTGGATGTAAACATAGCATGTTGATGTTCACCAGATGTTCATTGAAACCCAGCAAGGTCAATACATGGGTAGGCTGATGTTGATATGCGATTTTGTTGTTGAACTGATACTTATAGTCGAGGAGATTGCTCACCGCTTTGATCTGTTTGTTAGTTTTGTAACTTAAAGGGATATTACAGCGGAAAATTGATTTTGGGTCAAACAAACTGTAACACCCAGTTAGACTTCCCCTTGAGAGATGATGTTGCCGACCGCTCGCTTCTCAAGTTGCACCAACTTAAGTAGCAATACACAGCGGTCTGAGGAGCATAAACAAACCTCGACCAAAACACCACTCTGTTGCCACAAATAATACTCAAAAACACACTCACCGTCTCTCTTCCAGTAGCCGCTTATTTGTTGCGAAACCGCAGGCCAGTCCATTACGGACTACAGCGGGGTGACACAGCTCAAGGAAGAACATTTATGATAATTTCTTCATGGAAATGCAATCAAACCGAGACGCTAAGGCAGGAGAACTAACGCGTCTGCAGTGCAAAATGATTACTATGATGATTATTACTTAAAGGAAATGATAAAGTAATGATCGTAAATGTTCTTTCTTGAGCTGCGTCATCCTGCTGTAGTCAGTAATGGACTGGCCTGAGGTCTCGCTTCAAACAAGCAGCTGCTGGAAGAGAGTAGGTGAGCTGTGTTTAGTCTCTTTGCTAAAGAAATCAGGCAAAGCTAAAAGATGTTTGGTGGCTAGTGCTGTAGCTAGGACCCTATATGTACTGTTGATGACGTTAGGTGCTGTTCTGAGCATTATTTGTGGCTACAGAGTGGCGTTTTGATCGAGGTTTGTTTATGCTCCTGAGACCGCTGTGTATTGCTATTGTGCGGTCGTCACTAAAGTTGGTATAACTAGAGAAGCAATAATTATCTCTCGAGGGGGTGTCTGTCTTTTACACTGGAATATCCTTTTTAACCTTGAAAAAGTTCTGATTACCCTTTTAAAAGACATCTAAAAGTAGAACGTGTTTCATTAACTCTGTTACTGAGTGTAGAGAATAAGGCAGCTCAGCCTCTGCCAGTCATGCCTGAATCTGCATGACTCATTTGCAAAGAGATGCCAATGGAGCAATGGACCCAAAAAACTGTATCTTTGACTTAAGTTAGCTGTCTGCTTTTTCCATATTAAGGTTATTTTATCGCTCTTTAAAACAAGTTGACTCATATTTAAGAGGCTGTTATTAGTGGGAGAAAATGTAAGTTGACTACTTTTACTATATATTTAAAGAGCATTTAGGTTTGATGGAGAGGGTAGTTCATGTAATTCAAATAAATCTCAAATCTTTACCATAAAGGAAGAGGAAGAAATGGAAAGCCTTGAGCGAGCTTTCTTTATTGATTGAAGTTCAGCTATAGATGCATGTTGAGTAATGGGGCCGTCCCCTTCATTTTGAAAGCTGCTTTATATAGAGTTCACCGCGTGCTGGGCCAAGAAAGGCTATTTCTGTCAAACCGAATGTCTTGGCTTTTGTGACAGAGTTGTAAAAAAAAGAGCGGGGAAAGTTGGGCAAAAGTACGTAAGAACAAGGTCTTGTGACTGAAAGCAGCGATCTTCATGTGACAAGATAACTGACACATGCCATTTCTGCTTTCTGTGTTTGTTGAGCTTTCTCCATGCAGTGTAGGCGCCCACAGTGCCCCCAGTGATGCTGCTGCATGTGTTACTACGCTGACACAAACCACATCACAGAGGAGTTTGGTTTGACTGATGAGTAGACTGCTGTGACAACATGCAGGGGGATGTTTTCCTCTCACAACCCTAAAGAGTCCCTAACGCTGTGATTCATGCTGCCCTTTAAAGTTCTTTCCTGCATGTTTTTCTTATGGTTGAGATCAAGTAGCACAATGGAAATATGAGTGAAAATCCCTGCCTGTAAATAGATGTTTAATGTTACCTGTATTTAAACGAGTTTCTTCCTGGTCCTGCAAACACTGCTCAGGAAAACTAGAGCCGTCTTCTTCACAGAAGATGACGAGGCAGTGCTGAAATCCTTCTCATCGCTCGTTGTTTTTCCTCCTGTCTCCAGGTGCATGATGAACCTGCTGCGCTGTAGCCGTCACAGCTAGTCAGGTGCTGCACCATGGCCAAACCTGGGAGCGACAGAGATGGAGCCATGGTGGATAAGCAGGCGGGGAAGAAGGTATGCGAACATCTGGAAATGAAATGGCATCAAACTAATTTTGCATTTACTTCGTACTTTCCTCCTGAGTTGATCAAATTTAAAGACCAAGTGCAATTTGTCCAGCAGACACCTAGAAGGAAAACAATTCATCACTTTCCTCTGACTTAGAATTGTATTGAGCACCATGTTCGTTACATTTGTGCTTTTTGAAAACAACAAACACCAAAAATCGGCTGTGTTGTGCTCTACTGCAGGGTTAAACCCATGGCTTCGTTTTTATATCCATCCAAACCAAAAAAACTGAAGACATAGTTAAATACAGGCAACAAGATATGAGACATCAGCAGGAAAAAGAAAGCTGGAGGCCTAACACTCAGCAGTTTGGCCTCATGAATTGTTGGGGTCGAGGCCAAGCTCTGCAAGACCTCTGGTTTGGTTTGGATCTGTCTCAGGTTAAATGATGATTTAACCAGATGATTGGATATCAGTAACCATTAAAGTATTTCAGACCTGGCCGTTTAATGATATTTTCCCTGAGAAAAGAGGAAGTATGAAGGGTCGCTGTTAGACAGGTGATACTGAGTTGAAACTGTACTTAGTTAAATCCCTATTCAAGTCTCACAGCTCAGTCGTAATTTTAAAACCAGCTGCTGACAAAATATTCTTTCCTTAGTCATCTAAGTTGATGGAAATCATTACATAATCCACAGCAGCAGATGTAGATGTTCAAGTTTATCATTTTTTAAGGACTTCTGGTGAAATGTTGAAATCAGAAGGGAGGTTTGGTTTTCATTAATTCTTGTGGACTCTGGAAACAGCTTGTCATGTGACAGTCTCACCCTGAAGTTCACAATTAGCTGTCCTTAGATTCCAACGAATCTTACCCCTGATTCATATGAAGTACTTTCTTTTTTGGCAGGTAGTCAGTAAATCTTAGATTTTTGAGTGTAGGTGATATTTCAGCTCACAAATGACTCACAACAGTTTACCTTCAACCTGGTGATATGAAATTCAAATGTTAGTAGGTCATAACCAGTACTCAGAGGTACTGAGTAACTCAAAACAGAAACTCAAATTCTGGCTAGATGACCAGTCTGAAGGTAAAATGAGAATTCTACAGTCAAAACGGAGCAGTATTTATTGAACACGGCTAAAGACAAGAGCCCAAAGTCTGTGGGTGAACAAGGTCAAACTGGTTTGCCCAGTGTGGCTAACAGTAAGAGAGCTAGCACCACCAGCTCACTGTTCTCCCTGCAGGTTAACATTAACATGCATTTACAGGCAGGTTACACATCACTTTGATTGAGCTAACCAAACACACCTACACACAGCTTTATCTCCATTTTTTTAGTTTAAAATGTTGCTGAATCATGGCACACCAAGAGGTGCTTCATACTGCTCTCATCAAGATAGTTTAGATTATAGCATTACAGTACAGCTCCAGCTGGTGGTGGGTGGTTGTGCTACAGCTTAGAGGCAACACATGACTGGCATTACAGACCTGCGACAATGAGAAATATTCATAAATGTGTAATTGACTTGTGATTCTGATGCTGACTAGTAACCATTTAGTCGACTTAACGAGTACATCCTGACTGAAGAGCCCTGAGTGAACATGTATTTCTGCTCTCATGTTGGAGTCGATCATAAAACAGCAGATGTTCTTGTGTTTAAAAACAAGTCACTTTGTGAAGTATGTTGTGTGAACGAAACAATGTGGAGGGTTTTTGAAAACCCTATGCTCCCTGTTGTCATACTGATATTACTTATTTATCATTCTCTCTATAAATGAGACAAAATTTATGTCGACTTTTATTTCGTCAGGCTGAAGTGCTTCTCATCCTGACTCTCTTTTACTTTTAACACTGCCAGACACTTCAGCTTTGCACAGCTGGCACATTGCTTCTCTGAGATCAAAGAAGAACCACACTGCAGACATTTTTCCCCCTGCCAGAAATGTATTTTACTGCACCAAAGTGCAGCTCACTGAAGTACTGGTTCTGAAAAAAAAGGCTTTGTCTGCAGATCAGGGTGCAAGAGCCCAGGAACTGGAACAGTGAAATACTGTCATATTACCTCACTACCTTATCAACCGTTACCTTGATTTTATGTATGCAAGTAGAGGTGACCTGGATAAAACTAGAATATCAACTGATTCAGTGAAAGTCATATCCTTGAAAATCAAACAGCAGCTGCAAGCTTGAGAGTTAACATCGAACATTTCCATGTTCTTGCACTGTGGGAGTTTTTTTTTTCTGCTTAATTAAGGCTCAAGACTTCAATCACCAAATAAAATATTCATTGTGTTGTAGCTTCTCTTATGCTGATGAGTATGGATGCAGCTGTGTTAATTAATTTATACTGGACTTTTGGAAATGTGACACACTGGTTATACTTTGTTCAGCTGGACAGTCAATGAAGCTGTAGGATTCCAGAAATCTCCAATGGCTTCATTACATTCATCAAGTTCTGCATGTACATTATTTTATATGTTCAATAATTGTTCAAGGCTGATGGAGGAATAAAAGTATTAATTTCACATGGAAATGCATCCAATAGAAAATAGCAAACTTAAATAGTTTTTAGGCTCATCTCTTGCATAGAAACAGTGTTTTTGGAGGCTGAACATAAACATCAAAATAAAATCGGTTCCACAGTAGATTCTTAAAATCCTGCCTCTTCTCTTGCAGGGTAAACTAAGAACACAGGAATCCTCTTAAAACAGTGTCCCCATGAGTCTCAGCTGCACGCATGTATTTCGCTCTCAGTCAAGTAGCAGAACCACAAGTAGGAGGACAATCACAACAATGGTCGACTACAGGGCTGTTTGTGCTGCTGACTTTGTTTTATCAGAACCTTTTAAGCAAAGATCTGTTTTATAGTTGTCTTGTTGGTTTGTTTATACCCACCGCTCTGTTGAAGCTTTAAATGCAGGCGCTTTGTTTTCTTCAGCTGTGCTTCGTTACTAAATTATATTGCCAGCTACTGGCCTGGAATACACACTACAACATTTAGAGACGTTATTTAGGATACAGGTGAACGCAGATTGTTTTCACTGCATTGTCCAGTGATTGGGTTTTCCTTGGGGGGGTGTCATTGCTCCACCTTATTACTATTATTAGGAAGATAAAACACAGCACTGTGCATTAAATATTTAAGTCATTGAATAAGCTCTCGGTTTTAGTAATTTATGGAGCAAATGTCACAATGGTCATCAGCAGGAAACATCAGGGAGAAAAAAGTAATTGTGTGATATTAACTACCCTTTTATCATTTGGAGATGATTGGTGATTCATGATGGTAATTCACAGTTCTGTCTATCATGAAGCCCACAGCCGTAGAAGCAGAGGAAAGTGCTTCAGAAATGTAGAAGAAAAGCAAGTTGCAACTTGTTATTTGAAATGTTTGACTTAATCGACAACAGAATAGCCGCAGACTGTAATTAAGTCAGTAGTCGACTTTTTCGGTGGCAGCCGGCACGTCTGCAAGACTCCTGCTTGTCAGTAGTAATATTCACTCACTCTAACCCTTAATATAAAAAGTCTATTAATACTTTATCGGGAATACAGCAGTTTTTATGGTTCAGATGAAATGTTTGGTTGGAAATCTGTGAAAAAAATCAGTAGAGTTTCCAAAAGCTCAAGGTGACACTCAGCAAAAAAATCTGTAACAGGATTATTTCTTTGTTTTTTCTGTCTCTCAGACAATGGTTTTGAATTTTACTTGAAATAAGCTTTGTATGACAAGAGTAGACTTGTCCCTCTTTTATTTTTATCTGTGTATAAACAGAGGACTAAATGGTCCCATTACATCTTTACCTTTAAGGAGACCCTGCCTCTGAAATCCAGTGTCATACCTGCTAACTCACCGTCTGTGCGACCCAAAAGATATGATGCAGAGACACAACACTGCCTGTTTTCTAATCATCTGCCCTTTGTTACACCATTGTTCTTTTTTTAGGGGGGATTTAGTCTCATCTGATACTCCACCTGCACGCTAAGCTCATCCTATTGTTGTTGTTGTTGTTGCAGGAGCAAGTGGAGCTTTTTAAATGAAGCCTCCTCCGTTGATTAACTGTTACATGTTTGGTGTTTACACACACACACACACACCAGTCACAGGAGTCACAGTTGCGGCCACACCTTTGCCATGTCTGACGTGCCTGATTTCCATTTCTCATGTGCTCTTCTTCACCTTTACTGACAGAGTAAAGACAAGTTGTCCCCTTTCACCAAAACTCCGAAGCTGGACCGGAGTGAACTGCTGGGGAAGGAAGGGAAAGCAAAGTCTTCTATGAAACGCAAGCTCTCCTTCACCACAAGTCCGCTCCGGACAGAGGAGCGAGATTCAGACACAGGTAAGAGCTGCTGCTGCTGCTGCTGCCGCGCCTCCCTGCTCCTTTTTGGAAGCCATGCTGTTGGCTGGCTGCCATGTCTTTACACTGCCCCCTGGTGGTTTGTTGTCGAACATGTCCTTCAGGGACTGACTGTTGTCCAAAGGGATCTAGCAGGATCCAAAATTAACCAGAACTGATGAAGTGGCAATCTGTTGTGTAAAATAAATGGTTAAAACTTTTTGTGTGTGTGAAGAGTGTAAATGAAAAAGTGAACATGGGAGACACATCAACAAATCAGTCTGAATGTAGCCGCCTACTGTTTTTATGAAATACTAATCAGGGGCCTCCAACTTCCTTTAAAATGATCTCTGGTCTCTTATTTGCATCTTTAATTCTGACATTTTCATATTTTTACTTACTTGGGTCTTTAAATGACTAAAACAGAATACTTTAGGATTGGTTCAGTGGATTGCTTCAGCTGGTAATCACTGGTAATCACAACAGTGTCTCCTAAAGAGATAGGAAGTTATGCATGGAGAACAAAAGTGTCGCTCGATGACGATTGTTACTTTACAGTCTGAAGAGGTGATTTTTATTTCATCTGAGGGTTTAGGGGAAAAAATGCGAGTCAGAGTTGAAGAGATGAGTTGTGCAAAGAAAATGTAAAATGGTCTGAGAAATATAATCCAAGCCTGTCATAAACAAGCGCTTTTAGGAATGTAATGTTATCTTAAATGTCATGATATCGTAATAAGTCCACAGAGAGAAACTTAGATCATTTAAAATTGAGAAATAAGTGTCTGTATTTGGTTTTGGCTGTTCTTCCTGGCGAGTGAATTGCACTCTACTCTCTTGAGGCTCTGAGTAACTTCAGCCTTTGTCTATTTGTAATGTTTGGGAATTTCTACTTGGGCTCCAGCTTGTTAACTAACCTCCTGGATCCTTAGTCGACAGCCACAGAGAATGTCAGGAGGTCTTTTGGATGCACTCAGGGATACAGCTTGTAACTACTTGAGCTCTGTTACGGAGAAGTGAGGCTGTAAATGCTTCTCGAGAGTCTTTTGACTTGGCTGGAGGTTTTCCTCACATTCTCTCCTCTTTTCAGGTCGCTGATTTGCCAAGTGGCCTCTCTTCCAGCGCTTGTTTTGTGTCCGTCACCTTTCCGCTTTTCTTATCTCTTGTCATGGGAAATCCAACTGCTCACACGTCAGATTGAAAATCTGTTTGAGCCTCTTCCTTTTCACTGTACTAGATCGGAGGCACTGAACAGAGCACAAAGGAGGATGGTCACAGATGGGTCAATGGTCTCTGTAGTTCCCACTTTCCACAGCTCTGCTCCACTGCAGCTGAAACTAAGAAGACCTATCATTTCATACGGTCACAGGTCCACGGTGTCGTCTCTCTGTATCGTGAAATCGATGATAGCTTCACATCCTTGACTGGAAGTTACTTTGAAAGAGTGCAGGTATGATGTGGGTACCTTTGCAGCCTGTTTTGCTGATACCAGCTGAGACAAACCACTGGATTAATACCTAAACTTCTGCACAAATAAACAGTCAAAGAATCCCAGAGAAGTCAAAATGGTTGAACACATCGATAGTGAGGCTCTTTGGAAAAAAATACTTAAATGGTGACTCATATCGTTTGTCTTTGTCTCTCTTTGACATTTTTTGGTGTAAATATCAATTCAAAAATATTGAGTATTTTCTTCTTGTTTGAGATCTGGTATAGATGGTGCCGTTTTAAAAGGCCTGAGCAGCTTTATCCAGGTTCCTGGTAACTGTCATGTTCAAGTTGTGAACTCCATGTCTCAGTCTTGCCTTTCTTACTTGTGTAAATAAATGATTCAGCTTCTGTAATTTGGGCCGAATGTAACCGTATGTTTACATCAGATTTGAGACTCAAAATAGGATGAGTGTATCGTTCATCCATAATTAAAGTAAATAAGGTGCAGTAATGGTTTTTACAGACAGTTTGAGGTCCAGTCCGCCTTCATCTCCTCTGTAGGGCGAAGTGATTTTTATTGTGTGGTCCTGTGTCGTACTGACAGACAAAAACCCTCAACCTTGTACTCACTAAGTTGAATTTATGTTGCACAGGTTATAAACCCAAACTTGCACAGAGGGTGGCTTGTCCTTCAGCCTCACAGATCCTGTGTGAAGCAGATTTAAGAAAAACAAAGGACTCTGCTGACCATCTCCAATCACGTCTTCTCTCCAGCGCTGCCATGACTCATAATCTGTGCGTGGAGAGCGAGTCTGCCTTTGTGCCTGTCTGTGTTTGAGTACATGTGAGACGTGGAGGGTGAGAGAGAGCGTTAATGCAGTGCTTTCCCACCCTCCCACCCCTCCTCCTCCCCCCCTTGCTCCCCCCTCCCCCTTCCTCTCCCCATCCTCTCTGCTTTGCACTGTAGATGACTCAGACCCAGGCCAGTCGAGTGAGACCTGGGGAGAGAGATTAGTGCCTCCCTGCAGGATATTCGCAGGTAATCGCTGCAGCCCGATCTTCAGCCCCCGTTTTCTTTATGAGTAACGTCACCGACTTTTTAGCCACTATGCTGCTGTAGACACACATACACACATGCACGTGTGTGTGTTTTCGCCCTGCATCTGCCCCTGTTACAGCTCACGCATGTCTGTGTTTGGTAACAACCGACCGACGGAGACTGGGGGGCCCCCGAGGAGTGTCGTCTGCATTTGGCTGGCTTATGAGAATGCTGTCTTATTTTTGTCTCCTTTTTTCAAAACCTCATGCTTGTCATCTGTTCCTCCGCGTGCTCAACAGATACAAGGGAGACGGAAACGGTGTCACTGTGACGATGAATATGCTGCTTGAAATGAAAGGGGGACCTCTGGTTTGGATCGCTCTCTAAAGCCTGTCTTGGTTTTTTTTATTTTGCAGATAAAGATGGACCAGACAAGAAGAAGATGAAAAAAGAAGCCGGGGGCAAGAAGTTCCAGGCCAACCTTTTGTTTGGGTATCCTCTGTCGGAGCGCAAACAGATGGCCCTCCTCATGCAGATGACTGCCAACAGTCCAGGTTTGTGTGCTTACACTCTCTCACCTTAAACACATAGTAAAGATGGCTCAGAGTAAATTTATTGTGGGATGAGTCACGCTTTTAAGAGTAAAGGCAGACGTGCTCTTTGATACTCAAGGATTATTTAAGAGGACTGCAGTGCCTCATGTTCATGTAGGTCCTCAACCATTAAGAAAGCCCTCTCTTAACTTTCTTGTTGATATTGTGATGTTTTCACTGATGGGAACATACAGTACCTGCTGACAAATACACATACAGACTCAAGTGAGTTCAAGTTTTCAGTCCATTGAGTGTCACAGTGGTTGTGTAATTCAAGGACAAATCCATTACAGGGACCGTAGATGTTTCCTGAAGAGGTCGTCCTCGTATGCAGGAAGATAGAAACTGGTTCTTCAGGATTTGTCAGTCCCTAATTGGTGACCTCTGATTCATACTGGGACAAACTGGAATGAGTCACTCAGGCTTAAATATGATGATACTTTCATATGTCTGATGTTTGATTTTGTTTTGTACTGACCGCAGTGAGACATGTCAGCTGTTTGTGCTAATTAGCAAGACTGTGCTGAACTTCAAAGTACGATTTGCTGTTAGCCGCCCGCTAACAAGACAGCAAACAGCGCTGTACTGATGGCCTGATACGCTCATGCTCTGGTTTCAATTAGCACTTTGTTTACGGGTGTCTTACTTTCTCACAACAGCTTTAATGTGTCAGAGGTTTAGACTTCATGAGATTCAGTCTGTCTCTCTTGTAGCTGCCGTAGTACATACAGTGAATGTACATTATATTAATCTGTGTGTATTCCCTGCTTTTTTTTTGACAGTGTGTAACATAAGGCTGGAGCTAACTGCATGTTAGTGTGCTAAATATTCAAGGAACAAGGGAGACACCTGTCTTTGGGAGAAAAAATGACCTATCAGCTCCTCTAAAGCTCAGAAACTCACATTTAGGTCGTTTTTGTGAAGTCAGAAAATCCGATTTGGTGTTTCTCTTTGTGGCTTATTTGTGCTGATTTTCCTGCTTTGGACATATGGAGTCAAGCTGTGTACCACTGACACCTCTCTTGATGCTGAGCTAAGGTCACCAGCTGCAGGCTTCATCTCAAATAACACTGGTATTGATTGGAATTGATACCAGATCACTGCTGAACAGAGCAAATCAGAAGATTATAAACATGTGGAACATAATCTGTTAGTAGACACAGACACGTATACAAGCACAGCCTCTCCAGCTCTTATTAAAAGCAGCTTCTTTCTGTGTTTTAAGCCCAGTCTCTCACCTATAATTACAGGTAATTATCTCATCAAGTGACAGGCTTTTTGCTTCAAGCATCAATTAATTGCTTTTCTCTCTGCCCGTGTCCAGACTCTACTCCCAGTCATCCCTCACAAACGACCCCTGTGCAGAAGAAAGTCCCCAGCAGCACCTCGTCTCGACAGAAGGACAAGGTCAACAAGAGGAATGAGCGAGGGGAGACTCCCCTTCACATGGCAGCCATTCGGGGAGACGCAAAGCAAGTGAAAGAGCTTATCAGCCTGGGAGCTGATGTTAACGTCAAAGACTTTGCAGGTAAGATTGTCTGACAGTGGACCATTTAAATAGCATCTGTTACCTGATTGATAACACTTAACCGGCTCAGTCTGAACATAAAAATCTTCATGTTTCTCCCCTCTGTGCTCCTGTTTTTGTCTCATTTCACTCCTTGTGTTTTCATTGTCTCCTAATGCTTGTAAAGTTGAGGCCAAAAGCAGCCATGTGAAATCCTAAAACTCTAATGTCTTGCTGTCGTCTTTCCTCACCAGGCTGGACGCCTCTCCATGAAGCCTGTAATCTCGGTTACTACGACGTGGCCAAGGTCCTAATAGCGGCGGGAGCAGAGGTGAACACGCAGGGTCTGGATGACGACACGCCCCTCCATGATGCCTCAAGCAGCGGGCATAAAAATGTAAGAAGTTGACGTTTGTTTTTGTTATAGTACTGCAGGACTGAAAATAACACTGAACAGGAAAATCGATCAGTCATAAAAATATATTTTTAAACAAATAGATTCTAATTAAGAGTTTCTGATCATAGCGAACAGAATACACGGATAAAGAAGCACATTTCAAAACGTTTCATGTTTAGGATCATTAAATATATTGAGCTCGGGGTTCCTACACAGTTGGAATTTCCATAATTTTCCATACTGTATTTTTTAGAAATATTTCTGGAAATCCCTACTTCTCTAATTTAGAAAACAGTATTTTAGAACTGTGGTAATAGTCTGGAAACATAAGTATTTTCCATTTTCCTTACTATTTAAGACCTGGAAATTGATCAAATTTATTTCCATACTAGCGTATGAACCCTGTGAGCTGAAGTCCAGCTTCATATTGAATGTTATGTTTTGGCAGCAGAGTGGTTGATGTAAAACAGACAGGAACTGAGAACTAGAACTTTAGGATGATTTTTTAAATTATATTTGAGCTGCAGGCCATTTCTCAAAATTAGAATAAAAGAAGAATGCTGGAAAATGTTCAGTCTGAAACACACATACAGTTTAAAGTACATGTAAACTTTACCAGTGAGTCAAAAATGCTAAAAAAATATATAGAATTTTTCACAAAATGAAAATTTCTTTAGAAACACTGGTGCTTCTTAACTGTTTTGCAAGCTGTGTTCAAAATATAACATTGATTACTTTCTTTCTTACTTGGCGAATGGCTTTTTAACATTTTGGAAAAGTTTGCAGCACCAGACCAGTGATGTATAGAATCTAGAAAAAATTTAAAGTAACAGGCTGTAACAAAAATGCAAAGAAGGACATCAATGGTCAAAATATGAATAACTTAGGTCTAAAGTTTGCTATAGTCTAGTTTTTCTCTTCTCTGACTCCCACTTAGTGTTTGTCCACAACCTTTGTGTGCGTCGTTGCGAGGCTCACACTCTCACTCCTCGTTCTGTTTCACACAGATTGTCAAGCTGCTACTACGCCACGGCGGTAACGCCTTCCAGGCCAACAAGCGTGGAGAGCGCCCAGTGGACGTGGCGGACTCTCAGGAGCTGGAGCAGCTATTAAAGGGAGAGTTGCCAATGTCGGACCAAGAGGACAGCTCATCAGGTATGCAGAGAACGCTCCGGTGTTTGGCTGTCCTCCCCTTTTAAGGTCGCATGGTAACACAGTGTCTGTAACATTACCGGCTATTCGGATCTGCTGCAGAGAGACCAGATGAGACTTGTGGATTATATGTGACAGACTTAGTTCAAACAAATGTTTCTTTTTCTTTCTGCAGAGTCTGAAGACCCTCCGTCTGTCAACCCCTCCAGTGTGGATGACAACATGGACGACTCTGATACTGAAAAGGACTCCGATGGTAAACCGTCCACAAAGGCTTCATCGTCCGTGCCAGGGCTGGACGAGTACGAGTTCAAGGACGAGGAAGAGGAGGAGGATCTTAGTAAAGCCCTGAACGACAGACACATCCTCCGGAGGGAACTACGGCAGCGGGAGAAGGAGGACAAAGATAGGAATCATGTGGCAGGAAAGCAGAGTAGTAAGGGGGATTCCTCCTCAAAGTCCAAAAAGCAAAAGACCCCTCGTGTCCACTGCAGCTCGGACACCTCCAGCGATGAAATGGAGAGCCTTCCTGAGAAGAGGAACTCCCCCACGTGTTCCCAGAGCTCCGAGAGCCTCAGGGTGGACACGCGGTCTAAAAAAGAGACTGCAGAGCAGAAGGAGAAGGGCAAAGTGAAACGTAAGAGCAAGAGCCAGATCAAAAACAAGGAAAACCAAGAGGACGGGAAGGAAAACAGCAAAACCTTAGTCCTCTCTCTTGCGACTGTGTCCGAGAGCACAGAAAAGGGCCGAGAAGAAGATTCCTTCAAGATGTCTTTCAGTCCGAAAGATGACTCATCCGTCCACCTCTTCCATTTGTCATCCATAAAATCTCCTAAACTGAACCACAGCCTGACAGACAAACAAACGCCACTCAAACAGGAAAATACTAAGATGTGCATTTCCATCAGTGACGGCTCGTGTCCGGTGGATGGTGTCAAATACAACCACTACACGGAGGCAGACTTCTGCACCGAAGGCTCCAGCACCAAAGGGTACAAGCACAAAGAGAAGAGCAAACATCAACAGAAAGACTCCAGCGTAGACGGGGAGGATGGCCGCTCGAGTCCGTACAAAGACGGCAGCATAGGAAACAGTGTGGACAGCGCTGACGGTGCCTTACGGAAGACGGACTTGGACGGCAAAGTGGTGAAGAAGCATAAACTCAAACACAAGGAGAAAGACAAACACAGGAGGGAGTACGAGGCAGAGCGAAGCCGCCACAGGCAGAAGGAGGCCAGGAAAGACGGCCACAGGAATTTAGAGTTTGACAGAGAGTTCTGGAAAGAAAATTTTTTCAAAAGTGATGAGACGGATGAACCTCTGCAAGTAAAGAAGGAGAGCGAAGACAATAGCTCGCTGCAGAAGACCTCTGATTCCTCCCCCGTCAAAGATGAGAGGAACACAAAGGAGAAACACTCCAGCAGCAAAGAAAAGAGGCTGAGGGAGGAGAGGGAAAAGGACAAATGCGTGAAAAAGGAGCGGAAGGAGGCTGCCGCTAAGGAGGAGAAGGTAAAGGATTCAAAACCGAGCGAGCGTGACGAGCGAGTCGACTGCCACGGCTCAGGGCGGATTCCTGAGGAGACGCTGCAGAGCAACAGCTTGAAAGAAGAGACAGAGGAGAAGCCAGTAAGCGGGATCACAGCTGATCAAGAACAGCTGGAGTCCTCTGAAAAAGGCTCACGCGAGAAGACTGACAAGAGGCTCCCGGGAAAGGAGAAGGACTCTGAAAAAATGGAGAAAAGGCATCCTGACAAAGAGAAGAAGGTGAAAACGGAGCACTCAGACAAAGCTGACGCGCAGAACTCAGTGGATCGCTGGAAAGAGAAAGAAAGAACAGGAAACATTTCCTCCCATTCACCCGGAGATAAGAACTACAAAGAGAACGAGAAGCTGAAATCTTTATCCACGACTAAAAAACACGAGGACAGCAGGAAAAATAAAGAGAAGTTTGACAAGCGGTCTGATAGAGAGTATGGTGCCGGGGATCACAGAGACAAGGAGCGCACCAGCTCTGATAAGAAAGGCAAACCTCTGGAGAAGGTCACAGATCACAGTAAATCTGATCGCTCTAAAGAGAAAGACTGTGACAGGAAGAGAAGAGACAAAATCAAAGATGGGACTTCTTCCAGCTCCAATCTGAAGTTACTGCTAGAAGAGAAGAAGAGCTATCTGTCTGAGAGCAGCAAGTCTGTATCTGCCAAATCAAAGGAGGAAGTCGTGAGAACGCCGGAGAAAGATCGCGACCGCAGAGAGCGAGACAGAGACTCGGATAAACACAAGGACAAGGATAGAGATCGGCACAAAGACCGCTCCCTGCAGGCCAAAATCAGCAAGGCCAAAACCAACGAGACCGACGCAGACAAGGCCAAGTCCAAAGCCTCTCCGGCGACACGGGACGCCAAGCCCAAAGAGAAACGGCTCGTGAACGACGACCTGATGCAGACCAGCTTTGAGCGCATGCTCAGCCTAAAGGACCAGGAGATCGAGCAGTGGCATCGCAAACATCTGGAGAAGATCAAGCAGAAAGAGCGGGAGAGGCTCAAACAGCGGCCTCAGGTCGATCCGGTCAAGTCCAAGCCCAAAGACAGAACAAAGTCCGAGGCGTGCTTGAGTAAGGAGCTCATGCGCTCGAAAAGCTCTGAAGCCTCAGACGCTCACAGCAGAGAGAAACCCCTGAAGGACGGCGCCAGCCCCAGAACCATGTCGCTCGACGGAAAGACTCTGCCGTCTATCAGCGCGAAGGTCATGTCCGCCGTGGAAAACTGTCTGACCAGATCCCCGAGACCAGAGAGCGAACGCTTCGGTCTCATATCGCGGTCAGTGTCGCTGGTTTCTGTCGCGAGCTCAGAGGATTCATGTCAGGCTACGACGTTAACACCGCGGCACGTTGAATACGACTCTGACATGAACATGGACGCCTCTGACTCTCAACCCGCATTCCTCCAGTCTTCCCTCGTCATTCAGGCCACCAGATCGCCGTCCGTTCACGACAAAGATTGCAATAGTCTTCCAGAGGTGCCGTCAAGTAATCGGACGCCGGTCCCTGGCAGACACGAATCTCCGTACCTCAGGGCTATCCTGGACGAGGACGCGAACTCATCGAGTGAAGGGAAAACTGCAGAACTTCTTCCTAAATCCAGCCAGCCGACGGAGGAGCTGAGACCCAGAGAGACGCCCGCAGAACCAGAGGAGAGCCTCAGTAGTCAACACCATCTGAATCCAGTCTCTGATGTAGTCACTGAGAGAGAAGGCGGCACGCCACAAATGTCAAACAGAGACCCCGAGAGTAAAAACCTGTCAGAGTGTAGCAGCTCTCAAACCGGGTCAGCCGAGCAGAAAACTCTCTCCTCCTCCTCCTCTGATCCTCCTGTCTCAAAAGATGGCGAGCGTTCAGTCGAGAGTTCACAGGCAGAGTCAAACAACAAAGACGCTGATCAACCATCGATACCTGCAGCGTCTTCGTCCGCTGAGCCATCATCGACACCCACAAACACGAAATCCCTCCAGCAAAGAGAACCGCTCGCCGTTTCTGGAAATGAGAGCGAGCAGCAGCAGACAGAGTCGGGTACCACACATGTTTCTGAGCCGACTGAAAATACTCCTCCCAGTGCTGATGGAGCAGAACAAGATGCCATGGAAACGGTTCCAGAGAGCTCCAGAGCAGAGGGTGCAGGAAGTCCTGAACCGTCCACCAGTTCACATGTTCCCAGCTCTTCTGCTGGAGAGTCAGGCCTCAGCACAACCAACCCTGAGCCCGAGTGTCCTCCAGAGGAGATGGATGTAGACAACAAAGACTGTAAGAAATCCAAACCTTCCAGTGACGCTGCAGCTTCATGTCTGGATGCTCAGGTAGAGAAAAAGGAAAGTCTGACCCCGGTATCTTCACGCAGTCCTGAACACAAAGCCGAGGAGATTACTGACATCCTTCAGAGCTCCGAGAGCGACAGCAGAGCTGCTGTCTCAGCAGAAAGTTCATCTGCTGAGGGCAGTGTGACCACAGAAGCATCTTCTGAATCTAAAGTAGACAGCAGCTCAGAGCCTATGGAGGTGACACCTTCAGACGAGAAACAAGAGTCCACTTCCTCTGGAGAAGAGCAGACTCACAGCGCCGTCCAATCAGCAGCTCAGACCGACTCCAGCAACAGCGCCTCAGGGAGCTCCTCCCCACAATCCGGAGACCGGGACTCCGACTCATCGGGGGCTAAAGTTAAGATCCGCTCTTCAGACGAGGACATCGACATCCACGTCCCCCATCCGCGCAAGAGGAAGATGCCCAAGGTGTTGAACTCGCAGCCGAGCTCCACGACTCAGCAGGACAGGGAGCGGGGCCAGCAGTCTCTGGCCGCCATAGTGGACTCTGTGAAACTGGAGGAGATCGAACCGTATCAGACGGAGAGGGCCAACCCGTACTACGAGTTCCTGCACATCAGGAAGAAGATCGAGGAGAAACGCAAGGTGTTGTGCAGCGTCACCCCCCAGCCGCCGCAGTATTATGACGAATATGTGACCTTCAATGGATCCTACCTCCTGGATGGGAACCCGCTCAGCAAACTCTGTATACCAACAGTAAGTCAGTGTCATCATTATTATCGGGGCTCAACAGAGCGACAATTTCACTCACATTTGCGACTAAAAAATAGATGTGTGCGAATTGTAAAATGTATTTAGGGGCACATGTGCGCATATAAAAAAATCAGCTGAGGCAACAAATGTTTTTTCATGTAAATACCGCGGCGAAGTAGTTATAGGTTGGATAGTCGACGGACATTCACTGCAGATCTACCGGTGTCTTCTCACTCTCCATAACCTGAAACAGCAACAGCAGCGCGGTTAAATCTACTCGGCACCCTCGCTGCCAACGTCGGGTGTTGAATAAGGGACCGTCAATAAATTACCTTCTCAGAAAAGGCTGTTTTCCTTCAATAGCTTCCATGCCACATGACCAATTGACCTAAAATTGAGTTCAAATAATAGTACTAAGGTTGGACAATAAGAAGCACCTCTTTATTTCCCTAATTTGTCCTCATTAGTTTTTTTGTGTAAAATTTAAAGGCAAATTTAAAAAATTTTCTTCAATAGCTTCCATGCCATGTGACCAAAAGACCCAAATTGAATTCAAATAATAGTACTAATGTCGACCAATAAGACAAACACTGGCTTTGTCCAGAATGGGTCCCTAACCCCCATATAGGCGACGATATGGGGGTTAGCGCCATTTTGAGGGGTGTCGGAAATCTGAGTGATCAATTCCAGTGCCCCATATAGGCGACTCAAGATTTCCCATAGAGCATTGCAAAATTTTGTGACCATCCGATGGTCACTCATCAGTGGTAAGATGGAGAGGACGAAAGCAAGAAGAGACAGAACCCGAGCTCTATTTGCCATTTTCAGCCTAAGTTTTTTTTATCTTCACACGCAAGTGATCCGTACAGTATTTAAAAAACAATTGTTTGCTGCGTCATATAGTCTCGTGCACAATATAACACAGCAAACAATATTAAATGAAAATATAAGGCCTTTTAAATAAATTATTGATTTTGTAATTTCACGAACATCCTGGAAAAACAAATCCATCTGCACAGCATCATAAAATTCAAGAGATGTGAAAACAACAGCTGCAACTTCAGACGCAGCAGTCTGAGCAGTGACGTCACAACGGTACGCCATGTTGTGTCCGAAACCTCTGATGATTGAGCTCACTACATAGTCAGCTATATAGCGAAACCCCATATAGGGGTCAGGGGTCAGGGATTGAGTGATTCATTTCAGACACAGCCATTATTTGATCAATTTTCATTGTGCCCCTCAAGTTCTTTTTGTGCTTTTTACTTTTTCGACTTAGGTGAAAAAAAGTTCATTCCAAGCCCTGATTATTTATGTTTATTTGTTCTGATCAAAACTCTCATGTTTGATTCTTGGATGCACATCACCATATGACCTTAGCGTGTTTAGAAAGAAAGAAGAAAGAAGGAAAAGGCGCTCTTTTTCTACCTGGTCCTGACCCGATGAACTGAGCAGATATTTAGTTATGTGAGCAGTTTAGGCAGTGTGAGGTTAAACAAAGAAACTCCATTAATGAAAGAAATCTTCACTGTGTCCTTCTCCGATGTTTGAACAGATCACTCCGCCTCCATCTTTACCCGAGCAGCTGAAAGAGATGTTCAAACAACAAGAGGTCGTCCGCATGAAGCTCCGTCTACAGCACAGCATTGAAAGGGTACGTGGTCTTCCCCTCTGAGTGTTGTGTTTTGGTTTTTGGCTGAGTACCTCTTTGCATTGTAGAGCCACTTAAAGCAGCTCTAATGGAGCACGTTGTAGAAACCGCCTTTTATGGAGTTTTAGGGACATTGTGAAGTTGGGCTCTGTCTTTTTATCTCCCCCTGAAGACCTTAAACGAATATCAGTGCTGCGCTTACACAATACTCTGACTCAATCACAGTATTATTAGTAATTACTGTTTTTTCCTCTCTCTCTGTCTCTCTCTCTCTCTCTCCAGGAAAAGCTGATTGTTTCAAACGAACAGGAAGTCTTGAGAGTCCATTACAGGGCAGCGAGGACTCTGGCCAATCAGACCCTCCCGTTCAGTGCCTGTACCGTTCTACTGGACGCTGAAGTGTACAACATGCCTCAGGACGTTCAGGTAAGCGAGGTGTGGCAACAAATCTATTTACCGCTGAGCTTCAGTGTTTTTTTGTTTTATTCTCCATCATTAATGATTTCCTTTGAGGGAGACACTTTCACTGACGGGCTGTTGTGTTTGTTCGCAGAACGATGACGGCAAAACGTCGGTGAGAGACCGATTCAACGCCAGGCAGTTCATGTCCTGGTTACAAGATGTTGACGACAAGTTCGATAAGCTGAAGGTGAGACGATTGTTTTAGTTACAAGAGAAGATACAAGTGTTCAAACTCGGCACAGAAATGTAAAATAATCTTTAAAGTTTATGAATGAAATGTTTCAGCGCAAGATCTTCAACTTTCACCTACAGCCTGCAAATTTAAATTTAAACTTTAATTTTAGGTGTCACTGTTTATTTTTTTCTATTTTTTTAGTTATTTTTATTTATTTATTAATTTATTTATTTATAATTTTATTTTATTTATAATTTAAATTTTAATCATATTTATATTTTATTTTGATTCTAGGAGTGTCACTGTTTAAACAGACCAATTTTTTTTTTAAATTTATTTATTTATTTATAATTTTATTTCATTTCTAATTTTAATTAAAATTTTATTTTGATTTTATTTCAGTTTTCGAAGTGTCACTGTTTGATCAGACCAATCAGAATCAAGAAGGGGTTGGATTTTTAATATCAACATCTCTGTTAAATTCCCATATGATGACCCTGACCCTCTATCAGATGCACTCTGAAATCAGCGTCTATTTAAGAACAAAGACTGTATATATACGGTTTAGGTTCGCTGTAGAAACTTCATTGTCATTCAGGCTTTATGAAGTTTTCTGATTCTGAATTAATGAATGCAGATTTGTTGAGATCCAAGCTTTTAATTTGAACACATTTCACCATAAAGTTCCCTCTTTAAGGCTGAAAAATAACAGCTTTTTAGGAGCCTTTGTTTATTTTCACTAGGTCACTTTTATTTGAAACTCTTTGTTGGAGTAATCTTGTAAAAAGATTAAAAAGGATGGAGATCCTTTTTTTCTGGTTTATATAAAATTCCTCCTCATATTCCTGAGAGAAAAATCTTTTATCAGATCTCCTCGACTTCCTCTGTGGTTTGTTTACAGCTTGGAGGTCGTTGTTTTCTTTTACAAGTTATGTGTCATTGATTTTCTGCAGACGACCAGTAAAACTTTCCAAGATGTAAACGCTCTCTGAGAGGACACTCCACGGTTTTACAGTCTGTCTACGACCAACAGACAGATGCTTTTCTCAACAGCAGGAATAGATTTTTTTGTCTCCCGCTCGTAAAGATTCACCGAGTTATTTGACCCTGGTTCTCCTCCATGTGTAGAAAAATAAACGGGTATACTGGATGGATGAATCACCTTCCCTCTCTTCTGTCCTCAGACATGTCTTCTGATGAGACAGCAGCACGAAGCGGCGGCCCTGAACGCCGTGCAGCGCCTGGAGTGGCAGCTCAAACTGCAGGAGCTGGACCCGGCGACCTACAAGTCCACCAGCATCTTCGAGATCCCCGAGTTCTACATCCCGCTCGTGGAGGTCAACGACGACTTTGACCTCACCCCGATATGAACCGCAGGACAGAAGCGCTTTGCCACAGAGGCGGCCACGTCGGCAACGCTAAACGGCTGCCTGCACATTCGAGGAACGAGGGAGGAAAATGTGAAGCACTTAGAACGTGGCAGAAACACAGAAGAGCACTTAGACAAGAGTTGAGACAACTCCAGAGCTCTTACAGTCCAGACGAGGGCTGAGTGGTCCTCGCTCAGACAAAAAAAAAGGGGGTCCAGGCAGCAGATCGAGCCCAGGGAGCAGAGACCAAACGCCGGACTGGGCGGCGCCGGGAGCTGCAGCGATGAGCGGAGTGTGGACGAAGACCAGCTGCTTCTGCTCCTCATCAGGCAGGGTCACAGTGAAAGATTTCAATTGTTTTCAAAGTGAGTGTTCATACTTTGTGTACAGACTGTGCTCTTAATTTTTTAACTTATTTTATACATAAAAAAACAATTGTGCATTTGTAAATAGTCATGTAATTATTGTTTTAAACTTGTAAAAACAAAAAATAATAGATATTTTGATTGTAAACTCGTTCTGTCTCATGTTTTAATGGACCAAAGTTGGTTTTTATATCGAGTCCTCTTCGTCTGTGATGTTCTCGTTGTTGTTGGCTTAAACTCTTAAGCATGTGTTGGCTTCTGTTGTGTTTCTTTTTTTTTTTTCGTTTTGACTGTTTCTTCCCTCCTCATCTGGAGTTCCACGCCACAGCTGGTGTTTTTGACTTTGGCAATTAAATGCTGTGCATGCGTTGCGTTGTTTGTACTTCTTTCCTAAAAAGCTGTACTGTGGACTTATTGTGAGGTTTACTGAAGTGTTCCAGCTTTTTCGCGCCATTGTGTTCTGTCCTATTTGCGGCCTCACTCCTCGTGTGTCGTCCATTGTGTCTCGCGCACATTAAAGTCTGTTGTGGCTTCCAAGGAGAAAAAAAAAACAAACACTTTTACAGTTTCAATGTGAGATCACAACAAAACCTATTTTTTCAACATAATGCCTTTTGAACGATAGTTCTAAAAAATGTCTATTTTAATATTTACTTGTTACATGACTTGTACATATTTGTAATATATAATTGAATAAATTTTATTTGTTGTGAAATGAAAAGTCGGTGTGGTGTCGTCTGTCTCAGATATAAAGAAGCAGAGTAGATGCTGACTCTGGGGTATTTTCATGTTTTATTTTTATCATTTGAAGGATTTACTTTAAAAAAATGAGGCTTTTCTCACTTCAGTTTAGAGGGTGCAGTACCGTACTTGGCCAGTAGATGTCACTGTACACAACACTGCACATAGAAGTCAACACAGCATGCTGACAGGTAGTAGATGTCTCTATAAACACAAATATAATCTATGTCACAGGAGCAACCATGGCCCCGAATAAAGACTTCCTTTTTTTAACTACGCAACCCTCTCATAAACAAACTCATTTAGTTTGTCCTTTGGTCTCAACAACAGGCAGAATTAGAAAATGAAACATGGAGTATTGATTTTTACATTTTAGTCCCACTCTTAAAGCTCCTGTGAGGAGTTTTTGGTGTTTATGAAATAGTCTCAAACCTATTTATGATATAAAAAAGCAAACAAGACCATCAGCAACTTGACCGATGATTTTTATTGTTTATTCTTCATATCTGAAATAAGTGTGAATATGTAGGTATCAATCAAGCAGCTGAACAAACAGCCCTGATTTTTCATTGGACGGTCAAAGGTCAGCAGGATGGGATTTGTTTTTAAAGGACCATCCAGAATGGAGCGGTCAGCAGTGATGTTGAAGAAAGAGCTGAGCCATAAGGCGAGACTCTTGATTCACCAGTCGATCTACGTGCCGATCCTCACCTATGGTCATGAACTTTAGGTAATGGCCGAAAGAACAAGATCACGGATACAAGCAGCTGAAATGGGTTTCCTTGGCCGGGCTCAGCCTTAGAGATAGGGTAAGGAGCTCGGACACTCGGGAGGCGCTCAGAGTAGAACCGCTGCTCCTCGAGAGGAGTCAGCTGAGGTGGCTCGGGCATCTAGTTAGGATGCCTTCTGGACGCCTCCCATTAGAGGTGTTCCAGACATGTCCCACCAGGAGGAGACCTCCAGGACCAGGTGGAGGGATTATATCTCTCACCTGGCCTGGGAGCGCCTGGGAATCCCCTCGGAGGAGCTGGTGGAAGTGTCTGGTGTGAGGGCCGTCTGGGCTTCCCTTTTGAAGCTGCTGCCCCCGCGATCCGACCTGGATGAAGTGGAAGAAACAACGACGACGAATGATGACGCACGTAGAGGAAAAGACAAGCAAAGACTGATTTGTCCAAATTGACACAAACCAAAAGTTCCTCACAGGAGCTTTAAATCCACCTCAGACGATGAAGAAAAAAATCTGATATTTTCTCTCCATCTGATATTTCAATATGACCGCAATATCCACAACTCTTCTCCATGTGTGTCAGATTTATTCTTCTGATGCAATTTAAAACACACAAAAAAATATTTATTGATTTCAGTTCAAAAGCTCCTCAAAGCTTCTAAGAGGGTTTTTTGTAACTGGTGATAAAACAGGCTGAAACGAACAGTCAGTCTTCTTTATGAGCTGCAAAAGAAAACCTCATAATACAGATTTAAGATCATCTTAGATAAAGAGGGTGCTGCTTCATCCAGGGGCGCCAAACTTGGATATTCACTGTGCTTTAAGACATGTTTAGAAGAATTTCAATCTTCATGGGGAGTGATTTGTGGTGCATTTCTTCTTGATTTCTGTAAGATTTACCAACCTTCTCTCTCTGATAAAGAAAGAGACACAACCTCTGACTTAAACTACACAAACTCCCCAAATTCATCATGTGGTGTCGGTGCTGAAAATGATTAAAAATCCATCATCTGCAAAAAGAAAAAATCTGCTGTTTTCACCGCAGGCCTTTTTATTTCATAGTTTGTGCTTCTTGGCTTTAGATACTTGTCTTTTCCACTGCATGACTCAGCATGAAGCATTTTTGATTTCCCAGTTACAAATACTGTGGATCGTTCCAATCTTTCTACCATAATGTCCTGTATTTTGTCTTATTTACACAAACGAGTTTAGACTTTGAGACAAGGAGACTCCAAACTGATCACACAATCCAATACAACTCAACCAAATCAAGCCAAATACCTCCTTCAAGCTTAGATTTTTTGTTGCAATTTAAAATCTGTGGACCTTTATTTGGATTTCCAATGTTTCCACACTTCCCTCCTCGATTGAAGCTTAGATCTCCCTGCCCTGGTCGAGGGTGTGTCTGTTCCTCTCTGACCTTCCTCCTCCTCCCCTGCAGGCTGGAAGTGCGGCCTGTTGCTGCTTTTGATGCAGCAGGCTTAAGAAAACACGTGTAAACAGCAGAGAGCTTCAATGGCCCATCAGAGAGGCTACAAATGAGCGCGGGGACGTCTCTCTGCGGGGGGTCTGTTGTAGCTCCTCAGCTTCCGAATCGCCCTTTTCTCACCTAACGAGGACACTCACAAAGTCCCCTGATAAGACTGCAGACTTTGGGGTGTTTAATGAAGAGGGGGTGAAGATCTTTAAGAGTAAAGGACGCCAAACAGAGTCCACCTGAGCGAGCAAACTCAGGTCCGAGTTCGGGGATTCAGGTGGATTTTACGCACCGGTGTTTTACGCACAGCAGGACGCGGTTGTAAAAGTTCCTCTTGTTGTGTTAAAGGCGTGTTGGGGCGGATCTTTCATGTCCGATACCCTGCAGTCACTCAGCCGGAGTGTGTGTGACCTGAGGCCCGGTGTTTCCTTCCTCAGATGTTGGGGAGAAAATGGAGTGTGTGCCTTTAAGGCGCCCGACTGCCTGTCGCTTTCTGCTGCGGAGAGACTGACGCCCTCTGGACACAGTGGACACTTGAGCGGCAGCAGAGAGAGCACCATCCTGGAGAAGTTCAAAGAGAAAAGAGGCACACTCCCTCTTTAAAAGAAGAGCCCAGGACTTTTTCACAGCGTTGAGGTGAGTTTTCAACCTCTCTTCGTCTTTGTTGGTTCGCCTTTTCTCTTGGCTCGATTGTCTTTGCAGCTGCGTGCGAGTGAAACAAAGTGGTTTGGGTAGTTGTTGGCCATGAGTGTGAAAGAGGTGAAGAAACTGCGGGAGCGAATGTTCCTCACATGTTCCCTCTCTCCGTCATGTGAAACGGAGAGGAAAGTGTTGGGAGTGTAAAAGCGATAAACCGGATTAGAAAGCGAGTTTAGAAAGCGACACAAGAAGAGAACAAAAAGCGAGGTGAAGGAAGCTGATGTTGCCAGATGTGTGTGTTGTTATTCCGCAGTAACGTGAGTGTGTGTGTGTGTGTATGTGTGTGCTGGCTTTGAATGAAATGTGACGCAGGCCTTTAAGGGAAAATGATCCTGATTTAATCCGCTTGTGCAACGTGAAGCTTTGACTTCTTAAACTTTATTTTCAAACACTTTCATCACAGTTTTCAGCTCTTTTGTTGAATCTGTAGCTCTAAAATGAATCTTTCAGACATCAGAGTTCAGATAGTGAGTATCTCATAATGTAAAGAAGCACAAAAATAAAGAGAAAAGGAGTAAAAACACATTATTGATTAAAGTCGAGTGGTTTAAAGTTTACTGAAATACATCAGGAGTTGATGCAGTGCCAAAACTTGAAGTGCAGTTCCAGTCAGATATCTAATTTAACCAAATTTAAGCAACACTGGCCTGACACCTCCATTAAAAATCTAGTTTTAACACATTTAAAGCCAAAATTGTTCTTGAAATACAGTAAATCTTAAATCTTGTGCCAGGTAGACATTTTTACCAAACACAATCAAACAAGTCCTGACCTTTGGCTAGACGTGTGCCTGTTATAAAAGGCTCACTACAGGCTTTTTTTATTCATTTATTTATATTTTGAAAAGCTCAAAGCATGTTGACATTTTTAATAAATAGCATAAAAAAGGTTTCAGTGTACAGGGACTGTCTACAGAGTGCAAAACTGATGAAAAATGCTGCATAAATATTCAAAACTTGGTTAAAGATTTAATCTGCTCGTACAACTTGAAGCTTTGTCTTCTTAAACTGTTTTTTATAACACTTTTCATCACAGTTTTCAGCTCTTGTGTTGAAGTTGTGTCTCTAAAATGAAGCTTTCAGACATCAGAGTTCAGGTAGTGAGTATCCTGTAACATAAAGAAGCACAAAAATTAAGAGAAAAGGAGTAAAAACACATTTTTGATTAAAGTTGGAGCTGATGCAGTGCCAAAACTTGGAAGAGCAGTTCCGGTCCAGATATCTCATTTTACCAAATTTAAACAACATTGGCCTGACACCTCCATTAAAAATCTAGTTTTAACACATTTAAAGCCAAAAATTTCCTTATAAGCTCCTTGGAATACAGTAAATATTAATTCTTGTGTCAGGAAACCTACTGAGAGCAGTTTTTACAAAACACTATCAAACAAGTCCTCATATTTGGCTAGACTTATGCCTGTTAAGAGGCTCAGTACAGGCTTGTGTATTAATTTATTTATATTTTAAGAAGGTCAAAGCATGTTAAGTGTATGTAGACATATTGAAAAAAAGTTTAAGGGACCAGGGACTGCCTACAAATTGCAAAACTGATGAAAGATACTGTGAAAATATTCCATAACTTGGTTAAAGATGCTTTTTTCATGATTTTGAGGCAAATTTTACTCCGTCACACCCACCACCATGTGTTAAAAGTATTTAGTGACTTAAGTGCATTTTAAATACAGTGTTTTTACTCAGGGATATAGAAAAAGACCTGTAGTTTAACATCTTTTTGAGTAAAATGTCTTTAAAATAACTAAACTTTGACTTTTGGAGAATATTTTAGTACTCAGGTTTAGACTCATTGACCTGACCTGAGTATCACGAACCAGAAAATTAGGATTTAAGTGATTGTAAGAAGAAATAAACTAATGCTCAAATTTTCTTAAAGATTCTCCAGATAAAAAAAATTTACTTAAGAAACTTTGACTGAGTTAGATTGAAGTTTGTGAAGAGAATATACAACAAGAGACTGTCAGTTATCTGGATGATTTAGTTTGTTTTTTCCCTCTTTAGTCAGATAAATTTTTAGATAACGGAGCAATCCATTAAAAGTTGACAAAGAGAAACAGCTGCGTCTTCTTGCAAATGTCTAGATTGTGTTAGAAGGTCTCTGCGGCTGTCACTGAGGTGTATTCAAAGAGCGTTTTATCATCCTCGACACTCCCTCTGCAGCTCTTCTCCTCGTCTCCTCGGCTGGAATGTCAGCGTGGAGGTTTTGTTTATTTGTCTCTAAGGTCCTGTGCCGTGTCTCGTGTTGATGTAGGTGTTCCCACTTTTTTTCGCCGTGCTGGTGAGCCGTCAGGATGAGGCCCGCTCAGCTGATCCTCCCTGCCGCCGCCGCTCTGCTCTTCCTCCTGTCGGGCCTGACTCTGACCTCCGGCTGCAACAAGGCCCTGTGTGCCAGCGACGTCAGCAAGTGTCTCATCCAGGTAAGCGACTCTTTTCACACCTGGATGCTCGATGTTGGATCTACAAACCTGTTCGTAACTTAAGGTCAAAGTGATTTCTATCACCGCTGAACTAAACTCCTGAAGTTTAAGAGTTTTTGTTATCATGAGAGTCTCCAAGTTCAAGCTTTCATCCTGCAGTTGTGCAGCTGTTTTGTGTAAACACGGAGTAATACTTCTCCAGAGGAAACACAAGTTAAAGAGTTTTTCTCTAGTCCAAGTTTAAGAGCTGCAGCAGGAGTTAAAGACGTGTTTTAGCACAATTTATGTTCAGATTAATCTGGAAGGACAGACTCAAACACGACAGTAATATTCCTTTGACTGTTGGCTGGAAACTCGTCTCAGCTGTTGTAAATCTTTAAAACCCTCCGCCAGTTTTTGTGGGAGTGCTTTGCATTAAAGAAATGCTCCTCCGTGGCCAAAAGTGGAGTTAAAACCGGCTTCTTAGTCCTGGCCGAGGTGCAGAAATCTGGAGCGGAGAACAAAGATGAAATCTGCGCTGAAGAATGCAGATACATTCCTTCGATAAGCCGAGAAAAGTCTGCAGAGAAAGTTTCCTCAGAGCGAGAAAGAGAGGAGCGGAGATTTGCAGCTTTGTGCTCACCTGTCCTCTACCTGGGGGTCAGGGTCATGCTGTTTTAGAGCAAAGCATCATGGGAGAAACAGCTCATGAGTTCTCTGATCGTTGTGAAGTTTCCTCAAGTTTGGCTCAGTGTTTTCTCCTCAGCCCTGACTCTGACTTTTGACTCCTGTTGACTTTCTCGCATCACTTCCTTTGTGTCACTTCTTCCCTCACGTCTGGGGCCCTCTGGGTGAGGAGGTGTGGGGTGAGGAGGTGTGGGGCGAGGGGGTGCAGACGGGTGGTACCCCGTAGTTAACACAGATTCAGTCATGCGTTCTGCTTATTTTGAGGGAAAACATGAAGAGGAGTGTTGGCCCGTCCTTCCACCACCTGTCAGCTCACATTTGAGACGCTGCTTGTCCTCTGAGTGAGCGTGTTCAAGTGTGTGTGTGTGTGTGTGTGTGTGTGTGTGTGTTTAGTGGTCCAGCCTCTCCCATTAGCATCTTTAAAGTACTGTGTTTAACCTCCGCGGCCGTTTCACCTCTGTGACCTCGAACAGTGTGAGTGACGTGGAGGTAGATTTTTAGAGTTAGTGAGTTTAAAACTGTTTCTGTTATAAAAAATACAGACTTTGTTTGAAATTAGGTGTCAGTATTTTTGAATTAGCACCATTTTGGGACTGTAAACATCAACTTTGGACGTACATAGTCTTTTTTTTAAAGTTTGGCAGCTTTAAATGATTCTTCTTTGTTGAGTTACCTTCACAAAGTTAAAAAAGGAGTTTTTTTATTCCTCTATACTCAACGTTAAAGTAGATTTGATCAGTGGAGATAACCCTCCTTGTTTGGGGAGGTCTAAATGTAAGAAAACACTCAGGAAAGACATGACCACAAAGTAAGTGAGCAAACAAAAGCAAGTTAGTTTATTTCGCGTGGCACCTCCAGCCTTTAACTTGTCATGTTGGCACATAGGCCAGCTTAAGCACAGCCTCCTCCAAACAACTGAACTAGGTTTGATGGGGTGACCATATTCTGACTTCTGGAAAAGAGGACACGACCACGTGGGGGTGGAGTCACGGAGTCGCACAAAGTTAATTTTGAGAGTTTTTGGGGTTGGATTTTATGCGCTTCTAACTCTGTAAGTCCACGTGACACAAAATCAAAACTTACGGACAAAACCGTGGACATTTGAAGGACAGCCCCCAAAAATAGTTAGGGTATAAAAGGATGTTTGGTCACCCTAGGGATGGGCGATATGGGCTAAAAAATGTATCACAACAAGTTTTGCCGTTCTGGCGATAATGATAAAAGTCATGATAAAAAATATTCTGTTGAAGAACCCCACAGTCATTGTTCGTGGATGGCACTTACAGCCAAATAAGATCCTTAACCACAAGTTTAAGTCGTAGGTTATGGAGAAAACTGACATCAAACAAGTCTGAAATGTAGAAACACTGTCAACATTTATTCAAAACTCTTACTGCACAGAGTGAACAGCAGCAGATCCACTGACCGATGTCAGGCAGACCTGACTGCCATCGTCTAAACCCCGATCTTGAAGTTCATCGCATTTATCGTGAGATGGCATCATTGAACCATCATTTATCGCCCATCCCTAAACTGAACCTTTTTCTAGATCAAATTTCAGGTTAACATCATTAAATATCTTGACGATCTTGAAGTGGATGGATTAGGACAGACGTATCAGGGCAGAGGCTCGTGGGGCTGTTGATATAAAAAAAAGTAAAACGGACATTGAAATGATCGTTGAATAATTCAGATGTGCATATTATGTGACATTTTCATCAGGTGACATGTTTGATACTGGAAGTGCTGTTGCAGAAAGAGACCTCTGGTTGTTGTTCTTAATAAAGTTATGCATATTAAACTGAAGCTACTCATTAACCTGATCATTGTTTTGCTCATAATTTGGTCAACCAAGTGCTAACTAGCGAGATGATGCCATTTGATCACCAAACAAGCAAAACAGAAGCATGCTACATCTTCATTATATGTTATCAACATTTTGAGAGTAAATGTTTGGCCTCATTGTGCTTCATTTGGACTATAAAGTGATTTAAAGTTCCTCTGAGGTCAACAAACCTGAAAGCAGATGCAGAAATACTTCAGTTCTGTTCAGACAAACACGACTGTTAAAAATGCTAAATCAAAGATTTCAATCAGCAAACTGAGAAAACAGGTCAAGTTACAAAGCAGTATTTGCATTTCTAACTTTTCTTTTGATGCAGTTTAAAGTTTTCCTAAATGAGACAAAGTTTGCAGAACGTCTGTTGCACAAGGACAGAAGTTTAAAGATGCAAAACACCCAAACAAACCCATTTATTCTTCACAGTGCATCATTTTTCTGACCTCCACTTTTCTCCAGAACTGTCATTGGTGTTTCTGGCAGTTCGCTCTCTATCCTCGTTCTGAACTGAAAGATTGAAGTCCAAACAGATTGATTATTATGGTTTCTAAATTAAAGGAAACGTCTTGTTTTCACTGAAAATAAAGTGTCTCTCTGCTCCCTTTTTTCCATCCTAACATTTTTTGGCGTTATTCTGCCGCTGAAGGACAACAAACTCCTGTCCCTCTCGGGTTCGTTCGGCCTCTTTAAAACTCCACTCCTCATGTGATCAGCAGAACATTTTTGGCTCTGCTTGCTCCTCTTTACTTCCAGGTGGCTTATTTCTCCTCATGAATCATCGCTCGGATCAACAAAAGCCCCTGTAGCTTCCTCGACCTCCCCGACACCAACTCGCTAGCTGTCAGGGCCGAGAGCGATGGTGTGTGTGCCGTCAAGGAGAAACTTTTCCGCCTCTCGCCGCTCTGCAGAAGCTCCACGTTGTCGGTGATTAGTGCGATCTGCTGCCCGACACTCGCTTTTACGCTCTGCTGCCATTTCAAGTCATTTGTCTGAATTCCCCAAAACCCCTGAGGGTGGGAGAACACGAGAGAGGGGAGGCCGAGGTCAGGAGGAGGTGTGCGTGTCTGTGGGGGGAGGATGGTCGAGAGAGGGATATACAGTCGGGATTGAATCACACGCAGAGCGAGCTGGTTAGCAGGGTGGGGCTGCTCAGAGATCTCCGAGTTAACACACAGCAGCAGCAGGAGCAGGAGCAGGACGAGGCTCTGAGTTCACTTTCCCTCCTTTTGTCTGGAGAGTTTTGACGGATGACAGAAGTTTCCTCTGAAGAGAGTCTAATAAGGCCTCATCAAGATAACCTCGGTCGTTAAAGTGGGGGGACAGTTTGAGCTGCAGATGTTAGAGCTGATCCGTCTGCAGGTTTTGTTTCAAGTGATGCCGTGTTATCGCTCCTTTTGCCCTCGAGTTCAACAATGATCATCTTTTCCCCTTAAAAGCCCAAGTTAAGCTAACTCCCTCGCCTGTTTCCTCGCTCAAGCCTCGACTTTTTTCTCTTACTGTGAAATACGAGATGTAGCTGAAGTGTTTCTCCCCCGAGGCAGCTGTTTGGCTTTTGATAATCTCACCTCAGAGAGTCGTAATAACTCCTGGGATCAGATCCTGATCAGAGGTTTGGGGACTGAGAGGCCGGTGATTAAGCGGGACTGTGTGTGGTTTAGCAATCCTTCACCGGTGACTCACTGAGAAGTCTTTTATCACTGCCAGGACTGTTTACGTGTAGGAGAAAGAGCTTCTGCGGAGATATAAAGGAGGAGCAGAGGGAGTGAAAACAGGGGTAAGAAAGGAAAGGAGGGAGGAGAGACGAGGAGAGGAAAAAACACGGGGAGAAAGGGAGGGAAGGAGGGGGGAAAGTGTGGAGCAGCCATGTTCTGTTCTCCAGGTGTTTTCTTCTCCCTCCCTCCCCCTCCTCGTCTCTCTCTCTCTCTCCCCCCGTCGCCTCCCTCATCGCGCTGACCTTGACGTAGAGGAATGTGCTCCCTGTTCTGTGTCAGGAGAGAAGAGAGGAGGCAGAGAGGAGCTCCTCTGGCTCTGCTCTCACCTACTTTTCAGTCCCACCTACACGATTCAGTTTCCTCAAAGACCGGAGCGGAGGAATGACTCTGTTATTTTTTTTAAGGTTCGAGTGTCTGCAGAGGAGCAGAGGGATCAGGTTCAGGTTCTTGGATGTTTGCTGAGACTTGTGCTGTAATATAACCTTCCTGCTAACGTGAGGATGAATCAGCAAAAGATTTTCATGGTTTCCATGAGCGATGATCCAGAGCTTACCTCAAAAATTCAGTGAGAAGAAGTCCAGACTTTTGACTCGTCATTTCCCTTCTACTTTTTTTTTGCTTCTGCTGCACTTTTGCAACCGAGAGCCGGCCCAAGCTTCGAAGGGGCCCTAAGCAAAATTAGATTTTGGGGCTCTCTATTTCTGTCAATAATATTGATTGTTGATCATTCACATACCTTCACAAATGTCTTTAACATTCCGTGTCACGCAAACATACCTTTATCTTGGCGTTTTTCCTCTTCTTCCTCTTTCTTTCTCTTTCTTTTGTCTTCTCCTGAAGGATATGTGCTTTTTTGCGACATGGTTTTAAACGCACATCTACCCGGAGTTTGGATGGTCATTGCACAGCAGAAGGTAGAAAACGGTAGCGGAGTAAGAATCATAGGCCTGGATGGATGGATGGATGGATGGATGGATGGATGGATGATAGATAGATAGATAGATAGATAGATAGATAGATAGATAGATAGATAGATTGATTGATTGATTGATTGATCCACATGGGGAAATTTGTCTTCACCAACTGTACATTACATAAAAGGACAAAAATCACATAGGACAGACCTTAAGGAACAGACAACTAATGACAAACACCCGGACAACAGCAATCGGCAACAAGCCGCAAGGAGGCAACAGGACAGATTATTTACCGGGGCCGACTATTCAGGGCATCTATAGCTGCAAGCGGGCCTTGCGAAACTTTAGGGTTCCGTACCTGCGCCCTGAGGGTAGGAGGTTGAAGTATTTTTTGATGTCTTGTGCTATGGAGTTTGCTATGCGGCAGCAGCAGTACTAAAATATTTTTACTTTATTTTATTTTAACAATAATATATATTTGATCATACAGAAAGCATCGCTCATACATTCAAAAATTTTAAAAAATGTGATTTTTTTTTTTTGATTGCTCTTTGGGGCCCCCTACTGGCTGCGGGGCCCTAAGCAGGCACTTTGTTCGCTTATGCTTTGGGCCGGCTCTGCTTACAATAGACAAGTCTTGTGTCTTTGTAAATAACACAGTTTATCATAGAGGATAGTCAAGACCTGGGCTTTAGCAGCTTGATTAGGGCTGGGCAATATGGCCTCAAATCAATATCACGATATATTGAGCAGTTCACCTCGATAACGATAAATGGACGATAACTACTCCACAAGCTGCTCATCCCCTCCCACATTAACTTCGTCTACTTCAGCCGCCGCTACAACTTTTGAACCGTCTGACGTAGGACAGCGTTTTTGTCACTGAATATATTGACATGGGCAAAATGATGTCGGTTATTTTTGTAAATTTCGGTATTGGTAAATTTTCATTTTATCACCCAGCCCTAACCTTGAGATAATCTGGGCAAGACTTTGGTTGCTTCACACGAGTTTGATTTCAGTTTAAGACCCTGTATTTGATCTATAAATGAGTATCCATCAGATATATGATATGATGTGCAAAAATGATATAATGATACAAGTATTTGTGTTGATTTGAAGCTCTTACTGATAATAGGGATGAGCTAACTCCTATATTTCCATCTAAATGCACTTGATAAGTCATTCATAATTAAATCAATGAATGGACGCTTTTCTGACACTCCTGAGCTCTTCACATCTTGTAATAATTCAAGGTTTTCAGGCCCTGATTTTCAAGGAAATAGCCGGTCACAGAGAGGAGATAATCTCTGTTGAATTCACTCTCATAACTTGAAATACTCTGGTTGGATTTGACAAAAGCAGGCCTGGGTATCTGTGACTCACTCCAGCTCTGAACCCGTTCTAGACGTTGCAGATTTGTTCATTTCTTTTTCACCTTTATTTATTTGATCTTAACAGCAGCATAAATCTCTCAGGATTAAACCCCCAGTGGGACTTTTGCAGTCCTCTCTGAAGTCGGTCTGATCTGCCAGGACCTGCTGTGTCAACATTACGTCATTTGTGACGCAGTCCAGGACGTGTTGTGAGGGGAGAGTTTGGCTCGGCTCTACCGAGAGATCTAATGACACAGCGAAGAGACAATTCATGTCGGGGACGAAGCACGCACGACATGACGAAGCATTTACCTCAGAGTAGAGAGAGAGTGAAAGACTGAAAACAACCGAGTCTGCACATCTCATCACTGCCTGTTGACACTGTGGACAATATAAATGAATTTCTGTCTCAGGTTTTGTGTTCAGGTCCAGATCTCGCTCACTAAACCATGATAATAACTCGCAGACCCATCGGCTCAGTAACACTGACTGAGATCGGCATAAAAACTCTGCTCAGGCATGAAAAAGCGAACTGGAGCTGCAGGGTTCTGGGTCAGGACTCACTCTGACCTTCTCTCTTGTTAGATGTCTGCATTTCAGACCTGAACAGTTATGACACCAACTAAAATGCTAAAAAAAAGGATCATTCTTGGTCTTATTTTGGTGATTTCTGTTTGTCCTGAAGCGCACTACTTCTTTAGATAAAATCTTCTTCATGTCAGAGCCCGCTTCTTTTATTGTAAAGTTATCTCTGTATTGTGTCGCTGGAGTCAACATACTTGAATAAATGCCGCACATGCCAGGTGTTGAGTACAGTAGGCCTGTCCTGTATCGGCTTGTGTGTGATAATAGTTACTGTACATGAAGCAAACCTGCTGTTGCTCCCGTGTTGATGTTTTAATGGTACGTCTTCTGTTTGCACAGCACGTCTGCATGTCTGCTCTGATTTTTAACTCTTGTGAGACCTGGTTTGAAATACTGTTAACATGGAGTTTGTGTGTCTTTGTGTCCTTCAGGAGCTGTGTCAGTGTCGTCCGTCAGACGGGAACTGTTCGTGCTGTAAGGAGTGCATGCTGTGTCTGGGGAACCTTTGGGAAGAGTGCTGCGACTGCGTGGGTGAGTACGGCGTCTCGTCTATTAGTAACATATTTTACGGCTGACGGCGGGTTAGTCAGCGTATCATTTCGGAGCTAAACTATAACTCTGGAGGAAAACGCTGCGATCTGTAATGTGGTTCAGGTTCAGACAGGCTGGTGATGACGACGGAACACCTGCAGGATAAAAACGACGGTACGAACGTTGAATTGAAGGAGTTTAATTTGAGGTTAGGTGAAGTCTGAGCGTGCTGACCCCAACCCTAATTTTGCACTGGTGTCTTTATTAGTTCAGTCATATGGTTCCTAGGGGTGGGAATCACTAGTGGCCCCACAATACAATATTATCACGATACAATATTATTGTGATTTTTAACACATTGCAATAATTAAGTATTGCAATACCATATATTGGGATTTGTACAATTTTTTCAACTGTTTTTCTACTTCAGTATTTGTCTTTCCTTGATGTTTGTCTCATTTACGCTGTATTTTATTTTCTTTTATCACATTTTACAAACCTTAAATATATATTTCTCCTGCTCTATAACGTCACCTCTGCCAACCTCACTGGACAAACAGTTGAAATTATTTTTCCATGATCATAGATTTGACTTTATGTTAGCAATTAATTGAAAAAATCGATACTTGGCAAATGAGACGATAGGATATATCACCAGTCAAAATATCGTGATACAAAGCTGTCTCGATTTTTTTTCTCTCCTAATGGTTCCTGTTAAATTTTGAGTCGCTCACTTCACTTATCAGGTTTGTACGAAGGTCAAAAAACACAAACAAATAATAAAACAACTTATAGCAGAATTGTAAAATAATCTATAAACACATACAAACTTCAAATGTGTATTTTTAAAGCTCCTGTGAGTAACTTTTGATTCCCGTTGACATTGGCGCCCCCCTGTGGACAAAGTGATACCTCTCATCTTCTGTCCTGTAAATGTGAAAGTGGTGTTTTCAGACAAAACCTCATCCTGTTGACTTTTAACAATGACTTTAATCACTTCCTGTGAGTAAACTGTAAAAAAAAAGTCAGAGTTTTCACAGTCTGCTGTCAATCATCTGGTCTGACACCTCCCCCCCTCATGATGCTGTTAACAGGGTTCCTACGCAAGTATGGAAAGTATGGAAGTAATTTGATCAATTTCCAGGTCTTAAAATCTATGGTAAATGAAAAATAAAGTACGGAAAAATATTAAGGTTTCCAGACTATTATCAAAGTAAAAAAAATAATGTTTCCTAAAATAGACAAGTAGGTGATTCCAAAAATATTTCTGAAAAGTAGGGTATGGAAAAGTATGGAAAAGTATGTGGAATATATTGGCACGGGCAAAATGACGCTGGTTATTGTCGTAAATTTCAGTATCGGTAAATTTTCACTTTATCGCCCAGCCCTATACAGACACCTTATATGCAGCTTACAGTTAGAGAAATCTAATTAGTGTTGAGTGCTGCTGAAACAGAGGTTTGTATATTTATTAAATGCATATTTAAAAATGTTTAAGAAAGAGATTATTTGCCGTTGAATTTAAAGTATAACTTTGCAGTACACAACAGAAAAATACATGTGAATGACTCCGTGCCCATAAGTTGCATGAGATATGTGAGTGAAACCGACAGTGTTTTTGGTCTGTAAGTGCATCTTTCTGGTTCTCTGACCACTCAGTCTCTGCAGATTGTAAAATAATGATATCAACTCTGGCGCTAATCCATGCATGTGACACTTCAGCCATGTTTCAGTCTTGTTAATCTCTCCGTCGCCTTTGCAGCACACAACACGTTCTCTGTGAAATCTCTGTGAAAGCTGAGATTGCGGATATAAAGCACTCGACAGCAGAGAAACACGCGGATCTAAAAAAGGACTCGGTTTGCTGGAGTGTTTCTGCTCTGATACTGGATGAGTGTGCGTGAGTGAAGCCAGATCCTGGAGGTGCCTCTGAGAGGTGACAGTGTGGAGGTTAATGTGAAGCAGAACCAACGGGGCCGCCGTGTATGAGCGCAGAGGAAATTAAAGGAGAATTGATACGGCTAAGTGGCAGCCACACATGTGGACAGGAAGCCTCCAGGTTTTTCCAGAAGATGAAAGGATGAAGGAGCCGGAAAAGAGAGGGGACACAGGGGTCGACCTGTGAGCGACGAACTTTGACTTTCAGACTCCTGCTGACGGAGAGAAAGGGTGTGGATCCAAAACAACCGGCTTTAAGAAACAGGAAAAGTCTGGCTTATTGGATCTTCTCTACATCTGTAAACTACTTCAGATCAGCAACACTGAGACTGGGTAACAGATTTAAAGATGTGGAAAAAGTCTGATATTTCAGGTCTCAGATTTATGACCCACTTCTCAGATTATGAGACAAGAGCACGAACCCCATTCTCCCTCCTGCTTTTCTCTGCTGCTGTGTTACGTCATTTCTTTGTCGAAATATTTAACATGTTTTTGTGAATCTGTGGTTCATGGTGGACTTGTTTTAACTTTGGCAGTTAATGTCTTAAGGTTGTTGGGCATCTTCGTTGTGTTTTTTGCAATTTTATTACTTCTGTAGACATTTTCTTTTGCATATGTTTGGTTACCTCTTGCGGCTTTGTGGTGTCAGTGAATCTCTTGAGCCTTTTTCATATAACGAGCTGGCGATGCGAAATTTGTGGCCCTGTTACCTCCAGTACGAATATCTGCAAGATGTGAAAGTGGAACCAGGTTGTCGTACGATTTGTACTGGCCTTGGAGGTAATGAAAGAGGCACCTAGACAATGTCCCTTTGAACCGGAAGAGATTTCTTTTTCATACTGAAGTTGGTATAACTAGAGAAGCAAGCAGTTGGCAACATCACTGGACGGGGTGTCTAACTCTATGTTTGGATGTGTTTGACCTTAAATTAATTTTACACCGGAATATTCCTTTAATCGTGCTGGTAGCTCACCATCTTGGGTCGTGAGTGATGCACAAAAAGACTGACGTATTTACATATGTCAGCATACACCAAATATATGTTTTCTGCCCTCCACAAAACAACAACTTAGCAATATTTTCTAAAATCCGTCCTCATGGATTTTAGACCATTTTCAGTGACCTAAAATTCGACTAAATTTTCAGAAATACCCACCTGGGTGTGTAAATGGGGCCTGAGTGTGTAGATCCAGCTGTGTGCTAGTAAAACTACACACTGGGACACCATTAATGCGCCATTGTGGGGGAGATTTGTAAAGTATTGTGTTTGTTTCTCCTTCCAGCAATAGACAAAATGTTGAGAACCACTTTTTATGAAGTTGTTCCAGTCTAACAAGGCTTTGGTTTTACACTGAGCGTGTCTGTTCAGTAATTGAATCATAATATAAACTTGTTTGGATGGAGAACTGTGCAGATGTTTCCCTTCAAACTCTGTGGCGGGTCGAGAAGTTTTGTTAGTCAAGGTAAAACTCGTCTCCCTCTGCTTCCTTGTTTTTTCCCTGGTTTAAAAGGATTAAAAAACAACAACAACAACACCTGTTTCAACTCAACTCAAATATTTAAACACTCTGACAATGCCAAAGAGTGAGTAATGTTCACCTGTCAGGACTGAAACAGGAGAGAAATGAGGGAACATGGCGCCACAAACATGTCGATGGGAAAACTATTGAGTGCTATCTAAGAGGAAACTACCGCTAACCTTTAAACACGTCAAAGATACCATGAAGGAGGAGGAAGTTAGCGGTCGGCTGCAGTATGCGAGCAATTAAAGCTAAAGTGGTTCAGTTCAATTCAGAGGAGCTACAACAATACAGGATGTGACAGAGTCGGAAACTGGAGCCTGATGCTCTCGACTTCTGCTCTCTGCTCGTCTCAGCTTTGACCGACAGATATTGCTGTTTGTGCTGACAAGTCAGCTTTCTTCAGGCTCTTTCATGTGGAAAAGAAATACAAGTCGGCGACACTGAGTGCTGAACGTGCTGCTTCTTCTTCTGCTGCTGCAGCACAGATGTTGTGGTGCTGGAGTTTTCCTCCAGGACGGGCCTTTTACGACACACCGATGACAGCCTGTAGCTTTAAGCGAGCGTATTTCTCTCATTTATATGTTTTTATTTTTTCTTACAGCGCCACTTTGAGTAAGTTTCCACTCTAAACATGTTATCTGTGCCAAACTCCGGCTGCTTTGAAGTGTGAATCTGTGAGCGGTTATTGCAGCCCGGCAGAGGACAGTTTGTATTTTAGACGGAGGGAGGAGGAGGAGGAGGAGATGGAGGAGGAGGAGGAGGAGGGAGGACACGAGGAGGAGGACCCATGTGTACACTTTATCTAAAACAGCTGCTCTGGCTCTGCTTTGAGCGCCGGCCTGTAATCCTATTCCTCTTTCAAACTGCGCTCCCCATTAAATGATTTACCCATTAGCTATAATTCACTTTGACTCATTGGAAGGGTTAGAAAGATCCTATCTGAGGATGTGGGGACTTTATCGGGTGATTACTACCGTATTTGGAAATGAAATGAAGTGTTCAAAGGGGTCTTAATTGAGACAAGATACTGTTGACAGCAGTGTGGTTTCTCTAAATTGCTCTTGTGAGTTGAAATCGAGTGTGAAACTATTGAATGTGTCTATTGTGAGTAAAGTTCAATTTACAGCTGATCCTTGTGTTTTCACTGCGCTTAAAGGGTCAATCCGCTGAAATTACTTAAGGCAAACATTCAAGGCTGCAGCAGAGATACATATTTGTCTTTCAATTTAATTTTAGAAAGAGCTTTTAAAAAAAAAGTACACATGGTTGTCTTTAGACATGAACTCAATGTCCTTAAAAATCATAAAACGGAGTAATACGATGAGCAGCTCTTGAAAAATCTACATTCCTGAATAAAAACGAACTTTATTTTGATTAACTCTTTCTTGTCGTCGTTCCTCTTTCTGATTTCAGGGATGTGTAACCCCAAGAACTACAGCGACTCTCCGGCCACGTCAAAGAGCACGGTGGAGGAGCTGCACCGTCCCATCCCCTCGCTGTTCCGCGCCCTCACAGAAGGCGAAGCGCCCATCAACATGATGGTGGTCTCCTTCCCCGTCGCTGAGGAGCTGTCCCACCACGAGAACCTGGTGTCCTTCTTAGAGTCGCTCGACAGCACGCATCAGAACGTCTCTGTGCCTGGAAACAGCATCCACGCCAGCTATGACAATCAAGGTAATGAAGCGAGTTTGCTCCCAGCTCGCTTGTTAGACACAAATCCTATCCGGCAATTACGCTGAGAATCCCTGGCACTGTGCTGACTGTACCTGTACCACCTGTAGTACTTCCAACTCAAGCAGCTTTACATTGATGTTATCAAATGCAGAAAGAAGACTTAATTTTCTTTGCCACAGTACATCCAGTTAATACTATAAAAAGTTAAGTCCTGCTAGAAATTAGTTCAGATATTGAAAATTTGTCTCAAATCCTGCCTGAGAGATATAAATCTTCAGTGTGTCTGAAAAGTGGTCAAAATAAGGTTGTTTGGAACGTCTTTAATTCCAAATATTGAATATTTAGTGAGCTGTAGTTTTCTGACTGACTTTTTACAGTAATGGATGATGAAAACATGAATTAAAATTTCAGCATCTTTCTGAGTTAAAGGAAGTCCAACTTTGGCTATGTTTTATTAGATTACAAAATGAAGTACTGATGATAAAAATTAGCTTAAAGAATTCAAATCAGAATCTAAAACCAACCCCAAGTTTGTGATACTAGTTTTAATTCACTTGGTAAAACCTCCCTGCATTGAGTACAGTTTTTATTTGGCTGCTTTGACTCCCTCGAAAACAAATTTCCTTGTTAGATTTTAAAAATATCTTTCTTGTCCATAAAATTATGTCTCTGTAAGTGAACTTGGGCCGGATATATAGAGTTGAGTGTCATCTGCGTAAAAAGATAATTGACATGGTGGTGTGCAATAATAATTCTGAGTAGAATCATGTAGAGAGAAAATAAAACAGGCCCAAGAACACTTCCCTGAGGTACACCATATTTAGATTTTTGTATCTTTGACAAACATGACACAAGACTGATTTAGAAATCCTGTTAATAAGATAAAAAATGATCAACGTGGCCTGTTTTTGAAGTCTGTTGATTAGTATCTGTAAAAATCTGTAAGTTTTATATCAGCTTTTATATCCATGTGAAGTTGTTGTTTCATGTTATGAGGAGTTTGTGTTGCATCTTTGACTGTAAGAATAAGTTACACTGCTAAAGGAGAAAAAAAAGGATTATTTTTCACATGACGTGTCCTCCAAAGTTTTCCATTCCTGCCATGTCATGTCACTTTTCTAATTTGGATCACAAACTCACTAAAAACCGTTGCAGTAAAATCAAGCCTGACTCAGAACTGAAGAGGACTACAAAGTCTTGGATTAGGACCAGTTTGGGTTGGGTCATGTTTGCAACGTTCAGCAGGAAGCGGTACTGCCAAATGCTTCCACTTCATGGAATAAAACTGGGTTGAGAAAGTTCTTGTGAAATTAACATTTGTATTTTTGTTTCTGGCTGTTTTGGCCGTCCATCTCTCACCCGTTGCTTTTCGCTGTAAAGACACACTCATGATAGGAGTGTCCCCGCAGAGCTGAGCAGTAAACTCATTAAGCTCACCCGCACATATGGTTGTACTTAGCTGCAGCAAATAAATTTCACCCCTGAAGTAAAAGTAGGAACATTGAGGGTTAAATGTAATTGCTTGAAAAAGGACCCTGCTTTTATCCACCAGGTTTACAGAGACTGTGACTCACGTCTTGTTTTCTTTCTGTCCTTTTTAATTTCAGACGGCATGTGCACAGTGGTCTACTTCGATGACTGCGTGTCTATCCGTCAGTGTAAACTTTACTGTGAGTCAATGGGAGGATCCAAGTACCGCTGGTTTCATAACGCCTGCTGCCAGTGCATCGGACCTGAGTGTGTGGACTACGGCAGCAAGGCCGTGAAGTGCATGAACTGTCTCTTCTGAAGTGCGGGCACATATTGGTACCAAATGTCTGGGCCTAACCAGAGGACTGAGGGTTATAAGAGGGAACTATGACTGTTATGTGTGTTAGCATTCCTCACCTACCTTGTAAAATACCCCCTACATCCTGCCTTCTACCCCTGCAAAATGTTTTTATTCTGCTGTTTGTTTCACTGTATATTTTTAGATATGTTTTCAATAGTGTTTTTTACTAGAGGTGTATATGAATAATGTATTTTTACAACTATTGTCGGCTAAACCCTAGTCTTTTGCCAAATAAAGAAAAGTTTGGTGACGTGGACTGTTTGCTTTTGTGGAAAACTGTCTTATTTATTGTCTGGTTCCTTCTTTTTCCTGTTTTCCTTTTTAAAAAAAGGGTTAAAACAAATGCAAAGCTTGAGTGGAATAGTAAATGTTTGTCCTCCGAGTTGCCTGTCTCCAGCTCTAATCTTAGCCTTGTGTTGCCCTAGTCAGGAAACGCATCATTTCCTGGGGAAACAAAGTTGTTATTATACCATTCTGGTCCACAGGTGTTCAGTGCTCACTGACCGTCTCATGCAAGCGGAGGGGAAAGGGAACGTTTACTGATGCCAATCTCTCACCGCCACACACAAATGCTCTTTGTGATGCCAGTGCTTTTTCAAAAGGCAGCAGGGTGCCCTATCAGTGATTCTGTTCCCAATTGGCATGCAACAGCAGTTTGCAACAGACGAATGTACCAGACTCACAATGAGAGCTTGTTTGTCTTTCTTATAATATTGAATCATGACCTCATTTTGCCATTGCAGCTGTGGGTTGGAGCAGACGGTGCCAGCGAGGATCAGAGGACTAATGTGTTTCATATGTCAAAATGACCACCAGTGCGCTCAGTTCAACCACAGCTCTTGGGAAAGTACATATGATTCAGAATAGCAAGTGGTTTCAACAAATTTAGATCATAGTCACTTTTCCAAAGCTTGTTTGACATGTTCTCGTGTCCACAGCCTTGTACCGCTTCAGACTTGTGGTTGAGAACGACATGATCCCACAGGCCAAACATTTTCTATTGATTCCAGATCATTCTCAGCCAAGAAAACCTACATAGACTATACATCTGCGGCGTAACCCTGTGCCAATTAAAGCATCCGCAAATGAACTACATTTCCCAACATGCACTCGGGCGTTCGCGCAGGCGTAGTTATGTTTATTTGGTATACAGATATCCGGAAGCTCCACTCCGAAATTGACCGATCGGGATAGTACTTGGTAAAGTTTATTGTCTTTTCTGTTTTTCTTGTTCAACGACAGTACAGCTGGTGTGTAAAAGAGTTTTGATTGTGTAGCCAAATATGCATCTCATGTTGGTTTTGCTCAAACTGAATAACGACTTAAACCGTTAAAGGAAAAGCTGGCTAATCAGCTAGCTTAGCGGGTTGGCAGCTAGCTGATCTAACGTTAGCATATGGGCCCCTCCATTCAGAGGAAAAGCTCCACTCCAGACTCTTTCATGGCAAATATTCTCACAGACACTGTCTAATGTGTTTCTAACACTGAGGTGATAAAGTGTGAATGTTTGTGTTGGGTTGGTTTTGTTCTGGTAGAAACAGAGATTCAGGATAATCTGCTCACAGCGACGAAAGATTAAGATGTTAGAGAGACAAACAGGTTTTATTAACAGGATTTATGAAACCAGAGTTTAATTTTACAGTTTTAATAATGATATAATAGCTGTGTGATGTTTTATCACATCTGTCCTGCTGCTTATTTTCTCTACAGAAGCAGAAAATCAGGACAGAGACTCAAAAACTGACAGAAACTTTGACTGTTTTCACACTAATTCAGAAAAGAAGATCTTAAACCTGCAGGATTAAAGTTTTACGTCATGAAAAAAGGGAAATTGGTTCAACATGAAGCTGTAAGTGAAGCTGTGGCAGAGCAGTTCCGTTTTCCCCACAAACAAACCCAACACAGACTGATGAAAAAGATGATCGGACCTAAATAAACATGAATGTTTCCTCAGTCATCAGGACTAAATCAAATCTCTGTTTCTATAGTTGGTAAAGTGGGTTTTAATTTTGCTGTCTTTTTTGACTCTTGCTTTGGTGTGTTAGAGTCAGGACATGAGCTGTGATTGTTCATATGGCAGAGCCCCATCTGGTGGGTGGACATTATTGTTGCAGCTCTTTAGTTTGTACACTCATCATTAAAATAATCATTCAGGAGATGAAATAAGTCAGGGCTGACACCTCTATTCATACATAGTAACCTAAAATTAAACCTTACAGTTCAGCTGTTTTAATAAATAGCTCGATAGACTTTCCATCGAGGTTTGACTGCAAGATTTTTACAGGCCATTATGAAGAAAAATGCTTATACCAATCTGTTTAATATATAAGATATTCTCATGTGTGGTGTAGGGCTGGGCGATAAAACGATAACGATATCAAAAATTAATTTCCCTCGATGTTGATATAAAACATTGTCAGTATGCTTTTTGATAGTCGGCATTCTGCCATGTTTTGGTAGATTATATTAATAGCCAATGAAAGGAGGAGTTGCTCCGGGTTCGCTTCACGCTGAACCAATCATGTGCTGAATTAGAACAAAGTAGCAAACAACTGCGTAGTAGCAGGCTGCAGCTACACGCAACCATAGAACTTTAACACGTGAAGCTGACAGCACTGTCTGAGAAAAAAAGTAAATGAGTGCTACCCCCCGCAGAAATGAAGATGAAGGCTCAACAGATGATGATATCGTCAACAACACTGGCACAAAAACGTCGGAGGTGTGGAGATTTTTTGTTTTTTTGAGGTCAGACAGGAAGCAGAGTAATGTGCACTGCAAATTATGTCGAGTACATGTTAAATTTCACTTAAGAGTAAAGGTCCTTACACACCGGGGCCGACGCGAATATAGAACACATATTACGAAAAATTCAGAGGCCAATTTTGACGGCCTGATTATACACATCAAGCCTGATGAAATTTTGCGACCTTCTGGGGGAAAAAAAGACGGGGTGGAAGTGAGAAGACTTACACAACAGCAGACTGAGTGTTTTTCAGTTCTGATTAGACACTAGTGTTGAGATGTCTGTCTGTCATGATAGCATGTACTGAGTCAGGGTCAGTACCAGATAAGCACATTCAACTATAATCCATAAACGTAAGGTAACAACTGAGACCCAATGGTGCTGTGACAACAACGCTGTGATTGAGTTTAAGACAGTGAAGATACATATGGTATGTTATATCTGAACAGGTTAGCTTACGAGCTAAAGTTACTTAGCACAGATGAAAGTTAAAACAAAGACATTTAGCAAACTGTTAAAGCACACAAACCATCGTCATATGAGAGATCCGACACTATGACTCTCCACAAGTTGTCCTTCAGGTCGTTATCTTTGTAATATTTGTGTCTTTTATCAAAAAGCACTCTGTTCTCCGACACACAGTATGTGAAACTTTAGAAAAATCGACTGTGATACGAAAAAAATAAATGCCCCAATATCGCAGGACGGGAAAACGTCGCTGATGTGAACGCTTGTATTGACAGGATACGGGTTCGAAGAAAAATATTGTCGTCCAAAAAAATCGCACAAAAAAAAACAGTCCCTGAGTGAAAGGACCTTAACGGGGAACATTTAAGATTGACAAGTGATTTTATCTTGATACATCGATATCAACTGATATGAAAAAAATTTATGGTGATAAACTTTTCCCGTATCACCCAGCCCTAGGATGGTGCTACAGCATACACAGAAATCATTATTTCGGAAATAATACACAAACTTTTGAAAACCTCTTGTCATATAAATATGAGTCGGATAGATATGAGATGATCAATTGCCGCCCTCTGTTACATGTTCCCTGTGCAGGTGTGATGGAGAGGTGATGTGTCATTCAGAGGAGTGAGAAGGCCACAGCAGCCATGACTGAGTGCTTCCTGCCCCCCAGCAGCAGCCCTGCAGAGCAGCGCAGGGCTGAGCACCCAGGGGGCGTGGCCCGCACCCCGAGCTCTGAGGAGATCAGTCCCACCAAATTCCCCGGCTTGTACCGCACCGGGGAACCGTCGCCGCCTCATGATGGCCATCACCACGAGCCCCCGGACGCCTACGTGTCGGATGATGATAAAGAGCACAGCAAGAAGAAGAACAAGTTCAAGAAGAAGGAGAAAAGGAGTAAGTCAGTTTGATATTGATTATTTGTGCTGCTCTATTGATATGAACGGTTTTCAGTGACGGTTGGGGATTGCAGTTTGACAAAAATTTCTTTGTCACATTTTTTTCTTTCACTGTTCAAAGAAAACCAGCAAATTTTTTGTGATCATCCACATGCAATGATTTTTTTGTGACTCTAATATAAGAAATGATTGTGTGTAGGTATGAAACCATGTTAACCAGGGATGCACAAATTTCGATTTTTGCTGATATCTGATACACTAATATCTCCAAACTCATTTTGGCTGATACTGACATGGACATATACACATTTTTTATAATTGTGTCAGAGTATTTGTTCTAAAAATAGACAAAACAAGGCAAACTAAATTTGATTCTGTCACAAATGTGTCTTCTTTTTCTAGCACACACAGTTTGTGACTCAAAACAGACACATCAATTTCTGTGGTTTTTATGCTGTCAGTCCACTGGGCAGTTTGGCTCATCATGCTGACAGGACTTGTCCATATGTCAGTGGTGGAGCTAATATAAGGAGCTTTCTTTTAATAATCAGATTTTATTTCATTTTCAGGATTTACATAGAACCATACATCATTAAGCGGTGGTCTGATCTGGGGAACAATAATTGATAAACAGAATTCAAATAAAGTAGAGAATGACAAGAGAAGGATAAAACAAGGAAAAAATAAAAGGAAAACAAAACAAAAAGAAGGGTAAACAAAGAAAAACCCCAACAACAACAACAACAACAACACAACAATGTGTCATCAATTAAAGAAAATACGTGTCCTTGTATTTATCAAAAAGTATTTTTTATCACCAGTCAGCTCAGTCCGGGACCTCCTAAACCACAGTTCCCTCCATAAGGAGCATTTTTGTTCTTTTCTAGAAACTCTGTGTGCTTTCGAGATGCACAATCAAACTGATCGTGTAAAGGCATTACACTATTACAAGCGCAACAAAAAAGTATTTTGTTGTCTGTTTCCATGATTACTTCAACTATTTCCTGCCAGCATTGATATTATGCAGATAATATTGTGCATCCAATTTGAATTTCCCTCTGGGATTAATAAAGTATCTATCTATCTATCTCTCTCTATCTCCCCTGTTACACTGTAATTAACTTCAGTGGCACCTTGATTATTAATTTAATATTGTTAAAATACAATTTTTGAAGCTATATATGTAAACAGACTTCTCGATCAGTACTGAGCAGGAATACTGCATCTGAAGACGGTGTTTTCACAGAGGAGCTGGTAAACTGCTCTTAAACTCAGTCAGTGAAATTTTTTATATATTTTGAGATAACTCTTTCAGAGTTCCTTCAGGGCTTCAGTGCCAAGAAGACCATTTTCATGGGTTTTTGTCAACAATCAGGAAACATCCTTAGCCTTAAACATCTCACAGCTGCCAAGAACATTAAAGAAATCCACCTCAGGCCACAAAGCTTTATCTTGATAGCATTTCTGGGCTGAATACTGTCATCATGTTGCTGAACTAAGAGCTATAAATGGAGTAAAGAGAGAGGTAGAGCTTTATACTTTTCTGTCTGGTTGGCTGTTGCTGCCTGCAGCAGTGAGAAATGTTTCTGTACTGAGAGCATTTGTCACTGAGCGGTTGTCAGACTCATTGTCCACTTTGTATCAGCTTTTTCCATGTCTGTATTTAGCTCTTACACCGGGGTATAGTGGGAGAGAGAGGAAGAGATGGACAGTTTGAGAGCACACACCCAGAGAGCTCTGTGAAGGTGTGTCTCTGTGTCAGCAGTCTGTTATACACAGGGAAGCCCAGAGTAAGGATAATGAGAGGAGACAAAAACTGTGAAGAGGCCACTTAAGTGACTTTGTGACCATGTTGTAGCTGTTTGCGCTGAGGAGGGATACCTTAATTGAGGCTCTTCTCGAGAGGAGATGCGTAAGGTGCAGTGGGAGCTTTGCTAAATCGGTGACTGACCTCTTTTCTGAGTCCCCGTTCTCCCCCTCCTTTACTGTCTTCACTCTCTCACACGTCTCTCTTCCTGTTTCTTTTTCTCCGCTATTATGATTCTGTCGTGGGAGGAGGAGGAGGATAAGAAAACAGGGGTGTTTCTCTCCCCAGATATAACCCTATTTCTGCCTGATCCTCCTCTTTCTGTACCTTCACAGCGGAGGGTTACGCAGCCTTCCAGGAGGACAGTTCAGCAGACGAAGCAGAGAGCCCGTCCAAGATGAAGCGCTCCAAGGGGATCCACGTGTTCAAGAAGCCCAGCTTCTCCAAGAAGAAAGAGAAGGACTTCAAAGTGAAGGAGAAGGGCCCCAAGGAGGAAAAGGCAAAAGATAAGAAATCGAAGGATCTGACGGCTGCAGACGTGGTCAAACAGTGGAAGGAGAAGAAGAAGAAGAAGAAACCCACGACAGAAGCAGAGCCGGTCCCAGTGGAGATCCCCACCTTCAGGCCAATCTTTGGAGCACCTCTGGGTGAAGCAGTCAAAAGGACAGCTCTGTATGATGGGATCCAGCTGCCGGCCATCTTCAGAGAATGTGTGGACTACATTGAAAATTATGGCATGAAGTGTGAAGGCATCTACCGGGTCTCAGGTAAGAAACTGAAGCATAACTTTAACTAAATAGAATCCCAGCAGCTCTTATTTTTGCCTCCTCTTCGTGTGCTGAATGAGAAACTTCTTCCTCTCAGGTATGAAGTCAAAGGTGGATGAATTAAAAGCAGCGTATGACCGCGAGGAGTGCCCCTGCCTGGAAGAGTACGACCCACACACTGTTGCCAGCCTGCTGAAGCAGTACCTCAGGGAGCTACCGGAGAACCTGCTGGGCCGGGATCTGGCCCAGCGCTTCGAGGACGCCTGTGGCCGGCAGGTGGAGGCAGAGAAGGTGACGGAGTTCCAGAGGCTGCTGGCTGAGGTACCAGGGGAGAGCCGACTTATCCTCTCCTGGCTCATCACGCACATGGACCACGTCATCGAGAGGGAGGCGGAAACCAAAATGAATATTCAGAACATCTCCATCGTCCTCAATCCAACCATACAGGTCAGAGAGGAAGAAATGGATGCAATAAATCTAGATTAACAAGGAAAAATAACACAGGAGGGAACCTGGAATTAGATTATGTGAAGAAGAAGTAAAAACATTGTAGAAAGCAGCAATTAGACGGCAGAGGAAAACTAAAAATCAAAGAGAATAATAGCTCAGGCTCAAGTGAACCTCAAAGATAAGAAACATCCCTCAGCAACAAACCAACCGGGCTCTTATTGGATCAAACAGTCAGTTCATCTCTGAAACCCTGGCCCAGTTTAGTGGATCTAATTTGCTCCCAAAGGGGGCGTCCGTGGCTGCTCCATTTTTTCTGGAGCAGCAGCAGCAATAGCCACAACACCGTTAAACAAACACTTCTTTTAATTAACGAGGGGAGCCACAGGTCAGTTTAATCAGGCTGAGTAAACACGCTGGAATTTGTTTTGAGGAAAAAAAGAGGATTCAGATTTATTCGACATAATGCAGACAGTTTGTGCAGAGCCCTGCAGCTGCAGGCTTTATGTTTAATGATTTATTTCCACTTGTGTTTAGATTGGGAACCGTGTCCTCTACATGTTCTTCACACACGTGAAGGAGCTGTTCGGAGACGTAGTCCTGAAGCCGGTGGTGAGGCCACTCCGCTGGTCCAACATGGCAACGATGCCAGCACTACCCGAGACTGCTGAGAGCATCAAAGAGGAGATCAGACGACAGGTAGGTTCAGTCCTACTGCAGGCAGTTTTTCTAATATAGTCAATGAAGCTTTATGTATAGAAATTCAGGGTCTGGTTGGTTGTTTTCACTCCAGTGTTGATAAACTTTCTGTCACTTTGATCAAAAATAACAAAACATGAGGTTATGTTGTAGATAAAAAAAAACTGGTGATGAAGCAGAAGTCTATCAGATCAAGCTCTCCAAGATGATGCAACATCGTTTCATGAGTCAGGCACAGCAGTAACATCTCCTCTGTTACTCAGTTATTTTGTCACAGTGAGCCACAAGTTCCCGTCAGTTATTTTGATGCAAAATGTAAAAATCAGTAAAGACTCTGAGATTACAGCAGAACTCTTAAACCTTTAATTTAGCATGTATCTGAGCCAAAGTGATGTATCATCTACTTCTTGTGAGAGACAGTAGAAATAAAATCAGATGTTTTGCTATTAATTATCCATGTATATTCTTCCAGGATGAATAAATCTTTGTGATCATTATTTCTTGATCATGGTTTTCACTGATGGTAGTTTGAAATGTTTGAGACTGGTGCGCTCATTCTGTGCAGTGGCAACTACATCCTGACATAAAACTAAATGTGTTTGTGTGTTAGGAGTTCCTGCTGAACTGCCTGCACAGGGACCTGCAGGCGGGGGTGAAAGACTTATCCAAAGAGGAGCGACTCTGGGAGGTTCAGAGGATCCTGACAGCTCTAAAACGCAAACTGAGGGAGGCCAAACGCCAGGTAATCCTGCTCGTCTTCAGGTCTGCACTTGTTTTCCATTTCTGTTCTGGTTTATATCAAATCTTTGTGATAAGAATGATGAACACTTGGTCTTAAACTGCAAACCAGCGCAAAACAAAGCAGCCACGATCTCCATAACATCCACTTGCTGAACTTAACACCCCTCTGTTGTTGTCCGAGCTAAGATTGACATTATACTGTCACCCTTCCGCCTTTTAGGAGTGTGAGAGTAAGATAGCCCAGGAGATAGCCAGCCTCTCAAAGGAAGATGTTTCGAAGGAGGAAATGACAGAGAATGAAGAGGAAGTCATCAACCTCCTTTTAGCACAAGTGAGTCATTCAAACACACAGAAGGATTGAGTTGATATAGACTGGGCTAAACCAAACAGCACCACCTGGATGATACTTTTGCCAGTCTGAGGTTGTTTGTTTTTCTCAATAATCAGGAAAACGAGATCCTAACAGAGCAGGAGGAGCTGATCTCTCTTGAGCAAGTGCTGCGCAGACAGATTGCAACTGAGAAGGAAGAAATTGAGAGACTGCGAGGAGAGATTGCAGACATACAGAGGTAGGGGAGGACTGAACATGTTTCAGAAGATACAATAAAGTACTGTATACATATACACGCACCACTGTAACCCAGCATTGTGTTTGTCAGTCGGCAGCAGGGTCGCAGCGAGACGGAGGAATATTCCTCAGACAGCGAAAGTGAGAGCGAAGACGAGGAAGAGCTGCAGATGATCCTGGAAGACCTGCAGAAGCAAAATGAGGAGTTGGAGGTGAGGAGGGATTCGAGACCTTTATCTTCTTCAATTACCGTCTGGTTGCAATGAATTTCAGGACTCCTTCAGCTCACAAAGAGATGCGTGAAGTCAACACCTCCCTCATTTGCATGTGTGCTGTAATGATAAAAAAGCAATTATGTAGACATGTTACAGACGGGTAAGAGCAGAATTTCAAACAGGCAGTGAGCCGAGTTATTCAGTGTATTCTTTGATGGTTATAAAAACAAGTAGAAAGGAAGTAAAAGGAGTAAATGTTTCTTTATTAATACTTAAATAGGAATAGAATATACGCAGACAAACTAGAATCTGTTTAATAAGGTTTATTATTATTTGTAAACAATAAAAACTAATAATTTTGTTTGCGAGTACTGCCAAAGATAAGCCGTGGTTTTCCTGAAGCCCTATCTGCATTTCATTTTCCGCTAGAACAAAAACACCCACCTGAACCAGGCCATCCATGAGGAGCAGGAAGCCATCTTAGAGCTCCGCGTCCAGCTTCGCCTCCTGCAGAGTCACAAAATGCAGCAAGAACTGACCGTCCAGCCACAGGCCGAGCAGGCCCCGCCCACACAGCCGAGCCCGGAGCCCCGCAGCGAGGAGCAAACCAAGCGCTCTGTCACCGCTGCAGCTGCGAGTGCAGACACTGCAGCTGCTTCAGCTTCTGCCAACGGCAAGGCAGCTAAGGATCCTTCGAAGCCGTCGCCGAGCAAAGACAGGAGGGACACCAACATGTGAGAAGTCCTCTCTCAGTGACGTGTTCGGCGGCTCCGGGCTGCTGTACGTCTCTGCCGCTGGCCAGTTGTCCTGTAGCATCACTTATTATCGACTGGAGGTTTCACTTTGCTGGAGTTCATTTTGGCAGTCTTGGAAAAAAATCTGTTATGCAGTTTCTTTTTGCATTAAATATTTTGTTTTTATCTGCTCATGCAAAAACAAAATGTCCAAAGTAGAGTAGCTGCTGTAGTGGACAACTGGCTACTGCTGAAAGAGACCAAGGGGACCATGTTTTCAAATCTACAGTGCCAAGCCTGTACAACAAAAGAAGAAGGAGGAAGGGGGTGAAACAAGAAATGAAGGGACTTTGAAAGCAAGTTAGGAGATGGAAGAAGGAATAGGAGGAAGGCGCCTCACCAGTGCATGAGTTTATTTTTCACTGGGGAAGGCTGGAGAAGAAAGGCCAGATTAAATCTCAGTCCATATATCTTCTTATGTCCCCTACCTTGATGCATATCTGACATGTTAGGATAGAGACCACTGTGCCATAACTGAAGATGCCAGACTGGACGTGTTTCCCTGAGACAACCACTAACACAAGAAGCTCTTTGAATGATGAAGAATTTATGATTGGTCTATCTATATATTATATATTTAAGTAGTATTCTGAAGAATACTGAGACTATCTAGAAATCCATTGATTTTTAATCACAGCTTTTTAGTAATATATGAATATATGTATAAATATATTGTAGATGCTTTCTTTTCTTTGAACAACAGATGCACGTAAACACAAAGGCGTCTTCCCCTGATAACTGATCCCTGGATGAAAGACAAAATACATAACTAAAGATATTTTAATCACTGTGTAATGTAGAAAAACATCCTGGAGACAGCGTTGTTACAGCCACTTTATGAAACCACACTTTGCTCTGAAGTGCAATCATCTTCTCTGTTACTCAGCACAAACAAACGAACAATGTGTTCCTCCAGTAAACGAACCTATAGTGGTGATTACTGTCTCCAGAGTGTCTGAAGATACATGCAAAAGTCTTGATGAGCTTTGTTGTGCATTTGGGCGTGTGTGTGCGTTTTGTTTTTGTTTGTTTTTTAACTCTTGATGTGTGGCGTTTTAGCTCGTGGCATCAGTTAGAAGTGAGTTAAAAGTCAATCATTTCATTTCACGGCTGATCCATGACTGTTGCAAAGTGCTGTCATACATCAGTGATATCTAAAGCAGAGGCATGGCCTGACTCACTCACACTGTTTCTGTACATTATTGTAAAATCTCAAACATACTGTATTTTCAGCTCTTACATTTGTTTTCATATGTTTCTTTTTTTATTGTTATTAATGACCTGTATGGAGTATGCTAGTGTGACTGCCCCTGCTTTGTCACGGGCAAATCAAAGCAATCTCATGTGGACTTATGATTCAGTATGATATTAATCCTGTGACTGGGACAGATAAATGTTAGATTGGGCTCAGAAGCTTCTCATGAGGTTATTTTCATATGGTTCCAAGCTTTTGTAGCTTATTGTTGCAGACAGAATAATGCTGTGAAGAATAAAGTGTCGATCCAAAAAGTAACTATCTGAATATCTCTCTTTTTATTAAATCACAGAGCATAGAAAGTTTGAGCTACTTTCTCAACTATGTTGGGTGGAAGAGTGGTCTATATTTAGTTCTTCCTATTTTCCATTACACATTCTCTGAATACTTCTCCCCCTCCTGGCCTAATGAGGTTGTAAATAATACATTTGACTGCATTTTGAGGAAGTAAACTCTGTAAATATTGAGGGGTTGACTTGAATCAAAGCCTGAGTACCCTGAAGAGATAACAGATCCACCCTTCTCTTTTTTTGTCACTTCTATAGCTGGTTTCCGATTTGGAAAGCAGTTGCACTAAGTCGGATAAAATAGAAAGTTAAAGACCGGAATTATGGGGAAGTTTCAAAATAAAAGTACTACTTTTCAAGCTCAGACTTGGCAGATAGTGAAGAGTGGGGTAAGATGAGCCATTTTTCACCTTCGCTCTCTCTAAGTAACAGTCACTTCTTCACATTCATGTGTATTTTTATCTATTATACGCTATTCAACTGGTACAATAATTCTTTTTATTATTATTCCATATAACTGCTAAAAACTGTTTAGTAAAAAGCCATTTTAACTTGAGAATGCCTTTCAGTGATTCAGAACATTCACAGCTGTATTTTTGAAAAGAAAAAGTAAAACATTTCAACAATCTGAACTGAAACTCTGATCCTCTCATCAGACTAATTCACTGGCTCAACTTACCCCTGAACTACTATTATGACTTAATTAGTTCTCTAAGCTAAAATGGTGGACGTTTAATGGTAGACTAGGCTTTTGACCTCATGTTGTAGCTCATAGATACCACAATTGATGTATAAAACAAATTTAAAATGATCCTTTTTGGTCTGAACACAATTCTAATAAAACATTTGACAGACTAAATTCACTTTCAAGAGTGAAAAATGTTTTTTTTTTTTTTTTTACATAAACGTCTAACCCCTTCACTCATGTGCTTCTAACCTTCACAGACTCCATGAATTGATGCCCATCAACTAAATATTTGGTCACATGATACATTTCTTTGACCATTTCAAAGAAACAGGGGGTGGCTCAACTTACCCCACTCTCCCCTATGTATTTATAGGAGGCTGTTTAATTTAAAAGTTTATTTCCTTTCAATTTGACTCACTTGAAGGCTCATAATTTGCGGTATTTTGGGTTGTTTGGACCGTGTATCGGACGTTGTATCAAATCGAACCGTTTTGTACAGCAAAACTACTGTACCGCGATTAATCGTGATATAATGTAAAAAATCATTGAGTTAAACAGTGAGTCCCATTATTAGAAGAGCCATACCAACATTATTTTGAAAGTGTTTACCGGAAGTCCTATTTTTCCATCGCATTACTTGATGGTGGTGTAAAGGAGATGGTCAGCCTGTCTGTCTCAGGGGCTGGGTTTCTCTTTTATCCGACAAGAAGAAAAAACTGTTTCAAGCATGACGAGACAAAGACAGTGAAAGAAAAGTGACGAATGATGATTTAGGAACTTCCAGAAACTTACCATGGCCATAAGGGAGCTCAAAGTTTGCCTTTTAGGGGTAAGTGGCAGATGTTTTTGTTGATCGTATTGAGGGGGAAAATTCCTTCAGTCTGCTGCGTTTGGAACTAACCGTTAACATATTGACGTTAACGACGCATTAACAGCGGTTAGCGGACTCGGTATCCTTTAAACACCGGCTTCTTTTTGTGCTTTACAGTGTTGTTCTTCGTCAAAAAAACTTGTAAATGTAACTATTGAAAGCTAGTTAAGAGAAAAAACTCTGGGCCGGTGGGCGCAGCAGCCTTTTACTTGAGTGTAACCGTCGTGCACATCTACATTCACGGTTAGTTACTTCATATTTTTGTGCCGTTATTATTTTTTAACGCTCACGACGTCATCGCGAGACCAACCGCTGCGTCCAAGCCGTTAGATTTCCTGCTGCGTTAGCAAAACGCAGACAGTACCAGGGTGAAACAGAGGCGCTTTGACGACAAAAAATGTACTTTTACATGAAGTTAAGGGGAACTAATAACTTTTTGTGAGTCATGCAAATGTTCACCAGGCTTGTGCATTCTACTTGCGGCGACTGACATGCTTACAAAGTACTTCTACAGCTGAATGAGGTTAACTGGAGGCTGCCCGTACTCCCAAACCTTTTGTTACCATTAAAACCCAGTGTGTTGTTGTTATTTTGGGCTCTTATGTAAGTGAGAAACAGGCAAGATAGACTCAAAGTGCAGTCCTGGTTGTGGGATTTCTGGACCTACAGGAACCTATTTGTTAGGGTGAGCATGTGACCAGACAGTTGCCTAATCAATAGTGATCAATAGTGACTCTGTGTCTGTGTGTGTTCAGGGAACTGCTGCCAGTGATTCATTTTTTTTCTCATTACAGGACACAGGAGTTGGGAAATCTAGCATTGTGTGCCGGTTCGTCCAGGATCATTTTGACCACAACATAAGTCCCACAATAGGGTAAGAGAACTGAGGTACCAGTCACAAAGACAGTGCAAAAATAGGGGACAAGAGAGGCATTATTCTTGATCCTTTACTCCTTAAGCCTCAAAGTCTGACTGTCCAAAAAGACTTTTTCAGTTTAATCATGTCTTAGTAAAACATAAAGAAATATCAGACATAGGCTACTGTATCTTCAAGAACCTGGCTGATATATTGCTTAAGGCCAGTCCTAAGTGTATTGCCATATTTGTCTTACTGAAACCATATTGAAACGTGTCGTGAGGACATCTACAGAAAATAATGCTTCAGATGGTTTCGAGCTGATGTCATGTTGTGGTTTCTCTCGTAGATCCTGCCATGACTCTGATATTTCAGCTCATCTGCAGCACAGCATCAAAACTGTGGAGGCAGTAATCTGTGCAAGAAATGATTTGACAGTGTTTATTGATGGTTATTGCTCTTTTACAAAGTTATCCACCATATTGGTAATTGGTGGTTATTCCTTGAAAAAAGTAACAATAACAGGTTTTCAAAATCCCTCATTTGTCAGTTGCTTCTGTCAAGTAATGGTTGAATAATAATGTTTCTACAAGCAAAACTTTTTTACAATGCTCCCCGAAATAAAAAAAAATATATGGGGATTAAGTTAGTCATACAACCACTCCTACCCATTAAAAACACGAATAAGATGTAACTTCATTAATGGTCTGTGCATATTTTTTAAAGTAATGGTTCGAGTCACTATGACAAGTTACTTGAAGAGTAGCAGCTGCACAATGCTCTCATGGTGAATTATACCAATTATATTGTTGTATTTATGTTGTGAATGCTGCCTAGAAGGACCATATTTTGTCTTTATTTTGTGAAATCAACAGAAAGTGTCAGTGCAAGGTTAAGAGAATGATTCATAATGAGGTAAAGTTTTTGCTACTTGTCTGATGCTTTTTGGCTCACTGATCCAACTCTGCATTAGTGTTTAGTCTTGGGTTATTTTTACACTGCTGACTTCACCTCACTCATTTCCTGCACCTTTTGACACTCACCTTATTTTGAAATACTCTCTACCATCCACAGAGCGTCATTCCTCACTAAAACAGTGCCGTGTGGAAATGAGCTCCACAAGTTCTTGATCTGGGACACAGCAGGGCAGGAAAGGGTGAGTGAACTACAACAGAAACTCCTCATTCGCTGAGGAGTTTATTTTCCATGACATTATGCATCAGTAAGCAAGCGGTGACACAATCTTTTCTCTGTCAGTGGTCCTCATGACATGAAGTTATTAATAGGTGTGAAACAGGATGATTCACACATAGCATAGTGAACTTGCAGAAGTCCTTACAGCTCTGAAAACTAATTATATTGTTATCTTGAGTGTGGAAGAGATATTTTGAACCTCTGTTACCAGGGTTTAATGCAACATCTTTATTCTTTTAACACAGTCATGATGTTGTTCTGCTCTATAACAAAAGATTTTGGAGGTTCATTAAAAAGTATGTGGTGACATCAGGATCAAATTTATTCAGTAGAATTTCACTGTGAAGTTTCTGACCACTTGGGTTGCTATGCAGCAATGTTTTGCTTATTGTTTGTGTTGCACGTGTTGCCACAAGCTCAGGGGTGATGTGGTACACGTTTCTGCTGACTACAGGAGGGAGTTTTGTATACCATCGGTTGGGGTTTGTGGTGAAGGGCTAAAAAGTAAAGAAAACATATGAAGAATATCTGCTTTGTAAATTCATCCTGTGTTAAGGGCATTAAGATTCAGATAATGTGCGTGGGTTTTGATGTAATGTAAACAACACAACAACGCCCCCTTAAGCTACGTTTAATCCCAGTTTAATCAGAGGCTGTGAGAACAGTTCAGAGCTGGAGTAACCTTTCGAGTGAGTTTAGAGGAGTTGTAAGTAAGTCCCTTTTTCCAGCGGCCACTCATCACTGAAGAATGTATGTTTATGCTCCACTCACACCTCTGTACACTGCTATAGTCCTTTATGGGTTGACAGTTACATTGTGCAGGATGTAGATGTTCGCATTCATGCTTTGCAATTGAACACATTTGATAATACATGTCTTTTGTTTTCTAGTTTCACTCATTAGCTCCTATGTACTACAGAGGATCGGCAGCTGCTGTTATAGTCTATGACATAACTAAACTGGTAAGTGTAAAACAGCCCCTTCTTTCTTTAAAAATGACCATTTCCCCATAAAAACAAGCCTTTCTACCTCCATTTACACTCGAGTGCCCTTCACAGTCCCATTAGAGCGGCTGTTTTGTTCACTAAATCCCGGGAGTGTTTAATGTGTGCAACTGAAGACGCTGGTTGCACGATATAAAATTCAATTACTTTTCCATCACTCCAGGATGCTTTGCTTCCATGACCTACGAATGTCATTCTTTCCTGGTCTGTAAATGGAAACTAGTCTGAAAATCACCACCTAACACGATGAATAATCCGTGACACTCGTTGTAGAAAATGTTGCCCATATTATCACAAAGAATCTATTCCTGTCTCTGTGCTGGTTTTGTTCAGGACTCTTTCCAGACACTGAAGAAGTGGGTGAAGGAGCTAAAGGAACACGGTCCAGAAGACATTGTTGTCGCTATAGCAGGGAACAAGAATGACTTAGGAGACATCAGGTGAGATAAAGACTCTTTTCTTAGTCTGTCACAGCTGGAAACTTTAAAAGTAATGTGTCCATATCTATGCACTACAAAACCACCTCCCGATACTGTACAGTAAGTTCTTTCCCTCTGATTAGAAAAGTACATCTCAGCAAAACTGAAACGCTTGTCCTTGTTTGACATTTGACAGCAGACAAGCTGAGGAGCTCCCCCAAAGCTTTATTAAAGGAGTTTTTTTTTGCTGGCTCCAAAACATAGCAGTGGCTACGTAAACAGATTTTTGTTTAGACATTCTTTGTTTCTCTGTCGCTCACTGAAAGGTGGAACCACACTAATGTGAAACAGAGAAAACACTTGAGTCTGTTTCAAGAATCTTAAGGAAGAATGACACCACTTCAACATATGACTATACTCATAACAGAAACCATTTCCTGCCATCCTCGAGAGTAAACATGTTTATAGATGCTTTAAATGTTGACTTTTGATCTCCTCCACTAACTTAGGTGATATTTTTTCTTGTCCCTTTTGTTTAGGGAAGTTCCGATGAAGGAAGCGAAGGAATTTGCTGAATCGATTGCTGCCATCTTCATTGAGACTAGTGCCAGAAATGCTGTCAACGTAGAGGAGCTCTTTCAGAAAATCAGTAGGTTTTATGTCTTTCTTTGGTGCACGCATGTTGCACCTTTTGTACTTGCTGTGTTGCTGTGAAAGAGAGGAGGCTGTTGGAAGATGACCAAGATGAATGATCTTAAAGGTGTATTGTGGGCAGACATGGACGTATTTGGCGATAGCTTGTTTTCAGGTACTAAACTGAGTCTAGACTACAGTTTTTGATGATGTGTGCCATGTCTTCAAAAAGAAGACTACCCATTGTGGTAGAATTAAGTCTTTTGTATGCACACTTAATATGACTTATTTTCTGATTTTATTTGACATATTTAGACTTTAAGTATGTTTTTTTGCCCGGTGTGGATTAGAAAACTTAATTTTCACTCATACATTCGTTTTGATAAATAATCTTAAAGAAACACACATTTGATTAAAATTAGCTTTTAAAGTTTGGATGATTTGGTTAAGCAATAAGTGTTGTCTTTAAGCCAGTAAACATATTGTTTTATTTTGTGACTGTTATGCACTGCTAAATACACTGCATTACAAATATTAACACACCCCTATTATGTGTAAGAAGTGATCAAGACTTTCTGTGCTGTGTGTTCAGGTAAACAGATTCCCCCCCTGGAGAATCCCGAGGTGGAAAGCAATGAGTCCTTCAAAATCACCCGGCAGCCCACTCCGTCCACCAGGAGATGCTGCTAGTACAAACAGTGTCTGATGAGATTACCTCCTCTGGCACCAGGGATCCCACCAGCAACAGCACACCGTCCACAATGCACAGAGTGTCTCACTCCAGGGAAAGACCAGTCAGTGGACAGACAGAGGTCAGCTTGCACGTGTGGTCAACTGCACAAAGGAAGAGGACAAAGAACCATCAGTATAAATACAGTATGTAAAATTGCACATTTATTCCATTGCAGTTGTAGCTCAGATCAGGGCAGAAGCTTTCGCTTTGTCTCCATCTGGTGGTGCATTTGCTAAACTACAGCAGGACTTCTGTCTGTGCAGAATGAAACATCCATAACTCGTCACGAAGAGTTCTTTAACAGAGTAACTTTTACATTTAGATTAAGTTAATAACAGGTGATCTAGCCCACGTGCTTTCCTTTAAGCCAGGCTTTGATTTAAACACATGTTCATTGCACTGTGGCTCTTAAATGGCACACATTAATTTTTTTTATGTCAACATTTCTCATGGATCTCTTATATTCTTGTACCATATGTATTACTCTTGTATAGAATTTCAGTAGAATTTTTGTTCATAGATTGTCGAGCTTCAACTTTAGACAAGAATTCAGCTCTGTAGCTCAAATGCAGCACCTTTTACATTCCAGTTCATCATGTGTCTTCACACACATTCACGCTGTATAAAGGTTGAACTGAAGTGCTGAAGGACAAACAGCTGGGAGGTCAAAATCGCAATTATAGTATGACACCCCGTCCTAAAACACTGTGACCAATACTGGAGATGTTTACATAGTGTTTCGTTGAAGATGTTTTTTCTACATGTTGAAAACTATTATCTGGGATTTCATAACAGGGAAGGACAGAATTTATAAACGACGTGAGTTTTTGTGTTTTCTCTGAGGCGTTTGTACTGTTGACTAGAGAAAATACCTGAGAGTGTTCCACTAAAGACATGATTAAGGCCCTGATCAGATGGTATGTGGATTCTGCACCAAGAAGTGCCTTTTTCTGGTGTAAAGCAATTTGCATGCCACCGTTGGGCTTCGGATGATTTCTGTTTTTTTTTTAAGGGAACTGTCAACATCTCAGACCGAAAAGACTTGAACTCAGTTTGCAAAAGCGCCCGATGGCATTTCCATTTTCTTTTTTTTTGTTTGTTTTTGATAATTTTCAGTGTTTTTGTTTTTCATTTGGATTAATTGAAAAGTATTATCTTTGAGTTTACTTCATAATGAAATCATGTTTAGATTTGAGTCAGATTATTTGGCAGGTATAAAATCTGTAATTTATCTTTTTTTTAATAATAGGCTTCAGGTTGCCAACCACAGTCAAGATCGAGCACACGTCACAGCTGAACACAGGGTGACAGAGTCTGTGGGTAAACAACTCCAATAAGTTAGCTAGAAGTAGAATTTCCAATACAGCTACAAACAGATTTGGGCTTCATAACCAGTGGGTTACATGACCAATAAAAATAACCTGCTTTTATTGTTAAAACTGATCTCAGAGTCCAAGGGTAGATGGTGCCACATTGGTTTTCCAAGTGTGGCTAATGCCAGCAGAGCTAGCACCACCCGCTCTCAATCTCTATTCCATGTTAACGTCCACATGTCTGCGCTGGTTACACTTTTTTTCTGGTTGAGTGATTGTGTTCCAGTTCAACTGAAAACAGCCATCAGACAATTTTATCTCCATTCTTTATATTAAAATACTGCCAAACTGTGCTGTGCTTGTTTACATAGAGGTAGTAGAGCATTTTAACTGTAACCATAGACCTGGAACTACAGCCCAGGCTAGTGGCAAGTGGCTTTGCTTCAGCTAAGAGACAGCATGTGACCGGCTTTTCGGGGTGACAGTATTAAAAATATCCAATGTTAGTTTAACCTGCTATTGGTGCTGACTGGCAAAAGTGTCAGAATTTAATCACTTTGTTCACTTAGAGTTTAATTTGAGTTTACAAGGTTAAAACGAAAGGAAAAACTTGCAAAAATCTCCTTAGCTGAGTTATTGAAACTACTTTAGGGTTGTTTTTTTCATATGCAGCAGGGCCCTTGGATTTGACCACTTGAGAATTTTATAACAGCACTTTTGTATCATTTTAGAATTAGTTTTAGTGATTTAATACTTAAAAGGTCAAAGTGCTCCGTAACAGCATTTTATTTGGCATTAAAATAATCATGTTTTTACTAGGTTATGTAGTTCATGGAAACTACTAATTGGAAAACATATAATTTTTATAAACATGATCACAGAATTATAGAGCTAAATTTGTCATTTTCGATGCTGTTTTAGTCTCATCTTAACAGTTTGCACAGTTTTTCCAATTAGGAAGTCAGACAGAACTCCTTACAAAAAATTAGCCAATTTAAGAATTCTTGTTCACTGTGGAAAAAATAGCACGTACACTAGAAAGTGATATAACCCAACTGTTACTGAACCCTGGATTTCAGGGGCTAAATGTGTATCACAGGATATTTTACATAAAGCAAATCACAGACATATGACCCCCATCTTCCTCGGAAAATGACTGACTGGATTTAAAAGCCGAAACTGAATTAGGAGCCGCTTGGTGGGCCAAATGTGCACTAGGTCACATATTTCAATATATTTCATTAAAGGTAGTTTTGGCCTGATACAGAAGAGAGATTTTAAAGACAAAAGTTATAAGAGCTCATGTGTTGACACGCAGTAGTGATGAGAAGAAGTGTTTTTATGTTTCCCCACACAAGTGCCTTTTGATGTTTTTGTAAAGTAGTGTATTAAAAAGCACATACTGCTGGTGTCATTTGTGAATCATCTGACTAACTTAGCACAGACTAACTGTATACAATAACTTTGAAATGATCTGAAGCCATCCATACCTGTACGCCTGCGTCATGCTTCCCTGTATCCTCTGTATGTCAGATTAACTTTTGTATATTAATCAATGTAATAAAGTACTGATTATTATTTTCTCTGTTTTGTTATTGGGACTGTCACCTACTCTTAATGTGAAAAATATGCTTTAACATCCTCCAAACACACATCTTTAATTTATATTTTAGGTCTTGTTGACAGAAAACAAAGATGAGCAAGAAAAACTATCAGGAGAAACCTAATATAATAATATAATAATAATATGTATGACTTGTTTAAAAAAAGCTGTAAACAGCACAGGGTGTAACATTCCTGCCTTACTCAGTTCACAGCTGTGGATTACCTGCTCAGCAGCTTACGGTTGGAGAAGGAGAGGTGGGAGGGGTTCTACATTTCTTGTCACGGAGATAGATTTTACCATGGCTGTAGCTGTCAATGGTTCCTCACAGGGTACAAAGGGTACTTAAAGTTCAAACTGAGTCAACACTGTATGAAAAATCAGGATTTTTACCCTATAATCATGTTAGAGTATGTGTCTGAAATCTGCACAAATCTGAAAGTGATCCTATGACGTTTGCCATAGAGTCTGAGTATAGTCTACTTCTTTAAAACCACAATTTAAACTCCTGCAACTCACTCAAAGTAGGAGAAATTTTAACTGTTATTTAACAAGACTGTTCCAGATTGTTCTTCACCACATTTTATTCCCAATACAAATCATAATATTTAATACCATCAGAAGAGTATGATTGTGTAATGTGTTTGTAATTTTGTAACAGCTGACTCTTGCCCTTTTGAGAGGTTTCATAATTGACTAACAGACGGGTAATAAGACATCTCCTACAAACATAACAACTTCGATTTGGAGAAATTGAATAAATTGGGTTAAGATGACCACTTATTTTAGTGAGTTAAAAAAATATTCCAAGTATTTCTTCTTTTAGAAATGATGAAGTCATCCTGACTGAACATGCAAAATCAAGTGTGGGAACAAATCAAACAATCCTGCATGTGTTGTCTTTTTTCTTTTTTTTTTCACAGGTAACTTCTGTTGTGGCGTTCATTTTATTGAATTATTTTTTTGGCATTTAGTAACTTTTTTTTTGCATCGCCACTGTTTTTTGCGTCCTTAACTTCTGTTGTGGCTTTTTTAAATCTGACCATTCGTTTTTTTATTTGCAGTGGGCTTAGGTTTCTTTTTTTTTTTTTTCATTGCATCAGTAACTTCCATTATGGCGTTCTTTTTTTCTGCACCGTTTCTTAATTTTGCAGCGGGCTTAGGTTTCTTTTTTTTTTTTTTTTGCATCGGTAACTTCTGTTGTGGCGTTCTTTTTTTCATCTACACCATTTCTTTTTTTATTTGCAGCAGGCTTAGGTTTCTTTCTTTCTTTCTTTTTTGCATTGGTAACTTCCATTGTGACTTCTTTTTTTTTGCCTTCTTTTTTTATTTGCAGCGGTGGCGATTCTTAGCCACCGTAAGTTACTACATATAAAAAGCAGCGAAAACAAATAAATACAGGGAAAAAAAACGTGTTATTTTCAAAAGTTTATTCAAAAACTTCACAAAAAGGCACAAATATACAAAAAACAATTTAAAAACAGTAATAAGAGTCCATATAATATGTTATTTTCCACTTCTATTTTCACTGACTGCGCAGGTTGACACCGTATATTCCTGTGTTAAAATGTCATACTGCAGTCTTGTTGTTTTATGTGAATATTTCTTCCCATGTATTTCTGGGAACATGCAGAATAACCTGTTTACTGACCCATAATCACATCAGTTGCAGCGCCGCGAGGGCGCGCAACAGGGCTGTGCGCTCGCGCGTTCAAGTATTTGTACCCACATGCTCGTCCTCAGAGCTCAGTCAGCATTTGACTCAGTAGTGGCAGCAGGGGATCTAGGATTTCCACTTGTCAGTTTTACTCCCCGATACCGAAATCAAGTGCATCCCCTCAGCTAAAATGTCAAAGTTGGATCAGGTCCTCATTCTCGACCCTCCCGCCGACCTCAGATTTAAAGGTACGTACATCTCAAATTTGTTGACGTGTGCTGAAATGTCCAGGTGGTGGAGAATTACCTGACTGTAAAGATTTCACACTCCCTCCAGCGAATTTCATTGCTAGCGAACTAGCTAGCATTCACCGCCATTTTAAGTTAGCCAGGGACGGGAAGGGCCGCTGAATCCTCGCGCTGTAGTGACGTGGATAGCCGGCGTGGCGTGCCCCTCCGCCGGCTGCCATTCATGCTCAGCTCCCCCTGACAACACCCAGCGAAGCGGTGAAGGAAGGAGAGGCAGCTGTCAGTGTTTGTAAAAACAGAATTACAGAGAGCAGAAGGAGTGTGTTTACTGGAGCTCTGAGTGTAGCAGCAACATGAGCTCCTGCTAAAGGTGTTAGCAACAGCAAACTGTTGTTTCCTCAGGGCTCAGCCTAGTCCCTGACATGTAACCGCTCACAACCCGGACTTCACAGGGAAGGGAATCAACTTTATTCGTGGTTAATAAAGCCTCAAACCTCACACACCTCCGGCTCACTCTCCCCTATGTCTAGCTTATGGAGTAACTGACAGCTGATATGACAAACTTTATCTACAACAGTTTTAGGGAACATTTGGTTCATCCCTCCTGTAGCTAACCCATTATTCTGTATATCAGGTAAATAATGTCGATGGAGATGTTTCACAGGGAACCAAAGTCATCCACACACATTAAAGGGCCACTGATTGCTCTCCTGTTAGTGATAAGGTACAATGATGTGTCAGGGTGCTGTTGGCTGATCACAGCTGTGCTATCTTGCTAATGCAAAAGTTGATATGCAGCTAAACTGTTAGCAGCATTCCTGTACTGAACTGGCTGGTTTTTCAGGGATGCAAGTGTGTCTAAGATGTTAAAAACATGACAACTGAGCCAGCTGTTGATCCCAATATTAATATACTGCATTATTAATCAAGTGTAGCCTCATCTCTTAAATATGCTCTCATTGATTCGCAAATATAACTTTGTTAAAGTCATTCACACCTTGATTAAACTATTTCTCTGGGAGGCAAAAGTTCAATTATCCTAACCAAGTATATCACTCACCCCAAAGCCAAACAAAACCTTCTTCTTTCTGCAAACTAAAACACTGTTAGATTAAATATTGAGATAAAATTACAATGCTAAAACAGGTGCTATATTGTCTATTTAAACAATATTTACAGTAAGATTAAACAGCTCAATGCAACTGCTGCTGTTCCTTATTGCAAAATCATCTGTTACCTGTGGACAGGATCAATACTGTCTGACACTGATACTCATTATACACCAGTGCATCCCTGCAGGTTCTCCATTTTTTGCACCCTTGTGACAAACCTTCAGGTGTTATTTAACTTGGTTGCATTTGTATGATTTCCACAGTTGCTTTGTTATTAAAAGGCAGTAGAGTATGAGGTAATAGTAAAACTTCATTGTGCTGATGCGAGTATTAGTTTCACTGTACTTTATCTGCCAAGGCCTTCCTCTCATAAAACAATTCCCTCAATCTGTTACGACTATCATTCACTCGGAGCCAGAAGTCCTCTCTGTATTTCGCGTATTCGTCCCAGTTTCTCGCTCTGTCTCTGCTAAAAGCATTGTTGTCAATGAGGCACTGTTTTATTCTTACTGAATGCACCACTGTCAGTAAAGCAGGGATCTTTTCGTGCATTGTCTTGCTGATCTAAAAGGCTGATTGTTAGTTAGGACTAGGTATGAGATACTACTGATTATAAGCAGGACTTGACAGGATTGTCACAAAGGTCAGCGGTTCAGATACCAGAGTAACCAGACACAGAGATGTTTTAGTCCTGAGGTGTCCCGTGTAAAATTGATTGTTCATGTTTTAATACACCATTACACAGCTCAAATCCTCCTGCCTGATAGCGCCACAGGATGGGAGGAAGCCGGAACGTTGTATGTTGAACTCATAACCTCTGATTAGTCTCTTTTACTGTCAAACTTTTATCTGATGCACTTAAAAGTTTTAAAGATGACATGCCGCTGAAAGCAGTTCAAACAACAACAAAACTCACAGAGAGCTTGATATATACCTTGCCAGCTGAAATGCAAAATGTTTGACAGTGTTGACTTTTATTTTTAGAGTCTTTGTGGTTCAGCTTGTTTAGAGAAATAGTAAGACTGGTTGTTGATTTTGTTTTTAACTCTTAACTCATGAGATTATCCTCAAACTCCGTGCAGAAGATGCACTTTATATTACTTTTTATCATCTAAAAAGTGCAACCAGTATATCAGCATATATGCAGAGAGAGTTTTTATTTCATCATGCTAGAATATTTCTCCCAGGAGGTGGCACTCAAAGAAGCAACCAGTGGCTTCCCTGTGCAAAAACAGAAATGCGGATCAGTCTAGCTGCACCACTTTTAGATACCGATCCCCTCATTAGGTTGTAATCATGCATCTAAAGGTAATGGTGGAATCCCATTTTGTAAATAAACCTTTTGGAGTGCTGGTTTGATCGTAAGAGTCTTCAATTTAAAACAACCGTTGGGCAGAGGAAGGAGATGCAAGTCTCAGAGGATTTATTGCTCTATATATCTATCTATTTATACTGTATTATCTGCAGACTTTCCATCAGAGCTAACTTGTTTTACCACCTGCAAAAGAGAGAGAGCTACACATCTGCAGAGAAACTGAATGTTGCTGACCACGATGGAGGTCCTAACGCAGAAACACAGTGGATCTTTTTTCCTTCTTCCTTGGGGTACTCCCCAACAAAACAGACTTTGTTTTACACACCTGTGCGACTTATATTCTTATATTCCAGATTTTGAGGTAGAGAAATATCAAGTTTGTCCTCCAGTTGAACCTTTAATTGATATCTGGCCTGTCTGATGTTGGGGACGTGGTGCATCATAATGTGATCATGAACCTCCTCCATGTGCCTGATTAAGAAATTCTGCTCTAATTGAACTTACTCTGCTTACCAGGCAGTCACAGGGTATATATTTTCCGCCATCCAATAAAATCTTTTGTGCACCAGGATAGACTGAAAAAGTTATATAAAAATGACACTGATGCTCTTTAATTGACGAGAGATAATCTCTCCTACCGCAAAACAAAAACATGTTAAATCAAAGTCATGAGGAAGAACTGATGGATTGAATTGAATCAGCTGAAATAAATAAAGGTATATCAATTTACATGCAAGCCAATCTAGAGTTTCTCCAGTGCTAACGTGAACCTTTTAAATGGTCCATTCTTAAACCTCTTGCACGCAGAGTTTGTTTGTTTGGGTTTGAGCCCAACTAATTGTTTACCTCCTGTATTGGCCGGCTTAAAATTAACCGTTTAATTGATCCAATCGAATTCAAATCAGTTGATTAAAAGAAGAAAAGGATCACTCTTTCCAAGGAGGAACACAGAGCTAAATGAAATGGTTCCTCCTCTGTCTGTCTTTGAGAAGCGATACGAGAAGAGGGAAGATGACCACGGCTCCTTGACTGTCAGAGAGGCCGAGCTAAATTGGTCCGCGTGTATCTGAGAGCTGGTCTGTTTTAGAGCCTCTGCTGGGATTCCTCCAGCAAGCTAGAGGGGGCAGCCCTCCTTTCCTTGGCGGGTATTTTTAGAATAAGACTGGCCTGGGGGACCCTAACTCAGCATACATGCAACAAGATGAGAGAGACGGCGCTAATGCTGCTCGAGCAAAGGTGGCATCTTCGAGTTCGTCTGCAGATGCAGGCTACGTGGGCGTATATTTGATGCGCACAACTATATCCCAGTGTTTGTTTAATGCGTCTCAGTCTTGGTTCGAGTAAGACTCTCAGAGTAGACAACTCGGTGTGTAGAGCTGATCTCAGTCAACCTTGTATTCCTTTTTGCTGATGCAGTTACTCGTCTTCTCAGGACTGCTTATGTTTATTGAGTCCATGTGACAGACAGAAGACAGTTTCATAAATAACCTGAGTCAGGGTTTTTTTTTTTCTGCTGCTCTTGGTTATGGCACAGTGGTCTGTTTAGTGTTGATAAAAACTATAGGAGTCCAGAATAAGAATAATAGTTTTTTTTCCTAACATGAGCCTGTTTTACATGTGCTCTGCCCCTAAAATTCCCCAGAGTTGTTTGGTTGATCATCCTTTGCGGTGTAAAGTCTACCTTGTCAGTGGACAAAGGGGTAGATGATGAGACTTGGGAGGCAGGACGTGACATCCAAAGCATCTTACAAAAACCTGCAGCGAAACATTTACAACATGATTAATAAAAAAACAAACCTGCACTTTGACGTCAGTTTTTACATCAATGCAGTCCACGAACAGTAGAAGCAGAGATATCTATGCTGTTTTGTCTTTACGTTAATTCTCCCTCTCCAGCCCAGGATGATTGTATTTGCACAGTTAGTTGTTGTTTTGTTGGTTCACAGTTCACTCTGGTTGCGTGACCTACACGTCACCAAACTTGCCCACCTGCTCTTGGGTATTTTTCCGACTATTTTGTGCTGTGTTCTTATTGGTTTACCCCACATTCATGCAGAAAAAAGTTGAAGTGAAGTCACACATGCTGATGAAAATTTCTTAAAGTTTCCAGGCGTTTTGGGCATATGTGAACACAGCTTTAATGTAAAATGCAGGAAACAATGTTTAATGTGTGTTGGGAATTACTCCAGAATCCATGAGTCACTCCTAGCAAGTTTCCAAAAAGGACAGAGATCTGAAGCGTCTTTCTGGGTGAAGATTCACTGTATAGTTTCACACACAATCCACAATGTGCAGTTTCTCTGCAACTGTGTAGCTCCTCTTGTTGCCTAGTTCCTGTATTTGTGAGGTATGGATAGACCAAATGTCTGTGCGCCACTGTAGCACATGAAGACTCCTCTCTTTGCATTTTATACTGGCATATTGGTCACACTGATGTATAGGATGTAGTTAAGTTTTCAGATCACATTGCAAGTGTGTCTGATGTCCAAATTTCCCAGTATGTTATATCATCACATACAGTACACTCTGTCTGGCAGAGAACACTTGTACTAAGAGCTTACGTTACTCTCAGCGCTGTCTGCACCACATATAGCAGAGCATCACAGCTGAGTAGAAGACGCTCGCAGTAGAGGTATGATGATCATACACCGTCTTACAGTTAGCCGTTTATTCAAGAAAGTTGACTTTGGACTACTTTTTCAGCACACAACTGAGAGGAGCGTCTGTGGTCTGAGGATGTTGACCAGCTTAATTGATGGCGCTTATCCAACACTTTCTGGCAACAACTGCATTTACATGCCTTCATTCCTCACTCAGTCAAAACAACAAAATGATCATTTCATCTCAAAAAGTGGACTTGCATGATGGCAGTAAATTAAACATACAAAGTCACAATCTATAAAGACAGAAATACAAGAAAAATAGTCTGAATTCTAAAAAAAACAAACATCTAAATTCCGAAAGTAGGGTTGGAATTCTAAGATTAAAGTCAGAAGTCTGAGAAAATAATCAGAACTCTAAGAAAAAAAATATAAATTCTGAGATTAAAGTCAGAATTCCGACATTTCTTTCAAATTCTAACTTTAATCTCAGAATTTCGTCACTACTTTCAGAATTCTGACTTTTTTCTCGGAATTCTGACTTCAGTCGCAAAATTCTGACATTTCTTTCAGACTGTGACTTTAATCTCAGAATTCTGACATTTCTGTCAGACTCTTAACTTTAATCTCAGAATTCCAACTTTCTTTCAGACTCTGACTTTAATCTCAGAATTCCGACACTGCTTTCAGAATTCTGACTTTTTTCTCACAATTCTGTCTTTTTTTTCAGAATTCTGACTTCAATCTCAGAATTCTGACTTTTTTTCTGAGAATTTTTTTTATAAATAAAAAAAATTATAAAAAATTTGAGTGAGAATTTTACTTTAATCTTAAAATTCAGACTTTTTTTTGTAATAAATAAAAAATTATATATTAGGCCTTTTTTTCCAGAGGTCCTAATCCTCTTCCATAATAATGTCATTGCCAGTCACGGGAAAAAAATTCACATGATGCATCTGTGATGTGAATTTATGGTGTTATTATTGAGTTTACAATGCAAGTGAACCGCAGCATTAAAAGCATCATCTGTTATTATTATTGGCTTACAAAACAATATCATGTAAAGTTATGTGAAAACAGTCGCCGCCCACTCTCAGACAAATTGCACAAAGAAATATCAGACGGTGCTGCTGACTCTGTGCCTGCTGCGACAAAAGGTTTTTCAGGTTTGAAGGAATGTCTTTGTGATCCACCTGAGCTGAAAACAACGCCCCACTCATCATCATCACCGTCATCATCATCATCATCATAGCATGTTAGCTTTAGCTGGGTGGAGCCACTCTCAATCTGGTCCTGCTATGCTTGTTATCTTGGTAAGTGCTGGGTGTGAAGGGGTGCTGAATGGAGGCTGTGTGCACTTTGAAACAACAACCAAGCTGCAGGGAGTCAAAGAACACTTGAATACTGAACTTCTTGGACATTTCTCTTGTACCCACAGCCATCAGACTTGATAATTCGTCTGTAAATAGTAGATGACTTGGGACAGGACACATCAGATTAGACAATTGAATTTTCCTTCGAGGATCAATAAAGTTCTGAGCTGAAAACTGATAGTTTTTCTTTTTCAACTTGGAGTCGATGTCAAATCAGCATCATAACTTAACTCATTTGATCTCATTTGATACACTGTGTACTTAAAAAAAAAAGATCAGGCTGCAAAAGACATCAAGTTTGTTTTTGTTTTTTTTTGTGCATGGAAAGGATGTCAAAAATGGAGATCATGCTTAAAGATCATACTAAAGCAGGATCAGTCCATGATTGAACAGCTAATACTCTCAAAGGATTTGAAGGGGAGGCTCAAACTCGGCTTCTTCTCGCTCATTAGGAAGTCTATTTGAACATTTTCTTGCTTTCTTGGAGCTCAGCTATCCGAAATGTCGAGTTTATTTCAGTCACAACATCGGCGCAGGGTGTGGAATCCTGTTACTCATCTGTTTAGATAAGGCTTCAGCTGTTTTAACAAAAGGTGTTGTTGTTTTGACTGGATAGTTGGCGCTAATAGCTTTCAGCCAGGTGTCACCTCGGTTAACTCAGTTGCTGAACTTTAAGCTAATGGACGGTTTGTATTGTCTTGTCATTTTACGGATCTGAGATGTCTGTGCTCTAATTATTTTGGGTGGTTTTGTCGGCTTAATTACAACAATGAGTGTCAAGATTGAAAAAAATTGTCTCGTTTGGTTCTTGTTGTTCAACTTTTGCTTTCCAGTTTCAGACATTCGTGAGCGAGCCGTAAGTTCGCTTCGTCCCTCGTGTTTTCCTCAGTTTTTACAGTTACAGTCTGGTTCTGTGGGAAATTCTCTGGTGAATTTGCTGATTTTGTAGTCGGATTCGCCTCGGGCTCTGACTGTATAGCTTTGACTACATGGTATATACATCCTCTGCTACCCTCTTGGCTAAATACTATCACCCCTGGCGACGACTTGAACCCTAAAAAACATTTCTGACTAACCTTTGGGGGATGTGCCGTTGGCTTGACTCATGAAAACCTTTTTGGCTCATGGAGGAGTTTTCAATATTAAGATCAACTCTTGATGCATAACCTCTGATGGTGCAGCGGGACAAATCAGTAGACCTCAGCTGTGGCGAGGCTGTTATGTCTAACCAGGTATCATGGGACGTATTTTTCTCCGGCTCCCAGCCTAATTGTGCTGAATCGAATTTTCTGTGCTTCTGACTTGGCTTCGAGTTTTGTTTTTGACATGATATGACTTTAAAAGCTGGATAATGCTGATGGTTAAGGATCTAATTTGGAGCGGGCTCCGTCACAAGATAAAGAGCTAACTTCTGGTCTCCTGATACACTATGACCTGAGTTTGCATGAAAGAATATGGAGTTTCTGTCTGAGTCAGCTGTTCAGAAAAGATAATTCATGTGGTTTGGCTTGTTGTTTCTGTAGGAATATTTAGAAAAGATACTGATCTTCATGAGTGTCTCATGCAGAATCTTGTGGTTAAAGGTAGTTTTCTTATTCCAGCCCGTATAATCAAATATTTCGGTGAGCTGTCTTTATGTTACATAAGGCTTCACATCTAAAAAGAGCACAAACATCACCATAAAAAAAGATCAGCAGAGCTTGTCTGACCACTGAGTTAAGAGAGACCACACTCTACTATGATCTTCAACCACATAAATCACCAGCAGCAGACATACACTCTGAAATGAACCCAGTTATAATTCAGCAGGGATGTCCCAGTCAGCTTTTGAGTATCTGCCAATAACAAGTCTTGGTCCAGTGCTTGTATTTGCCCAGATAATAGAGTCCAGCTTCTTCTTTATGGTCTGTTTTACATGTGTGGGAATCAATTCAGTGTGTGGTGAGGTTCAGCAATGACAGGACAAATGTCACATCTCCAAATGTCTGTTGTAAAAGAAACAACAGCCACATCATACATTAAATAACATAGTTAAGAACTTTGCTGCACAGCTCGGGTAAGGCCGAGTCTGAAATGTTGAGTTTAGACACCAGGACATGCTGTGAGTGGAAGAGGGCACAGCAGTGAGCTGAGTGTCTAAAGTCGTGGTCGACTGATATCAGTCTTTAAACCGCCCAAGGCAGATACAGATAATGAGAGAGCTGATATATAAAGTAAAGATGCACCGATCCGCTTTTTTCACCTCTCTGATACAGATATCTAGTTTAGCATCAGACAATACCGATCCGATTCCAATACAGAAAAGCTGCTGAATGACCTTTTGTTGTAACCTGAAGTTTTACCACCGCCGCTCATAACATTTACTGCGCAGGTATTGCAAGTGGCCGTCAAGCATGTAGGCTGAGGTAGTGTGATAAAGTTCAAGATAGCAGACCCTTTTGCTCGCTCCATTTTGAAAAAAAAACAAAAAACGTGGGGATCTGCTCAGCATGTTTACTTGTGGATGCCATTCACGGTGCACAGCATAGAGTTAGACTAAAAAGATCGACCCCTTTGCACCGGGCCCTTTCTCACAATAGCCGATCCAGAATTTTCTTCAGTATCGGGACCGATACCGATATCAAATATTGGATCGGTGTATAAGCTGACTCAATACAGATACTTGGTTCAAGTAAATATCACTGTAGAAAAGTCTTCTAGATTTCTGTTCAACCATCTTAAAATTAAAAAAAAAAGTAAAAGGAAAGTGAGAATCAATAAATCTATTATTACATGCTTATTGAAATCTAATGGTTATTATAGTCTGTAACATGTTTTAGACAGATATTTAATTAATATTGGGTTATGCTGTAGGTTTCAAAACATGGCTGATATTTATATTCATGCAATATTAAGCTGCATTATTCTAGCAGAGTTAATATTGAACACTAACCAGTGGCGGTTTTAGGTTTAATATCGGCCTTGTGAGGAGGCCACTGCCAATATGATGATGATGGTTATTTCAAAATGCCATAAATCGGTTGATTAATTATACACATTGATCAGTCTACCTCTGCGTCCAAAGTGGTAAAATTCTCCCACCATTACTGTAATATTTTTGTTTTATAAACTAGACGTACCATGGTTTATATTAATGACACAAACACACCTGTGCACAGCCGGCCAGAATACAGCAACAATGATAACATCTTCACTGCAGCCTATGGAAACACTCGAGGAAAACATGTTCAAAAAAAGGTACAAACACATACCAAACCTATGACAGTCTGCCACAGCAGTGAAAGCGCCTCTATTGCTACCTCTTCAGTGTTGCACAATAGCATAGCTGTCTAGTTTGAAACATTGGTACTGCTGACGTCTTGGTTACGGGGTCACTCATACTAAGTTAGTCCCGCATTTGAGTTCTGCTTCTGGATTTGCGACAGCAGACGTAAGTGATCGGAATAAGACGACCAGCCAAAATCGCCAGTTTCCAATCAGATAAAAATCCCTCGATCTTATCTGATAGTTGAGGCTGGGATCGAAACATGCCTATTATTTAGTTAATCAGTCAGTGTGTGCAGAAGTAACCACAGTAATATATCTTTGTTTTGCCCTCTGTCTCCTCATCTGCCCTCTACTCTGGGTTTAAATAAGGTTAAACTGCCCTGCCTCTTACTTTCTAGGCCAAAAACTCACTATTGAATTAGTCTATTAACCGCCAGTGTCTAACTGAGTTGCAAACTAATGTTGTTTATTCAAGTTGTCCCTTTAAACTCTTGCTGCAAAAACATCACAGGGCTGCTTCGTCTACTAGACAGCAGGTCATAGAGTTGAACTTGAAAAATGAGATTCCCTGTAATATTTATATAAGCAGCTGATTATTGACGTTGTCTCTGAAAACTCTTCTGTTTAGTTTTCATGTGAAGTTGTGCTGTGTTGGTGTGTGTCCAAACAAACAAAACATGAACGCTCTTGTGTTTTTTCTCCGTCAGGTCCCTTCACAGATGTAGTCACCACGAACCTCAAATTGAAGAACCCGTCTGACAGAAGAGTGTGTTTCAAAGTGAAGACGACTGCACCGCGCAGGTACTGTGTACGACCAAACAGCGGTGTCATCGATGCAGGCGCAACCGTCATTATCTCGGGTAAGCTCTGATTCATTTACTGTGTCATTTCTGTAAGATCAGGAACTAAAATTGTCGCTGACGTAGAGATCGTGGGGAGGAAAAACAAAAGGGAGATTATGTCAGTATGATGGAGCATGTTTTACTCGTATGTCAACAAGGCACGCTGAGGTGTTAAAGCCTCAAGCTGTGATTTCTGGAAGCAGATTTTACCCAAACGTCAACACGGTCAGTCATTGCCCATTTGGCTCAGAGCACAAACTGGAGACAGAAAACAGAAACTGACCTGAGCCTGCTTTAGATCAGGGCTGTGAAAACTACAGAGTCATGCAGGTTTTTGCACTAAATAAACACATATGTACTCATTTTTGTTTTTAATCACCCTGGTCAGTAAGCTGCTGGCTTTGAGTATTGTTGTGCTGATTACTGTCCGTTTTAGTATTTAAAGGTTAAGGCAACATAAGCTGCATATGAGAGACGAGGCTCAGGTGTAAAATAGAAGAAAAAGTCTAAAACTTACTTGAATAATTTGCAAATATTTTAATCATTGCTCCTTTAATGAATTAAAGGGATATTCCGGCATAAAATTAATTTAGGGTCAAACACACCGTAACACTAAGTTAGACACGAGAGATGAATGTTGCCGACCGCTTTCTTCTCTAGTTATACCAACAGGATAGCAATACAGAGAGCCGCGCGCCACAGTACTAGCCACCAAACATCATTCTAGCTTTGCCTGATTTCTTTAGCAAAGAGACTAAACACAACTCACCTACTCTCTTCCAGCAGCCGCTTGTTTGTACGGACACCTCCGGATGAGTCCATCGACTACAGTGGGGTGACGCAGCTCAAGGAAGAACATTTATGATCATTTCCTCATGACTGATACGCTAAGGCAGAAGAACTACTTTGTCTGCAGTGCAAAATGATTAATATGATGATTATTACTTCAAAGAAATGATAAAGTAATGATCATAAATGTTCTTCCTTGAGCTGCGTCACCCCACTCTCTTCCATACAAACAAGCGGCTGCTGGAAGAGAGTGGGTGAGCTGTGTTTAGTCTCTTTGCTAAAGAAATTAGGCAAAGCTAAAAAGATGTTTGGTGGCTCGTGCTGTGGCTGAGACCCTAAATGTATTGGTGTTACGGTGTGTTTGACCCTAACTTAAATTTATGCCGGAATATCCCTTCAAGTCTTAAAATCCCCAAATTCCTCCAAAGCCAAACACTTTCTCCAGACAAGCTTAAGCCCAGCCTAAACTGATTCTGGATCTGCTTTCAGGAGCTTAATTCACTTCAAATCTGCTTCTCTGTTACTCTGTTGTTCTGAAGCGACTCATTTCCAAACTGACCACCGTGTCCTAACAGCAGCAGCAGAGTGAGAAAGTCTATCGAGTCCAAAGGCAGGAAGTTAAAAAGAAAAACTCAAGCTGGTCCAAAAGCACATCTGATGAAACAAACACAGAACCAGCACTACGTTTGCACTTTTTGCACAGTTTTAGACACGTTAACACACATTATGCACGTGTTTGTATGCTTTGCTATTACAGAGTTAAAAACATTGGTTCGTTTACATTGTGGAAGGTGCATCTTTTTCCTGCTGGTGTAGACGTAAACTTTCTATCCTCAAGACAGATCCCTTTATACCTGCTACACCAGACAGTACCTGTATCCAGATTTATCTCTATACTGCAAACTGAGTGCAGCAGACCGTTTCTTTACAGCAGGGAAGGGTTTTAAGTATCTGGCTGGAAGAAGCTCCAGAACTATACCCGATTATTCAGACAGTATCACAGCTGACGACGACAGCTGAGCTGGTTTGATACGATTCCAGTGAGTAAAACTAAATTTGATTTTCCAGTCATAAATCTTCAGAGAAAATGATGACAACTCTTTAGGTGGAATTTTGGAGTTGGAAGATGGAAAACATGACTTCAGCCAGATGGGTAAAATTAGATTATCTGGAGAGCTAGTTATATTTGGAGAAATGTGTTTTTTCATTCTCTTAATGGAGCGAATTTCTGGGATTAGTTCTGCTGAATACTCGGGAACTCATTTGTGTTTGCATGTCATGCTCCCAGTGATTGACTCTTGCGTCATCTCTCACTTACAGTCATGCTACAGCCCTTTGACTACGACCCCAACGAGAAAAGTAAACACAAATTCATGGTGCAGACGATTTTTGCCCCTCCAAATGTTTCGGACATGGATTCGTTGGTGAGTACTTTTCTCTTTTTCTTTCATTCACATCTGAGCCGATGTTTAGTAGGAGTTGTCCACCTGTCGGTATTTTGACAACAATATTTCATCCACAAGATCTTTTTGAGGGCTGGACTCGAGGATGAGCTTGAGAATCCAGCTGCATGTGCAAGAGAAAGAGAAACGAGAGGAGGAAAAGCAGAGATTATAAGTTGTAAATCCAAAGCAGGAGGAGGCGGCCGTTTGCAAACTGAAGTTATTTAATAAAATTATAAGAATAATGATGATCACTATTTAGGAATACGGCGCAGCGGAAATTTCATACACATAAAAGAATTAAGTGTAACTCGATTTCTAGACCCATCTGGATGCTGTGACAGAGGCTGATTTAAAACAGATTTTGATGGTTTGTTTATCATTTAAACCACAAATTTAGTTGAAAATAATGCAAAGACAACATATCACATGATTAAACTGGAAAATAATACCCCTAAACATCTCTCAGTTTTTTAAAATAATTTGAAACAGGAGAGAGAGAGAGAGAGAGAGAGAGAGAGAGAGAGAGAGAGAGAGAGAGAGAGAGAGAGAGAGAGAGAGAGAGAGAGAGAGAGAGAGAGAGAGAGAGAGAGAGAGAGAGAGAGAGAGAGAGAGAGAGAGAGAGAGAGAGAGAGAGAGAGAGAGAGAGAGAGAGAGAGAGAGAGAGAGAGAGAGAGAGAGAGAGACTGCATAAACGTGATGTTTCTCAGCATGAAATCAATGATGAGTTTTTCATCATCTGCAGTGCATAACAATAAAAGATTTAGTAAAAAGACAACAAATCTAACAAATATTACGACTAAAAAAGGCAGTTTTATGAAAAGTAAAAGCTCATTTTAAGTTTAAGGCAGCAACATGTTTAAAAAGTTCAGATCAGGACAGTAAAAGACTGAAAAAGGACCTGAAGGAACATCCCTCATCTAATACGAATCATTTGCAACAGGTTAGTAACATGACTGAGGATTAAAGGAGAGAGTGAGACTCTCTGAAGTGAGAGCAAATATTCCAGTCATTTAAAGATTTCCAAGAATGAACAGATTTGATCATCTACTGTAGATAAAATCATTAAAAGATGCAGACAAAGGGGAGCTGATTGAAAACTGGTTGTCTGTGATGTTGGCACTCTTAAGCAGAACTGCGTTAAAAACAGACATGACTCTGCGGTGGAAATCACTGCATGGCTCCACGAACCCTTCCGAAAAACAAAGTTTGGGTTTTAAACGGTACGAAGCAAAGAGGAAAGCGTGTGCGAACATGATCCAGAGAGTCCAGCGGGATCTCCCTGAGCCTGCTGAAGATGAACAGAAGCAAAGTGGAAAAATGTTCCTTTAGTTTGGACATCATGGATACTTTTCTCCACAGTCAGAGGTGAAATGTCCGGACTGCTTTGCACGGATTTGATTTGTCGCCTTTCCAGCTGAGAATCAACCGCTTTTTTGATTTTAGGTTTTGACCCACTGCAGTCAAGTATTTCATTCAAAATAAAAACCACAAAATTGTTTCAGAAATATATATAATTATCAAAAAAACACATTTTCGAGCTTAGTTTTTGTGTTTGGAAATTCCCATTAAACATTAAACTTACAGCTCAGCACTAGTATCTGCTCCACCAGCAGTCGAAAGGCTGCGTAAGATCCAGTCCTACATTATCTTGTGTAAGAAACCCGTTTCCTTTGGTCTGTGTGGGTCCCTACAGTGTTTGCCATATTACTCAGCCTGCCTCCACAAAATAAACAATCCAACCAGTCACAGTGTTGACAGGCATGGAGACTGAAGACTCATCCATTTTAATTCGGATTATTTTGATGAAATTATTAAAGAAAGTAGGTCAATCGAATTCTCTAACGTATTTTTAATATCCACAGGTTTACGTTTATTTTATGTGTCCAGCTGCAGAACACCAGGTTTATTTTTGACTGGCTGCTTTTGTAACTACACCTCAGAGTTTGCCATGTTGCCATGTTATAAATATTAAAGTAGTAAAGTTATAAAGTAAAAGTGTAAATAACAAGATTTGAGGATATTCTTTCCTCTTTACGACTTACTTTTAAAATCTGAATTCCAGGAAGATTTTATGCTCTGGTGTCTTTTCATAATCTTTCATTCTTGATTTTATTTTCTCTTAATACTTTTAGCCCCAATTGGAAAAAAAGGAAATGAATTCTCCTGTCCTCCACAAGAGGGCAGCACAGGCTCATTCAGGCAGTAAAACATGGACTCACCATGTTTCAGTGTTTGTGAACTGACTTGTCTTGAGTCAGAAGAATCCAGAAACAGTCAGACGGGTTCTCAACGAGAGCTTTGAATGTTTTAACCTCTCTGTTTTTTTCCTAATCAAACTATTTGCTGTTCTGAGTCACAAAAGCCCCTTTTTATTCACCAGTACCTCTTATTATTGAGTGACTGCTGTTTGTTTTGCCAAGTGTGAGCATATTAGACTTTGTGAAATCTCAGTGATGAGATAAAAACGAGACAGGGGTTTTTTAAATGTCTGTTCTGGATCTGTGCAGGTTGAGTTCGTGTCTCAGTCCACAGATTCAGGCTCATGTGTTGCATGTGAATATGAAGTAGGCTGTGTGCACATGTGCTAACGGTTTGAGTTGATGAATAACACTCCCATTTCTCATCTCCACCAGTGGAAAGATGCAAAACCCGATGATCTCATGGACTCCAAGCTGAGATGTGTCTTCGAACTGCCTTCTGAAAACGATAAAGTGGTAAGAGGCTCTCCCGCACCTTCAGTAGAGTTTAAAATCCAACCTTTAAATGTCTTATGTGCCCCTGATAATGAGCTGTTACCTTTCTTACTCGGCGTTCCCTCCAAACTGTCAGTTCACAAAGTTTTCACAAACTTGTGCAGATGTTTCAGATTGACTCAATTAAAGCTTTTTACCGCTGGGTGAAGAAATCATCCCCAAACTCGTCATCTTTGGCGTGTCAGTGGACTCGCGTTGCAGGGAGGACGTCAATCTGCATCAACGTGCAGCCAAAATGAGAAAATAATGCGAAAGAGGCGATAACAACGAATCGGCGTGGCACAATGAGGCCGTCTGAACACAAAAGATGCTCAAAGGTGTTAATCTAAGAGTCATGAAGGTTTTATTGTTTGCGTGTTGGAGCAAAAACAACCCCAGCCAGCCGTGCCTTTTTACTCTGCATTTTGCATTTTAACAGCTAACATCGTCTTTGTTGTGTCGCTGCCTTCATAAGCCCGAGTGCTTCAGTGTGAATACCGAGTGCAGCTGCCGTGAAACCGTTTCAAGGTGAGAGAAGAGCTCTCGAAGCCGACAGCTCTGAATGATGACGGCGTTCGCTGCGTAGCTGGTTGATCAAACCCAACGAGCGAAGCATCAGAAACAGCTGTGTGCCATCACTGATGAAGCAGACATGTGAGTGGTTGAATGTTCCCACAGTCCACATGAAGACACTGAGGAGGTAAAGCCCCTGAGTGTGGACCAAATCCTCCCCATAATAAGCTGAATGAAGTGAAAATAGGATTTCTGACGGGGCTTTTGTTCGGGATTGTTCTCTATAATCGGATGTCTCTGTGAACACTGGGATCTTGTATTAATGATCCCTCAGTGTAATCAGGATTTAGATAAGCATGCCGCCGGATCGCCCTCACAGTTCAAGCAGCACCGCCACCACCGAGCTCGCCAGATTTAGCTCAACGCTGTGGGTATGCGGACCGCTGAGTCAGCGCAGTATCCGCTCTCTGCTTTGGCATGTGTAACATGTATGTAACGTGTAATATTTAAAGTAGGGAGTGTAGGAAGAGTGATCTTATAATGTGGGAATGCACAACAGGAGTTTAGACGAAGATTTATAACATGTAGTGTTTTTGTTTATTGTCGTAAATGGACTCGTCACATTTATCACGAGTGTTTCCTTTCACCTCTCCATCCTGTCCACATGTTCATATTCATTCACACGGAGGTACAGAAACTCAGGAGCTGCGATCTAGTCCAGGCTGTTTCATCAGGGCTGAGACGATATGCTTTTCTCCTGATTCGATTCTACTAAGATTTTTTTGGATGCCGATTCGATTTAAATTGTGATTCTACGATATTGTTGATTTTTCTTGATTTTTAGTCTGCGTTTTTAACAACAGTGAAACAGTTGAATGATTATGATTGTCTACTGACGATTCCAGGAACCATATTTACCCCAAAAATACACATCACATGTAAGCAGGGCTTGACACTAACTAACACAATGAAAATTGATCAAATAATGTTTGTCTTATTGGTCGACATAAGTAATATAATTTCAAATCAATTTTAGGTCAATTGTTAACATGTAATGGAAGCTATTGAAGAAAATGTTCAAAATTTTAGAGGACAAATTAGGGAAATAAAGAGGTGTGCCTTATCGTCCGACCTTAGTACTATTATTTGAAATCAATTCTAGGTCAGTTGGTCACATGACGTGGAGAGTGAGAAGACACCGGTAGATCCGCAGTGAATGTCCGTGGAATATCCAACCTAAAACTAACTTCACCGCAGTATTTACATTAAAAAAAAACATTTGTTGCCTCGGCTGATTTTTTTTTTATGCCCTCATGTGTCACTAAATACATTTTACAATTCGCACACATCTATTTTTAGTCCCAAATGCGAGTGAAATGGTCGCACTGTTGAGCCTTGGTAAGGTTTAAGATTTATTCTTAAATTCGACAAAAGAAAAATCAATTTAAAAATTGTAAAGCAAAAAATTACGATACTTATATGTGAATCGATTTTTTTCTCCCGCCCCTAATCGTTATCATGTGTGTTAGAGGAGCCAAGGATCGGACAGCAAAGCATGTCGAGACAGCGCAGAAGAGAGTCAAGAGCACTTGAACATTTTTACACGGAGGAAAATCTTAAAAAAAAAAAGTGCATCAGGAAAAAAGAAATCTCTCGAGACTCTTTTGTCCTTATTAACGACAGAAAACATCAGCAAATAAAAGCCTCGTCTGAGTGTAATTTATGGTTAAAGATGGAGTTCACACTCTAGAGTTGCACCAGCTGAGATACTTTCAACATCGGCTCCACTTACGTCAGATATTTTACTCCTCTCTTTGAGTAGCTGATGAGTCCTCCATAAATCACCGGCTGCATTTCTCCATTTCTCAATATCAGACTCTCCTTAAAAAGGCGTCAGTACAGGATGAAACCTCCAAATAATCCGAGCCTGATGAGCTTATAAATAAAATCCTGTTTAAGAAGAGGTAATGACATCACTTCCTGTCTGTGTATTTATTGTCAGCCCTAAACTACAATCCAGTCTTTGAATTTTCTGTACAAAGCCGTCCGTTCCCCCGTGCCGTCATGTTGTCTGTCCCACAAACAAAGCCACATCAAACAGGCCTTCTGGAGGGACGCATTTCCTCCCTGGTCTCTTTGATCCGGTCCTGCGAGCGTCTGGGACTCGGACAAGGCGGCCTTTCTTTTGGCTCAGTCCACCGTCTCGAGGCGAAACCTCCATACTTAGCTCAAGGCATGCTGGATCTGACTTCAGCGGTTCTCTCCCTCTGTTTGTCGGGCAGAATGACGTGGAGGCGACCAAAGCGGCCCCGGTGATGAACTCCGCGAAGGCCGACCCGTCAGCAGCCTCGGTGCCTGTCACTGCCTCAGTGGACGAGTCGGAGATGAAGAAGATGATGGAGAAGTGCAAGAGGCTGCAAGCTGAGATGAACAAGCTGGCTGAGGAGAACAGGCAATTAAAGGTCAGAGGTGTTAATCGATTTTATTATATGATGAAACGCCGTGTTTGTGAAAGATTTACTACAGAGAAAAACAGATTTTTTAAAGAGGAGAGTCAGTTTGACCTTCTCAGAGTCAGGGTGCAAACAGTGAAGCTTCTTTTTTAAAGGGATGTTCCGGCGTAACATTAATTTAGTGTCAAACACACCGTAACACCGAGTTAGACAACCCCTCAAGAGATGAATGTTGCTGACCGCTTGCTTCTCTAGTTAAACCAACTTCAGTAACGACCACAGATAGTAATACAGAGAGCCACGCACTTAACCAAAACGCCACTCTATAGCCACAAATAATGCTCAGAACAGCACCTAACTTCATCAACAGTACATATAGGGTCCCAGCCATAGTACTAGCCACCAAAAATCTTTTCAACTTTGCCTAATTTCTCCAGCAAAGCGACTAAACACAACTCACCTACTCTCCTCCAGCAACCGCTTGTTTGTAGTGGGACCTCGGGCCAGTCCATTACAGAGTGCAGCGGGGTGACACAGCTCAAGGAAGAACATTTCTTCAAATAGTTGGTCAAGCAAAATCTACTAAGTCTATGAATATACTTTCTAGATGAGAACTCGACCTTCTGATGGTGTTTGCAACGTCATATCAGGCAAATCTGGTGCACAGATTAAGGAGTTTGAAGAAGTTTGAGCTGCAGTTTGATGAAGCTGGAGCCCACAAGTCGGGGGATTTCTTTCCTTTAATCAGTTTTTAGGGTGTGGACGCTCATTTAAAAAGAGTTCAAACTTGACACATATGTAACTTTCATCTCCTCTTCCTCTGTTCCAGGATGAAGGTGTTAGAATGAGAAAGGTACCCCGCCCAGACCACATGTCTTCAAACTCAACTAGCCTCCTCGGCCGAGAAGCCAGCACCGCCTCCCTGCCCTCCCTCCTCGTCGTCATAGCAGCCATCTTCATCGGATTCTTCCTAGGGAAGTTCATCTTGTAGACTGGGAGATGCATGCCAGCCGTGTCCCCCCCCCTCCTCCCTCTCTCTCTCTCTCTCTCTCTCTCTCTCTCTCTCCCCCCTACTCAATTCCCCCCCGTCTGACTCCGGAATAAAAACAGGCCTGGAAAAACCGAGAAGTCTTTCTGTTGACTTTGCCATATCATTGGTAGTGTGGCCTACAGTGAACACATCTGTACAGCATCATTCAAAGGCGTCGCCTTTTTACAGTCTCACACGGTTAGTTCACACACATGTACACACAGAGTCGAGAAAAGAAAGGCGACACGACAGTGATTGCTCCCCTTTTCTTTTCTGTTGTTTTCTGTTTTTTTTTTTTGTTTGTTTGTTTGTTTTATTTTCTTTTTTGTTGGCTGGATTACACAGATATTATGCCGGGACAATGAAAGTTGTATACTATCACAGTGGAAGATGCACCTAGAGTGAACCATGGGCAAGAAGCAGTCAAAAGATTAGATATTTCTCTCTCTTTCTCTCTCTCTCTCTCTTTCTCTCTCTCTCTCTGTTTTTAATAGGAATTGAATGGAATGTTAGGTGTCTTGTAAATGTTGTTTTAAATCCTTTTAAACACACAAAAAAAGGACAGAACTTCCATCATAACGACCTTGCTACCTGTCGCTGGATTGCCTCTGAAGTCAGTTTGTTCAGTTTGTAATTTCTACTTCTTGTCTTGGAATGTTTCAGGTCCAGCTGGGGTTTATAGGTGCCTCCTTCTTGTACATTTCTGTCCTTTTCCTTTCCTTCACAACACCAATGCAGACTCAACTTTATAATTATTATTATTATTATTAATTATTGTCATTATTATTATTATTATACAGATCATATATTCCTTGAGGCAAATATTGACTGAAATAAGGTCTCCATTCTTAAATCCTGTCCCATGGTATTAAGCATTGAAAAATAAAATGAAAAAATGTGGTTTCGATAGCTGTCTTTTTCTGTCTCTCCCATTCATGGTACACCCTCCCACATTCATTATATTTACCGTAAAATAAGCCCACTGTCTCAGGATGCCAAGTTTTCTGTCAGTATTCCTGCCAGTGTCATATATTGGATACTTTTTTCCCTCCCTTTCTGCGAGGACAAAGAACAATATAAGCTAACCGCATGTTTTAATTACACTTGACGTTTCATCTATTCTTATTTAGCTTTCAGTTATGAGCTGCCAGGACTCAGAAACTCTCAGATTTGTTCTGACATGGACTTCATTATGAGTTTTAAAATGGAAAAGTTCAATGCAGCTTTGTCGACTTAGATTAACTCTATTAATCAACATAAAAGTTTGGATTTCTTTAGTACTCTGTTGGTTTTTTTTATGTAGTAAAAAAATTGTTATTTTCATACACACTACTGATTTAATCAACTAAAAAAATGGTGGCCCCTGCTCTCTATTTCTGAGGTTTTTGCACCGATGCAATGAAGTACATTCCTTTTTTGGGGGGGTGATTTTGCCTTTTATTAATAGTATAGGGTGAAATGTGGGGAGGATATGTAGCACATGGTCAGAGCTGGATTCAAACCTACGACCACTGCGGGATGGTGATCCCCATACATGGGGTGCGCTAACCCACTCAGCCATCCGCACACGCCGATTGATTACATATCTGGTACATGAGACATCCTGGATGGTAAAAACGTTAGAGGTAATTTGGCCTCAGACTTCACTCTTTTCAACATGATGACTGAAACACTGACCCCTCTTTACAAAATGCTTATTTTCCCTTAAAGTGAAACCTGCAATCATTTCATTAAAGCTTGGAGTAAAATGATTCATACTGACTCCTGTAAGACGGAGCAGCGTGGGAAAAGACTGCTGAATATTTTCTTTATAATTTTTCCTTTTGGCAGAAATTAATGTTGGTACGTACACACATGTACACTTTTATGCTTTCCGTGTTTTTGATGTTTGTATTTTTGGAGGAATTGGCAGCATTTAATGAATTTAAGTTGGGGAAAAAAACTAACTGCCACACATTGTGGTGACTGTTCATGCAAATTCTCAAAAGTCAAATAAAGTTAATATTATGGCATTTTAATTGTGTTTAACGCCATACGTTCAATTGTACCCAACGTAAAAGTCCTTTTTCCAACTGCTCATAAACATCCTGGAGGTCACGTGAGGAGAACCTCACCTGCACGCAGGTGGCAAACAACGCGGCGTCTCCAGCGGTCTGCTAGCATCTCCTGTTATTCCGTATTTGGTGAGGAATTGTGATGGTGTGTCATTTTTAAGCATTTTCATAAATACAAAAGGCATTTAACAACTGTAGCACAGCACATGACCAGAAGGAAACAGGTAGAAGACAAGGCTTCATTTAATGAAAACAAGAATAAAATGCAACAAAAGTGATAATCTTTATTTATGAAGGTGAAAAAATTATGTTCAAATCCGTATTTAAATAAACAAAAGTCTACATATAAAAAATAAAAAGTAATAGCAATAATAAGATATATATATATATATTATATATTATTTTTTTAATAGTTATATATTGTTACATTTTAATAAGTCATTATAATAATTATTGTTTAAACAACTAGTTGAATGTTATCAGCCAGGGTTAAGGCAAACATTTGTCTGTAATTTTACCTGGATAAGATTGTCCAATAATCAATCATTTTAGTTGTGCTCCTGTATCTATACCACTCTGAAATCCTTGAAATGCATTCAACCTATCAGCATTTGATATTAAAGCTAAAACTTGTAAACGAAAAAGAAAGATGATATTTTTAACCATCCTTCATTGGCTTTTATTAAATGTGAGTTTTATTTGTAAATGTTAGCAAGCGTCTTTGCTTAGAAAAATCAATAAAAATATTAGACCTGGTACTTTTTAAAACTTCAATGTGCAGTAGTTAATCACAAGTTTCTCAGGCAGCAAATAAGTTACATCAAAACTGACCACCCGGGCGCCTTTTCTGTATTATGCCTATTGCTTTATCGAACTGGGTCCTGAACTCCAGATTCTGAAGTCTTCCATTCCTAGTGTTTGATCCTCAGGTGTCTGCAAGAGGACTGGAGACTCTGCGCTTCATATGACCTGCAGAGGACAGCATGAATGAGTTGTGTTGTTGGCACAGCAGTTCAGTCCCTGATAGTGCTGTCGATGTTTTCAGCAGCTGTAGTGTTACATTTTTGGATGTAACACTCAGTATGTTAAAAAAAAATCATAGTAAAGTTTGATGAAAAAATATGTGAAGTATGACAAAATATCATAGTATAAGATGAAAAAATGTCAGTATAAAATGATTAAAAATTTCATATTGGAGTTAAAAAAAAATCATATTTTAGTATGAAAATACATGTCATAGAATAGTATGATATATTGTCATAGTAAACTATGTTGAAATCTTCATATTTGAGTGTGAAAAAATTTAACTTTTTTTGAAAAAAATGTCATTTTTGAGACTAAAAAAAAAAATTCACAAATAGGTATGAAAATACATGTCATAGTATAGTATGATAATAATGTCATAGTGTCCTAGGTCTAAATCTTTATATTTAAGTGTAAAAAAAAATCATATTTTTTGAAAAAATGTCATAGGATAGTATGATAAAAATTTCATTTTTGAGTTCGAAAAAAAAATCACATATATGAAAATACATGTCATAGTACAGTATGATAATAATGTCATAGTGTCCTGGGTCTAAATCTTTCTATTTAAGTGTAAAAAAAAATCCTATTTTTTGAAAAAATGTCATAGGATAGTATGATAAAAAATTCATTTTTGAGTTCGAAAAAAAATCACATATAGGTATGAAAATACATGTCATAGTATCGTATGATAATAATGTCATAGTGTCCTGGGTCTAAATCTTAAAATTTAAGTGTGAAAATAAATTCCGTATTTTTTGGAAAAAATGTCATAGTATAGTATGATAAAAAAAAATCTTTTTTGAGTTCGAAATTTTTTTTTACAAAAAAGTATAAAAAAATACGAGTCATAGTATAGTATGATAATAATGCCATAGTAAACTATGTTTAAATCTTAAAATTTTAGTGTGAAAACATTTTTAATATTTTTTTGAAAAAATGTCATAGTATAGTATGATAAAAATTTCATTTTTGAGACTGAAAAAAAAATTCACAAATAGGTATGGAAATACATGTCGTAGCATAGTATGATAATAATGTCATGGTATCTGTTACGACCCGGCCTAGGGGGTATGACCCCAGGTCATAACAGTATCCTATGTTTAAATCTTTATATTTAAGTTAAAAAAAAATGCATATTTAAAAAAAAAATGTCATAGTATAGTATGATAAAAATTTCATTTTTGAGTTCGAAAAAAAAATCACATATAAGTATGAAAATACATGTCATAGTATAGTATGATAATAATGTCATAGTGTCCTAGGTCTAAATCTTTATATTTAAGTGTAAAAAAAAAAATCTTATTTTTTGAAAAAATGTCATAGGATAGTATGATAAAAATTTCATTTTTGAGTTTGAAAAAAAATCACATATAAGTATGAAAATACATGTCTTAGTATCGTATGATAATAATGTCATAGTAAACTATGTTTAAATCTTAAAATTTAAGTGTGAAAATAAATTTCGTATTTTTTGGAAAAAATGTCATAGTATAGTATGATAAAAAAATTCATTTTTGAGTTCGAAATTTTTTTTACAAAAAAGTATAAAAAAATACACTTCATAGTATAGTATGATAATAAATTCATAGTAAACTATGTTTAAATCTTAAAATTTTAGTGTGAAAAAAAATCATATTTTTTTGAAAAAATGTCATAGTATAGTATGATGAAAATTTCATTTTTGAGACTGAAAAAAAATTCACAAATAGGTATGAAAATACATGTCGTAGTATAGTAAGATTATAATGTCATGGTATCCTATGTTTAAATCTTTATATTTAAGTGTAAAAAAAAAATCATATTCTTTGAAAAAATGTCATAGGATAGTATGATAAATATCTATACCACTCTGAAATCCTTGAAATGCATTCAACCCATCAGCATTTGATATTAAAGCTAAAACTTGTAAACTAGTGTTTGATCCTCAGGTGTCTGCAAGAGGACTGGAGACTCTGCGCTTCATATGACCTGCAGAGGACAGCATGAATGAGTTGTGTTGTTGGCACAGCAGTTCAGTCCCTGATAGTGCTGTCGATGTTTTCAGCAGCTGTAGTGTTACATTTTTGGATGTAACACTCAGTATGTTAAAAAAAAATCATAGTAAAGTTTGATGAAAAAATATGTGAAGTATGACAAAATATCATAGTATAAGATGAAAAAATGTCAGTATAAAATGATTAAAAATTTCATATTGGAGTTAAAAAAGAATCATATTTTAGTATGAAAATACATGTCATAGAAAAGTATGATATATTGTCATAGTAAACTATGTTGAAATCTTCATATTTGAGTGTGAAAAAATTTAACATTTTTTTTGAAAAAAATGTCATAGTATAGTATGATAAAAATTTCATTTTTGAGACTGAAAAAAAATTCACAAATAGGTATGAAAATACATGTCGTAGTATAGTATGATAATAATGTCATGGTATCCTATGTTTAAATCTTTATATTTAAGTGATAAAAAAAAATCATATTTTTTGAAAAAATGTCATAGTATAGTATGATAAAAATTTCATTTTTGAGTTCGAAAAAAAATCACATATAAGTATGAAAATACATGTCTTAGTATCATATGGTAATAATGTCATAGTAAACTATGTTTAAATCTTAAAATTTAAGTGTGAAAATAAATTCCGTATTTTTTGGAAAAAATGTCATAGTATAGTATGATAAAAAAATTCATTTTTGAGTTTGAAATTTTTTTTACAAAGAAGTATAAAAAAAACACGTCATAGTATAGTATGATAATAAATTCATAGTAAACTGTGTTTAAATCTTAAAATTTTGGTGTGAAAAAAAATTTCATATTTTTTTGAAAAAATGTCATAGTATAGTATGATAAAAATTTCATTTTTGAGACTGAAAAAAAAATTCACAAATAGGTATGGAAATACATGTCGTAGCATAGTATGATAATAATGTCATGGTATCCTATGTTTAAAACTTTATATTTAAGTTAAAAAAAAATTCATATTTTTAAAAAAAATGTCATAGTATAGTATGATAAGAAATTTCATTTTTGAGTTCGAAAAAAAAATCACATATACAGGTGCTGGCCAGTAAATTAGAATACCATCAAAAACTTGATTTATCTCAGTAATTCCATTCAAAAAGTGAAACTTGTACATTATATTCATGCAATGCACACAGACCGATGTATTTCCAATGTTTATTTCTTTTAATTTTGATATTTAAAAGTGACAACTAATGAAAACTCCAAATTTGGTATCTCAAAAAATTAGAATATTGAAAAGGCCAATGAAAAAAAATGTTTTTTTTTAAATGTTGGCCAACTGAAAAGAATGAACATGAAAAGAATGCCCATATATAGCACTCAATACTTAGTCGGGGCTCCTTTTGCCTCAATCACTGCATTAATGCGGCGTGGCATGGACTCGATTAGTCTGTGGCACTGCTCAGGTGTTATGAGAGCCCAGGTCGCTCTGATAGTCGTCTTCAGCTCCTCTGCATTGTTGGGTCTAGCGTATTGCATCTTCCGCTTCACAATACCCCATAGATTTTCTATGGGGTTAAGGTCAGGCGAGTTTGCTGGCCAATCAAGGACAGGGATACCATGGTCCTTGAACCAGGTACTGGTGGTTTTGGCACTGTGTGCAGGTGCCAAGTCCTGTTGAAAAGTGAAATCTGCATCTCCATAAAGTTGGTCAGCAGGAAGCATGAAGTGCTCTAAAACTTCCTGGTAGACGGCTGCATTGACCTTGGACCTCAGGAAACTTTACACTGGACCTCATGCAACGTGGATTCTGTGCTTCTCCGCTCTTCCTCCAGACTCTGGGTCCTTGATTTCCAAAGGAAATGCAAAATTTGCTTTCATCAGAAAACATAACTTTGGACCACTCAGCAGCAGTCCAGTCCTTTTTGTCCTTGGCCCAGGCGAGACGCTTCTTACGCTGTTTCTTGTTCAAGAGTGGCTTGACACACGGAATGCGACAGCTGAATCCCATGTCTTTCATACGTCTCTTCGTGGTGGTTCTTGAAGCGCTGACTCCAGCTGCAGTCCACTCTTTGTGGATCTCCCCCACATTTTTGAATGGGTTTGTCGTCACAATTCTCTGCAGGGTGCGGTTATCCCTAGAGCTTGTACACTTTTTTCTACCACATTTTTTCCGTCCCTTCGCCTGTCTGTTAATGTGCTTGGACACAGAGCTCTACGAACAGCCAGCTTCTGTAGCAATCACCTTTTGTGTCTTGCCCTCCTTGTACAAGGTGTCAATGGTCGTCTTTTGGACAACTGTTAAGTCAGAAGTCTTCCCCATGATTGTGGAGCCTTCAGAACAAGACTGAGGGACCTTTTAAAGGCCTTTGCAGGTGTTTTGAGTTAATCAGCTGATTAGTGTGGCACCAGGTGTCTTCTATATTGAGCCTTTTCAGAATATTCTAATTTTCTGAGATACTGAATTTGGTGTTTTCATTAGCTGTCAGTTGTAATAATAAAAATGAAAATTAATAAACACTTGAAATATATCACTATGTGTGGAAGCAAAGTATACAGTATACAAGTTTCACGTTTTGAATGGAATTACTGAAATAATTCAACTTTTTGATGATATTCTAATTTACTGGCCAGCACCTGTAAGTATGAAAATACATGTCATAGTATAGTATGATAATAATGTCATAGTGTCTTAGGTCTTAATCTTTATATTTTAGTGTTAAAAAAAGTCTTTTTTTTTTTTTGTATGTCAACACCTTAATATTTGAGCGTGAAAAAAAAATCATAATTTAGTGTGAAAATACATGTCATAGAACAGTATGATAATAATGTCATAGTAAACTATGTTTAAATCTTAAAATTTAAGTGTGAAAAAAAATACTGTATTTGTTTGAATAAATGTCATAGTATAGTATGTTGAAAATTTCATTTTTGAGTTTGAAAAAAAAATTCACATTTTAGTATGAAAATACATGTCATAGAATAGTATGATATATTGTCATAGTAAACTATGTTGAAATCTTCATATTAGAGGTAAAAAAAATTTAAATTTTTTTTGAAAAAAAATGTCATAGTATAGTATGATAAAAATTTCATTTTTGAGTTCGAAAAAAAATCACATATAAGTATAAAAATACATGTCATAGTATCGTATGATAATAATGTCATAGTAAACTATGTTTAAATCTTCATATTTGAGTGTGAAAAAATTTAACTTTTTTTTTTTGAAAAAAAAAAGTCATCCAAATAAACTGAAACTGAAACTGAGGTCGGCCAAAATGCCATTTCCGTTTATCGCGAGAAAAAGATCTTTGATATGTCGAAATAATGAAACAAAATTATCACAAGAAAACAGACTTTGTTTTATCGAAATAACAAGATAAGCCGTTTTCACGAGATAACAGTGCATAAAAAAATAAATATCCTTGGCTGTTATTGTCTTACGTTGTTTATAGCTAATTTACCTTCCTCATTAAACTTGTCTAGTTGAGTTAATTATGTTTCCTCTTCTGTGTTCAATATTTGCCAGACTGAGTTTGTGGCACACACTCACAAACAGGAAGTGAACATAAAAAGTCCAGACTAAAGACTATCAAGGATTTAATCTCATACATATATCCAGTTACAAAGACATTTCTTGGAGATTTCATTGTTTACATGTTTGTTTGGTTTAGGAACTCTGCATCACCGATGACAGACTGGAGAAAAAAAAACTGGTAAGATGATGATTTGAAGGTTTTAGTCGGGTAGAAGTAAAATAAGTTTTTAAACAGATCCTGGTCCATGAACTGAAGCATGGTGGCATCAGTTCAGAGCCAAATCTGATCCCATATTTAAAGTTTGCCTTTCCAGAAACGACTTAATCTGAAAACAGGTTTTCTTTTATACAGCGCTTAGTTACACTCACAAATATCCAGTTATTCATGTCAGACCTCTGACTCAAACTGGAGGCCAACAAAAACCAAATTAACCCCGCAAAATCTTCCTCATAATGACCAACATTTCTGATAGGACCTGAGTCTCCTGTTTTCTGTCACACGACAGAGCTTCATTTGTAGCACCAGTTTGTACATCAGACACCTTAAAGAAGTGTTTCGTTAATTTACAGTCTAAAATACAAACATTACCAAAAGTTTCTCTTTCAATTGTCCTGCTGGGATTAAACTGTTTTCTCATAGTACTCAAACTTTAAATCCTTCACGTCCATGTAGGACACAGAAAATAAGAGACAGTACTCAAGTACCTGCACAGATGTTTTCACTTTGACACATTTCAAGCATCATCTAAACGATTCGGTCCACAAATTTCTCTCAAATACGACCATGTACAGAGAAACTGCCACATCTTTTAGAGCTCCCCCTGGTGATTGGCTGGAACTTTGACTTCAGATTGTGGCCCCGCCCTCTTTTGAGTAAAAGCAGTCCATCTGCATTGATTGACAGAAATAGATCCAGGGTTTTGAGAAGACTATATTATTTGAAAGCTATTGAATATCCAGATTTAACGCAGAATAAGGAAAACATAAATTCAAGAATTTTACGATCATCTGTAATTTAAAACTTCAAAGTTATGATGGGACATTATTGCTTTGAGACGAGGATGAGAGGCTGTCACATTAATCTAGCTCTATTAGAGGAAGCAAACATTCACTATTCATATTTAAAGCAGCACTTTGGGTTTCAGTACTCACTTCTGAAAATGAGAAATATATAAGATGTGAGTGGAAATCCATGAATAACCAAGTATGGCTTTAAGAATCCAGTGAGGCAGCAGCAGCTCCTGTTTTAAAAGAGTGCTGTTTATGTTGCTTGAAACTTCACTTTTCACTGTGTTATGCAACCGTATATAGGGCCTGTTTTTTTTAACTGGGGCTGCCACTTTTTGACCATCTTTTAATTGTTTTCAATCTGTAACTTTCACCAGAAGTAGAAACTTAAAAGTAAAAGCATAATGAAACAGGAACTATAGGAGCCTTTATGCAGGAGGAGATATCAAAATAAAACATTTGTTCACTGAAGTTATTCCTCTCCAGAGAAGCTTCAGTTTCAGGGGCCAATAATCAATCATGAATTTGAATATTATTAGAAAAACGTGACTTGCTCAGACCTCTTGATTTGCACTTTCAAAAACCGTTAAACAGTTTACAGTTTACTTATTTCAAGATGCCAAATACCCCAGTACTGTACATTTTGGATGGACAGCTTTTATTCAAAAGTGGGCGTGGTCTCACAGATAGATCTTAAAGCCTGCCCCCTCCATGTTGACAGATGGAACATGGGTCACATTAGGAAATTGAAATACGTGTCAAATAACCTTTTCTCAAACATACTTTCTGTCAAAGCGTTTAGTTTTTATAATGTTGATTTACATCAGAGTGTTCGGTGAAGTTAACTTGGTTGTTTAATGTTAAAAATAGCAGGTGTGATTGATCTGAAATGTGATTGAAATGAAATTTAGATAACTGTAAAAGTCTACAAGTGAGAAAGATAACATAGCTGAGGCTGAGTTCTTACTGTAAGGAATTATTGAAGTCATTTCTAATAAAGGCGTAATGGTTCCCTTAAACTGTAAACACTGACTGTCCACTCACTCGCTCATCTCCTCCTGCAGGGAGCTCTTCCTCAAGAGTCCATTGTCTTTTTGCAGTACCAAGAAATGACTTGATAGTTGAAGGTAAATACGCTGTATAAAAACATACTCTCAGGTCCGTCTGATATATTGACATCTTTGTATATTTGTGGAAACACAGTCAGGTCTGTCTTTGGTTCCACTGTAAAGTGCAGTTTCTGTGGTGCAGCATGGTCAGGTCTTTGGTGTCTGGATAGAAGATGTAGAGGCACCAGTTTTCCTCCTCTGTCACATCCAAGGAGGTTAAAGTTTGATCTTTTTGTTCACCCTGATCAGTTTTTAAATCCACACTATTTTGTCTTGGTGTGAAAAAACTTCTCTCTAGCTTTGCCAGCAGAGAAGCAAACACATGACGAACGCGACCAGAGCCACCGTGACGTGTTTGTGGCCGCCTCTGTGCCGTCCTCTGCAGTCGTTGTGTTGAGACAGAGTTCTGTCGCTGCCGTCCGCTCTGCTGAAGTCAGTCGTCTGGCTGTTCGCTGAACACTGAACCAGCGGCATCTGGTACGAGGTGGCCCGCCTCTCGGGCCGGTCGGGGCTGGAGCCGTCACTGGGGCGCTGGCCGTTGTAGAGTAGGTAGCGTCCATGTGCGTCCTGTTCCATCCTGAAGAGCTCGTACTCCGTGTGCGGGAGCCGGATGCCCAACGCCACGCAGCCGTTTGTCACTGTGACGTCCTGTTCCACTCCGATCTGCCATGAGCCCTGAACCCCGCACTCGTTACCGTTGAAGACATTGAGGAGGGAGGTGGTGGCCAAGTCCATGGGAGTGACTCTCATGTGGTTCACTAAAGGAGGGAAGAAACAGGGGGACCTTTAAACTTTACACCATCCAGAGCTTCTTTAAGTCTTGACCTTTGATGTGTCCAGAATACAATAAAAAAGAAACCAAAAGTTGATTCAGATGCTCAAAATGGTTGACTTTCATTGGACAACAGCTGTAACATTCAGATAACTGACTATAACATCCAGTTACCTTTGAAGACAAACTCAGTCCCGCCCATGACCTGTGTGGAGTGGAGTCCTCGGCTGTAGCGTCCGCGGGCGTAGATGGTGAAGGTCGGGTGTTTGCAGACAGGGTCAGAGTAGTGGTAGTAGTGACCCTCCCAGGTGTGGTTTTTGTCGTGGAAGATGAAGTGGCGGGTGAGGAAGAGGACCTCAGGGCGAACCTCACAGCGCTGACTCACCCACTGACCGTACAAACCCACAGTGAGGTCGGCCCGCGGCGGCAGGATGGGAGGGTGGAACTCGTCGGAGCGGAGGATGATTCGACAGGCGATGCAGCCGTGGTCATGGTTCTGAAACGAAAAAGAAAACATGATGAGATTTTGTTTTTCGAAGTTGTAACTTCTCCAAGTTTTGCTTTTCACCTCCTTTCTTAGGAAAAGTTTAAGTTCTTGATTTTTGAGGAAATGAGATCTCATGTTCACGGGTCTAATCTGTTTTTTTTTTTCTCTTTAAAAAGTACAAAATAATCGTTCCATCATAGTCGTACTCTGTGAAATCTAAAAACTGACTTACTTCCCCTAATAAATATAACTATACTACAGCTTTTCAAAGTCTTTGTTACTCTATATCAACATGCAGCATCAGACAAAGGCAAATTTTCACGCAATATGAGAAAATCACTCGGTAAAAAGTCTGATTTGAACTCTTTAAGCTCCTCTGAGGACCTGTCAGGGCGCCCCCTTGTGGACAAAGTGATAATTAATGATCTTGTTCTGAACATGTGCATCCTAAACGTCATATTATACTTTGTATATAAAACAAACACATTTTTCCTTCCTTCTGTTTGACGTCAAATTCTGAATCATGTGTACGAGGTTTTAGGGTTCTTCTGGAGAGCTCGCCATGTTTGTCCCCCCCCAAAGATCTTCCAAGCAACCAATCAGTGCAGCATCTCACTTTGACAGAATCCCCGCCCACTTTCAACTGCATGGAAAATAAAGTTGGTAACCTATCTAGGTCATGTTGCTAATGGGGATAAAATGGAACTTTTGTAAAGACTCTTGGGGGGCTTTTTGACCCTTATTTGACAGAAGAGGATGGTGGGCGGGGCAGGAAACGATAGGAAAGAGCAGGAAGTGACATGCTGGATGGAAGCCACTTGGTCTGCCAGGCCATTGGCGTCACATATCAGACCTTTAAAACACTTTTTTGGTCATAAAGAGACAAAAATCCATCTGTTTCATAACCAGCTAAAACTCCTAACAGGAGATTCAAGTATCTTCAGTAAAAACGGAAACTATTTATGTATGTAGTAGATGTACTTTTTAGTTTTCCATAGAAATATTTTTTTCTATGTTGACTGGATGATTGAAACTTGAGAACATTATTACTCTAATTTTAAAGTAAGTTATTAAAGGTGAAGTGCTCAGCTCCTGACTCAATAAAATCAGCTGTTCAAGCTAAATTCATTATTTGACAAATCGACACTGAAGTTCCAGGGAAACTTTTTTTTTTACTGTATAAAATCTGTCAGAGCTGAAAGCTTTTTCAATCCATCATCTGTATATTGCGTCATAAAAATCCAAATAAAGGACCTCTGGTGTCTGTTCAGAGTTGAAGGAGGAGAAACAGTTTCCTTCAGTCTGAACCCCTGCTATGGGAGACAGTTCCAGCATTTTCTCTGGATGATCACATCATTTCTTTGTCAAACACAGATGTCCTGCCGTGACAACAGGATGTCACACAGCGAGGGGCGAGATAACCTTTCATTTCACATGCAAACAACAGCAGGATGTCTTTCATTCAGCCTAAAAAATGTACAAATCTCGTTTTTGTCCATCTAAATGACCATTAATCATTTACAGTAGACAAGCAGAGAATCCACAGACGGGACAGCTGTGATCTCTGGCAGGAGAAACGCAGGAAGCAGTCACACTGCGCTCCACAAAACCTCCTCCAAAAAGTCTGAGACACTCCAGGGAGGCGGTGGAGTTTTTGTTATTTGAGGGTGGTCAAAATTTAAGACCCAAACTCCCCGACACAATCACTCCTTTCCCAGACAACACTCTGTCCTCAGGAGATTTATGGGGAGTGAAAAAGCAGAAAATGCTCAAAGCAGAGGGAAAAAAACAAGGTATCGCTCCATCGTCTGGGTGAGATAATCCCAGTGCAGCTCCAGAACCGCCTCAGAGCGAGAGGTTAATGGGCCGACTGGAGCGAGGCCTCCTGTGAATCCAGCTCTGTGTGGATGAGAGCATAGAGCAGCGTTTGTGCCCTGAGAGAGAATAAATATGTGTAAGGAGGAAAGAGAAATAAATACAGAGAGCAGAGAAATAAATATGCATATATGTTTCAGCATACGTATATAAGAGGTGAGGAGAAAGTACGAGGCGGGATGAGGGAGCGTTTATGATGCAGGTGTGGAGAACATGTTCCAGATCTGCAGGAACTTAAAGCTCATAAAACACACACAGCCTGATGGAGGGAGCCAAAAACAGAAATCCCACAACCAGGAGCATGTCCTCAATCTGACGGTGTTCACCCTTCATGCATTTGAAGATGGGCAAATTCTTGAAAAAGGTGCCATTTGAGAAACTTAACAGACTTATCAGGTGGAAGTCTGTCAAGTATTTGGTCACGAGTCCCAAAAAAAAAGTGCATCAAGCAAAATAAAACACAAATCTAAAAACCTTGAAGTACAACCCTCGCCTGCACAGTATTTAAACAGCATTTTGTTCTCATGCTTCACTGCAATAAGCCTCTACCTGATGTGCAGCATATGCCAAAGCTCCACCCAGTGGTCAGAAAGGGAATTGCAATTGAGTTAACAGTTTTTTTTGGTGCTTTATATGAACAGAAACAAAAAATATATCATCTATACTGTAAGATCTGATTTATTTCTTCATTAGTTACAAGAGGAATAAGATTCATTAGTTTATTAACATTTCCTTCACATTTCATGTATATTTCACTGAAAAAAAACAGCCGAGGCAGTTATTAAGAGAAAAAGAGGTCAGTGATTTGACACCAGCAGAGCAAAGAAATGTCCGGATTGCCAGATTTAGCAAAACCATCATCTTCATAAAAGAGAGGTCTAAAAGTCTTCTCACCTGAAACATCTGTCCTTCTGAAAAGAGTCACTTTAAAGTCAAGACATTTCCCACCAATTATCAGTGGATTAAAAAAAAAAGTGTTGAGTATTTTGGGCAAAAAAAAAACCTTTTGGGTGAACAGACATACGTAGGACTGAGCAAATGAGCCTGACAGGCAGAAACCAGGGTTAAAAAAAACATCTAAAAACTCTCTCTGTTGCTTGAGAAGTTCACCGCTCTGAGTGCACGTTAATAAGTGAAGGTGATTCAGACGAGCATGTCAACATGTTTATCAGTGTCTGAACGAGGTGGCTGGAAAATCTGTTAAAAAGCTCAAATATGTTTTAGTGAGAAAATCAACTGGACTTGAGGATCCTCAGAGGAAATCACACCCTGAAGAGAGGAAATAAAAGTGTGATAAATGTCAGACTGTAATCAGGCCGTAATCACCACAAACCATTTCAGACTGACCTCAGGCCAGCTTTACAAACATTAGCACACTTACAGAAGCGTTATTCAGGCTCTAAACTTGTAATTAACGATCAAAATAATGTTTGGATCTCAGTTTAAATAGTTTAAAAGTTAAAACTTCCCCTGTTTAGAAAAATAAGTAAATAGCTGAGCTCTAACTCAGGTGGAGATGAAAAAGAGGAGCCTTTAAACCCGTTAAAAGAAAGTACTGCTGCTGTTTTAAAAAGTCTCAGTTTGTGTAAAACATGGTCAAGCCTTTAAAATGAGACTATAAACAGAAAATACTCTCACACTTAAAGTGTGTTTCGCCAAACAATTATCTTAAACCTGCATGAGCTTGAGCTGCAATAAATCTGCTGGCTTTAATGCGGGGAGTAAAACATTTCAGACTCGAACTGGATTCAGAGAAAACCAGGAAATGAGGAGGATATTACTCCCCTCGATTCATATAAATTACAGTTATCCATTTTTATTTTTTACAGCCACATTTGGCAGGTAGTGGTACTTAAAGTGACGTAGAAATGAGTGAATCCAAACCACAGCAGATCAAGAAGGATGGCAGCCATCTTTAATTTGTTTTTTTATAGGGATAACCCTGTATGAGAGAAGAAAGCACCATCTTTACAGACGTTTGGATGATTTCAGAGACATTACAGCCATGTTTTCAGATGTAGAGATCAGTAAAGTGGAGTTTTAAGCGTACTTTAACCAGAAAATAAATGAAAACCTAAAACAAACTGAGAAAAACACAAAACAACCTCACAAATGAGTCTCAGCGTGAGTGAAACTTATAAAAACCTTACGACCACAGAGCAAGTTTACCAACAACAACAACATAAAAAACAGATCACTTCCTAACAAGGACCATTATCAAGTGGTCTGAAGTCCGCCTCTGTGACGCAACAGCGAACGAGGCAACAGAAAAACGGAGAAAACAGGAGAAACAAACCTTTAAAAACTAAGTCTGCTGCTGTGGTCTCGTATCGCCGCCGAGATCCACCCAGTGACCACAAATGAACATGCTGGCACCAGTAAGTGTCCTGGACCGTGACCAGCTCAGGGTAAAACGCTTAAGATTAATGGATTGGATAGTCACCCTGGCAATATAAAAGCCCTGAAAAGAACCCATGACGACCTCAGGAGGTGGTAGGAATCGGCGCTTTTTCGTGTAGGAAGGAGTGAGGTATTTTCTGCCACACTGTCAATAAAAATATCAAATTTAAATGTGACATTTTGGAGAGCCAGTGACCAACGGCGCCCGAGTATGACCAAAGCTTTAAAACTGGTCAACATGGTCTGAACAACTCTGATGAGAAAATAAAGAATGAAACATGGTGAACTGTGCCTTTATAGGGATATTCTGGCGCAAAATTAATTTAGGGTCAAACACACCGTAACACCAAGTTAGACACCCCCTCGAGAGATGAATGTTGCCGACAGCTTGCTTCTCTAGTTACACCAACTTTAGTAACGACGGCAGGATAGCAATACACAGCGCTCTGAGGAGCCATAAACAAACTTCAACTAAAACGCCACTCTATAGCCACAAAAAATGCTCAGAACAGCACCTAACTTCATCAACAGGAGATATAGGGTCCCAGTGATAGTACTGTCCACAAAACATCTTTCTAACTTTGCCTAATTTCTTTCGCAAAGAGACTAAACACAACTCACCTACTCTCTTCCAGCAGCCGTTTGTTTGTAGCGAGACCTCAGGCGAGTCAATTGACGGCAGCGGGGTGTCGCAGCTCAAGGAAGAACATTTATGATCATTAATTTATCATTTCCTTGAAGTAATAATCACCATATTAATCATTTTGCACTGCAGACGCGGTAGTTCTTCTACCTTAGCGTCACGGTCTGATTGCATTTCCATGAAGAAATGATCACAAATGTTCTTCCTTGACCTGCGAAACTCCGCTGTTGTCCGTAATGGACTTGCCTGAGGTCTCGTAAGAGGTGAGTTGTGTTTTAGTCTCTTTGCTAGAGAAATTAGGCAAAGTTAAAAAGCTGTTTGGAGGCGAGTACTGTTGCTGGGACCCTGTACGTACTGTTGATGAAGTTAGGTGCTGTTCTGAGCATTATTTGTGGCTATAGAGTGGCGTTTTGGTTGAGCGCGTGGCTCTCTGTATTGCTATCGTGCGGTCGTTACTAAAGTTGGTATAACCAGAGAAGCAAGCGGTCGTCAACATTCATCTCTCGAGGGGTGTCTAACTCAGCGTGTTTGACCCTAACTTAGTTTTACGCCGGAATATCCCTTTAAGGACAGCTGTAATCATATGTGAGGGTTGTTTGCAAGTTCACACAGCTCATCCAGAGCTGTCCTTTCTTTCCGCTCAGAACAATACCAAGGCGAGCACATGTAACACTTTGATTTGAGCCTCAGGCATGCATGAAATCAGACCTGGTATGCGCTCTCTGGAATAATTCATACGACCGCATGAATCCGAATTCTAGGAATACCACATGTTGATGGCTCCCAGATATAGGCCGGGTTTCACATTGCTGCTCGGCGAGCCAGAGGGGCTTTAAAAGAGCAGCTCTGGTCATTAAAACGACACAGAGGAGATGTCAGATCACAGCTCACAACTCCAACCTCTGTTTACACTCTGATCAGCAACACCGAGCCCCGTCTCCCCCCGCGTGCGTGGATGTTTATTTAGACGGCAGACCGGAGCGGGATTTCATTGTAATCTCTGTGGAGGGTGACAGTGAAAACATCACTCTAGGGTTTCGCTCCGCGGGGAAGCTGCTGCTCGGCAGAGTCAACAGAGAAATTACATCTGTGAGCACAGCGGCGGAGAGAAAGGCCGCTTTCTTAACGCTACATTTGAGAGATGAAATCTGTATGTGCACAGTGTCAGGTTTCTGCAAGAGCAAATGTTTAGGGTGCAAAAGGGCGAGATAGCTGGCAAACACACTGATCCTAAATCAGATTAAGATTAAACACCGCTGAATGGTTTTATGAGTGTTTGTTGTGACTGACAGGTGATTTAAAGCTCCAAATGTTTCAGATTATAATCGCAATAATTCAACGCCGCAGCATTCGCCATCCACCTCTAGTGATATGTAACGACTTTATTTCAGATTCTCTTTGACCTTCTCACAGCTGTGCATGCTCCAGATAAGCTTGAACACAGTATCTCTGTTCCTACAGTCGGGTCTTGCTGTTTTTAGTGTGTGGTCTTTGGCCGTATGGTCGCCAAAGACACGGCGCTGGTGGGGTTCAGCAGAGGTCCTGCAGAGAGCTTCGTGCTCAGAGAACAAAACTTCACCTCCCTCCTGGTCATGCATTCCAGCTCACACAAACAATGTGAGCGCATCCCAGAGGAATTCATCCAAGTTATGATATAGCGCCTCCCAAAGGTGGGTGTGTCTGCAACACTTCCAAAGCTACAGGAGATTCAACCTTTAAGCTCCGACAGCTGTAGTGAGAAAACAGTAAATCCTCCTTCCTGCAGCATTGCCAACATGAGCTAGGAACCGCAGGGTGAATGTTAGAGTGTTTGATTCCTGGAAAACCATGAACTGACTAACAAAGGATTCTGCAGATCTAAATATTACACTTACTCTCAAGGGAAATGGGCCTCTTATGTTCTGACTGGAATTAAACTTTAGTCTGCTTTCCCGTTCCTGGGATCACTAATCGAGATTATGATATTGAATTTGGCGAAAACAGGATGAAATCAGCTCTAAATGTCCACAAGACCTCATTTCAACCAGCCAAAGGACAGTTTTCCAACTTAAGTATGTTTGAAAACCAATTTTTATGTCATAGTTTCTACAAATACTCTATTTTATGGGTTATTTAAGGACAGAAATGACTGACAGTGTTTCTTTCCAACGGTTACTTCAATGTGCAAAGATTCATTTTAATGTTTTCTTTTCTGAAAGAAAATTATCATGAATCATGAACTCGACGTTTTAGTTTATGGGCTGTGTGAAGTCAACAAGAAGGTTTATGAGCTCTCACCACAGAAGGACAAAAACGGCAAACACAGGCAGTCAGGAGCTCTGATGATGGAGGTAGTCAGACCTCCAAACAAGAATATACCTGATTCATAGATGACAGGAATCTGCGGCTAACTAAATCATCCACAGCATCCAAATATGGACTCATTTCTCCTTTGGTGACCAGAGCGCTCTGTAATACAATCATTTTAGCAAGATTTATACGAGGTTCAACTCAAAATGTAAGTGAATGTGAATCAAATCTTGGAATAGTTACAGATTTTACAGTAATATGTAGTTTATGAGAAGACGTTTATTCAATATCTACAAATACTGGATGGGAAAACTTTCGTAACCATTCAAGTTAAAGTGTCTATTTTCCACCGGATTCTTTCCGTTCCGCTGCGGATCGCTGGACTCCTCAGCTGATAGCAAGAGTTCTATTTTTTCCGGACACCAGAGCATGCCGGATAAATTCAGCACAGATTAACCCGTGCTGGAAAGGAAGTCGGGCACAGACACAAAATAAAACATCCGGCTTCTTTTCAAAATAAAACACTCCGTGTTTCAGGCGGATTATATTTCACACCACGCAAATGGGCGGGGACAAACAAGTGAAATGTTTATAGACAGAATTTCACCCTGATGACACCATAGATGAGAGGATGTTGATTTTATTAGTCTAGAAGTAGATTTCCTCCTCTGGAAGGACACAATCTACTGCTTATATGGTTAGCCTCTGTGGCTTAAGACGACTTGTGCGATTGTACGTGAATCTGCGGGTTCTTGCGAGTTTTCACGATTCCTGCTGTCCGTTATCCGCCAAGAAATTCACCTCACAAACGGATCCGGTAGGAATTGGCGTACACCGAAAATCACAGCCGTTCCGGATGCGATGGAAATCCCAGGTGAGAGACTTTTCCCAACCCAGAGTCTGTCTTGTTGTCATAGTAACCAGGTCATAATTTAGTCAACTTGGTGTAGGTTTAAAATCTAAAAGATTCTTTGACCTGCCAGCTTCCCTCTAAACTTCAAGTGCTGTGAAAATCAGTCTGAGCTCCAGGACGACTTTTCCCATCATCCCTCTAACTGACTGAGGCTCATGGAGGACTTACCTTGGCGTTTTGCAGGGCGGTCTGGTAGCTGGACGGCTTGTAGTACAGCCTCTGTGACGGCTCGGTGTGAATGTCCCCCAGAAACAGCTCCTCTACAAGGTGGTCCAGGTTGTGGTGCAGGTACTGCTTCTCCACCCGCAGCAGCTGCAGCTCGTGCATGGTGAAGTTGAGTTCTCTGGAGCAGTCGTAGCCGCCCTCCTCGCTCCACAGCTCGTGGATCACGTTGGGCTCCCAGGGGCCCTTCACGGCTCCTCTGCAGCTTCGGTTCAGTCTCTGGCTGAGCTCTTTGGCCACCGTGGCCGTGTGACAAACCATCTGGACTCTGTGGAGGTGGTACTCCGCCTCTGTTCCCCCGCGGATGATCCAGGAGGCCTGACGCAGGCGCAGGCGGCCCCGGATCACCAGCGTGTAGGTGGATCTGGTGCAGTGGTTGTCCTCGTAGTAGAACTGGTAAGCCTGGAAGGTGTTGTTGGAGTAGAAAATGTAGGAGCGTGTCAGGAACTCCGGACCTGGTCTCACCTCACAGCTGCAACAGAAAACAGATTCAAAGTCTGCCCTTTAGTGGACACTTTAGGAACTGCAGTTATTTGCACTTCATTTTGCCTTCGCTTTTCCTCACAGGAGGTGTAGGACTTTATTTGCTTACCTGGTGGAAACCCAGTGTCCCTCCACGTTTGGAGGCATCTGCACGGTGATTCTGGCTCCATTGTGCAGGTGCTTCAACATGTGCTGACACTGAGAGTCTTTGACCAGCCGGCCGAAGGTTTTCTCCAAGGAGAGCCGGCTGGACCGATCGTCCGAGTGGTGGAGGGACGAACCTTCAGCCAAGCCTGCAGAGGAAAAAACCCCAAGACCCCAAATGTTAAACTTTAATGAGAGTTGTGATTTTTTTTCTTCTTTTGGGGCTTAATAATCAGAAAAAAATGTCAGACTTCGAGGATATGATCATGTTTTATGTCTTGTGAGTGAGTTCTTTGGGTTTAAACACATAATAGATGCACTGTGGCCATTTGAGGATGTTTCAAACCACATATATTTGCCTCATTGAGGTCGAGTTGTTTGGTAAACCGCTGAGAAATAAGTTTATTCTGACGGAGATTTTTCCTTTTAGATCTTTTCACCCTCATAAAACGAAGCACAAAAGCTTTTAGGGAAAGCAATAAGGAAGTTAATTAGACCGAGATCAAAAAGACGAAGAAGTTATCTTGTTAGTTTGAAGTTTCCCTCTCATGTTTTCGCTCTGCTTATTCAATCATCCGGGCCTCTTTGAAGAGCTTACAAGGTTTTATTGAGTCATTTTAACTCATGTCATCACCCGGGGGATTACAGGGCTTTATCGGTGACCTGCAACACCTGGTCTGAGTGGACTCTTTCAGGGTTAATAGAAGCTGAACATGTGATGAAGAGTCAAAGCTTAAGTTGGTAACTGGATTTCTGCAAACCCTGAAATCGAGCTGTAAACCAAAGATGAAACGACACAAGCAGTATTGACATTTGAAATCTCTAAGTTCCCACCCTGTCCGCGTAAACCTCGACGCACCATATGAAACAACAATACCTTCAACAATCGTCTGAGCTTAAGGGGATAAAATATCGGAAATGAAAGCATTTTCAAAGCCCGCAGCCAAATAAAAAGCCTTGAAGCTCACATTCCAGCAGGGATTTTTTCCATATAATACTCTAATATCATCAAAATCTACCTTGAAATATGAAGACTTTGCTTCAAATTCTTTCTATCAGACCCGACTTGCCTGGTAATATCGTTTAACGCCCTGGAATGCCTCTGCGGTCGCCTGTGTGCTTTTAATTTGAACCCAGGAACACACGGAGGGAGGAGGAAAAAAACATGTGATTAAAAGAAGCCAAAAGCTCCGTGGAGAGCCAAACTTCATCCAGTTGTTTTACACCCAAGCGTAAGTGTGAGCCCGGGCTTGTGAGTAAAGCAGCACATCACAGCTCCAGCTCAGTGGAAACAGTGGACGCTGAGGAGACCTGATCCTCAGACTCAGCTGGTGGCGTTTAGTAACGCCGCTCTCCTGGCTGAAGCCGCGTCCGGAATCAAAGAGAGGAGGCTTCACAGTTTGCTTTGTGTAATGTGTGAGAGCATGTGTGTTTTTGTGTGTGTGTGTGTGAGGTGTTTTTGCACTTGCGCTCAGACCCAAAGCAAAGTGTGGCTGCATAAGCATGTTGTTATAATGATTAGGGATAAAAGCACCAGAGTCTGTAATGTAAACACGTTTTTAACCTCAGTGAGGTTTACGTTGTTTAAATAGAGCCTCAAGTTTAAAAGCAGGTGAAACTCACATGCGCCATATTTTCATGCTATTGCAACGATGTGAGGAAACGACGATTTCCACGGCAAATTATTTGTGTTTTCTACTTTGGTCATAGATTTCTCTGTGGACTGTCTTCAAAGCTCTTTAAAAGGTCTTGTAAGGAGTTTTTAAACAGAGTATGAAACAGACTTACATTAGCAGTGACGCCTTTTCATGACCTACTAGAACAAATACAGTGCTCTGATATAGGGCTGGGTGATATGGCCTCAAATCAATATCACGATATATTGAGCAGTTCACCTCGATAACGATAAATGGACGATAACTACTCCACAAGCTGCTCACCCCCTCCCACATTAACTTTGTCTACTTTTGAACCGTCCTCCATCTCCTCACCTGTCTTTCCCTCTTTGTCTCTGACGTAGGACAGCCTCTTAAAGTGACATGAGACCATAGCCAACCTACACACATCCAAAACCAACTTTTATTCATCCAGCCCTACTCGGAGGCTAATGGTCCCTTCTACCATGCTGTCCTGTTAAGTCCAGCACAGTTTGGTGAAGTTATCCTTAATTTAGCTGAAGTTTCCGTTCCTAAGTGTATCCTGATGCGTGTCCTCAGAACTCAGAACCTCAGATTTTTGGCGTGCATGCTAACATATTAAGCAGACCACTCTTGTCCAATTCCTCCAATTCGGCCAAAAATACACATAGAAAAATAATAAGATGAGGTCTGTGTTTGCTTTCTGTTTACCTGCATGAAAAACATACCATTGCTGGACTTCTAGAATGCTTTTCAAAATAAAAGCCATATCCACACTGTTACTGTGGAAAGACTCCCATTGATTTTTTTTAAACAATGCTTTTATTTTGAAATTCTGTCTAGGGCAAAGCTCTTTAATCAAGCCTGTGGTGACATTCAGCTGAAAAAATAGATCGTCATTTGTCTTGTTTGCTGCATGTTGGCTATTTTATAAAATCAGGTTATGATCTCTCTCTTTCTTTGCAGCCATTTCTGTGCCCCTCCCACTGCTCCGCTGGTGTCTGTGTGAATTAAGCAGCTGACTATAAACTCCTGATAGCCATATATGAAAGCATTCACTGATATGAATGAAAATGTATATAAAACAGACTTACAATACTTAAAGTATACGCATTTACTGATCAAATAAAGTTTAAATTCCAGTTGTTGCAGTTTAGGTTTGGCCTGATACCCCAACATCAGGACAGCATGGCTCGTCTATTTGGGTAACTTTTCCTCCTTTTGAGAGTGGAAATGCATCTAATTGTTTCCCATATCTACCTGCGCTTCACCTCTTTGATTAAAGTTAGAAGGAGTCAGCATTTCCAACTTGGTGATGACCATAAATGTCTTTCAAAACTCCTTGTTAGAAACCATTTGTGTGTTTTTTTTTTTATATAAACAGTTAATGGAAATAACTTTAAAAAGGGAGATAAGAGGAGCTGAGAAAACAGAAAATTCATGAAAAAATGGTGTCACAGTGCTGCAGAAAACACCACAAAAAAAAAAAGCTAATTTACACCAGACAGGAGATATTATCCAGTCACTATGAGAAGTTAATGATTAATTACCTCCTCGCATCGTGCTGCAGCCTCCTGTGAATTCTGGGTAATGTTAAACTCCTGCCAGCAGTGATTATAAATGGAGATCTTGAGAAATACATGGAGCATTTTAGGAATTTACTCTGAAGCTTCCCAGCTTTAAAATAAACCAGGAACCTTCTCACTTAGATCTCGCTCAAAACCATGTGAAATGTAAAAAGAAAGCAGATCTACTCCTCAATGAGTGGATAGTTTACAGCAAATTACAGAAAAACACTTGTCGGGCGTGCATTTTACTGTGTGGTTTTGGCTGCAGGTGTTGGTAAATGACATGTTTGGTAGCTGATGTTTGACGGTGAAGCAGCAACACACCTGATCCAGAGTCAGCTACGTCCACCCGCAGATTTGTCTTTTAGAGAATAAAGAAAAAATATAAACAAGGTTTTCATTTAGAGTCATTTTAAACTCAGTTACAGACGGTTTTCTGGAGAGTTTTCTTCCATCAGAGCCAAACAAGAACACCAAATGGAAAACAGGCTGACATGGAAATAAACGAGGGGATGATTATAAGATTTTATGTGTAGCCTGTTTGTTGGAGTCGTCTTTAAGAGGAAGAGTCGTTCAGTAATGAACTCGTTTCTGTCTTTTAAAAAAAACTGGGCTTTCATTAAAACAATCAGAGCGGCTGGACTCAAACCCTCTCCCGTCCCTCATCTCCGCCGCTGTGTTCCCAAACTGCTGCTCTCTATCTAAATCAAAGCACCCACAAAACTCCCAGAGCCCTGAACCACACTGAACATTTCCAGTTGGCCCACTCCCACCAGTGAGGTCACAGCACCGGGACCCCGGACAAGCAGAGAGGCTCCACATCGTTTATGGGAAGAGAAAAATCCAGAAGTGCTGAAGCAGAGAGCGGAGAAAGGACTGTGCTGAATGTTGTCTTTACATGTGGACTTCAGGGGGGAGTGAGAATAACTTCGACACTGAGGGACCTAAACTTTAGATCTAGAGGTGAGAGGTAAATACAGTAGTAAAGGTTAAAGGAGGGAGATGACGCTTGTTTTAATTATTATGAGAGACTTTCATCTCCAATAGATCAAATATAAAGAGAAAAAAGTGAGTTAGTTCACACAGGCTAGAATATCACTTTGACTTTGTAACTGAATAGAAAATATTGTCTTTGGCAGGTAACGACAGTCTACATCTACGCCGGCTGCTCAAGATCACTCAAGCAGTGATGCTAACATCAACAGAGAAAGGGCAGAAATGAGGCTGTCATATCCAAACAACAAATGTCCTTTTACACAGAGACTCAAACATCCACAGCGCTGGTCAGTCAGAAGAGAAGGCTCCACCTAACGCAGACACTATACCTGTCCTATCAATAAAAGGTAAAACCAATAACTTCATCTTTAAAGGAAATCCCTCAAACTCTCTTTACAGACGTGCCATGTCAGATTGCGGGTACACTCACAAAGACGATGTTCTAGCAGGTTTTATAAAGAGTATAATGACCCAGTATTTGTCTTTTTTACAGTCTAAAAGGTAGAATTTGGAAAAAAGTTTCAAACTCAAAGTTAAGGCGAGAGTAAAAGGACTGTTTTTTGTTTTGAATGACGTCACGGTATCACATTTTCACCTCACAAGTGCTGTGGCGATTACATATCACAATAACGGCATTATCCTGTTTTCTGACAACTTGACATTAAAAAACAAGGTGAGGTATGGACCGATTTTATCTTGTCTTTATTTTGGTTTTTATTCCGTCTCAAGTTTCAGTTTCCTACACCGTAAAAATATGCTTTTATTTAAAAGTTTATGCTACTTTCGGTAAATCAAAAGTTACAGAACTGAATGACTCGACATCTGAGGATCATGACGGTTTTGCTCAGATAAAAAACAACATTAAAAACTAATGAAGACAATGCAGGAAAATGAAGTGCGAACTGATGGACCAACTGATTGAAGCTTGAAGACAAATGATTAAATATCTTAATGCACTAATATACGCTCCTATAATAACAGGAATATATTTACGGTTATTTTAGTTAAGAGAAAGAGTGGATTTGAAGCGTGGATTTTAAGTCAAATAAGTCTTTAAAGTAGTCCATAAATACAGATATTTAAACATCAAACCCCATCAGACGGGAAAAACTACGTGATACAGAAGTGGAGAAGTTACTAAACAGACTTCATCACCGGTTCATTCTGTTCATCTGTTCCTATATTTAAAACACCTCTGACTTCTGTTCCCATCACTGGATGAAGCAGCAAACACATTTGATGGTTAGCATCCTTCGTTCCTCTTCTCTCTGCTGTTGTTTTATGTCTGAACTCGTGACCTCCCTCTCTTCTCTTTCTCTGGCTGCAATTTGTCAAAATTCCTCAAATTGTTTCCCACGATACTGAGTTATTTTGACGTACACCTTTGCAGTTACAAAACTTGGTTTTTGGCCCTTTGGCGGTGACGTATCAGCAAAATTGAAGTCTCTTTTGGCAGAGGAGTGGGCAGGAGTTTGACGCTAGTATGTCTACAGCACGGACTGAGCTTATATTGACACCTACAGTTGGTCATTCCTTGATGTTTGTCTTGAAGGTTTCTCACATCACTATCAGTCACATGAATACAGTCTTTTACACTCTGCTCCTGCACATGCTGGTAAAACTGAAACTTGTGAAGCAGACCCACAAACAGCTTTGGCTCCAACTTCACCACAAAGAAGAAAAAAAGGGACAGAAAGAGCTGCAGGATGAGCCGGCACTCATGCACACTCCTCAGCTTAGGGGATCCACAATATTGGATCAATAAAGCCTTTTATAGAGTATTCTATTATTCATCAAGATGCAGTCGATTTAACAAGATGAAGGGTGAAGGGTGAGTGTCCTCGCTCACTAAATCCACTTTTTAAGGGCGCTAGTTTGACTGAGTTTGGTCGATGTGTGGAGGTTGCGGTTGCTTGTCTTTGCTGCTACAACCCTCAACTGCGAGACTTCTGTCTGCGTTTCAATCTATCTTATCTAATAATCCCTTTAAAGAACTTCAAGAAAACAAAAGTTGGGTCCTTTTTTCAGTATTGGCCATCAAGAGCAGGTTGGTATTGATTTCTACTATCGGCATCGTCTCAGAAAAACCATATCGAGCACACAAAGCTCTCTCACCCTCTTGCTTTTGGAGAAGATCAGTCTGCTGAGGTTTTCACCCTCCTTTGTAAACTCACATCACACACTAATCAAAGCTGACAGCTCACTTTCATTGGCACTAAGAAAAGCTGCAATAACACACCTCCTAATTGAACGTTAGACTCACTCAAGAGTACATCATCCCCAAAATATCGTCTTATCTCAACCCGCTCATTTGAAGTCACAGCCAAGTGTTTCCTTCAACTATCTCTGACAACAGATGGACCGAGTCAACTGCAGTCCCATAATCCTCTGCTGCTCAGACAGGGGTTTGAGCAGGAATGGATGTTTTTAAGTGGCTCTTAACTCTTAAAGCACTTTCATCTGTCCGGCAGCCCTGGAGGGAGATTTTTATTGGCTTTTAGCCTTCAAATATGTTCATCACCAAGGCATGAGGGACAACTTTGTCATTCTTATTAACCCTGGTGGACAGGGAGACACAAACACACACATGCGAGATGGTTAACAGGTGTGCAAAGGAAAGAGTCTCCAAATCCAAAGTTTCAAATTGAGGATTTGGGGCTCAAGTGTGGGGATAAAAATGTCTTTTACTGACTGCAGGAATCTTGTTTTCCATCTTTTGTCCACTTTGAAAACACAAACTTCCTTTCCTGCTGCACAAAAAGGACAAAAGTCGATGCATGTAAAAGTTTCTTACCCAACAAAGCGATGAGAATCAGTGCAGATGTCGGCCCCATCCCGTTCCTTTAGTCTGGACTGACACAAGCTTCACTGGACACACCGAAAAGCTCAGCTTCTCCTTTACGCAGCGTCCTTGTTTCTACCGACACTAATCCTCACATTGTGGATCCAAAGCGTGGAGCAAACACTCTTGTGAAGTCCGAGCATCATAGGAAACACACCCCCGTGTCGCTACAAGGAAACAAAGCCCAGATGTACCTGACCTTAAAGACAAAGACCCGCATCAAACAGGACGAGGGGAAAGTCCCGGCAGCTCCACTCTGGGGGAGTTGAATGTTGTCGTTCAGACGGAGCAGCTCAGTTGCTTTTACGCGCGTCCCCTGTACGTCGTGGAGGAGTGTTGGTACGTCTGTTCACGGAGTGGACTTCCTCCGCCTCTGCACACACGTTATGGGCGTGGAGTGTGAGCTGAAGCTTTGGCTGAAAAAACACAACCTTATGTGTGCAAGGTGCACTGCTCGGCTGTGCTACATCTAAAATATCTGAACTTTTCCTTCACTGATTCCTTTTTAAACTTAAAAAAACAGCATTTCATGTCTTACAGTAACAAACTATATTAATTTAAACAATTTTCATCCTCCTTATCACAGTGAAGGTTTGGACTGCTGCTATTGTATTAGTGTTTTTGCTCTCCCTGTGCTGTTTTGTGCATTTTATGTGCCTATGAATCTAAAAGAAAGTATTAAGTGTGAATATAATTAAGGATTAAATGTAAAATCTCCCAAAACTGAATCCATGCATGACTTTTCACACATATTTTAGAAACCTAGTAAAACTCTTTGTGGGACTGACCAGGTTGAAGACATGTCTCTTCTTTGTTGCACTTTTCATTTGGCAAAACTGTCTCTGCTTTACTGGAAAAATCTCATATCCTCCAGATTATCTCCACACACAAATAATGTGAAAAATCAGAGACTTAAAGGGATATTCCGGCGTGAAATTAATTTAGGGTCAAACACACCGTAACACCGAGTTAGACACCCTTTTGAGAGATGAATGTTGCTGAACACTTGCTTCTCTAGTTAAACCAACTTTAGTAATGACCGCATGATAGCAATACACAGCAGTCTGAGGAGCTATAAACAAACCTGAACCAAAACGCCACTCTATAGCCACAAATAATGCTCAGAACACACCTAACTTCATCAACAGTACATATAGGGTTACAGCGATAGCACTAACCACCAAACATCTTTTTAACTTTGCCTGATTTCTTTAGCAAAGAGACTAAACACAACTCACCTACTCTCTTCCAGCAGCCGCTTGTTTGTAGCGAGACCTCGGGCCAGTCCATTACGGACTACAGCGGGGTGACGCAGCTCAAGGAGGAACATTTATGATCATTAATGTGTATTGCTGTGTATTGCTATCCTGCGGTCGTTACTAAAGTTGGTATAACTAGAGAAGCAAGCGGTCGGCAACATCCATCTCTCAAGGGGTGTCTGTTTGGTGTCCCAGTTGTGTCCTTGATTGTCGAATCGATTTTCAGGGCTGACTTTCCTGCAGATTTGGTTGTTGTCGAAGCTAAAACCTTTAGTCTGACCTCAGGACTGAAGAACCACCAGGAAATCAGGGCTCAGGTCACAAGAGGGGAATCTGGCCTCTTTTTCCCATGGTAATTTATTAATTTCATATCAGCGTCTTGGCTCATGTTTAGATGATCATAACTACTATCACCAAAGTTATACTGGATTATTTACCATGTTAGTTTATAATTCAGCTATCAGTGTCATATTGGTCTGTTGAGGTGAGAAAGGCTAATCAAATGACTCGTGAATGAATTGTGGGTAAAGTAACCCTTGCAGGGACATATTTGCTCTTTCCTGTTGAGGTTTCCTTCATCATACTTAGTGTCCAACATCCCGTCTGTTATCACTCATGATGGATGCTTCACATTTTTCCTGACCGCTGCTCTCAAATTATAAACCTTCTCATCAGTGAAGCTCTGCCTGCAGGGAGGGACGACACCTGTGTGTGTGTGTGTGTGCGTGTGTGTGTGAGGGGTGGGGAGACCTTGGCCTTGAGTTTCTGACTCTGTCTCTTTTCAACTCAAGTTTTTTTCCCCCCTCTCTGATCTTTTGACCCCGAGGCGACTCTCAGCTCCTCTTCCCTCATCCTCACACCAACTCAGCACAAAGCACCAAGTCTTTTATTTCTTATATGACACAATATTATCTTTAAAATTAAACCAATTACCAGCTGCAAAACTTAATAATCATGTGGGTAAAAAGTTTTCATCTTAAACTCGAAGGGATGAATATCTTGGAGTAGAAATAAAGCGCAAAGATTGACGTAGAAATAGACAGTTATATCAACATTAGCACTAATCATGTAGAAATAATCAATGAAAAACTGTGTGAGACAGAGAGATTGTAGCATCAATGCTTCAGTCTTTTTCAGGTTTTTCTTCACTGATATTTTCTCTACCAATGAATTAAAAGTACGTCTGTTAAGACAGAAATAATGATTTGCGACTGACTAACACTGATTTAAAATGTTAGGCACAAAATGAGCTGCTGTGATTATATATTTGTATTTTAAGGCAAATTTTCAACTTGTTTAACCAAATCAGCTAGTAGTAAATCATGCTGACATTAGCAGGTTTTAACTTGTCGTTACATTCTTAAATCGTTTTTGCTACTTGAGTGAGTGTTTTTGTGTTTGTGAGATTATATCGGGGTTAGCCGCTCTGCTGTTAAAACACAATAAATTGCAACCACAAGATAACAGCTGTAATAAGAGAAGCTGTTTTTTGGCTTCAGTAGAATTGCAGGTTTCTTTTCTCATAACATTTTGACCTTAACAATTTTTGAAAATTTAAAGATCCTGTTGAAGCTGCATCTTCACTTTTGTAGTTTTTTAATGTAGACTTACATTTTACTTTTTAATAGAAACTGACTGACAATAAACAGTTCAAAACATCATCAATCATGGATCATTTAACGCTGAACTTCCTTTTAAATCAAGACCTGGCCTTTTCTTAAGTTGCATCATGACATGCCGACACTAATCACAGTGCTAATGTAGGAGCTGGATTAAGTATTGTTTTGATGTTTGCTTGTTTGAGTTGGTTAATTGTTTATTTTGGTAACTCCTGTTGTAAGGGGAAGTGACAGCAGGGGAGCTCACAGTTATATGTGGGGAGGAAACCTGTGACAGATGTTGCACATATTCTTTGACCGTGGCGTGGTGAAAAACGGTGATACACTTTGATTAGGATTGGATAAAATAAATACCTTTTTGGACACAAGTTTTTCCGTTTTTGACTTTTGTTTTAAGAGCACCCATGCACGCGTCAGCGAACGCCTGTCAATCAGCACCAGTGTTAATCTTTTTCACTTTTGTATGGCAAGAGAGAGAACAGTCAGCACAGCTAACAAGAGCTAATCCTTGGTTTATCGATTGGCCATGCTAGCTCAGAATCGAAACAAAATATGTTCAATTTTCTGATCTTGAAAATATTTAAAGCTCCTATTATCTCGTCATCTACATGCTGAAGAAATCTAACTTTTAACAGTCGCCTCCTTCACTTATTAACGTTTTATTTGACATCCACACCCTCACCACAGTTTCAGATGTTAATTATTACTACATTAAAGTCATCAATCATGTTTCCAATGGTGTTGTTTCCTTTTATATATCATAAAAACCCTTCAATAAGAATTTTAGTCTGTTTTATAAATGTCTGAAAACTCCTCACAGGAGCTTTAAGGGTGAAAAATGAGTTGGTTTATTTAATTGTAGGTCCTGAGCTCAGTTTCAGTCAACTTAAAGGCACAAAGCAAACCTGACTGAGCTCCTCCACATTTTTGGACCTGAGTTATGTTCATAGAGGGAACAATGATAGAGGGGGTCTGGTCGTACATAAAACAGTATTTCATGTGCTTATCCAATAATCCTCCAATCCTTAATCAGCAGAGCAGTGCTCCACTGAGGGACTTCTAATTAATTTCTTTTGTCTGCAGTCTCACCCCCCCGGCTGCCTCCCTCTATACGCTCCATGGTATTTGTTCTTTTCCCTCTAATCCTGGATCCACGCTCTGGGAGAGTGACTCCATCCCTCCTCTCTCTCTCTCTCAACTCCTTCTTTTCTCAGGAGCCGGAAAAGCCGCAGAGCCAGATCCGGACAAACACACTGACGGGATTTAGGAGAAGGCCGGAAGGCGTATTAATAAGGAGGCTGTATAGAGGAGAGGCTGGAGGCAGGGAGGTGAGACTGTGGGGCTTGTTCTGGTGTGTTGACCCCTGTGTTGTCCTGTGTGGCTAATCAAAGCATCAGTGCACTCTCTTTGTGTCCCTGCAGGAATGTGATCATGAGAGGTGGAAATAAGCTGCTTTGACTGTGAAAGGGATCACTAGGACAGTAACAGCAGTGAAAAACTCTGTTTCATCCCACATCCTGGTTTTAAGTTTTCCTGCAAATGTTGTTAAAAATGTGAGCCTCATTTGAAACCATCAGGGATCTTTCTGACATATTTTTTGTATTTGGTGTCCCTAAACATGTCAGATCAGATGAATGTGTGTGGGGACGTTTCAAAGCGTCTCTGTTTCTGATTAAAGTCGTGTTCGGAGGAGCTGGATGACTGCACTGTTTTCTGTTTGTCTCTGTCTTCATGTCTCCCTGAGGACGTCTGTGTCATTTCTGGGGGCTGATGTCAAAGTCAGAATGAGAAGGAGTGGCGCACCATGAACATAAAACTCACACTGAGTTATGACATTTTAATCTATTAACTTTTTATCATTTGTGTCTTTATACCGAACTGGAAAGTAACTGACAGCATCGCGACACTCACGCCGGACTAATTAACTTGTGATGCTGGGATCGGTTAACGCCGCGCAACTAGACAAGTTTGTGAACGCACCTTTGCAAAGTCATTTAATCGCAGTAGTTTGACTGTTTTATTTTTCTTCTTTTAGGACAATGGTATGAGCCATTTTATCTATATTATTTTGGGGGTTTTGTTTTGTTACTCACACAATCACCACAAGGGGCACTTAAGGTAAATGGGCAGGTAAATGCTACGAAGGGACACAGGTGAAGCAGTGATCTCTGACACCACTCTTACCCTCATCACAAACATCACTATCAAAGTAAGTTGGACTTATCTGCCTTTTTTGTTTGTTTTTCATTAAATCAATAAGTGGCAAAAAGATAACAATATCCTTGGATTGGACATTGGATTGTATTAAAAGTGCGTCAAAAACACCTCACTCCTGCACCCAGATGGTGACTAAGATTCAGGTCAGCATAGTCACTGCAATAATGGATTTTGAAGATATTTGGCTGTTTTGGTGCTAACTCTTTAAATAGCATTGTGCAGGTAGCTCAGACCCTCTTTGCATGACAGGGTGTCAAAGCAACCAAACCAGAACAAGCTAAAAGCAGCTAAAATGCTCCAAATGACTGAGATGCATTCAGATTTTTTGTAACTTTCTATTGACTTTTATTACCCAGCTGTGTTAGAAGCTTGATCCTGATTGGTCAAAACTCCATTACAATGGTATTAAGTACTCAACAGAAAACCAAAACTGAGTACAACCTGATCCAGTGTCGTAATGAATATTTGATGTGGCTCTAAAAGAGTCTACATGTGACTTTTTAAGGTATTTTGAGTAGTAGTAGGGATTTCTTTTAATCTCTTACATGGCGAGTTTACTTTATGTTTACAACATTTTTAAACCTCTTAGCTTTTTTGGATGTCATCAATCACGCATTTTCTTTAAAGGCATATTCTACAGATTTTTAACTTAATAGAATTAAAGGGAAACGACAGACTGACAATAAGGGGATTTGTGTTGAAAACTAAATCCATAGAATTGGTCAAACTTTAAAATAGCTGATAAAGTGTGATCAGGCCCAATTTTCAATCTCTTTGTCCTAATATGGGAATTGTTCTCTCTTTACAAAGCTTTTGCAGTATTTATAGAGGCTCAAATCTCCTAAAAACTTCAAAATTTTTAATAAATGTGTGGCAAAGGTGACAGCTGAATTTTTTTCCCGACTTTATCCTGGATTTTTCCTGTTAGCTCTGTAGAGACACTTCCATAAGAGGTGAGGGTGATCCGCTGTGAAGAACTTATAGTAATTGGTTAAAGGGCTTCACATAACAGGATGAATAAGAAAAGCTCAGATGAAGTAGGAGAGTTTTTTTGAGGGGTAGAGCTCCTGAAAATTTCTGGAAATTCTTAAAAACACATACATGAAAGAGGCTTAAGAAGCCGTTATAATCCTCCAGCTGTTTTCACCGTGTGTGTGGTAGGTTTTAAGAGAACTTACCTGGTCTTCACGCCTGATTTACTGAGATTTCGCACATAAAATATACCTGCAAACTCTATCAAAGTCGAACCACGTTTGGCTCAATCCGCACAGGGGTGACTCTAATCCTTGCAAAAGCTCACCAGTAAAACAAAGAGTCAAACATGTGAGGTATAGCCCTGAGCAAAGATGAGGCACCAAGTTCACTTACAATATGGTTGACATCTGCTGCTGCAGAGACAACTGCAACAGTACAGTTAAGTCATTCCAGACTGGAAGCGGGAAATAAAGAGGGGGAGATGGGGGTAAAAATGCGGGGAGAAGGTGTAGGAGAGGAGGGGTGGGAGGTCTTTTCATCTGTGTGGCGATGGTAAATACTCCCATGTGCAATGAGAGATCCCATTGTGTGGAGCTTCTTTTGAATTAAGCAGCCTGCAGGGCCGAGCAGAAACTGTCCTTGAAAAAAAGAGAAAAACAGAAGAAATAACTGGAGGACATTCAAAGTAGGAGGCTGGAGAAGTACAACTCCTGCCCAATGGCTGTCTAAATCATTCAGCTAATTGTTCCAACCTTCCACAAATCCAGGGTTTTATGATAAATGTACAGTAGCTTTAAAACCTCACCATCCCGCAGATGTTACAGCTGACTGATTGCTTCCTCTGGGAGACCTCGAGGTCTTCCTGCGAGTGTGAGTTGATTGACAGTAAGCAGAGTCGAGCGTAATATGAAAACACACCGCTCGGCCCTGCAGGAGTAATGATAAAAACTGAAACACTGACAGAAGCTATGAGCCGTCATGTTTTCTGTGATGGATTGTTTACCTCAGGTTGTTTTAAAACTCAGAGCCGAAGTGAGGATGGAGAAAAAATAACAAAACGATAAAAATGGAAACGAGGGTAGAGGTCAGCCATGAAGGACGACTCTTTTGTTCTTCTACGCAGACCCAAAAGAAGCCAAAGCTGTTCTTTTACCATGTCAGAGTCAGGATTCTTGTGGTTTTTGTGGTCCAGCAGGCTCATGACTTCTCTCACAGACCCTCTGTTTGTCCTCCACGGTGCCAGCCGACCAGACACAGTGGCCTCTGTATGAAGCAGACATTTCATGTTAGACAAAACCAGCGACATGGATAGAAACACCTAAAAAGTAGCTGACATTGTGAAAGTGTGTCTGATTGGCTGGGTTGAGACGTAACACCACGTGATTGGTTGTTGCCAGGTAAAGGCTCATTAATGCTCTACGTTACATACGGATCCAGACACGGACGCATTCTTTTCGTCCGTATTTCTGCACGTATCCTTGAAGTTTACGGATACGGGCCTGACGGAGCAGTACCATTGGAAACCGTGGGGGCAAGATAGCGCAGGGTGACAGCTAGTCGCTCTGCACCACTCACAGGCGCGCTGTGTGAGACTTGTGGTGCTGGATGTGAGGGGCCACCTGGCGAAGCAAGTTGGCGAATGCCCCTGGTGGACTTCCTGATGTACTGAAAATGACGATCCTTGTCAATTTCTCTCATCGGTACTACCAGAGAAAAGAATTCTCTGTCCTCAAACCGCAAGGAATTTAGTGGCTTGAGCAACCACCACCTCCTCCAACGCTGCCTCCGTTTCTGTCTCCTGTGCAAAATATACATCATCACTTGGTTAACATCTCTTATGCATTGGTTATCATCCATGTCAACGTAAAGGACGCATAAAAGTATGTGGGCAGTGACGGAACCATCGTTTGAAATGGACGCGTACATTTTCATACGTATGGCGAGCATAAATGAGCCTTTAGGCGTCTCCTTTAACTCTGAAGCACGAACAGCTCACCTTTAACCTTTACACACAGGGCGAGAACATCTGTTTCTTCTAGGCTACATCACAGTAGTCAAGAAGGTGAAGGTTGCTCTGATGGTCATGACATCCTCTGAATACTATAACACAATTAATGACATGTCTCTGCACTTTCTCATAACAAATCACTTTCAGTCGACTTTTTAGGTCAAGAACTGGATCAGAAGTACTTTTTATTCACTGAGCTGTACAGTAATCTCCACGCAGCTGCAGCTTCTAGTCCCCCCTTAGATGCCAATTATTACCAACGCCAATCCTGTTCTTGCTTTCCCGGTTGCTGAGGAGACGGCGGTTCTGTGGTGGCATTGGTTTATTCTAGGTTCATACGGCTGAATTAAGCTTCAGTGAAACAAATTTCCTACAGAAACCCTTTTGAAATAGATAAACAGGTGCTTCTAAAGTTTGTGGCGTTAATGGCTGCAATATAAAAGCAGAGGAAGTTTTGGGGTGGAGTGATTTAAAGCTACACCAGAATTAGTAAAAAGTTGGCGCCCTAGAGGCACATCGTGGCATTGTGTTATTGGCTAAATGCGCATTAAAAACTAGGCTCTATTTATTTGCCTGATTGCTTAAAATATTTCTGGCACATCAATCCAAAAGTCGTGACCAACTTTAATGTTGAGTTTAAGGATTTGATGGATTCATGTTCACACTTTAACAGCAATGTTAAAGTCATTAGTCTGGCTTTACAAACAGACAGGAAATGGCAGATGTTGGTTTTCATAAAGGTGCTGTGTAATGAAAGTGTGTTGATGCCACTTTTTTAAAACACAATCATGTTTTCGAGCAGTTTTGGCAGCCGGTAAAAACATAAAAGAAGGGTTTATGAATCAAGAGACAGTTCCACTGGAGGGTTGCCACAGAGCAATAGAGTCTACGTCTTATTTCTGTCCAGTGGTTTTCCCCTGGGTGTGACAGGCAGCTGCACGCATCAGAAACTTTGGCGAGAATCTGAAGAGAAGGAAGAGAGCCGAGAAGGATTTCCTGACCGTCCAGTTGGCAGGAATAGCCCAGCAAACACACTTAAGTATTTCTATATTATTGGTATTTAAAGCTCTGCGATCAATGTCGAACAGCAGTAACATTTTAAAGCTTGTTTTTATCCATTTAAATGAATGACAATCTAATTTATGAGAGCGCTCAACAGGGGTGGAAGTTCAAAGTTAAATGAACAATTTTTTGTACAAATAAAAGCTTGTTTTGACAGTTAATAAAAGTTTGATGTTTGTACACTGGGAACATTTTTGCTGCATGTGAGGTGAGGCATTTCACAATCACTGAAGCCGTTTGTTGAACGTCCACCCAGCTGTCTCAGAGAAATAAGGTGTGTAACTGAACGATTTTCATAATAACATTGTGGTGACAGCGTAATCACTGCCTGGATGATGTTCAGTGACGACT